TCTAGTATTCTATATATCTCTCCTCGAACTAGTACTACCTAGAGCGCTACTAGCTCTAGTTATAGAAATAGAACCGGTTAACCTTAACGCTAAGTATAAAGTCGAGAAGATCTTAGACTATAAACTCGTTAGAGAAAAACTATATTATCTAATAAAATAAAAGGACTACTTATAATTAGAAAATATATAGAAACTAATAAATAACCTTAACTACTCTAAGCGGCTTAAGAAGTTCTACTACTAGTATCTAGGGCCTCCTAGAAAGACCTAGAATCGAAATTCGGATCGAGTAGCGACGAGTTATAAGTAGAGAAGTCGTCGGGCGGGGTAGGGTAGGCTAGTAGTCGTTCTACTTCTACTTCCCTCTCTTCCTTCTCTCTCTTCTCCTCTTCTTCCTACCGCTCTTTCCTCTCTAACTCGTCTAACTTGTCTAGTAAGTTAAGACTTACCGAGATTATCTTTTATTTCTATTCCCGAAGAAACTTTTACTACCGGCGGATACGAGTACGACGAGCTAGTATCTCTTAGATCTAGGCCTTAGTCTACTCGTCCTCTAGAAAAAGCTTCTCTTCCTAAACCTCGATACTCTCCTAGTTACGAACTAAGAGTATTCGATTTATCTCTTTAATATCGTACGACTTTCCCGTAGATATATAGGTACTATAACGACTATATTTTAGGTCCCGAGAAACTATATACTCTTTTCCCGCCTTTTTGTAGCGAGAGTAAGGCGCTATTTTCTTTTTAGTTAGATTAATTTATTTACTAAGGGCTACGATATTAAAACGTTTAGTTATATAGTTAGGTAGTATATTAGAAGAAAAGAAAGACTATAGCCTTTAACCGACGTATTTCCTAGTCGTACTTAAGTATAAGAACCTACTAGTCCGAATAGAGGATAGTATTACAAGTAGCGTCGGCCTCGGCGTCGTAATACTCCTAGGACCGAAGGTCCTAGGATTAGGCGAGGTCACGGGAACCGAGTAGTTCCTAGGACCGCCGTCTAATAGCTTAATTCGGTTAAAGTTAGTAGTATTTATATTAGCGGATAGGCCCCGGTTTAGGGTACTGTCACGTAACGAAGAAAGTTCGATAAGTTCGCTAGACAAACCTATCGAACCGGCTAGAAGTTCGACGGGTTCGACTAGCGAACCTATCGAACTTAGAGAGAAGAAGTTCTATATAATAATTATAGTTTTCTTAGATAGAAGCTTTGTACTTAACTTATTATAGTAATAGTATATTATCTACTTAACTTACTCTTATTATAACGAATAGATCTCTAAATCTATAAGTAACGATCTTATACCTACTTCTTAATATACTAACCTTACGATAACCCTAGTCTACCCCAAGTAGAACCGAATTGTTATATTAAGTTCTATCGAATCGCTATAGCGGTTCTTTAATAGACGTATATAGTAAGAATAGACTCCTTTCTTTTTAATATAGTACTCGTACGCTCGGTTATTAATCTTAATAGCGGCTTTACTTAGCTTATAAAGGGTCTTAAGAGGATCTATACGCGATAATTTATTCTTTATAAATTTCTTTAATTCTCTATAGAATAATATTCTTAGGGCTTTATTACCTAGTCCTAACCTAGCTAAGGTTTACTAGAAGTCGATATTATAGCGGACAGCTAACCTAGTCTAGGTAAGCTTAAGTAAGGCTAGCTCCGACTTTTTCTTAATATTAATATCTATAAAGGCCTTCCTTATACTAGCTATAAAGTCTTTTATTAATTTAAAATAATCTTTAACGAACTAGAAGTAAACTATAGATACTAAGCCCGTTTAGGTCTTATTCTTCTAGTAATCGCTAATATAAGGCTCGATCTAGTTATAGGCCCTTCCCTCGAAGCGCGAGATTAGAAATAAAACCTTATCTATATTGTTCCTAAACTTGTCTCTATAAAAACCTATATAGAGCTAAGCCTTTATAATAAACTACTCTAGGTTAGCTAGAGTTCTATTATACTTATCTAGCGAAGGGATTCGTAGGCCTTCCTTTGCCTTAATTACGGTAGAGACTAGTAGTAGTAGTAGTAGGATTCCTACAACGCTTCCGGCTAGACTAGTAACGTTAGGAGCTATTATTAATAATCTAGTACTTACTAAGAATAGGTACTTAAAGTATAACGATTCGGTTCTACCCGGGGTAGACTAGAGTTATCGTAAGGTTAGTATATTAAGAAGTAGGCGCGAGATTATTACTTATAGATTTAGAGATCTATTTGTTATAATAAGAGTAGGTTAAATAGATAATATACTATTACTATAATAAGTTAAGTACAAAGCTCCTATCTAAGGAAATTACAATTATTATATAGAACTTTCTACTCTACCTAAGTCCTATCGAGTTTAACGAGTTCGACGAGTTCGATAGCGAACCTAGCAAACTTATCGAACTTCTACTTATTACGTAACACTGCCTAAAACCGGGGCCGATCTACTAACCTAAATACAACTAATATTAACTAAATTAACCTATTAGATAGCGGTCCTAGAAACTACTCGATTCCTGTAACCTCGCCTAATCCTAGGACCTTTAGTCCTAGAAGTATTACGACGCCGAGGCCGACGCTACTCGTAACATAACGGTCTTTAATACAATCTTCGTAGTAAACCTCTTCTAGGCTAATCTTTTAAGTTACCTAGGTTCTTATATATCTTCCTAGATTTACCTAGGTTTCGTCCGACTAAAGAACCGAGAACTACTACTCTTCTGTCTAAAAGACGTACTCCTAAGCCTAGGCTAATCGATCGTCTTTATACTTTTACAAAAGCGGTAGTTTCCTACGCGCCTATCTTTATACAAAGCCTTCCTTCTTAAAAGCCGCTCTAATAGCCTTTTTACTATACTCCTAACCTAGGATCGAAGGGATATCTTCCTATTATATACGGCGATTCTTTGCGGACGAGGTAACCTATTCGATAAGGCGCTTTCGTTAAGGAGTATTTAAAAAGGGCCTTCTACCTCGAAGGCGCTTTTAAGGGGTTAATCGGTAGTATAGAGCGTATCCGACCTAGCGAGGGGTAATATTAAGCTATAAGGCGATTTAAGCTTGTATAAAGCTAGCGTCGAAGTATAGAGTCTCTACTCTAAGCCGGTCGTCGCGAGAGAGCTGTTTTCGTTATAGTGTTTTAGGCGTTAGAATTAGAAACATCGAGTCTTATAAATCTATAATTTAAAAAGTTGTCAAAATAGGTGTAAAAGCGGCAGTTCTGGCATAAATAGCTTATTGGCTAGAATAAAGAACCTTCTAGAGTACGCTCTGACGGCCAAGCCTACAAAAAAACGGCTATGTACGAAGTAGTCAACAGTCATCGTGGGAGCCGCTGAGTAAATCTTACATTCCTCTTCTAAGCCCATGAGTCAAATCCTATACCTTGACGATGTACATCCGCCCTTTACTGAAATCTCGGTAGCACGGTAGCTACCGCAGTCCCGATCACGTTTTTCGGCAATCTATCGGACAACTATCCCTCTTCCCCGGCCCGATTTCTTTTGTTTGCCTACGGCGTCCCTTGTATAACGAAACTCAAAATTCATTAAACTTCGGAACCGACAATATCTGTACAAACCCGAGGCTAACAAACGCTATTAATAAATTAAGCTTTTCTGTCACCCACAAACGTGGTGGTCGATCTTTTCGGACTTTTCGCAAAATAAGGTTCTCCCTCCCGAGACCTCTTCGATTCAAGGGTGGGTGAACGGGCTCAAACAAGCCGCAGTCGAAACACGACATTTCTTCGATTCAGTTGTACGAAATATCGTCCATCTCGTCTATTATTTCAAGAGAATAGACCTTTTGGACCTCCACCTTAAAAGAAAGTAGTAACCAAATTTACATACTCTTTCTACTTCGTAAATCACACTTTAACTTAACGTTGATAGAAGAATCATAAGGTACTGCAATTTATTTTGTCCTCTGGGAGACGGGCTATGAGAATTTGACTAGCGTCAAATAGCCCTCTATTCGGGAGATCGTACCAAACAAAAAATGTTGGGTGGAACCTTTTAATGCTCCCGTTGAGCGGAGGAACTTACTGATGAAGGAAGATATCTAGAGCAAAACGGCTCTACAAGAGAGAGCGGGAAGGGGCCGATTTGCGACTACAACCACACCAAAACACCCGAAGAAACACAGATTTCCTCCTTACGGTATTTCGCAGCGGACACAACAAACAGCAAAATTTCCTGCATATTCCATCCATTCCAGCATAATCAAGGGCAGGGTGGGTGACTTTACGGAAAACATATTCACTGTCAATATAGCCCAGAAACATCTCATCCCGAAAACGATGAACGAAATACGCGGCATGTCCAGACAATAAGATGACAGCTGGCAGTCACAACACGAGATTTGCTCCACACAGTTGACGAAGTTTGGTATATCACAGCTAGCATTTCAGGAAATAGTTAACAATTTGATTGTGTTCGGAATTTAACAATGCAAAAGTGCCTCGTACGCGTATTGTAAGTGCCGCTTAAGTTTGCAGGGCGGACGAAACGTACTGCCACTTATCTTGTCCCTGGTTGCACAAGCAGGTAGAGAACTCCAATTTGAAAATTTTGACATGCTACAATTTGAGTGAAAGTGAAAAACAAGTAATCCTGATCAGAAAGAACGCCACTCTACCATTACCGGCATAGCCAAGTGTCGTGGAGTATTCAGCCTCAATCGAGTTCTTATCCACAAGGCTAAAACCCCACATTCAAAAGAGCCTCAATAACGAGCGCTTGTCATCGGTATGGCTTCCAAATCACTTTCAGCAAATAGAATCGTCAAGGTCTGTGAAATATGTGCAATTCCTATATACTATATACAATTTTTAGTTTCATCCTCCTCCACTCCCCCACATTGCTACAATATATACTGAGATGAAAAGAGTGTAAAGGGGTGCAGCGAGAGCCAGGCGGCTGTTCGCGACAAATGCCACGGTGTCGGCTTGGGTGCGTGGTTTTTATCTTGTAGGTTCCAGTGATGGAATGATTTAGAATGGTGGCTTGGCGTTGGCAAGGAGCTGCTCGAAGTAGGCCTGGTTCCATTGACCAGCTTGTGGGGATGGCTTGAATGCATCCTCGTGACCACAGAAAGAATCATAACGATCAGCATCTGGGTCGCTGACACCGTCAGACTCTCCTCCTGGCTTGCCCCAGACAAAGGCGTCGACGAGAGCGTCGTTGGTAGTGGTGGTTGGTCGGACACCGAAACCGGCTCCGATGACATTGCACCAATCTCCCCATGCGAGACGGAGACCAGTGACGGCGTTGCGTCCGGTATCGACGATGGCGTGGTTGGGCATACCGGCGGTCTTGAGGAGAGGAGCGAAGGCGTTGACATATCGCTTCTCGTCCTGGCACTTGTTGTACTTGGCGTCAGTCGCGGTGGAGAATTCTCCTGGAGTTTGTTGGAATGCGTTCCATCCGGCAACATTGGTAGCGAAACCAAAGACTTGCTTTGGGGAACCGGCAGCCTTGTAGACCTTGGCAATACCCTCAGCTCCAGGCTCTTGGAGGATGTTAGTATGAGTATGTGTCGGTCAAGTAGTTTCACTTACTAAGGTTGGCATCCCATCCGAGCCATCCTCCGTGACCGGCATCGATGTACATGGCAACGTTTGGAAGATTGAGAGTCTTCAATGCGTATGCGACACCCTCCTCGTAGCCAGATTTGGATGCTTGGCAGGTGGTCAAGTTGGCATTTGTAACCAAGTTAGGAAGGGAATCAGGCTCAATCAACAAGGCCACGGCAACATTTGGGTTGGCCTTGATGGCAGCAGCAATTGCTAGAAGGAATGTCAATCATGCTCTACCTGGATGAGCTGAGTTACTTACGGTCAATGTACTCTGACTTATATCTGGAGATCTCTCCAACAGCAAGCTCTCCGTTGGAGGCCTTGGCGGCGCAATCACGTCCTGGAAGATCGTAGACGACGATCTGAGCAATCTCTCCACAAGCGACTTTGCTAAGAGTATCGGCAACCAGTGGGACTCTGGCGATGGTATCGCTGAGTACAGTTAGTATAATTGAAGTCATCTATAGCGTCCGACCAACATACATCCACAAGAAACTTCCAACTTGTCCAACCTTCGCGGCCTTAGCAGCCATTGAAGAATCGCTCATTTGTGCTGCGGCAGCGGCAACTTCTCCAGCATAGTACTCATTGGCGTAGAACTTCTTTCCGGAGAAAGGGTTGGAACCAGCAGCAAGCTTAACAGCAGTAGTGCAAGCAGCGCGTGGTGCGATCTTGGCGGCCTCCTTCTCAACCTCTGTTGGTGCTGCAGTTGCAAAAGCCGCAAGGGCTACTAATCCAAAAGAATACTTCATATTGTCGACAAACTCGAGGATACAAGGTGTAATGTTGAGGTGGCTGATACTTTCACAGCTGGAATGCCCATCTCTTATACCTCAAGAAGACGGAGGCAACTCGGTTTGCAGCGGGGCAGATCTTCCTCTGCCTGAAAGGAAACAGGAGATACAGGGCCGAAAAATGCTTCGTTGCAAGTCTCATAGTCCATGTGATCTTCAAAACAAATTATTCATCCTGTACGAAGACAAAGACTTTCAAAGACTCAATTTAATTAGCTGATCGGCGGAACGTATGGCCATTCAGCCCCAAGTTGATCGTGCACAGCCCTAATGCGGGGGAGGATATGACAGTATGTGAAAGATACATTGGCAACGGTCCGAAAAGCAATCTGTCCAACAGCCTGATTACCGGAAAATTGTATGCAGAAATCAACGTGACAAGATGAAACATGACATCCATTACCGAGTACGTCAAGCACTGAAGGAAATCAGACCATACCTTGAAGATGTCAGATGCTCAAATCAATTTTGCGAGAGCTTAATCCAGCAATATGGTTCTCATTGATGGCGTGTTATAGAGAGCGTTCTGAGGAAAAGTAAATTGGTCTGCTAGAGGAGCAGAGGTGACATCCGTGTATTCTCGAGCGATGTACCGATGTGATTCCCGAAAGAATTTCATGGCCGAAATCTGCTCCAATCCAAAGTCAGGTACACTTACTAAATTCCCACCTCGGTCCACAAAAAGCTTTCAAGGCCACGAACTGGAAACAACCCCATTCGATGATACGGAGAATATGCACGATATAGCCTCGTGTGGCGTCGTTAAAGACGTCTCAATATATATTGCGTGCTTGGCGAAAGATCACATCCAACAGACTGCCAATAAGCTGCTGGTATTGATGAATGCCGCGCAGGGGACCCAAGATCGTAACTCATTTATCCCCGATGCATTTGCGGGGTGCAGAATTCTGCTGATGATTGGGAGTCTGGAGAACCCTGAGTTTACAACTCCCAGAGTCCGGTGCCAGCCGCTGTGGAACCTCTTTGGCAGGAGCTAGTAGATGTCAGCATATGGCACGTTATTTAATCTTAACTCCCAAGCTTTTGGTTAATGAGGATGGTAGAAGAGATGGTGGGACTTTGTTATCAAATTACGAACTGAAGTTGGACAAACAAGACGTTGATCAGTCCAAACCGGCCCTTCATACCGCCGATACCAAGAGCAAAACCTTAGATCGCCAAGTCGGTGAGGTAATATGAATGGTATAGTGTTCTCATCTATCATATTGAAAATGATATAAAAGTTGCTCAGATTAGCCGTCCGGGTGATCTTAAGCCTCATAAAGAGATGCGTGGGGTCACGATGATCAGCATTTTTTCCCTCTTCGCTATTGCCACAACGATGGGTTGGCAGAATGTGATTGGTGATGAGGAAATTGAAATGGCCTCTTTGGGGCGACACGAGCTGTGGGTACTGTAAAGGGTTGTCGAATGCAGTTTGAAAAGGAAGGAAACTTCCAAACATGCTCAGATGAGGTTGAGAAGAGACGCGACTGCACATGTGGCTTCTGTCGCCACCCGCAATAAGAATACCCCCTGAATTGACTCGAAATCTGGAACAACACGACTTCACGTCATCAAGATGCGAGGACCTTGGTGACGATGCCCGCCGTATCCAGGACAGTCACCCTTCTCGTTACAGCAACTTAGCCAGGATTCTAATCGTCTTATGAATACGAATCCAACCATGTAAACTTCTCGCAGTTCGACTGTTCGATGCAATGAAGTGTACCAATAAAGTTAGCCAAAGTACTCGAATAACTCGTTGCTGCCTTGAGCTCAGACTAAATGGACTTCAGTTGAGCAATTACGAATTTATGTACATCGTCCTGAGGTATAATTCTCCGACCGGATTCAACCCCGATTCTGATTCCAGGTCCCCGAAAGTCAAATCTGATGACTAAACAGTCTATCGCTCGAACTGGTCGTAGAGGGACTGTGCCAGGGTGTGATGCAGTACATTCCAATGGCCACAGTCCATAATTGGTAGTAAGAATTTCGCTAGACATAACTCCATCATCTTCAGAGATTGAAGTCAGAACATTGCTATTATTCTTTGTTACGTTCAATGAATAAGGGATGATGATTGGTGCAATTCTTTTGACAATGAATATGCTCCTTTTATGAATTGAAAAGAGGCAAAGAGAAGTTAACTTCGGCCCTCTGATATTCTTGTGGATCAATCAGTTGGACAATGAACATCACTTACGATCATGGCTGCTTCAAAGAAAGAGCATTGTTACTGGCGACAAAGCGGGCAAGATATCGGAACAGGACTCACCTTCCTTGCATAGATATGTTCTAGCTTTCACCGACGCAATATTGCGTCTTTGGAAAAATTTGCCAAACCAATCACTTCATGCTGACATTGTTGCATTCAGCGTTTGACACACTCAATAACTGGGGGGTGATGCTCACCAGGCTTTTCAGTCTCGCTCCTAAGACTCAACAGTTCGAAGGGAATAAAACGAATGATGCAATCTCAAGTTCAAATCAAGAGAGAGATGCTCACTCTACGCAATCTACCACCAGGTCTAGTACATCTGCCCGAAGTGCTAACTCTAATCATGCAATAGGTGAGAGTCCATCTTCCCGTCTTCTCGCCCTGCCGTTCGAGCTTAGGGTAAAAATATGGAAACTCGTTCTTGCTCCAACGGTCGTCTTTTCGATCGAGCCCATGGAGTCACAATCGCCAGCTGACTTTAGTCGCTTTCTTTTTGAGACCAGAAGAGACTACTACCGAAGTTTAGTTAGCTATTATACAGCACCTGAAGGAGAAGGCAATCGTGACGATCTGCGGGAATGTAACAATGTGAGTTACCAAAAGCATCTGAAGAATATGTCACTCATGCTTGTAAACAGACAGATATTTTCGGAAGCGACAACAATCCTTCACTCTTTCTCAGGCATTATCGTAGGGGGTGTTCTAACCACCCAATACTTCAACATGTTTAGAGATTACTTAGAGAAAAATTTCTTAACTCTACTACTGAACAGCAATGTCTACTTTAATTGTCACATATACGAGTTCTACGCCTTTTTCGACACCAGCCCACCTGAGATCCTGCGCAACATAACATCCCTAGTTCTCGGGGAAGCTTTGTTGACAGATCCCACAGTATCTGGACGAAACGACAATTTCCTGACTGGTGGATTTCATATAGCACGCTCAAGAGTAAACCCATGGGAAAGCGAAGACACGGGACAGCCATCAATCCAAGAAGGAGAGAACGAGCCACGGATCCTGCGACTCATCAAAACTCGACTCCCTTCGTTGAAAGACGTTGCACTGTGGGCGCCTACGTCTGGTAGACTTCAACGCGGAGAATATTGCACGATCGCCCAAAAGTATATGTGTCAGATGCTGGCTGACGGCGACTTGGACGTGGTTCACTTCCTCTACCCTCACAAACGAGGCGTAAGACCTGCTCCTTTGAATTCAAACCACCATCTCGACGAATTTTTCCACAATGGAAGAGCACCAGAACAAGACTACCAAAACGCCATACTATCCGTCACAAGAGTAGATGGTCTTTTCCTCGATAATTATATGCATTCTCAGTGGCCGCGATTCGGCAGCAGAGAGCTGCTAAGATCAGGGCCTCGCCATATCATGACTGTCTTTACTTTACGGCGCGCCCGTCAAGGCAGTATTCCAGAAAGTTTCGCGCAACTCAAGCAGAAAGGTCTTGAACGAGGTTTGATGATGTCCAGACAAGAACGAGATGAAGCGATTGCAGAGCTCCAAGCAACTTTAGCTGGACTTGTTGAAGCTAAAATTCAAAGAGATTTCTGAGACAAAAGAGTTTTGGCATTTGCAGGACTTCAAATGGTAAGAAAATCGAATATTCCATTCCTTTTACGACAGCAAAATACAAATAGGAAATTATCCAACTCATTCAAGATAACGGGACCGACTTCGACAAAGTTTTGGGATAACCACCTGGAAATTTTCAATGATAGTTGGGCATCTCCATACTGAAATTAGGAGATCTACCCACTTATACCCTTTCTCTCCAAGTTTCACACCGAGTTCAAACCGCCTTTCATTTTCCGTACAATTTATCGCATTTCGTCAATCATCCTGAGCAGATGTCGGATTTCAACTGCCATTTATTTTCCCCACCGTAAGTCCTTGTATATAATGGGATGGAATAGTAGTGAGTTAAACATTGAAAATGTTGTTGTTTTCTCATGCGAAAAGCAATTCGTGCTTACGATCATGAATACGAAGGAGATATGTGAGATCGATCGTTGAGAACTCTTGTCGATACGTTGTATAACTGTGTCAAACTCCTCCTCTGAGATGTATCATGTCTGTATAACTTAGTCTACTAATTCTTGTATAAAAACATCCTCGAATGAGGAGCGACATCACGTGCTATGCACTTATTCCTCGTAAGCTTTCTACCGGTTCCAACTGCTTGACAATTTAGACTCCTATATATCCTCAATGTAATTAAGCTGTTGGCTCAAAAGATCTTAAAGTCAGACTTGAATTAAAACTAGAAGACATCCCCAAATCACTCGCAACCCTGAAACGTCACGTGCCCAACACGAAAGCTGGATCCACATGTTTCAACGCGTCCAAGACGTCACAACCATCTCCCCAAATCATATTCCAATATAAGAAGCATCTATTAAGCACACTTATATCATTCTTAGAATAGATCATGGCACCTCCAAACTTCCCAAATGGCATGCCCTTAGATTACATCGGCTACGCAGCCCTCAAATACCCCGCCTACGCACCCGCGCCCTTCGACGTTCCAACAGGCAATATTGTGGGCGCTTTACAGAGAGTTCCTACGGGGCCACAAAATCATATGACAGTGCAAATTGCCTCACGGTATCTAGATGCTCTTATCGACTACCAACTCAGCGATGCCCCTGCCCTTCGCGACCCAAAGAGCCCAGAATACTACTTCTCCTCCGCACTCACGCTCCTCAATTTCATGACCGGAAACCCGGATGTATGTAAGCGGATCGTAGCCAAGCCAGCCATCGTCAACAAAGTCATAGATATGCTCCTTGAAGACGGTGTGGAAGAGCGTATGAAAGCCGTTCCCAGACCAGGGGGTCCTCATTTCCCCGCCGCGTCGTTTGACGAGGATTTCGGGAGCGCGTTGCAATTCGTGTCGACGAATCTGTTGTATAAAGAGGAAATGCAGGAATTGCATCCGAGGATTCAGGAATTGATTCCGAGGTGTCGGACGTGGAAGAAACAGTATAAGCATAGTCGAGTGAAGACGATTAGTAATGCGTCTGAGAGGATTGTAGATCAGATACAGGGTATGGACCCTGATATGATTTCCATGGTTCGCGGGATGCAGGATCGGACTTTGGTGTGTGGGGTTCCTTCATGTCGGGTTACTGGGCCGGATGGATTGACATTGTGTGGAACATGTCGAATTCAGCGGTATTGCGGAAGAGATCACCAGAAAGCGGATTGGAAGTATCATAAGCATATTTGCAAGAAAGGGTTGAATGAAGCTGCTGTACTGAAAGAGTCAGGACTGGATTGAGTTTTTTAATCAAAAGCTGCAGGTAGACGAAAAACAAATTTTGTGTAGAAAGCGAGTCAACAAAAAAGCGAGATTTACTAACAATTAGATAGAAAGTAAAATGTCTGTCAAATGTATTAGCGGCACTGGTTGGTCGACCTCAAGATTTGCTACTATTGACTTGTGAAATTTTGGGAACTACCAGTGTGTTCCAAGACTGACGTAATGTTTCCTATTTATTGAGAATCGTAAACGGGATAGACAATAGTCGATCAACTCCATTGACGACATCTGCGATGTTGGGTCAATAAAATTCAACATATATTAAGTCTCGACTCATATTTTCTAACCCGAGCCTTGCCTACGCAAAGAACATTTACATAGTATTTAGCAGAAGAGGAAGATGTTCATGGCGGAAATATATAATCTTGAGTTAGAAGCACGATATGTTTGCCCAACAAGCAATTTTCTTTCATTACAAATAAGTGAGTATAATATGTTGTCTTTTGAAACCAGCTTGAACATGCCTATTGAGGAAGGACCGCAAGGACCTAATTATTGATATTATTGTCTTCGCGGTGTGATCTGTGTTAGTTTTAATATTTTACTAGCTAGGTTATAATTCGCGAGATCACCAAAACATTTTCGAAAGTGCTTTTCCTCTTAAATGAGGCTGATGATAACTGCCGAGTTAAGAATAACCAAGAGATACTGATATGACACCATGATGGCTGACCTGGCATGATATCATGCAAGTGCATGTATAACACCGGAATCGAAATCGTAAAAGCGAAGTCACACACAAAGGCTTCTGTTCAGCCGCAAAACACATTGAAAGACATCATGCTTTTTCGAGTTCTTGAATTCAAGCTCACACTTCCTCGATAAACAACAAGAAAAATTGCCAGACCCCCAGTAATCTATCAGTCCAAACCATCCCACCATGTGTCACCACAAATCCAGCCACTCTTCACCCAATGATGTAATTTTCTTTGCTTCCGGAAAATTCCCTTAACACTTTTGCCATTGAACACCAACAACGAAGGTGATCTTGCCATCAATGGAGTCATCGGTGAGCAGGCCCTTGGCGTTGTTGTTTGGGCTAGTCAAGCGAACTTGGGAGTTCATGTTGAGTGCAGCAGTGCTTCCGCATGGAGACCAGATGGTGGAGGTGAGATCAACACTATCCTGGGTTGCATAGTCGCCGCTTACTGGACCCTTGAATGTTGTGGAAGTGGTGGTCTGAGCAGTTTCTATGGAATGTTAGATACTAAAAGTGAATCTGGAGATATCGAAAAACTTACGGCCAGAGAAGTAGAAGGTAGTGGATTGCACTCCAGTGACACCAGCATCAAGTCCAGCATAGCCTCGGTAAACAGTGTTGAGGATGCTGTACTGGAAGCCACCTGGATACTTGAGATCAAGGTTCAATTGACAGTTCTTGCGGCTCTGCGACACGGCAACTCCTGGGCCGATGGCTGCAACATATTGGTCAAAGATCAACGTGAAGCTAATGGCTTATTAGCCTCTGCATGCAATTACTCATTGAATAGATAGTGCTTACGTTTGACGATCAGGAGAGATGTAAGAGCCGACGGAACCTTGAGGGCAACCACTGCCACCATAAACAATGTTGTTTAAGGTAACTTGACTTGGGTCAGGTGCAGCGCGGACTGCGTTATTAGCTGGCATGGCGAATGCTGCAGTAGCAAGAACCAAAGTGACGATTGAGGCAAGCATCTTGAAGTAGGCTGAAGATCGAGAGAAGTCTGGAAATTGAGAGTCTTCTGTGGTTATCTGGGGATGATGATGATGTTGTGATGATGAGGTAGATGACACCGTGGGATAGCTGGTTATCTATATACTTCCTGGATTTCCAAGAGTTGAAAGCTTCGAGGTGACCCTACTGTTACTAACAGTAGAAAGTGATCTGAACTGATCTGAACTAACGCCCCGCAGGTCTAGGCAACAATAAAGCAGATATCCATCCCGGCCGGGACAAAATACGAGACAGGCGCTAGTTCGTGGACCGGGGGGTTTCTGGCGTTATCGGTTGCGTTCCTGATTCCAGAGAATTGAACTATTAGGTCACCAGGTTTAACAAGTATCCCAGCGAACAATTGATTAGCCACCAGGCCAGCAACGTGGCTTACCGCACGAGACTAAATACACTTGCATCCAACGGTACAGTTCTTTTAATGAAACTACGGCGATGGTGGCTTTCAGGTCATGACTTGCTGTGATTAATCATGGTCTCGAAAGCATCTAATACGGTCTGCTCCGGACTCCCAGTTTTTCCGAGCCCAATCTCTGGCTTGGAGCTTGTGTACTGCGAACAACTTCCATTCGGCAACTCATTAATAATGTGGCGTATGTGTTGAGGATATCTGGCCACGTTGGAAAATACAATGCAAGAATCATTGGCGCTTGCCTTCCTCCCGACTTCCGAGATCGAAATTTCCATGTGCATTCGCCGTATCGTGCCACTAAACAAAATCTTTCAATCGCAATAATATGGCCGCCTTGCGGTTAATCAAGACGGGCATCAGGTGGTATATGCACAATTTCTGTGAATTCAAAAATAGATCAATTCTCGTTTATCTTAATTGACCTAATAAGGCTGAATTCAACACGCATGGGTTGGATTAAACAGCCGGAGCGCTACCAAAAAGCACGAAAACGAAATGCCAAGTCACGCAGCGTCTGATTGGTTACGTTTTGACTGGTCGGATTTTGGGATACGCTGCTTGAGAGTAGATCTGGTACTGCATTGACGGCCCTTTATACTGTGCAGAGTAAGTCCTTGAGCTTAAACTGTGAACGATATATCGGACTTGGATGAAATAAGACGAAGAGATCGCAAAACAGATGCTAGAGTGAGGTGAAGAGGACAGTCTAAAACGCCGAATACCAACGATTGGTATCGAATTTAGCCTCGTCGCCCCAATGAAATTGACAGAGAAATTAAAACAACATCGGACGGCAGCGAACTGTGCGAACATATTCAGTGCAAAGTTCTATAATGCTAGCAATTTTGCAAAGTAGGTGGAATTTCAACCCAGCAAACAAACCACGACCGACCCACAATCCCAGGCAAGCATTTACAACTCTTGATCCATGGAGTACTTCACGCTCATTAGCTGATAATGGAGATGAGATGTATAACGAACCCAAAGATGCGGAAACTCCTCATCCATTTCAAGGATGTTGCGTCTGTTCCTGGCTCTAGGACCAATTTTGGAACTTACACACCCCTTGACCCGCAACTTGCAGAGTGAAGATATCATCCGCAGAGCCTCTCATGGGTCTTAAACCACGGACTGCATGCTGTGATCAAGCAATGCTACGCTGGTAGGTTTGCTGGTGCCTGGAAGTGGCTGGTACCACTGCGTTTCTTGTAGCAGACCTTCAGGTTTGCACCACGAAAAAGTAGGCCGCCGAAAAAGAATTCGAGCTGTAGTGTTGGGAACACGAGTTCCGATATTCCGCTTCCCATGTAGTTGATGCTTCGGAAATTGTTTGACCGTTTGCACAAGCCATATATCATTCTGCTTGCGGACCTCTCCCTCCGTTTCAAGGCGACCATCTTCCTCACATCATCAATAGCAGCCGAAAAGCTTGTGCTGCGACCCAGGAAACCTTAACAGGCGACCAAATGTGCCACTGTAGTCAGGAAAGACTGCATATCGAAGTCGACCTGCATGGGTACACAGCACCTAGGTAGCGACTGCACAATCCGTTGCCTCGGGCACGATTTTTGCAAAGAGTGTTCGGTGTTAAAGTTTAGGAACGACTATGAGCTACTAGCGGTGGGTGGAAACTTCGTGGTGGTCTGAGGAGATGTCTATTAGCAAACGTACTTCATAATTAAACCGCTCAAAACGGGGGATTCAGCTTGCTTTAACGGACCTTGGCACGATGGTGGCGGAACTCCCATCTTGCCAATTGGGGGAATAAATGCTATTGAATTGGCCCACGGTGGAAGCCTAGCTGCCAGAAAGACAAGTCATCAGTGGATGATTGTTGGACTGACAGGAGTCTGGGAAAGTTCCATGGATGTGGAAGTTACATCGAGTGCCAAGCCGGATTTGATGATTCGGAACCTGAACAGGAATAGTCGCATTTTTGCTAGCGAGTACGGAATACGTCGAGAACAGCATCTGGACAACCTCGAACTTTCCTCACTCTTTCATAACGTTTCTTGCTGCATCATTGTTTCCGATATATGCTGCCCTATTCAGATCCTCAGTTATGTATAGTTGGAGCAATCCTGTTAAACCTTTAATTCGAACACAGCAAACGACGTCGCCGAAACCGCCAGAGTCTCTAGTAGTCACCCCGTGCAAAAGATTGCACACGAACGATCCAAACCAGACTGAAATTCAATAATCGGTAGGCCCTCGGTATTGTTGAATGATACCATCTTGTTGTAAGGATACGCACATTGCGGATTCTTTCGAGAGTGGCAATAATGGTTGAGGTGGAACTGCAACTAAATTGCAATGAAGGTGCTCATGGGTCCAAGATCCTCAGAGGAAGCTACTTTCTCTGTAGCGGGATCGTCTTCCATCTGTCGACGCTGCTCAAGAACCCATGCGTAAATGTTGACCCATCGTGTTTAGATGTCCAGGCCCTGGCCCAGCAAAGTATAGATATGAATTGCTGTATCCACGCAGGGATTTGTCGAACAGCGCGACGCTCTTAATTCTACAATTCTAGCGGTCTCGAACGAACAGATACCCTCAGGGTTCGTACGATGTAACATTATCATTATACATTGTTTCGCTTTGCTCTACTCAAGTAATATTTGCAATTGCAGAGCAGCATAACGTATCTGTGCCCTAAGCAGACACTCGCTCTTTATGCATTTCTAAGGCAGCCGCCAGAAACACTGGAGGTGGACAGAACAATGAGAATTAACTGATGATCAGTTGCTCAACTTTCGCAATGGCGTAAACTTTGTGTAGCCATTTAGATGAACAGATGGTCTTGGAAGTGCCAATTCGAAAAGGCTTGGGCTTGCAACACCTCATATATTAAGTATAATGCCAATGAGGTCTTAGTTCAAAGTTATTATTATCTGATCTACCTACACTAGATGGCAAGATAACTTGCAGTGGCTTTCAACTTCCAAAGGTTCACATTCCCCTTAAGAATAGGAAGCTACTCTTTCCAAAGGAGTCTGAGAGCGTCTTATTTCCCGAAAGCCTTAGACGAAATATACCAAATTGTCTCAACTTAGTCCAAAAAATATCGGAATCCAACTGTCAATCGTCTACCAGTCCAGAGGTCTGCCCCACATACAACCCCTTGCCGGACTTTCACCGAACCTCATGTACCTTAGAAAGAACACTCGGAGGATTCCTGATCTTCTTCACCTACAACTCCATGATCAGCAAACGCTCGACTACCAAGCTGCATTCATAACAATGAAGTTTTTCAAGACAAACGACAATGTTACGCTTAAGTACATCGATACGGGCACAGCAGGGACCGACGACGTCGCCAAACCGTGGCTGATACTTGTAAGTCAGGACTAGCTTAAGCACTTATCGATATTTCTATCTTTGGGCAGCCTTTTCCGGGTTTCAAAAGATAATATTCATCGTTTCCGACAAGCATTTGAGATCTGGACTTTCAAAGTTGAACGACACACAAAATACCCCCTCATCATCATATCTATTTCACTATCACATGCTTTAAACCCCACACTCCAAATCGTCTTTGAGAAATCCCAATAAACTCTTAGAACAAAGTCTAAGACACATTCAGATCCACGGCTTCACCGGTTCCTCCCGCGCATGGCAAAAGAACATCCCCTCCCTCAGCAAAACCTACCGCGTAATCGCACCCGACCTCCGCGGGCACGGCGCCAGCGACAAGTGTAAACACGGCTACCAAGTCATGAGACTAGCAATGGATCTACGAGAACTCGTTTTATTACTCCAAGGCTCAGACGACCAGAGACCATGGAGGGCTATTGGAGGGAGTTTAGGATGTTCAATTCTATGGTATTTCTAATTCCAGTAACCCTTTCCAGGTGATGTAAAGTAACAAGAACAGGGCATACGCATCACTCTTCACCACATCCCCCTTTTCACACACCATATTCGTTGACCAAGCACCTCTACAAAACAGCGATCCAGCTTCAGATTGGGACCACCGATTCTGTAATCGAGGCATGAACAACCCCATGGCGGTCTCATCGTTGCAAACCGCGCTAGCCTTATCTCCAGAAACAGCACACAAAGGTACCATCGCAGCGTGTCTATCATACCGCTCTCACCCTCTACCAACAGACGAGGTAACCAAATCCCAACACGACGAAGACGAGTCGTTCTTCCTTACAGAAGCCATGAAAGGCGACGCGTTGTGGTATGGTAAACTAATGGCCGATCATACGGCTTTGGATTGGCGAGATGCGATTCGAGCTACGTATGGCAGTGGAAGTGGTAGCAAGACGCGAGTCCTGGTGTTGGCGAGTAGCAGAAGTGGCTGTTTCCCAGCGGATGGACCCATGGCTGTAGTTGACCTCGTGAACGAAGAAGCTGAAGGTAATGCGAAGAGGGCATCTGGTCTAGTGGCTGATTGGGGAGGACATTGGATGTATTGGGAAGATCCAGAGAAATTTGACAAGTTGTGTTTGGACTTTTTAGCGACCTAGAGATGATGCTTTCGATCGTTAGATTATGGAAATGTCGTTAAATCCAAGGCCCTGAGATGTACTGTCGGTCCTAGTAGAACGCGTGAGTGGTACCTAGTAGTCAACTGCAGACCCGATAAATGTTCTACCAATCAAGCGTGCGTACAGAAAATCCGAGGGGTGTTTAGACATGTCTTAATTACTCTAGACTGTAGACAAAATAGTGACATTTCGTCAACTGGATCGCAGGAATATAGATTTTCAACTTTGCTTTTATTGGCCACCGCGAGGGTAGATGATTTTGCACTGCATGACGCTGAAGCCGCATGGGTAAATCCCGAACCTTGATGCGCTTTATATTATAACGCCGGACATTACGAAATCCAAGTCTAATTGATGCTCCAAAATCCACAAATAAATCGGTAATTGCATAGGAGAGTAGACCACTGATTCTATTGGGTATCATAATATAGCATGCCAGCCCTGTAGGAACATCGGCAAAGGCTGCTGAGTGGAGCGTGGTACACCGACTGCAAAAGTACACCTACAAGCTTCAGTTCGTGATTCATCATGAAGAAAAATATCGTTAATCCTCGACTTCATCCTGTCGGCTGGTTCCCATCCCACTCCGTGCCAACCAATAACGCATCAAGTTCCGGGTTCGCAGGCTGGCCTAAGAGCGAATCCTGCGAAAACCAAACGGGGTTCGTAAATTGAAATGCGAAGTTTTCGGCGTTCGTTAGAGGCGGAGGGTGGGCTTCTGGTTGAGGTTCCGATTGAGACCAGTCTGCTGAGTTACCTGGAAACGTTGGGCCCTGCCGAAAGGGGAATTTGTAGCCTGTCGACGAGTCTTTTGTGTCATCTGGAGGACGAGGTAATATGTCTGGGTTGGGCTTGGAATTGAGATCTATGCCAATGAAAGGGATCTTGACGTGTGGCAGCATTGGCGTGAATGAGGGAAATGAGCTGACGTGTCTTGGGGGTTCAATGACACCTGGGGTGTTGAACGGTCCTATCGCGGGTTGTGGAAATGCATCTGCATCATGATGAGTGTCGGTTGAGTCGGTTTTAGAAGAATCAGGGGATGGCTTGTCCGGTGAGCCACGCTGGTTGAATGCAGTTGCTCTCGATGAATAAATCTGAAGCTCATCAGCGGTCATGGGCTTTCCCTGCCGTCCATGAATAAGTCCACTCATCGGAATCTTAGGCGTTGTAATCTCTTCATTATTCTTCCTTGGAAACGAACATTGAAACAGTGTCTCTTCGGTTGCTAAACCAGTCACACTAATTTCAAGCTCCAATTGAGCGGTGAAATGTTTCGTAATGGAGTGTTTAGTTCCTAGTGCGTTCATTGCACCCAATATGAACTCCAGGTCACCAACACTCTGGGGATTCGGTTCGTCAGATGTGGCGTTTTGTAGGCACACGCCGCCAGCAACATAAAGACAGAAGCCCATCCATGTATTCAACTAGCATCCATTAGTCTACGTCGTAATGGGCCTGAGCGAAACTTACCTTGGTGGGATCAATGTGACTGCACAGCCGCATCAGATTAGTGATCTCCTGAGCCGCCATAAGATTCCTAAATCGACTGGTCTTGATGACGCTCTGCTCCAAGTTGTGTCGCTTAGCTGTAACTATTGCAGCCTGATGTAAACAGATTATCGATGCATGAATGTTCATGTGCATAAACAATACATTCATATCTTGCGAAACAAATGGTGCCCGTAGGTGATCCGGAAGGAACATGAAGGTGTTAGAAAGAACGTTGTCAATATGGCGATGCCGTTTCCAAAATTCTCCTCTAGCGAAGTCATCTGGACGTTCATTCGGGCCAGATCTATGCAGATGCTCGAAATTGTGGCCAAATAGCGTAGCAGACATGATTACTCCACCAAAAGGGGATATATTTGTGGCCCCACCAGGAGTCATGGCCTGCGCAAGAGATGGCGTCTCTTCTTCGACCCCATGTTCAAAAGCAAATTCCGAAGATGGAAGATTCGTTAATATCTATGTTTTGATTAGCGCTACACCAGAGATTAGGCGTGAGCATACTGACATCTCGTTCATTCATAGACATCGGCCAACCAGTTCCTGCGCTAGCCCACCGATCGCAATAAAAGGCACACCAGAAAGTTCTCCGTCGCTCCTCTAATTCAATCCAATCTTTGGCCGGAGCGAGAATTTGTTTGACGTCCGATTTATCGGCATCAATGCGATGCAGACCTAACATGCTCACTAGTCGACTCAAACGACCTGTACTCATCCACGATCTCGAGAAATATGTCTTCTTGGCTTCATAATGCGCTAACAAGCCCCATACTTGAGCGTGGTATACGGTCACGAAAGTCTCTCCGAATCCCTGTCGTGACAAGTATAAGCAATCGGAAAGCAAGATTTACAACAAGCAATGGTATCCAACAAACCTTCATTTCGGCAGCCTCAATATATTTTCGAGCCCGCCGGTAAAGAACATCTTCATATTCGGTGTATTTGTCTGACAGCGATGCTGCCATTGTCCACATAGCATATCGTAGACAAATAGGTGGTCGCATATGAGGTGCCAAGTTTAACGACGTGAAGAAGCGGAATCTATGAATTAGGGGCATTATGTTGTTGAATTTCTCAAAATATATTGCATCACTGTGAAAGCTTCGTCAGTTTGTGGATCAAAGTATAGTAACATAGCCAATGTGTTTCGGCATCAGATTCAACCCCAATGATGCACATACTCCAGTTCAGAGAACAGCTACATATCACTTGATATGGTCCGCTGGAATAAGCTATATAAATAGCAATAATGAATCAACAAGACCAGCATTCTCAACCGAGAGTTTGGGAAAGCAAGTGAAGGCTTTTCTACAGCAGAGCTCCACGTACAGTTCGTCCATTATGTGCTGTGGTGGAAGTGGTTCATCCAAGCCTAGACTAATGAGTTCCTGCGCAAGAGGGTTGCCCGCAGGCATCGAGGATTGTGGACGCAGTGGCTGTAAAAAGCTAAAGTCGAATTGCTCGTTAGGGAAGGCAGATTCGAGCATGGCATCATCAATATCAACATCAATATCCCATCCTTTTCCGGGATTGGCAGCGGCGGATTGTGTGGATTTACTCTTTTGTGCTTCGACTTCCGATACGAGCTTGGTCTCGACCTGTGCTATAGCCAAATTAGTCCTGTACTAACTAACGGGCCTCGTCCACGAACCAAGTCTTGCTTCCAGTTCCTTCATATTTCTTCTCTTCGAACCGGTGTTCCGTCTTCTTTCCGGGAATTCACATTCATGCCGTAGACGTATACAGGTACCACATTGCGGCTTGACTCGATCGCAGCGAAGCTTGCGTTTCCGGCATGATACGCATGATATCGTTTTCTCAGCAGGTTTCCCATCACCATTCGTGCTTCCTGAGATAGTGTAACTTGTGCTGCTCTGTTCCGTTGGGTTCGAAGCTTCTACCGCTTGGGGAGGAGACTCCGAACTATTGTCGGCTGTGCGACTAAACATTGGCTCTGACTCCAACAATACTGGCCGTCTATATTTAAAAGCAATTGTTGTATGCGAGTGGGGAAGGGTTTCTTAGTATTCGTGGACATAGAGTTCAGGCATCGTATGCTTCATAATATAATCGTCAGTGGTCTCTAAAGTTGACGTAAATTTCCTGGTGTATTCAGTGGTAGCCTTACGTTCAGCCTGGTTTTGCTGCCGGGCCAATTGAAAACAATTGTTTGCCCCACCAGCAGAGAAGACTCGACATTCCAAACCCCAGATAGTTTTGCATATCTGAAAGACATCGGGCGCGATCCAAAAGAGAGGGGGGACAAAGAGTTTCTCGGCAAGCCGACCGACATCTTATACTTGTATTTCAATACTCGCGCTAGACCAGCATAAATTGCTATTTCCTCATGTCACCTAACTCGCCAATGCGGAAGTCCGGAGCAGCTTGTAGTCCGGAGTGGACACAGCTCTACGGCTCGTTGTTTCCATAAATGCTTCGAACTTCTTCAATTTATCCTATGACATTCCAATCTTACATGTAGTCTGGTTACGAGATTTTGCAAACACTCTTGTTTATTTCGATGAGTAACACTGCAAGTGGCCGAAATTTCTGGCGCGTCACGCAGTGAGCCTATGCAAGTGTTTGGAAGACAGCGAGTCGATATTCGGAATATACAGGTTATAGACTGTTATGGATTATGTTTGAGGATGCACGATGAAGATTAATCTTTACCGTCCCGTGGTTGTGACAAGCAATATCAATTTCTGCGATTGAGCGCAATTTTCATCCCCGAAGATGGCTAGCAGCTTTTGCTTGCTGTGAGTGGTATTAACCATACACCTGCCTGTTGATGATGGATGACATTGCTTACTCCTTTTTCTTTTGTATCACACTCGGATTGGAAGACAGAGATATGTGGCGTACTCCCGAATCCACTTGACTCTACAAGCAGCTGTATCCTATACCGAAATGCTGCCAAGTCCTATGTAATTGGAGACTTCCAAGGTGCTGTTGGTTACCTAGGTATCAGATGAGAGGAACCTCCTGACACCGGCTTTCTCCCAAGCGCTGAAGCATTTATCGCATGTATTGCGTGACGAGATGGACTGCAGGATTGATATTCCTAACTCCATTATGAAGTAAATTCAGGAGTTGAGGAAAGATTTGAAGCCCAGAACCCTATGGTCGTCAGTATATTTACATTCGTTGATGAGTTCCTAAGTACTCCAACGTGTTTTGGAGCAATTGAATCGGCGGAGGAACGGAGAGTGCCCCATTATTTTCATGATTATGCTGCTTTGATTGGTGGCGTTTGCTCACTGAGTAGTGCTGACACGGACATAGAGATTGACCCTCCGCTGCTTTTCCGAAGATAGTCAATCAACAACACTTCGGTTCTACATATCTCTCTTTCTCATACAAATTCGTTCCTCCGATCATCCATTTGATTCCGTGGATTAAAATTCAATGTCTTCCACATCATCTCCACCCGAAGGATCGAAAGCTGTGGCCCGGACCGGTAGCGATGGTAACACAGCTGAAGCACCGGGAAAGGGAGGCACCAAAGCCAGTAGACAGAGGTTTAAGCCCCAATTATCCTGCACCTTGTGTAGGTCTCGCAAGTGAGTTTAATCATCAATACAGTCTCTTGTATTCGAATATGACCCCGCTTGGCCAAGATAAAGTGATCAATTGAGAATCTGACAGCTTGTACACCAGTGGGTTGCAAGTTTGGCAAGGCACCTCTTTGCGGTAAATTAGCAATACATCCAGTCCAGAAAGCTATGTTTACTCAGTTTGTTTGAGTTAATATACGATATTGTTTCTTTTGATAAAGTAATTTATACCTACTGAGGAGTCAACCTCGCAAGTCTTTCCTTTCACGTTATTGCACTTATGGGTGTCCCGCCAGTCTTGCAATGCACTGGTGATATCTTTTACAAAAGAACAATCCTTTCCTTCCCGCTATATAGCAAGTTGGTCAATACTCCATCACCCGGGATGTTTTGCATATTGGTCGAAGTGCCACAAGTCTTTGCCAACATGAGCCGCACACATCAACTACAAACTACCATAAAGAAAGCGCTAATGTATTGGTAGGCTCAAATGCGACAGAAACTCACCATGCCAAAACTGCATTAAAAGAGATCTTGCGGCCACTTGTACATATGTACACGCTGGACTCCGTGGATCGAAACAGTCTTCGGTCCACAAATCTACCAACCTATCTCAAAGGGATGTTCAGAGCCAGATATCCCGTTTGGAAGAACTGGTGGTGTCTTTGATGAATAAAAGCCGTGCTGCTGGTAGTACCAACAAACCAGGGGCCCCTCAAACACAATCGAGTGATGATACGTCTTCACCAAACTTCGAGCTTACAACGACTGATGATCAGTGGACCGAAATTACTGGTGTCAAGAATGCGACTGAGTCTCTTGGTATGATCAATATCAAGGATAACCAACCCAGCTATGTTGAAAGCTCTCACTGGACTGCTATCCTAGATAATGTATGAAACATCTCATATATCACTTCCGTGTATCGGTTTCTAATCAATGTAAATACAGATCGCTTGCTTAAAAGATTGCCTGGACCCCAAAGACGAGCCCGCAGAAAAGCAGCAGTTCCCTCCTAAACCACCAGGTCCAGATCTTCTAGTTGGAAGTATCAGAGGTGCAACCAGAACCGAAATCCTGGCCTCACTCCCATCCAGAAATCGAGTTGACCGACTTGTTGAAGCGTACTTCTCCGAGCTAGACATGGGTGCAAGTAAGTGAACCATAAACCGCTGCTTATAAAATCAGAAGCTAAGGCTCCTTATCCAGTTATACTACATAAACCTACGTTCGAGAAGGAGGTATAAGCGTGCCATTTCCCATAAAATCCAATATCTGATGTTGTATAGTACGAGTCTTTCTGGGCAAATCCAGCCGACACGCCAATCATGTGGATCGGAATGCTTTACGCAATCATTTGTCAAGCGACTCAATTTGAGACTATGACGGGGTTAAAACCAACCTTTGACACTCAAGATATCGCCATCCAGGATCTTGAGCAGTTGGTTGACATGTTCAGAGAGAAAACTGTTCAATGCCTCGTACTAGGAAATTATACCGAACCTGGTCCATACACGATCGAAACACTTTGCTTCTACTACATTAGCGAGCATTTCAGATCACCTGATACGATGTTCGGATTGTGGATGGTCTGGGGAATCATCATCAGAGCAGCTCTGAGACTTGGGCTTCATCGTGATGGCTCAAACTACCCTGCAGTGTCGGCCTTTCAGGCAGAGATGAACCGCCGTCGATGGTCTGCTCTCGTACATCTGGACATTATGACATCTTGCCAAGTTGGATTGCCTCGCATGCTCAAAGAAGAAATGTATGACACTACAAAGGCGTCCAATTTGGAGGATGTTGATTTCGACCAGAATGTGAAGGTCTTACCCCCACCCAGACCGGCCAGCGAGTTGACGCCCATTGGATTTCACAACATCAAGGGTCTATTTTCTTCAGTCTTTGGACGTATAGTAGATCAAGCGTCCTCAACCAAAGCTGTCTCTTACGATGAAATCATGAAGTTAGATAAAATGCTTCACGAAGCCCATCAAAAAACTCCAGAAGAGATGCGTGTTATTGGCCCTGAAGATCTCCAAACAGGGACAATAACATCGAGGAATCGAAAGTTCACTTGCGCCCTGACCTACCAAAAGGCTTGTTGTTTTCTTCACAGGAGATTCTTCATACTTTCCAAGTCAACTTCTACGTATCCTTATCCATATTCTATGAAGTCATGCGTTGATGCTGCTTCGGACATGATCAAGGTTCAGATTTACATGCATGGCCAACAGAAACCTGGAATGCCGCTCTATACTTCCCGCTGGAAGACCTCATCTCTCATGACGCAGGACTATCTACTGGCTGACATGCTCTTGTGCCTGTACCTTGGACATTGCGTCTCTGTTCCAGGGCTCGAAGAGAAAAATGCAAAGATGGGTATCCGAGTAAAGTCGAGTCGAGAAGAGATGCTTCGTATATTGGATGGATCTCTGGAGATTTGGGAAGAGGCCAGCCCCCATTCCACCGAAGCCGCAAAGGCAGCAACGGCCTTGAAGCAAATGTTGAAGAAAGTCAGAGCTGTCAATACAAGCAAACCAGTTGAGCCCTCGCGCATATCACATGTTCAAGCGGTTTCAGGACCAACCATAACACCACAGACTCATGCCAGTCATACCAATGCATATCCTTGGATACAGCAAATACCATCGAAGCCCATTACATTCGACTGGCAGTCACCACCGTCGTTTGATAATACACCGACACCGAGTTCCGGTTCAGATTCTGTTGCCACGAATAACTTGTATCCTGGACAAATGCTGAACGATCAAGGCCCGCTCATGGATCTAGATTGGGTAAGTTCTTTCCCGCTTCGACTTTCCATTCTTAACTCGCAAATATCCTGTTGAAAAAATGTAAACATAGCTGACATGAATCTTACTTGCAGGATATCTGGGACGCTCAATTCCAAGACCAAGCGGGTCTCAGCGAGTGGAATTTCAGCACCGCACCCATCTTACCCTTACCTCAAGACAATAACATGAATTTCGGTCAGTGGTAGGGATGAGGATAGATCCCATCAATCCTGTATACAGCCCTACCCCTCATCTCGCTCCTGCAGGTGCGGGCACACAGGGTTACATGCGCGATCGAATGACATTGGAGTGGTCTTTCCGGCCGGGTAATTGTATCTGGCGTTACTTTTGAGATAGAAACAGGAAAATGGCGATTTATTCCCGCTTTGATGGCGAATTGTGTCCGAAATATTGTTTTTGGATGGTGTCGAGGCAGAGGGAAACGGGAAGACTCTGGTGCTTTGGGATTAAGATTGGGTGTATTCTCTTTTACAATGGTTGTTGGTTGTCCTTCCAGCTTCTCCTCTCAACTAAACATCGTGTGTTGAAAATCGCAACATTTACACAAATTAAACATACTATCTTTTTCAAAAGGTAATCAGTGTCTCGCTTTCATCATCTCACCTCACTCTCCCAGCGTCCCCACCATCCCGACACATCACCGAACCTTCCCCCACGGACATGCTCCAGATTTCGTATTGGAACGACTGGACCGCTACGGGGATGTATTATTCTTTCCACGTCGCCTCGGCACACATACTCTGGACTAATGCATCTAGTTTTCTCTGTTTGTGAATTCAGCTGTAATCTGTCCATTACATCAACTTTACTATCTCGCTCATTCTCCTCTAAAAAGTAAATGTAAATTCACTGTCATTAATCGTCCGGTGGATTGTATTCTCGAAGATTTGGTCTAGGCCTCCTGGGGAAAATTAATGTATCCCCACAGAGCTGACCTCGCAACGGCACTACACTCCCGCCGCCCACCTACCAACCAGCAATCCGATGCGAGCCCGCAATTATTCGGAAGGTCATCAAAGTCCTGAAGTCCTTGGACCCTGGAGCGGATGCGGCAGTAGACGTGGCGTTGCACACCCGTCCTGGGCAGAAGCTTGTTTTCGGGAGTTGGGGTGTGGAGTTCGCCCCCCAGTGAGATTCGCGGGGTAGCGATGTTGGGGGGCAGGTGATCTTGCGAGAGGCATGGGTTTGACCAATGTGTATTATTAGAACTGCTCTAGGTTGCTTGGGTGAGGTGTGGTAAGCTATGCCCGGGATCTTGAGTTAGATGTTGAAAGTTGTGTGATATTGGTGGATTTTGGGGCCTTCCTATGAGAGTCTGACTAGAGTTGGTGTGAACGAGCTGTTGAAAGAAGACATTCAGTGATCGAAATGAAATACCATGGATTATTAAATCGGTTCTTCACAGCAATTGACTCATAGTGCGTATCGTTTGAATTGCAGTTAGGATGAGAAGATCCGTTGCATATTTGAGTCCCAGTATAATTATCATATATATTCTACAAATCTTTTCATGATTATAGTCACAACGAATTTCAAATCTACTTAAAGCCGTTCGACAAGTCTTTGGAATAAAAAAAGAGAACACGCTAGAAGCTCCTTCCGACTACGCGACTCGATGCGAGCCATAGCCTTTATAAACGCAAGGCTAACTAAATCAGTCCCGAATAATGACGATCGCCACCCTTGACCTCCATTTCAACAAAATGTTACTCTAAAACATATACAACTCCTCGCAACACTCGGCAAAATAGTATGCTTGCGCAGGTACAAGCTCACCGACCTATCTCCAGCTGCGGCACCAAGCACCCGCAGCAACACGCATGCATGCCTCACATGATGCCAATACATTACTTAATAATCCAAATAAGTGACACTAACGTCATGGAGTTCACAGGATAGACGTGAAGACAGGGGAAAGTGAATTTTGTTGGTTTGCGAGCTTGCAGCTGTGGGGAGATAATAATCACAAATGGTGAGCTTTGCATAGTCGTATATTGCCAGCGCCAGGTACGTGCAGGGTTTAATAACTGTACAACTACAGTCAGCTATTTTGTGCGATTGAAGTATAGAAATGGCGATCAAGTGTGTATAAGTATTCCGCAGTTCCGGCGTGGATGAGAGTAAGATTGCTCGACTTCCTTAGGTCTCTTCTTTGCGCAGTACATCCCATTTCACCCTCTAAGTCGCAATGGCACGATTCTCTCTTGCAGCACTTCTATTCGCGACCTTGGGAGCTTCCGCACCAACAGGGTCTTCCTCGACAGCAACTCCAACCACAAACTCTTTGCTTGGATATAACCCTGCCAATGGAGTTGTCAATGTTGATACGGACAATATCCAATACTCGCTGGCACCAGGTCAAACTGACGCTGCGACAATCGGGGCGCCACTAGATTTCTCAAACATTGAGAATCCACAACCAATTCGAGGTTCCAAAGGTGGTCTTGAGCCTGGACCGCAAACTCCTGAATATGCTAGACTCAATCCCGATCGTTTGGCACCGCCAGGAACTGATCATGGCGCTGTGAAAAATGCCCAGGTCAGTGAAATGGCAACTAGAAAGTAAATTGTCTTATATTGGATTGCTAACAATTTATACGCAGTGGCCATTAGGACTCAGTCATGCGAAACTCGGTCTTGGTAGAGCGGGGTGGTCTCGTCAACAGAATGTCGACAATATCCCAGAAGCTACCGAAATGGCAGGAGTTGACATGCGGTTGGAAGAAGGCGGGTATCGTGAACTGCACTGGCATAAAGCTGCTGAGTGGTCGTATGTTCTGAATGGCAGTGTCAGAGTCCAAGCCATGAATGACAATGGAGAGACATTTGTCGACGATCTGAGCGCCGGAGATATATGGTACTTCCCTCCTGGTATTCCTCATTCATTACAGGGGCTTGAAGGCGGTGTTGAGTTTTTGCTGGTGTTTGATGATGGAAGTTTCTCAGAAGACAACACTTTCTTAGCTTCCGAGACTTTTGCGAGGAACCCGGTATGCAATACGAAACACTCTCGAAAAATAACGCTGACATCCCTTTAGAAAGAGATATTGTCCAAAAATTTCAACCTGCCAAAATCGGCTTGGGATAACATTCCACCTGGAGAGCTATTCATCTTCCCAGGAACGAAGGCACCTAAAGACATCGCTCAACAGAATATCGTCGGACCAGGAGGCATTGTACCAATCGAAAAATCCTACACGTATCACGCATCTAAACAGGAACCCAATTTTTCTCTAGATGGAGGAAGCGTGAAGATTGTTGACCCCACCAACTTCCCAATTGCTGCTAAATTCTCCACTGCGATTGTGACAGTCAAGCCCGGAGCGCTGCGCGAGATTCATTGGCACACGACCAGCGACGAATGGAACTTCTTCATTTCTGGGTCCGCGAGAATTGGTATCTATGCCGCCGCCAATGCAGCGCAAACTTTCGATTTTAACGCTGGTGATTGTGGATATATCCCAAAAGCGATGACACATTATGTTGAGAATACCGGTAAAGATGATGTTGTGTTCATCGAGGTACTCCAAGCAGACCATTTCTCGGGTAAGATGAATCTCCCTTTCTTCAAGGGACAGTACTAACGACTGCAGACATTTCCGTAGGCCAGTGGCTTGGACTGACTCCACCTCAAATTGTCATGGATACATTGAATCTGACAAACTCGACGGTTTCAGCCTTTAAGCATGAGAAGCAGTATATCGTGACAAATAACGCCGCTGAGACTTAGGCCTAGTGTTTTAGTTTTCTGCCAGAGAAGTTGTCATGTCTGCCAGTGCGTTGGGAATCTGACGGTACGCCGTGCATTTAACGAAATGGTGCATGTTCGAATATTTAATGATTAAATATACCCCAACCATGAGCTTTTGCAGCAGATCAGTGATAAATTCCACGTGATTTATGATAACTCATGCACCAATCCCGACTCTTGAAGCACACCCACCAACCTCTTGAGGTCTGTCGATATTCCACGCGTGCGTTCTTTCACGTCCGCTACCGCCTTAAATGACATAGCACCTGTTCCAGAATAGAAACTCTGCGCTATAGATTCATTGCAATCGAACTGCAAATTCGTCGATAATTCATCAGCAAAATTGTAAAGTTGCTTGAAATGTGTTGAGTACAAAAGCATATGCATAGACACAGTGATGGACGTTGGTGGAACATAGCTTCCTAGTTTGAAATTTGGTGGTGCGCAGTTTGCGGTGTTGTAGAGCGCATGAAAGCAGTTTCCTGAAGGTTGCTTTAAGGTCGCCGACATGTGTAGAAGGAGCTGTTCCCAAATAGATACCAGTCGCAAATGACATGATAGCACAAGCAGAATCGCAGAGTGATCAACAACCGTGTTGTGAATTGCAGAAGCTTGATCCTCGTTCGAGTCCGCGACGGAGGAGTCAGATGGTTTGTTGATAGACATATCCATAGCACAACCTGCTGACTTGGTACATGCCCCGAATAAGGCAATCAGGAAATGCGGGTACAGATTGATGGCTTTCTGCGTCAGGCACACCACCTCTTCAAGACTGAAACTCGAAAACCTCTTGATCGCTTCAGGTGATAGTGCAACCTTGGAATGAATAGCTTGAGGCGGTACTTTCATAGAACAGTCGTAGAGCTCGATACTCAATTCCGACAATTGCCGTACCAGGTTACTAGGCGTTTGCATCATTTGGCATTGTGCCATGAGTTCACATGGTCGAGGAAATTCGAGACTTCCACTCAAAGGCGGAATGGACATGCTCTCATCGGTGCCAGCCTTGAAAGATAGAGGTGTCAGTTCTCGTAACATAGGACTCTCAGACGACATAAAGCGAGGTGAAATCATATCTTTGGGATTATACCAAGGAGGTGACTCTAGTATCGCCTCATCGAAGTTGAGATAGAGGCCCGGACTCTGATTGCCAAATCCCTGGTCAGATCGTAAGAAGCATGTGTTTGGATCTTGCTCTGTGATAATGTCGGTGGTACCCGCACCCCAAAGTAGCAACTCATTTCCAGTGATCGGACCTATTTCAAAGGCCGTCTTGGTGGCCAAATCAGAAGTATCTGTATCTACTGAGTCTGTGGTGAGTATGTGGCCGAACAAGGACATTTGTAGTAAAAATGAAATAATTGATAGAGCGATCTGTATAAATTACATCCATCAGCTCCCGAAGTGGAGTTACATTGGTATTATACACCATGACTCTAGCATTGACAGCATAAACAAAACTGATGAGAGCGCAACAAGAAAGAGATACGGAAATCACACACCAGCGTTTTGTGTTGAGTTAGAGGTTCTCTTCCTTTTCGAACTTCTCAACCGATCATTTACATCTATAAACCCCTCTTCGATAGGTGCTGCAAATCGATCGCTTGTGTCGACTGCCGTATGATCTTTACCGCTGACAAATACCGGTTTCTTCTGTCGAAATGGACTGAACATACAGCTCGCCCCCGCTCTAAGACATCTGTCGCAAATCGCTTCTCCAGACTTCTTAGGACAACGCAGTTTCTGTGAGTGGCATCGATCACAGGCTGCGCGAAGCCGTATCTCGTCGGCCATAATGAATTGTGATGTGTATCGCAATCTTGAGTTGAGACGAAAGCCAATAAGCGAGCCAGCGAACTCTGAGCGATGATGTGTTATATGCGAGAGATCTGATATTACAATTTCAATACTATGTCACTTCTGTCAAGATTGGATCCCGTCGTTTTTCGCCGATGACAACGGTGGCATTGAAATATGTGTCTTCCTGATCTTTGTCGTACGTCGAAAATGGCCTAGATAATTTTATTGGCAGCTGCAGGGATCCGACGGCAATAACACGTGTGGATAGTTTCCCAATGAGTGGATAGCCTAGTTGGAAGAAGGCCGCAAATTTAGGAGATGATTTGAAGCTGGAAGAGCTCATAGTGGTGATGAATTATGTCGTTCGTGCAACGGAGAGATTGGCACAGACCCATTCGGCGTTCACAGGCTCTTGGACATTCGGCGTTCGGTAGTGGAACAAATATTCTTAGGGAGCTGTTCTATCAAAATAAAAGCACAAAACATGTACTTATGGGTGCGATTATAGAAAATTCGTCCATCAGCATTGAACATCGCTTGATGTGTTGTTTCAGGCGGCAGTCCCAACACGATATCTGTCTAATCAGACTGATGCAATATCCTATACTTTGTATACTTCTTATGAAGTTAAACATTTCATAATTCCATCTATATTCTGTTAAGACGAAAGTGCTTACTTGGGCGTGAGGGTAACTCGAATTAACAGCTGGTGCAGAATCGTCGTCGCAAGCTGCTGCGACTTTTAATCTTCCTTCTCCGCTGCGAGTGGTATAAGTGGCAGTCGAAACAAGATGTTTAATCAGATAGCTTGACAAAATATCGTGCATTTGGTCTATTATTTAAAGTAAATTGTAGACTCAAATCTTAAAGACCATTCCACCAATATGGCTCGATGTCTACACCTTCGTCTACCTTTTGGTCTACCTTTTCTTTCTTTTTCCATCCATCTTCAGTATGGTAGTAGTCAGGAAAATCCCAATAAGCCCAGGCAAGTACAGTCTTCGACTCAGTGTTCCATCCAGTAGCGTCCCAATCGATACGGTCGTCGACTTCGTCCTCGTCCTCACCAAGATCCACCTCTGGCTTATCCAAGACATCACTAGTCAACAACGCTTTTCTGGCCCTTCTAACCCGGCGAAACTCTTCCTCGAGACCATCAACCACCTCTTTAAAATTTGAGCGAAGTGCTGCAACATCGAAATCATCGTAAGCACGGGTCAAGCTTTCCATCAACCTAGTTCGTTTGCATTCGAGGGATTGCCTTTTCTTCGCCGTGGTTTGCTCATCATCGGACTTGTTTTTCTTTTTCAGAGAATACTCATGCAACCTGATTGTATTCTTGAGCTCCGATGACATATCACGTTTGAACGCATCTACACAGTCTCTAAGATATGTGATTGCAATCTCCGGAGCGCAGTCGTTACGTTCTTCCAACGACCAAAAGTGATCATCTGGTTTGAAGCCAGGCGTGCGGCGTTGGTAGGCATCATCAGGGTATTCCTCGAAGAAAGTATGAGCATTTAGGTCGTAGCCTTGTATAAATTGACATAGCTTGGTCCAAGTCTTGACCTCTCGCTGATACTGGTCCTCGAGGAAATGAACCACACGAGAGCGTTGCCTTTTGAAAGATGCAAGGTCATCCTCGTAGGACGCCATATTGGCTCGCTTCATTGCCTGCTCCACGGGATGATCTTTCATGACTTCGAGCCACTTGTTCTTAATCTTGTCTCGTTCGAAGTCATCCGAATAGACGGTCTCGATCGGATCGTTACATTCATATGTTGGAACAGACACTTCGTAAAATAGGTGCCGGCTTTCGAAGCTTTGCGCGTATTCCAGAAGCCATTCCCACATTTCAAAGGCATGTTCGATCTTGGTCTGACTTTTCATAGTATCGCATGTTTCCTTGGTGAGCCCCAAATGAGATCCAAGAAGCTTTTCGTCGTGAGTGCTTAGATTCATTTTTGGTCGCCGGCCTTCGAAATCGTCCGGAGTTGGATTGCGAATGCGACAATGCTGGACGTTGCGGATCATTGTCAGGGGTTGAAGAACAACTTCTAACGGCTTTCCCATCGGCATATAATAATTTGCCATAGGGTCTTCATCTAGTACCCATCCACCTAGATCCTCCTCCGACTCAACATAATTTTCTTGCCGTTCGTCATTCACCACCAAGATGTCTAGATCTTGGACTCCGTTGCGGCATATTGCTCGCGCAAATTCCTTCAATGATTGACTTCCATTTTGCAGATCGAGACGTGTTGAAAAGTTCAGCGTAGAAGAATACAGGAGTTTAGGATGGGAGCCCATCGCCGTAAAGACGAGGATTCTCCAGCGCTTGACGTTCTTCATCTGTGGGAGGCTCCAAAGTGGTACATTACGCTCATACTGGTATCTAATTAGGGGGCTCGTTCCATTCATCTCAATTTCCTCCCAATTCCAAACTGGAAATCCCCTGTGGTCGATCTCCCCTTTATGTATGAGTCTACCAGTCTCGCACCAATTGTTGAAGAAGCTAAAATAGAAGATGTTCTCGTTGTATAATACCGTGCTAGCCTCTTCATAAAGTTGCCTATTAACTCGCAACACCTGAGCAGATAAGCCGTATTTAGCAGAGCCATAACCATCTATTCCAGACTCGTGATGCTTGCCCAACAGCTCGTTTTTCAAGAGTAGCCCAAAAGTCTGTCTGCGAATTTCGACAGGGATTCCCATGTAGTTGGGAGATGGTGTGGTTGGTGGTGCTGCCATTGTATAGATTGGATATCGATTGGTCGATGGAGGGAAATTGAATGTTACTTTTCGATGAAGTTAGGAGTTTCCTTTTCGATGTAAGAAGGCGTAACATACCAAGAGTAGAATTTTATTACAGATAGCAATCGACAGATGGAGTGAGATATGAAATTTTAACATAAGGAAAAGGAAGATTGCAGAACAAGTGAGTGGAGTACTGGGAAAATATACGAGTATGGCAAATCTAGACCGAACAGGGAAAGGGTATTTTCATTCACATTATGATGTATTACTGAGGTAAAGACTCGTTTAGTCTACACCGCGATCAAAGCTTAGCGCAAGCCGCTCACGTTTCGAGAGTGCTAACGGAACGGTGTCAACTAAGGTCATCGTCTAGCGCAGGAACATGCCGAGCTGTAAGGCGGACAAAATGAGCAACCGAATCTTCCATCGACTTACAAAACAGAAAAGAGCACATGATGTTCTTCAATCGTCAAAATTATTGAGGATTAGAGACGAAATACGTGACATACTGGCATCTTGATCGCAGAAAACCTGTGTTTCGACGGCCAACTTTTTGCCTACCATGAGACCACATCGTGCCTTCCCTGTGTGCCAGCTTCAGACATACGGCTTCCCATTTCGCTCATGAGTCGGCCCAAGTGCACCTAGCAACTCGCAGTCTTTTCAAGTCTCATGGATTCTTGTCATCCGCTTCCTACCTGTTCCTCCTGTGCACCATCGTCTTTCCAACCTCTTCTCGGACTTGGAAAAGAAGGCATTATACCAGCGACGGTGAAGCACTGCGACTTTCAAGGTTCAGTAGAGAACGGTTTATTGCCAATTCAACTGAGTTGAATTCTCCTCTCTGTATTCGAGCACGTCTCCGCCCAGTGAGCTCATTCGGGTCTTGCGATGTAGTGTACTTGCCGCAGCTCAGAACTGGTGGAAAGGCGGTGGTTGACACCAACTTTTAGTATGGAAGATTCGAATTCTAGTCGCCGGGTTTCTACTACTCTTGTGACTCAATGGCTCGTCCAAGGCTAGCTGTGCATGTGCTACAGATAGTTGGCTTTCGACGAGAATCACAAGCGCGGATCATCGTTTTGCCCTTCCGACCCCACATCCATCTCGACCGTCTTGCGAACCGTTTAACCAGCAATTCAAGCATTAATTAGCTTGGAACACTATTACGTCAATTACACAGAATTTCTCACTAACTTCAATGACGGGCTTGAAAATCTTTACAGTACGAATGCAAAACAACATCGAACAAACGTCGCTCTTGGGGCCAGAAAACACGAACTGACAAGATTGGGGGATCATGGCTTTAACAGTGGCTAAAGCAGGCCGAGATCCTATCGAATCGCAGAGCGACGACCTCATCGAGAGGTAGGCACAAAAAATTTCGGAGGAGTATGATGACTTGGATCGAATTGAGGACGTTGTCGACCAGCTCTTCCTCTTTGCGCGAACGTGGGTACCCCAGATGCTGGAGTGACTGGACAATCTTTATCCCCCTCGATCGGAACATATACGTTGACGCCGGACCTGGGAATTTTATGGGTATGATCGGGTGATAACACATGCACGGGGAGTCCGGTAAGGAGTTGCAGCAGAAACTGTGCCGATGGTATCTGTTAGCTTAGTGAACTTCCCACAATCCAGAGCTTGGCCCGGCTGCGAAGTCTTGAAGCTGGGGTCACTTTGCGAAGCCGATGACGATGGTATATTCTCAGTCATGTGGCTATGGACTTTGCGGACAAAAATATATATTGCACATGAAGTCGCTCCTTTGTATGCTTTCAGGTGTTGCCTGTCAGCATTTGCGATCGCGAAAATATGTTGTAAACTTCACAGGATAACAGGTTTGGCAGAAGGTCAGCCTCTTTGAAACCACTATTTTCATCCTCGGTGCGAAAGTATCAAGCTTGCGTGGTTTCTTGTTCTGCAACATCAATATCCCGTACGTTTATTCATCTTTCAACTCATGACTGCTTCTATTGGAAATCTTATGTACAAACGCAAGTGCCTCCTCAATCCATCTACTCAATTTTGCCGCATGAACTAGTTCTACTTATGGCTTTCCTAACACCCAAAGCTCCCCATTGGTTGAGGTGTCGCTGGTCATATACATTCTTCCTTTGCTATCAAAACCAAGGCCGGCAGGTCTGAAGCAACCAGAGCTAGCTACAGGGCCATTACCAGCACAGTTTGCTACGTTTGGATTCCAGAAGATATCGGTGGCGGCTGTGTTGCTTGTCAATGGGGCGACGGGCTTGTAGACTCCATCGCTTCCCTTGGTAAAAGCTACGGCGACTACCTTGAATCCCGTGGTCGGACTTCGATTCCACGAACCGTGGAATGTTATATACATGGTGCTGAAAGTGGGATCGAATTTGCTGTCGATCGGAGCCGAGTGGGCCTGGAATACCAATGAAGGTGGCGTGACAAGCGATTTGCAGTTGTCGTCTTTGAATGTTGCGTTTGGAGAAATCACAAAGTGATCTCCAACCTGTTTGGCACTATCGGTGAAGTCGCTAGGTTTCCAGACTGCGAAACATGTTGGGTATCCATACCACTGGTCATTTGGTTTTGTCACATCTCCAAGATAGTTGAGCTTTTCGGCAGGATTATCAATATGGATATCCTTTGATTGTCCATTGACTGTGCGCTTGAAGTCATCGCCACTGTTCTCAACTCCCCAGAGCCTACAAAATCATTAGTTATCAGTTATTGAAGGAAGTCTTAAGAAGACCTACATGTTGTTGCCGTCGAACACAATGCCCACCTCGTTCCTCAAGCCGTATCCCGCATTATATCCTTGGGAAACGTAGTTGTATCCAGCGCTTGGAGCTTTGCTTAGATCGAATACCTTGACGATGGCTCGGGCAGTTGCCTTGTTGCCGGCAGCAGTATCGAAGTTTGCGTTTGATCCATGAGAGACGACCAACAGATTTGGCTGATGTGGTGCTATGAGAAGAGTCCGAGAGGTGTGGGAGCCACCATTGTACATTCCTGTAACAACTGTTCCTCGAGTTCCCACTGTCTGCGAAGAAGCAGTGTATGGCCAAGAGTAGACTGTGGTTGAGGTACTAGCGTACAAAGTCTTACCATCTATGCTCAATGCGATACCATGATTCAGATTGTTCGCTGCGACTAAGGTCTTCGTAGCCGAGATGCAACCCTCAGCAGTCATTGTGTGGATTGTAATACCCTTTCCATTCTGAATGACCAACATGTTTCCAAGCAAGTCAAAAACAATGCTTCTTGGACTGGTAAGGCCACCAAGGACCTTGGTAGCCTTCCAACCACTGGCCAGAACTGAGGAGAATTGAGCATTTCCAGCTCCTGAGCAGGAAGCCGGAATCGACACCTTTCCGGTGGCGACTGGCTTGGTGGTTGATGTCGAGGTTGTCAAGGTTGTCGCTGTTGATGAGGTTGCACTGGTAGTAACAACGACTGGTGCTTCAACATTAGTGGCAACCCAGCTGTCGAAATTTAGATTACGCGCAGCGTTCAAGTCATGAGTCCAAGTCCCGAACTTAGAGTGCACACCGAAATTGGAAGCATTGTTCGATGGTTGTGCAACTGCAGATGATCCTTGTGCGAAAGCAAATGTTGTCTCGCCGGTGGCATTGAGTGTGGCCATTTCACCATCGCTTCCTTGCCACTGAGTGCACCCTCTGCAGCGGGCTATCATTGTCCAGTGAGTGGCATTGGATGTAGTGCCTTTCAACATTGTATACTCTGCTCCGTCGTAAGGTGCTGGCATATTCAGTCCACTGTTCGTTGTCAGCAACGCCACATGTTGATCTTGGGTAATACATACAACGCGAAACGCGATGAAGGAATAGCTGACTTGCCATTCTGCCAAGATACCGTGAGTGGATTGAATACCATGGTTCCTCCCCAGCAAAATCCTGCCCACGTAACCTTTACCGGTGCTACAACTTTGAGCACTGCATCTACCGGAGCAGTGGTGTTTGATGGAAGAGCGACTGAATACTGGATGCCATCTGTAGTGGTATATGTTGACCAACAAATTCCGTTTGTCAGTCCATCGCAAACGCGTGTAGATTGCACTTGGCCGGACACTGTCAAGTTCATTAGCGCCGGCACTCATTTGAAAATGATAGTTGGATCTTTTACCATGACTGGCAAGTGCTACAGCACTACCAAGAGCTTGAATAAAACGCATATTGAGGAAGCCGACAAATTTGACATCAAAATTTCCAGAACCTACCACTCGACCTCCTCGGGGCCAAACCTCCTTTTATGCCTCCCAAGCTTCAACATACGATCAACAGTCTTCCGGGCAGGTTAAAATCACCAGATTATAGTCAGGATATCTCAATATGCATGTATATTATAAGTGACGAGCGACCAATGTCGGATCGTGGAATTGTCATATCTCCACTGGGCGAACAACGAGCCGGCGTTATTGCACGACTACAGGCAGAACGAGCATCCGCGGTCATGAGAATGGATTTTATTTTCTCCAGATTGCGAAGGGGAGTTTCGGCTGGAGATTGGGACGTGGCTAATGGACGGCGTTGATAGTGTACGACCTCAATTGGGGCTACCTTTGCGCTTGGCGAAATTAGAGTTGTAATATGTGGGGTCGCGAATCGGAGACGAGTGCCCTTATTGTTTTCTGTTTGGGTGATGGAGGATCGTGAGACTGGTGATATTAGGCGGTTTGTGGGTTTTGCGGGGGATGGGGGTAATTAGGAGTTCGGCAACGAAATTTGTTGTCGCCACTTGGATGGGACTCGGGTCCAGTGTGCCTCTGGTTCCGATAAAACTATAGTTCATTTGATCGTTGTTTAATTTTTCAGTCATGATTTACTCAGCTGGATATCTAGCTTTCAAACTTGAACTCTGATTCGCTGAGGAATTACTTGTGAGTTTGAAAGATCGTAGTGACTTCACCTGAATTGAGTAGAACGTTAGATCTTTCAAAACTGATTACCTTACTCGGATGCAAACTTCCAAGTTGTTCTGCTCTTGCGGTAACTTGAGAATGAGAGAAAAAGTGTGTTTTCGCTTTTATATTCATATTCTCACCCTACACAGTCGACGGCCTACCACCCACAATAATTTCCAACTTGACATCATTCTCCCAAGCTGCGATCTCCAGCTCATTTCTAACACTACTTTCCATTCTCCTCCGCTCTTCAAACTCCGTCTTTTCTATATCCTTTTCATTTTCAGTGTCCGATAGTTCCTCGCTGCTATCCGAGTCCGTCGGGTCCATCGTGAACCCAGCATCTTCTGGTCTAGTTTCCTTATGACCAGTCTTTCTAGCGACCAGCACGATTAATTTTAGCTTCGGAAAATCGAACTTGTGATCCAGCAGTTCGAAAATGGGAGGTGATACCTCCTTGAGATCACAATCTACGATTTTCAACTCTGTGATCGATGGAGGCAAGCTATCGGAAAAGTTCGACGCAGAATTTTCATTCCGTGCCGTCTCAAAATTGATATTGTTTGAGGGGAAGATTTGATCATCTTTCGGCGCAATGAGCGAAGTGACGAGGTTTGCGGATATTGAAAGATTTTGTAATTTCTCAAATGTCAATAAAGAACAAGCAGGCTGTATTTCCGGCACTGCTGTTTCATTTGTTTCCCATCTTCGAGGCTGATAAATCTCTAGCTCGCGTAACGTAGATTTGAGATGATCGATATGCTTGATAAAAAACTCAAGCGTGAATTTAAATTCCGGTTGGACGAGTTTGTGTTCGTAAACCAGACTCTCAAGCTTAGGAGAGGCAAGAAGCAAACTCTGGAGTGTAGAAGCTGGCAAATTGCATTCTCTCAGATGGAGTCCTTTGAATGGGAATTTGACGCGTGTGTTTTGTACCCAAAAGGTATCGACAGCCTCAGATTGCTGCAATTGTGCGAGCTGATCACGGGTACCGCTGACTAAAGTCTGTTTGCGCATATTGAGTAGCTCCAAGGTGTGGATTGAGGTGTTGAAAAGTGTATCTGACACGATATCCTCAAGAGTCATTCGTCGCAGGTCGTGAGAGTTGGTAGTTCCATCTTGCACTTCACTTCTTAGGGACAATTTCCCCAAGGTTTTCCCTGGCCACCGAAGACGTCCGGTCGAGAGCGCAATGTTGATGAGACTCTTGTTCTCAGCGAACTCTTTGGTGCAGTTTCGAATGCGAATTTCTCGAAGGTTTGGGAGGATGGCAATGATGAGTGCAGCTTCGGCGGCCCAGCTGCCGTCCTGGATTTCACGCAGCCATTTGAGGTTTACCTTTGGAGGGAGATTCAGAGAATCGAGATATGGTTTGATTTGATCCAATTGTTCTTGCGTATACGTCGACTCAGAATTGAGAAACCCTGCTCGCCGTCGTAGGCTTTCCAGTTTGCTTAAACTTCGGGAGTGTTCTGGGATGAATTTAATGTCGATAGTCTGGACAATTCTCTGCCGAATTGGATCAGAAAGAAGTGCCCGAATAAATTTTCTCAGCGTGTTTGAAGAATTTTGGATGAAAGCCTGATACGAAAAGGTCTCGCCGAGCTTCTGAAACCGCTTGTTGCTGTACATGAGGCTTTCGAAGTTATTCGCTCTCTGAGAACTTCGCTTGGAATCGGCATTTTGATACGGGTCGATTAGAATATTCATGATTTGCAACAAGACCTCTGATGGAAGCTGCGATAAGCCCATACTCGGAGAGCCTGTAGTAACTAAGTCGGTGTTTGTGATCTATGGAAAGATTTCTGAAAGTGTGAGTAATTTTCTGGTGATGGCGACCATGGATTATAGCTTTGGATATTTCCTAAAGAACACATAGTGATTATACACTGAAGCCACTTCTACTGGAACTTGGTAGGCAACCGAAATAACATTTCGGGTACAATAAAGTGGTGTCTTAAGAGATGATGATGCCTTACGATCACAGCTCACCAAGTCTGTATTAAGTTTCATTGCACCCCGCTTATTGTGGTAAGCACTAACCTTAGTCGACCGCCGAAGAGCGGTTTGTGAAACGCGCAAGCTAGTCACAATTAACAAACTGCAAAAAAGAAAAATAGCCCCAGCTGAGTAATATGCAGTGACCGTCACTTCAAGGTCATTGTAGCGTGAAAAAAAGGCGGTTTGTTGAGAATGGCTCAAACCTCTAGGGTGAAGGAAACAGCATCTACGGCGACATATCGACTTTTCCTTTGGTACCTTATAAGGTGTATTTGTTCCTCCGAATAAATCAAAATAAGACGATTATAGCTAAGCAAATATTGAGGCTAGGGAGTAAAAGATTTATTACTCTATAGTACATGCCTGGGCGACGCGAAAGGAAATTTATGACATCCCCGTATAGGCTGCGAAGGTTGATACCAATTGATATGATGACAATCATGTGAATTCAGTAAATAACACTTTTCAAATTCAGAGGCCACGATGATAGAGAGTTAGTGGCGATGGAAAGTGCTTGGGTCTGTAGTTGCGCGTTGCACCAGGCGGCAGCCAATAGGCTGGTGCCTTGTCGTTAAGTTTGTCAACACCAGTGTACTGCGACAGATCAAGGAAAAGAAAACTATGCAAATCGTTAAGTCATTAGCGACAGCAAATCTATTGCCTGAAAATTTGTTTTAAAACTGTGGGTATAGTTGTTGGCTGTAATCAAATCCGAGCTGGTCTACCCCACCATCCATTCCACCATTGTAGGAGGGATAAGGTTCTGCAACAGAATGTTAGTAACAAGATTTATCAAGATGCAAAATTTTGCTCACCCCAGAATATCGAGTCAAACAAATCCATCGGCGACATGTTGAGAGTTTGGTCAATAATTTGTGGTGACGGTGCACCCATTGGCCCCATCATTTGTGGAGTGAAATCCATACTATCATGTGTTAGCGATGAAACGACAGACAGAAGAAAAGCTTACGGAGGCAGCCCGTTATTCTGCATCGATGCCATAGCCATTGCAGCATTTTGCTGTTGCTCAAAGTGGGTTTGATCGACATTTTGAAGACCAGGTGTCTCTTGGCCGCTCACCCAGCCATGATCGTAGATATTTTTCAGTGCAGCCAATGCGCGAGATAGTGGCCCACTCAGCTCAATATCCTTTTCACCCTTGGGCAAATGAGGCGACTTTTGATCTTTAGCCGCAGATGTTGATAGTGCTGAAATCAGCTCACCCTGTAGTTGGCGTACTTCAGGATCTGTTTTGGTTTCTCCCAAAATCCCCAACAAAACGGCCGATGACAGCCCGTGATAGGTGAAAGCCCACGAACGCGTAGGTATGACGCTCAGTGAGTGCATCTTCAGATACATTCTTACCGTTTCAGCTAGATTTTGTTTGCAGTTCTTAGCGAGAAGTTCCTTCTGTGATGCGTCCATGCCTATAATTTCGCCTCTCCGAAGAGCAGGCCGGCATAACACCGACATCACAAAAGATGTATGTAGACGAACTGCATAGTACTGTAACCAGTCCTGAACTGTTTTGCAAGATTCCTTCTGTCGAATGTTTGGCTGTACTTGCTGACGAATGTTTTCGACTTCTGCAGAGTCTTTCATAATTTGATTAAAATCGGGAGGTATGCCGCTATCGTTGTTGACCGATTGCAGGATCTTTTGACACAGGTGATACATTGCCTCTGTGTAGGACCAGCCTTCAGTTGCAGCTGTTGGCCCCAAGGGCAGTTGACATCGAGTCATGACGGCTATGGGGGACCGATCAAAGGAGAGCGATAACAAACTGTCTTGCCATACGATAGTCCACCTATAATCAATGAGACCTGTCCGAGAAAGGTGACTTTTGACTTACCAGAGTTTTCTCTTGGGTAGATCATCAAGTGGAGCGGTTTGTGTGAGGCGAGAATATTCGTGCTTTCCACGATGTAATCCTAAAGCTTGAGCAAGCCTACAAGTCAAGCCTATCAAAGCCCAGGAAGCTTCTGCTTTCATGTCATTTGCCAGAACAAAGCCAAGAATCAGAAGTGCTTGCAGTGATTCAAGTGAAGGTCGGATGAGGAAGTTAGAAAGTCTTAAGCAATGAAAAGATGATTGTACTAAGATAATTAGCCAAACAAAAAGACTCAAGTACGCTGTATTTACCAAAAGCTTGACTCGTAGCAACGCGCTTATGATAGGATGCTTCAGTATAGTTTGTTGCTACCGCGAGTACAGCAAACAGCATGCCCAGCCAAGCTGAAGACACACCTTTGCTGCCATTGGCAGGATGTTTTGAGTTTGCGCCTCGATCTTCGAGGTAAATGCAAAGCTTAGATTCGAAGTCTCCAACATCTATAAGCAGGCCCCAGAATGGCTGAACAATCTGCTTGTATACATTGAAAGTCCTAAGGGAGATCAGCGTCCTTTAATTTCAAAGCATGTTCAAAGAGCGCAGCCGTGAAGCAGTTACGCAGTTTTATTCAAACTTACTTGAGGATATCTCGATCGGAAGGTAGTGCTGCAGCGATATCCTGGCGGATTTTATCCATATGGCTTGGAGACATGAATGGATATGGTGCCGAGGATATCTGCAACCCGAGAATCGGCATGATGTCTTTCCTGATACTATCTGGATCACCACCTTCTACCGATTGCCCACCTCTGGCCTCTTCACTTAGGAAAGCAGCGATACTATTTTGACCTAGATAACGTGACTCGGTGGAGTCGTCATCGTCTAATGGAATATCAGCATCTTGTCCTTCGCAACTTCAATAAGCTCTTTCACACATGAAATAGAAAATAGGATACATCGTATGATGCACGACTTCAAGGTGCCTCCACATGCGGAGGTTATGGGGGTTGCAAACCCCGAATCTTCGCCGGATAAGGGTATATAGCACGAACGTGCCCCGAACGTTTGGATGAAGAAATGAGTCTCACCATTTGTTCTTGGCCATCTATTTTCCTCCTTTTTCAAACTCCCTTCGCTGCCAGGAGATCTTTGGCGTTTCACACCAGCCGCCAAGGGGGATCCGGGCTTGGTCGTGGTCTGTTGCTTTGGATTATATGAACAGAGACCCGCATGATCTCTTTTCACACAATTTTCGCACGGGTGTTTGTTATCACATTTGACCTGACCAAGTCAGTCTTTTACATTTCTCTCAAAGAACTTGTTTACCTTGCGTTGCCTACATGGCCAACATGCGGTTCCTGGAACCCCAATCAGCTTGATGTTCCATTAATTCAAGAGACTGCGTTAATGGTTGTCCTAGAGATACAACAGAAACCCGTTGCTTACCATACCGAACTTTCCGGTGGGAATGGATTATCCGATTCGCCTCCTCGGGCGTCAATTGAGGAGAGACGGGCTCTGGATTGGTGTCACTCATCTCGCTATCAATACTCGCACGATGCAGCGTTAGATCTGTTTCGGTGGGAGGCGTTAAGGTATAGTTGGAGATGTGTCGGGGTTGTCTCGCTGGTTCGGCGTCATGATTGAGGTCGTCTTCAGTCTTGAGCGCCGCGAAAAAGGGCATTTCAGCAAGCGGGGCAATCCAGTCACGTGTTGATCGTGTTCCTCGGTAGTGCAACGTCAATGTCGACCCCGCCTTTCCGAGATCGCTTCGATAAGGGGTATGAGTGTGGGATATCCTCGAAGATGTTCGCATGTATGTGCAGAATCAAAGTGTTGTGGTAGGTCTCTATGATCTCCACCAGAGGCGAGGGGGCAAGTGTACCTCTTTACTCTAGCATGAAGTGTTCGGCTCGCTCGGTCTCAGCTATACGGGAGACAAGATTTGCTCATCTCATCCTTTGAAATAACACCAGACCTGCAAGAGTCCTTGGGAGGGCTGGCTTGGTCGAAGTTCATTGGCTGGGTTGACAGCCATCAATCAGAAATTGAGGGGTAACACGCTTCATAACTAACGGATATTGGAAACATAAGAAACTCAATCGAGGAGCAATGGCAATCCAAATTGCGCAGCATCTGTTATTCCCGTTATTCGCAGGCTGTCTTCGGCTTGGTTCTCCTTTTCGCACCTCTCTATACACCATTGTTCGTTTAGAATATACAAGAGCTCTCTTCCTCAGTTTTATACATGATTTAATAATTTCCGGTTACGCACTCATTGAAATGTTTACGGACTTACCACAATGCCTCAACAAAAGCTAGTTCATATGTTCTTTTCTATGTTTCGTATGAAAATTGGCATTTGGATAATTTTGGTCACGTGCTAGATGCTGAGGAGGCCATGGCCAGGCTGCCTTGATGAAGTGGCTGAGTTTCCAACAAGTTTGAGTTCGCAGTGACTCTTATTAGAAAAGATCTGAATGATGTCTTGAGCGATTCTCCATCCATACTTCATTACTGACCGATTATTTGTACCTTGACCCACTTTTCAAGACGTCAAAGTCAAAAGCAGTTCGTCTATCAATAAGCAGTAGGACCATTTCTAAGATTGGCGGACGCTGTTAGCTAAAACGAATTAGACATGTCTGAATACACTTTGTCTATTGTAACGTATGAACGTGGAGAAAGATGGGATGATATCAAAATCAAAAAGCCCTACCACTGGCTCTTTTTCCTCGCGCCCAGCAACCAAACGTCAAAAATGGGGCAAACTTACCAACTCCGAGGGATGTCTGGCGGGTTTTACTATCAAGGAGACGAAGACCTGGATCTTAAAGAGCCTCCAAGTGCTAAGGAGATACTTGAAGTTGAGACGATTCCCGCAGACAAGATCGAGCGGTTTGGACGGCTTTTGGAAAGCGTCAAAGTCAAAAATGACGAGTCATCGAAGTGGAATTGTCAAAGTTGGAGTCTTGAGGTACTAGATATTCTTCGTTTGGAAGGATTTGTTTCGGAAGACTATCCCAATAATGTTGTTCAGAACTGGTTGCGGGAAGACTAGGGGCATAGATAGCGAACCAGCATACTTCTCATGCATCATTGTAGTAGTTCTTAGAGAATCTTTCTGAAAAAGTCAGCTAGGCTCTTTACTTGAAAAAGTTGTGTTGTGTAATCAAGTTAACAAAGATAGCTCCACGAGGACGCATTAGATTTCCTTCTACGTTGCCTGGGCCAAACAAAACTTGAACACAATTACATTTGATCTCGAGGTCTATTAGACGATTATGAAACAGCAAATTATATTTATTCTTCCTAGGAGAGTAATCGAAATTGACGACATGATGCAAATGACAATAGTACAGCCGAAGATAGAAGTCGATAGTCTCCAAGTAGGGAGTGTGTCGCGGCGATGTGAAAGGAAGTTTAATAATTCCGCGTAGAGGATGGCCATCAAAATCCTCAAAATCCTAAAATTCCTCCTCGATTCACAATTAAAACAAATATGGAAATGAAAAATGAGTCATTAAACACGCCCACCAGTCTGTGAACTTCCAATATCTCCCCGGCCGTCTAGCTAGTTTCCAATCAACATTGGCTTGTATACTATAGCAAGGACAAGCTCCACAAGCATATGCTCTCCATATCAACTAGCATTGGTAAGCGCATCCCCATGATCAAATCTTTTTTTTTTGGTGACAAAAGACATAAGTGCTTTCTTGAAATAGTGCGCCGGCGGAGGAACAAGGAAATCGTGGAAAGCTGATTCTGATGTAAAGCTTGCTCAAAACAGTTTTTCAGACGGTAATCGAACTTAACGGGGATGATGTTGGTAAATGCGTATGGAGCTGCTCTAGTGGCCACCAATCAACGTTGTGAAAGATCTCTTGGGGTATCGGCGTGGAATTGAAGAAGATTTCAGTACTACTACGCGTTTGGAGTACCTAATCCATCCTGAACTAGCAAATGCGAAGAGGTCTTTCGACGCGAAGGTTGATGCCCGCTAGGCGAGTCAACGATTGACAGCGAGGTAAGAAGACGAGTGTAGACTCGAGATAAGAATGATGTATTGAGTCTTGAAGGACTTATCGTGACTCGCGAGACTTGACTTTTCTCTCAGTAGCTGGAGTCGTAAACACTTCAAAGTTTCGGAACACAGCTTTGACAACGCCCAAGTTCTACTAGACATCCATGTCTAGTTAAGAATCTTTATTGATCAAGTCTTCCCATTAGCTCCAGCATCTCTTTTAGATCTCTTCGTTTCTGTTCAGACATAGTCATAGGAACAATAAGATGTTCCTTTGACGAAACTGCTGGCGGCGAACGAGTTGGCGGACATTTTGAATCACTGATAATTGGTCGTGGCGGAATGCTTGGTGATGAAGACTGTCCAAGATCGGGAGGTTCTTGGAGTGGAGGGGTTGCCGGTGGCAGAAGCATTTTTGGGGAAGTTGGTTGGGTGGATGGTATCGAAGGAGTTCCTGGTCCAGTTGGTGAGGGATTACTGACACATATCGATAGCCCGCCTGAACGCCGGGATGTCAGAAGCGTTGAGGTAGATAATTGTTCTATAACCAAATCCCACTTCTGGTCTAAAGACTTCTTGTTTGGAAGATTAGAAGGTTTAGTCCTGCGATTTACTGGAGGCTTGGTTCCGAGATTTACCAGAGGCTTTTCCAAAGGATTGAGAAATGCGAGTGCGGTCAATAAAGCTTGATGACATACTGATATCTCGAACCGGTGGCTCATTAATTCAACAATTCCATCGGACATCTTGCGAGAGCAATCTCCGACTGACGTATTGGCTGTTTGATTCGCTCCCTCCCGCTCTATCAAGACTTCCACCTCCTTCAGAGCGGCTTTAGTATTTTTTGCAACATTTTCTATGTACGGCAATTTGTCCGGTGTACCGTTGAGGTGTGTCTTAACAGAGTCCACTTTGAGGAGACGTTCCAATTCTGCGAGGTCATCTCGGATTCTCTCGACAGTTCGAAGAAAGGCTGAAACACCCGCATCACCTGCTCTGACTGCCTGCACACCGGTCTCGGAATGTGTTTCTACGATTTTCGTTGACGACTTGTTGAATTCACTAGTGCTATGAGCCATTCTGGTAATTTAAGTCAGGCAGGTGACTAGAAATACATCATAAAAGACTCGAAGTTTTTTTGTTGGTCGCAACTCAGAATCGATCTAGAAAATGGATATTGGAAAATGAACTCGGGGTTTCAAAACTCTCGGAAACTTAAAGGGGATGCTCATGCCAACAGCCGGTGTGTTACCAGACGCTCGGCTTGCCACCTTTTCGTCGCAAGGTTCTTATTCATCGACCCAATGGTCGGATCTAGAGACGTGCTCTACTAATATCGCCTAGACTATTTCGAAGAAGCCAAGGCGGCCTGAGACAGCAGACTTTCAAATGAATGGAAAATAGAAAGATGAGAGTGGTTATGGATTTAACACCGGCCCTTTTGCAGCTTGCCGTCCATAGACGCTGCAGGGTCCTTAAGAGCTAAGTGTAACCAATCTTTATAGTAGTTTAGGACTCTATACCTTGACGCCAAGGGGTCACAATACTAGAATCCCGTTGTGCCATGTTCTATGAGACGTTGAATCCACCTGTCACTTCGATACCGCTATGCAGCTCGGAGGGATTTGTACAGGGCTTAACATGCATGTTTCTTTTATTTTCTTGTTTTGCAAGAGAAATACAGTAGTGCCGTGGCGACATCTCTCCTCTGCAATTGCCGTGGGCAAACGCGCTGCAGATGTCGGAAAAGAGGCAATGGACTCGAGGCTGGGTTTGTGCGCAATGGAAAGCACTTGCATTTACACTAACCACTCCGTTTGAGAAGCAGACAATCGAATATTTTCGTAGCTCGCAGATGAAACTTCAGGGGAGCTCGCGGGGAAGGTTGACGGAGAGAGCAACGGTTTACGAATAGAAAATTATTGGAACCCATATCAGCCAATCATAGAAGCCAATTAGCCAGAATATATGGAGCACCTACATAGACGCTCTTGCCTCTCAAGTTATAAAGAAGAATCTAGATTCTTCGTGTTTGCTGAAAACAATAGAGGAATTGTAGATATTTCGTCAATTGCTTTGAGCAAGTATCGTGTTGCGACTGCCACTTGTATTCTCCCCTAGTGACCCAGTGGGCAGATATGGATCACGCGCAGATAACTCACATTGCGAAACAACCTCATCTTATACAGCACGCATTTTCACACGCATTTTCAAGCAAACAGGGACATCGTGCCTGGATTTCTTCGCTGAATTCTGTGTCGCACGTGGACTAAGTCATTCCGGTTGTTGGCCTCCCTCTTACTCACATTCCCAGTCCCGTCACGATCTCCCGCTCTCTCATGATCCTTGGAGGCGACATTATCTTAGTCTCATCGCTGATTGTCTGAATTAGAGCTGGAAATACAAGGAGACTATCAGGCTGACCCGTCCCGGTGTAGTCAAATTCAATGGCTGCCGGCTAGGAAAACAACAGGAATGCAAACCGGGCCGCCCTCTTCACTATGGCTCTCAGGTTGTGTTGGCGTGCATCTGACTCGGCTTGACCGACAAATGGGCGAAGAACCGAATCCGCTGTGGCGATCATGAGATTGATACTCTCGTTGGGTGGGTCATTGTCTCCAAGTTCGTTTCCATATTGACCTTGCAATAAAGCTGCGGTGATCGTTTTCCATTTGCTGTAAAGTGCCAGCTGTGCTGTCAAGATGTTTAGCACGTCGTTAACATTTGTAGTTGCTGTCATGTACTAACCAAAGTCGGTGTGGTCCGCTGCAGGCAGTGAACTAGCAGTGAATGCAATTTCCCTCGGTAGAAGTGATGCTTGATATTTGGTTTGTCCCGCCCAGCTGGAAAGAATTAAATGTGCTAAGAACAGGCGAATAGCTTCCAGTCTTGTTTCTGAATTCAAGAGAAGATTCTGCACGGTTGAAGGGGGCGCTGAAATCTCGCGAGCAAGCTCCTCCACCTCAGTCCCATCAATCAATTCTGCTTGGATGTCATCATTGTGATAGTAGTTCTGGACATGGTTCTTGATATCATCACGAATTTTCGATAGTGCATCAACAATTGCATTATCGTCTGCAGGTTGCGGCAAAAATATGTCGACATTGGTGATTACCCCTCCCCTGATTGGCAATTCTTCTTCAACCAAGGAGCCATCCTCCAGAGAATTGTCGTATTCGTGGGTCCGCACATTCATTGGGTTCCTGTTTCGCCGAAAGAGAAGCCAAAGGATGACTCCGACAATTAGAGTTCCCCCAATGGCGGAGCCAATGCCTATGTCAACTTTTGATGATGTCGCTGTGTTGTCCTTATTACTAGAAGAAGATGTAGCCACGTTGGTTGTAGAAGGTGAAGTATATGTTGGTGTTTCTTTTGTTATGGTTGAAGCTGCGTCATCGCCTGCTGTAGGCTTTATCTCGGAAGAAGATTCAGAGTCTTTCGAAGAGCTTGTTGCCGTAAATTGGGAGAAGGAGCTAGATACGGTAGGAGTGGAAGCGGTTATATTCAGACCCGTGGTATTTACTTCTGCTAGAACCGTAGTCGTAAACACTCGGTCTACACAGGGCGAAGAGATAACGATTGATTCTATCACCAGGGTCTTGGCACATGATTTCGAAGTACTGGTCATGGAACAAAAGCAAGTCCTGGAGCATGTTTCTTCGTCGTGGGATGTAGAAGACACCGAGACCGCATTTCTCGATGACACGTTTGAGGTTTGCGGTGAGAACTGTTCAACCATGGTTTTTTCAAGCTTCGTCAAACCGGACGGCAGTCTGAGAAAAAATGTATGAGGATTTCGAAAGTTTCTTCTGATACGAGGGAGTATCATGCGAAGATATATTATAGGGGTTTATAATTTCAAGCTACGTCTAGCCCCAAAAAACGACATGGTTCCTTTGAGTAGGCCACTCAAATACTTTTTGGAAAACAGTCTAGACTCCTGCACATTCCCGGAAATACGTAACCTGCAGGATTGTTCTCTACAACAAGGCTGAGGCAGAGCGTCCGCAAAAGACACGCAGTGTAACACGCCTAGGTCAACCAGAGGCATCTTAATGTCGCAGTTAAATTTGAATCCACCAGAGACCCTGGATCTAATCTCAAGACCCCCCTCGTCCAAAACACCAGTTTACTCTCGTTCCTGTCGAGCATTCTTCACTCGCACTTTGGCTCACATTCAGACGCGTTCAAAACATCATCGTCATTGCATAAGATATCAACATGTCTACACCAGAACTCGTTGTCGCAATTGACTTTGGTATGACATGTATGGGACCGCCAAAAATGGAATCTTTACGTCTGGACGCTGATCATATTGTTAGGTACTGACGTTGCGTTTTGCAATATCTCGACGGGCGAAGAAACGGTTCGCTGGCTTCAAAAATGGCCTGGAAGAGCAAACGCGGTTGAAAATAAAGTATCTACCTCTCCACACTTTGTCGAGGTTGATTGGAGTCGCTAGCTGACGTCAAACATAACAAGGTGCCGACTGTACTTGTGTATCCGAAGAATTCGTCTACACCATCTTCCTGGGGGTTCTTGTCAGAAGTGCCTGCCGAGCAGATGAGCCAGGATAAGGAGTGTAAAGAGTGGTTCAAGACTTTTCTCGATGATGAGAGGCTCGCAATTGCTCAAAGAGATGGGCATCAACTGAGAGTTTGTCCTTCCTCTATGCAAGAGGTAGAACGACTGTAAGCTTGAACTTCCCTGCCAAATATCACTGACACTCTAATACCATTCTGCAGCTACTGCGATTTCTTTCAATTTCTATACAAAACCATACAGGAAAAGCTTCAGGGTGAGTTGGCTAATCGCTGGGAAGATGCGAAAATTGAGTTCATCTTCAGCGTGCCTACCACTTGGAAACCTGTCCCTACTGTAGAAAGATTTAAAAGTGTTGTGGAGCGTGCCGGTTTTGGGATACACCCAAATCATAAAGCCATAATTGGGTTAACGGAAGCTGAAGCAGCGGCCGTACATACTGCTAGAGTGTTTCCGAGACTATTTCAGGCAGATAACCTACCCTTTTTTCGTCCATGGCAAGCTAACTTTGGCCAGAATCGTGATGTGCTGCTCGTTTGCGATGTTGGAGGAGGGACAACGGTAAGTCGTTGAAGATCATCGATACACGGCCTCATCTGACCGTAATTTTAGGATCTGTGTGTTCTCCGTATGCTAAATCAAGATGGCGGAGGCGCAATAAATCTCGAACAACTAGATGTTGTGCAGGGTTAGTTACTCAGGTTGTCGCCATGCTCCAGCGCTTATCATGCCTTTAGGTGCAACAATTGGATCAGTCCAACTTGACACTGCTTTTGAAAAATTGGCACGGAACCGACTAAGACTTGCACAACTATCTGGAAAGATGGGACTGTTTCCAGGGCAATTAGACGATGTGGCAGGAGAGATGGCGGAAAGCCAGGAATACCAGAACGCCAAATGCGAATATGGCTCAGATCACCAAACGGAATATTTCACCGTAGCGGTGCCCAGATTAGCTCGAGCGTATATCAATGACCTTGAAGGTATAAGACACGGAGAAATGAAGTTTAGAAGGTAAGTGTGCACGAAAATCTGGGGAACAAAATAGTGACTCGCAACAGAGATGATATAAAAGCGTCCTTCGACGTTCAGGTACGACGACCCCAATTTCAATTAGCCCAGAAATCACTCACAATTTCAGATCAACAAGCTGTTCGAATTGATCGATAATCAATTAAAGCGACTTTGAGACAAGATGCCTACCGAGAAAGTCGCCCACTTGATTCTCTCTGGTGGTTTGGGTAATTCAATCTATGTCCAATCCCAACTTCGTGCCCGATACTCGTCGGCGTCTTCCGAATTTCCTAATGCCCCCAACCTACAAGTTCGCGTTGCTCCGGAACCACAATTGGTCGTTTGCAAGGGCATAGTGGCTGATAGAGTTCAAAAGCTGAGAAGTGGGAGGAGCATGTTGAACTGGAGATGCTGTCGTGCAAGTTACGGCACCAAATGTAAGGTGCTTTATAACCCAGCTAACCCAAACCATTCTGGTCAACGTACTGCGCTTGATACTCTTGATGGAAAGATGTATGTCACGGGTTGCGTCAATTGGTTTATTAAAAAGGTGAGTTTGCTCCACCAGTCGCTCAGACATGTCATGAGAAACTGACAAAGCGTGATAGGGGGAACCTGTATGTACCGACTCTCCAATCGTCAAGCCATTCCTCCGAAAATTTATTCCAGCCATAAGATCAGATCCATGTCCAGACCGCATATTTCACACAAGTGTCGTGACGTCTGATCTCGACACAGCTTCTTTACCTCTCGTCATGAACCCTGGTGCGTTTACCCTTTATCAACCTAATTCAGCAGCTTATAACCCATCCCAGACTGTCGCAAGCTTTGTGAACTCACCTTAGATCTGTCATCTATTCATCTCTCGCTCTGCAAACTCAAGAACCGCCATTGGTGGCAGTCCGGCGAGAAATACCATCGCATCGAGGAAGTTATCAAGGTTATTCTTGGTCTAGCGGATATATCCTTTGAATTGTGGTATGCTGGCTAGAAATTATCAGATGATAATAGTATCATGGTAGAGTGGGTGATAGCGCAGCCGCCTCCAGTGATACCTCCTATGGTTGTGTCGAGGACATCTGATGGTGTTCCGTGGGATGCGGCTGATTTTGGAGAAGCTGTAAGTGGGAGATCTTAGACAGTTGTCGAGTTTGCTGGAGGAAGCAGGTACTTGCAGAGTTTTCGTGTGTTTGGGAGTAAAAGAACTGTCCGGAGGATGTCTAACGTTAATATTCCCTACACTAACGGTCTGACTCCAATTTGGTATTTTATCGACGGCAGTAATTGATTTGAATTTCTACTAGACCATCTTTCCAAATTTTGTGTCATCATCTGGAAACATAGTTCTTCTTTCTGAGAGAGACTTTTATCAGAGGTAAAGATTACAATAAATATATCAACTGACAAGACACATCGGGCCAGAGATTGAGGACAATTTCATCAGTGATATCCAAATATTTGGCTTTACTCACCAGCCTTGATAGGTTTTGATTGCGAGAGTAACCATGAACCAATTCTCTCGACCAAAACTCAACTTTTCCAGGAGAGATTCTCTCTCCAGACGCGCCGAAAGCAAGCGGAATACGAGGAATCATGGCATTTGTGCCAAAGGTTTGGATGTTGGAGTCACACTTTCAATATAGCCTTTTCATCCTAGAATCCGAGGTTTCATACTGTTAGATACTTCCAATTTGGACCGAAATCTTCCTAAAATGTTTAACATTCTGGTTTGCTCGTCAATAACACCCTCTGCGGATTGTCGTTAGTTGCGTAGGACAAAATAAGTGGCCATCGAAAGAAGATACTTTCTCAAAGCAATTGACGAAACATCGTATATTTACTGATCTAGTTTGACACACTATCACATATCCCGTCAACCATTTTGAGTGAATAAAACTTTCTCAAGCTCATTTCCAAGTCGAGATTAGAGGGCAGGTGACTGATACTTATCTTGTCCTTCACAAGGTATCTCGTAGCACCGATCTAATTCAGTTCAGAATATCTATTAGTAGTATTCCCAGTCTTCTTAGTGATCTAAGCCTGTATCCTGTATAGTTGAGCTGCCCTCGTGGTGATTAAAATAAGTGGTAGTGACACAGGGAAATTGGAATCCGTAAGCGAGACAAACCCAGTCGCGTCGCGTGCACTGAAACCACCTCGGCTTTCTTCCACACTTCCATCTTTGTCACATCATCAAATACATGATTTTTCTTTGAGTATAATCGTACAGATTATTTCTGATCTGATTAGAAGCATATAATTCAATGTCTTTCATACATGTCACTTTAATGGCACCTCTAGGCACGCGATGCGGGGCAATGGCGGGGTCAAGCTGCGATCTGCCTGAACAAGCCAGTAAACAACCCCCACCCCACTTATACATACTTCTTAATTGAACTGACATAATCCATTCAAGGACTTCTTCCTTCGCAATGCTGTTATTGATATCTTAAGATATGTTTCTAAATCGCCCTCCTCAATGGGCAGCCCGTGTGGCATCTCGATTGCCACCTCAGTTACGCTTCCTGTCCTTCCCAGCCGTATCGATCATTTCCATCCTCATTATCGTCAACTGCGTAGTCTGGATTGCAGTTGCGATAGTCCTTCGAAAACACCCAGTGCTCGCTTCCTCTGCCGTTCTTTCATATACTCTCGGTCTACGACATGCGCTCGATGCCGACCATATCTCCGCGATTGATTTGATGACAAGGAGGTTGGTGGCTGGCGGGCAGAAGCCAGTTACGGTTGGAACATGGTTTAGTCTTGGACATAGCACGATTGTTGTTATCACTTGCATAGTGGTGGCGGCAACGAGTGGAGCGCTACAGAAGAGGTTCGATGGGTTTAGCGAAGTGGGAGGTGTTATTGGAACTTCGGTTTCAGCCGCTGTTCTTATTCTGCTTGGAATAGGTAATGCCTGGATTCTATACAAGCTTGTTCAGCGGATCCGGGTTGTGCTGAAGGAAGAAGTTAGTGGGGACCGGGAGGAGAATCATGAAGGAGCTGTTGCTGGTCTCGATCTCGAAGGGGGTGGAATAATGGTTAGAGTGTTCAAGAAAGTGTTCAAATTCATTGATCGCCCGTGGAAAATGTATCCGTTAGGTGTTCTCTTTGGAATGGGATTTGATACGAGTAGTGAGATTGCGGTACTGGGTATTGCAAGTGTGGAAGGGGTTAAAGGCACAGGCATTTGGTTGATTCTGATATTTCCGGTGCTGTTCACAGGTAGGAACCTCCGTTTATTTCTTTTTTTAAATGCTGATATATTCTAGCTGGTATGTGTATGCTTGATACTACAGATGGGGCTTTAATGATGACGCTTTACACCTCGACCTCTTTGGCTCGCGATACCGTGGCAATACTTTACTACTCAATTGTTCTATCAGCAATTACGGTTCTGTTCGCTGTTGTAATTGGTATCATTCAATTACTATCTGTAATCTCCAACTTCTCCAGCGGGCCTTTCTGGGATGGGGTCGATGCCGTTGGCGATCATTACTCGGAAGTGGGAGGAGCTATATGTGGAGCTTTTGTAATTTTTGGAGGTCTCTCCGTGATTCTGTATAAACCCTGGCGCCGGAGAGTGGATCGACATTATGCTAGTCGCTATGGCTCATCACCTGATGGTTCTGTTGCTCTCAGTGAGGAAGACGATGGAATGCCAAAGAAGATATCACTCGAGGATGAAAGGCCAAGGAAACAGACAGCCGTTACTACATCGGAAGAGATTACTGCGTCTCGCAGCTAATGAAAATACCCGGGACTTGGTCGGGTATAGAATGGTATTGAAAACCATATTGAACTAGTACTCCATCTGTTTGAAATTATACTTGTAAATCTCTGTTTGGCCTTCACTAAACAAACGTCTAGCTATTAATCTTCTTTTCCCTTCGACTTCGTGAGTTTTTCTAGAAGAGCTATCATCTTAAGCTGATTTCATAGAAAGTCAGTACTTTTATGATAATCTTTATGATAACCCTTGGCTTACTTTGCTTATTTCCTGTAGTATTGCAATTTGAGTTCGTTTGAACTCAGCATCCTCTATCTCCTTCCCTTTGTCCTCTCTTTGATTCGCCTCATCATTTGGATCATGATGTTCGTTTGGATCATCATGTTCATTCGCATCTGAATCATCATCCTCCCATGCCGGATGTCCATCATCTTCCATCGCAAACATTCCCCCATTAGTACCAAATCCAAGTTCCTTTTCAAGATACTCCTTAGACTTTCCCTGTATATATCTATATACCATCAGTCTATTTAATGGCGAGAATTAGAAATAAAGTTCTCACCGTTTGTGCATTGTCGCGGTGATAGCCTGCTCAATCATGGCGGCCTTTCTAGTCTCATCTGCGTTTTGATACGCGGGCGTTGCCATGATATTCTTTCTATAAATGGATTTTGCAGACTCATCGTTATGACCGGCTTTTCGAATACGAGCGGTGACAGGATCTACGTCCCGCCTTTTGTTGCTCTCTCTCGACCTCTTCGTGTTGGGGTTGCTCGAAAGCTGTTTCCTTGGCTTTCGTGTACGCGAAGTCACTGATGTACTCTACCGGCATTGCCAGTATACTCCCTTAACATAATAGTGTTGACTCTCCTCTTTTTTAATATGAGGGGTAGCCCAGAGACGGCTTCTCGTCCTTCTTTTCTTCCTTGATTCTGTCTACGATGACATTACTCACGGGCTGTTGAATGGGGCGGCAGACGGAGGCTTACAATCTGCTTAGATCGGACTAGACTAGAGCTGGGTTAATGCGCATCTAGCTGCAACGGTCAAAGTAATTATGTCGAAGATAGAGTTTGCGAAAAATAAAAGTAGATCGAGGGAGGAAGAAGGGTAGTTGGGAAATATAGGTCTCTGTTAATGTTAAGGTAAGGTCTAGTGCCTTAACCTTCTATTATTCTATTATTCTTCTACTAAATATCTACTTTAATAATACTAAATATTATCTTACTATAATATAGTTATAGATTAGTTAGTTATAGCTATTATAAGTATAAATTCTACTATTATTATTATTACTATTATTACTAACTTATTATTAGTATAGTTTATATCTTTAGTCTTAACTAGTTTGTTAAGTTTATAAACTTTACTATCTAGACTATTAATTTTAAGTACTATATAAAACTTAAACTAAAGTTAATTTAATCTATATTAATTATTATAGTCTATAGTAAAGAAATAGACTTAAAGAAGTAATTCTCGGCTTAAAATATAGTGTAGAGAGAGATTTAAGTGCCTTAAAGGACTATATTAGTATAGTATAATCTTCGATTAATAAATAACTTCTAAAAAATAGTCTTCTAAGTAAGTAATTAAGAAAGAATATAGAAGAAAAGACCTTGATTATTATAGTTAAGAAATATATATAGTATACTAGAAGTAAGATATATATATCTTTAATATAAAGAGAGACTTATATATTATAGTAGTCGCTTTACGACAAATTAAACGCTACTAAAACTCGACTAAACTACTACTTTAAAAGCCCCTTTCTAGCGCTTAATTCGTGAGATTAAACAAGATGTTAAGGACGACCTTCGGTTTTAGAGATTTGTAGTTATAGCGATTTAAAAGAGCTGTAGAAATCTTTTGAGCAGCCGCTACGGAATAAATCGTGGGTGCTATGCGCTGTATTTACATCAGCTTTCAGGATATAAACGCGTTCGACTCAATTCAATTACTCAGACTAGTTGACGAATCCGTGATAATGCGTCTACTGTTAAGAGGAAATATAGACCTTGAATCTACTTTCTAATCTGATCTAGAAGACATGCCCTTCCTTGAAATTGGAGTAGTTGGAATATATTCGTGACACAAATTATTTGAAACGTTTAGCTAGATGACAGTTTCCACAACTTTCAAAATCTTATTAGTTGTCTTGTTTAATTCAAGTGAGTGAGTGTGTCTGAAAATAAATAAATTTCTCAAAACTACTGCTCCTATCAGTCCCCCCAACAGTCTTTACATTGCTCGTACGCGGCACACTGGGATATGACTACAGCAATGACATAGAGGTCAAAAGCAAGGTATACGAGATGGAAAATGTACCTGGAGTGTACTTGGTGACACCAATACGAAGGGACGGAGCAGGATTTACCCAAAACGAATACCGGCAGATTCAACAATGGGGGAAAATGTACATCAGAGCTCGTGCGCAGGACATTTTTACAAACACCCAACAATTGACAGCGGAGGAGATTTCGGTGATAGGACAAATCGAAAAAGCGATAAAAAGAAAGGGACAAGACACACAGGAGGTTGAGGAGGCTGTGGGAAACGGGGACCTGGAAATAAGCTTTCCGAACCTACCCTTGTTTCTCGACCAACTGTTGTTGCGAATCAACCCAGCCTTGGATCCGGAAGGAGAGACCAGGCAAAAGCAAACTTTATTCTATGTTGGATGTAGCAAGAACATGACCTCTAGAGTCACCAGCCACGATGCGTCGGTACACAAAATGGCACACTCGAACAGACCGCTCTGCTTTTTCTTGATTTGCTTGAGATGACTTGAAATTCGACATGACTTATTGGTCAAAATCCCAATAATCAAATGTTGGAAAACGGAAACCTCGAAAATAGCTGAAGTTTTGATTACCTAGATATCACAATCAATGCTTGAGTGGGATGGTTTCAATGTAGCTACCGCACGAGCCGCACCAGATATCAAACAACATGATAGTATGGACTTCCGTGATATTAGAAAAGAAATCTTCGTAATACAATCGTGGTTATGGAACCGTTTGCCAAATTCCTGAAGGTGAGAGAAGAGTTGACCGAGCTTTAAAGACGGATTGAAAAGTTGCTGAATGGAACCTACAAGAAAGAACACCGCGAAACAGAGAAGCTTCAACTCAAAGCATTCGACCGGACGAAACAAGCTGAAGAACAAGTTCAGAAAAAGAGAAGGTTACTTCAGCGAGGAACTCAGCTTTTAGAAAAGCCCGAGCTAAAAGTTGAATTTTCAAACTTGGCTGAGGAATACAACCAGTCCCTCAAAATGGACAAGGATCTGAATTTTGATGAATTGATGGAAGAGGTGGAAGAGGCGATACCTGACACACCTATTGAAAAGTGTCGACGTTGAAAAGAGACAGTTGACCAGTTCATTGCCGAAGAAGAGGGATGATAACACACAAGCAAACCCCAGCCGTCCACCTACGATAAAAGCGCCTAGGCATTCGATGTCCTTTGTACCAGCTCGAATGGAAGTGCTCCAGCATTTTCGAGCTCACAACGATTTAACCATCAACGATACTCTGACTCCAACTGAACCGGAAAAACAACTACCATCACCACTGAGTAGTACAACCGTTTGAATTTTAATAGGACGATCTTCACCCAACATGTTTCAGTCAGTCCAGAACTACAAGGTTAATCCATTTCTTCCCAGTGAAGCAAATACAAAGAAACATATAACAACTTCCAGTTCGAAAGGGCCTGGAAGAAAGCCGTTAACGGACATTTCATGGAACGAGTTACTGTGGTTACTGGAATGCTGATTTTTGTTAGCTAAATCGCATTCTAAGCTAACAGTTTCTCGAAGTGTCATAATCTTTCTTTTCTTGTTCAAAACCGCAAAACGGAATTTTAAGTTTGGGATTTTGCAGCAATCTTTTAATGTTCTGGCAATTCCTTTAACTTTACGTTTTGAAATTTGAATATCCCTTCCACCTCCCAGGTACATTTTACCGCTCAGGCCTCTCGAAGTAGTGATTTAAGCTTTTGAGCGGTTAATCATGCTACGGGAAGTAATATATTTAGCCATATTTAGACAGCTTTTAGCTATCTAGCTAATAGAGGAGCTCTCAGAATCTACTTCTTAGCTTCTATGTTAGGATCGCTCTATTATTTACTCCACAATCAGAGGCTTGAGCGGAAAGGTACACCTAGGAGGTGGAAGGAATACTGTTAGAGTCCGAAACCACATAAATTACCCAAAAATACTCACTAATTTACGACGATTCGTCAAAACAATTGACGAGAAATGCGATATTCTGTTAACTAGAGAAAATTAGTATAGAGTTCCTACTACCGCTCACTTTTTCCACTATAAGCCATATTTCCAAATTTCCAAGCGACTAAATGTCGAACACATTCGCGGCGAAATCGTAGTTTGTAGCTTATTAATCCGTAGAACCTAGAAGCCTGATTCCTCTCTCGTTAGAGAATTTATTGACGACGCAAGTAAATTCTATTTCTTCTCTTATAAATAAATTATATAGTATAAATCATCTTAGGGTATCTAAAACGATTTCGATTATAAGTAATATATTTTTAATAGACGTTATAAGTCTACTATTTAATCTATTAATTATTAATTTAACTTAGAATTAAGTTAGCTATTTTAATCTAAATTAAAGCTACTAATTATATTAAATATTCTACTTAAAACCCTAATAGTAGCTTTCTTATTAATATATACTATAGATATAGTTTTTATATATCTATAAGTTATTAGAACGATTATTAAAAGTGTAATTCTAGGATTAGGGAAAGAACGACTTACACAAAGGCAGTAAAAGTGGGTCTCGCTGAAGGTGAAGTAACGTCTAAGTTGGCAGTTAGTCTATTCTTTCTACAACAGCTTTTTGCAAAGGTGAAATCAATCTACTTTCAACGATCTACATTACAAGAACTCATCAAACTAACTCTGCGATCTCAGAGTAAGTGATTCTCCTCCTCAACCAACTTTATACATAGGCTAACTCATATACTTGACAGTTTGAAGCCTGAACCTATCACAACTTTCTCAGCTCCGCACTTTTCAGCTATCGATCTATTTCAGAACGATGGCCAAAGTCAAGATATCAGCAAAGACTATCCATGTGAAACGTCAGGGATTACGGAACAGAGTCGTCAAGATGAAAAGAATCTCGTCGATTAGAAGTAAGTTCGGAAAGCTACGCAGACAGATCGGATATTGACATTTCTCAGAGGGTATTTGGCGAAGAAGCGGGAAAAGCCAGCATGATAAGGTACAATTAGAAGAATCAGCACAGGAAGACGTGGAAGAAGAGCCAGAGGAGGAGGAAGATGTGTCCGATCTACCGCTAGATAAATCAGATTTCTGCGCATTTTTTCGACAGATCGCTGCAAAGATGCATATCAACCTTCGTTGCGCCGATGACGAAATCAAAACTCTCGAAGGAAAAGAAGAGCCCGAAATAACCATGATTCTCACAAGTAAGTTCTCCACTACCCTTTACTTTTTCCGATAATCTTTCTGATCACCCCCTTTCAACAGTGGCGAATCGCACTGCGTCTCATGTCAACAGAGTTACAGTCACTGAGGATTTGCAGTTGGTTAGTCGGTTGCGATTAATGATGACGGGCAAGAATTGAAAAAAGGGTCTAGTCTTTTCATGAAGAATGACTGGTCGGTTGATCATTTGCAAGTTGCGATAACGAGGAGTAAGGGCTTCGATGATAGTTTTCACTCAAAGGTTTCGAGTGGGAGTGGTATTGAAAAATCGGAATAGGTTCTATTTTGCCCTCGCTCAGTGCGGCACACTTGTTCTGTTCTTCACAAAGGTACAACGGCGAACACTGAAGATTGATGGAAACTGGATTAAGATGATCACTCGAAACTATGAAGTCGAATGTGTATCTGGAGAAACCATCTCCAACTCCAAACTCACCATCCCTCCAACTCACCACTGATATCGCCTCCGTCCCCTCACATTCAAAACCTCATACTACCTGTCTCCCGCTAACAACCCAAACATAATCCATCCGACACTCCATCCCCTCCTTCTTCTTCTTCTCCATCAACATCTTCCACGGAACATGAGTTCTCCTTCCATGTCTCTCTCCCGTCTCTCCGTTCACCCAATCAATATCGATAGAGAGTCTGCTTCCGGGGAGTTCGTACGGGGTGTGACCTGTTATTCGAGCAACAGTTAGTTTTGAAATCTGAATATGAGGGATGGGGAAGGGGCGCGAAGCAGAAAAAGCCTCACGGTTTGTCCGTATATAATCTTCGTTTTCGAAATAGAATTCTGTGGTGCGGGTGTTGTAGATGAGTATGAGTTTGTTGGGTGGTGAAATGTCTGCCATGGTTCTGTGTTGGTTTAGGGATTTAATATGTGTTTCTGGTAGATGCATGGTCTAAGGCTGGAAAGCGGATGTGAATGTACATAATATCTTCTCCTGGAGTTCAATTTATCTCATATTCACTTGTCTCCAAATTTGTCTCATTCCAGCATTCCCTAATATTCTGACTTTCAAGCCGATGTCGCTTAAAGACGAAGTCACAATACCTAGGTAACATATCATGATTTAACTAGTAACTCTGATATAACAGACAGAAGAACTGGGGACTACTCATAAATCACACTGAACTTGTGGCTTTAAACTGCGGTTAGGTTAAATTATTTAAACAAGTCTCGAAAGCCCATCGTATATTCAAACTTTCGTACAAAATGCATGGCCTATCTCCAGTAATCCCAACCCCACAAACAAATGATGGCACACCTGAAATTCACCACCACGCCCCCGAATCAAATACTCATACTTCTGTTCCCATCGCCATGTCAACGTCTTTCCTTCATTCTCCTAACCCCACAACCCCAACCCCAGAATAACAACTCACCCATATCTACCAAACTGCACAACCTCAAAACCAAACCTATAATTTGTAACCAAACACCTCACCCATTCCTATCAAAATAATACGCATCACACCAACTTACCACCACATACCACCACCTCACCCCACACTCAAACTCATGATGTGGCTCGAACCAAACGATCTGGTCTACAACATCCCTGAAGCAAAATTCTACTACATACCCATTTCACAACTCCAAAAAAAGATCTTGAAGAATCGTACCTATTCCCTTTCTCCCCGTCCCTATCCACTTTCTCCCCTTTCCTCTCCCCTCTCGCACCACCAGCTAACCTCCCTCTTAGCAACACTCATCCGCTGGGAACCAATCGACCCACACACACGCATCATCGACGTCGACTGGAGCTACTCCCAAGGCCTCACGCCCCTCCAAGACCAACACGCGCCGTTTGCGCGGAAACTACGATTACCGCTCAAGGTCATGGTTATGAGAATGGTGGAAAGGAAGAGTTATCGCCGGCTGTATCTTGAGCGGGGTGGGAGTGGGAGGGGTGGGTTTAGGGTTGAGAGACGGTTGTAGGTGAAAAGGGGAAAGGGGGTGAGGGATGGGGTGGGAATGGGGCAAGTAGCTATATCTTGGAATCAAAGTACTTTGTTTCATGGAGGTCATGTCTAGGGTACCTACTTGGATGTGACAGGTATAAACTTTGGATAGTCATCGAATTTCGTCCTCCCATTTATTCATCAATCCACGATCTCAAAAATCATACTCATTTCCAAAACCCACACAACACTTCATCCAATAAATCGCCAGTCACAGCTTCGCCGCCCCCGCACTCCCAAACAAAAACTCCTTAATATACAAATTCACCTCATCCGGCTTCTCCCACAGCGCCCAATGACTCGCATTAACCTCGCCCCTCGTCAGGCTCCGGAAATACTTGTCCATGTTCTTGGACATGGCCGGCGGGAGCGCGGCGTCTCTCGCGCCGCCGATGAAGAGAAATGGCATTTTGAATTTATATGTTGACCAATCGATGTTCATGGCTTTTTCGTCTTCGTAGTTGAGTTTGCCTGTACGGTACCACTGGTCGCAGTTAAAGTTAAATTTCAGGGATATGGGTGAGTGAAGAGACTTACATTAGTAGGCCCTTGCATCCCATTAACCGCGAACCTCTCGACGTAAAAATCCATTTCTTCTTTACTCAACAAAGGCGTCTCCCCAATCCTCACCAACTTATCCAAATAAACTCCATGCTCAACACCAAACCCCACCTCCTTTTCCTTCGTCCGTCCACCATACATCGCATTCAAAAACTGCCTGATCTTCTCCTCGCCCTTAACCTGTTCCACGATCTCATCTCCCCGAAACTGGATCTGATACTTGAAATTCGGCATCTCAGCCATATCCCTGTATTCTTCCCCGGGCGGACCAAACGGCGTACACACACTGAATACCGCGGATACGAGATCTGGATGGAAGAGCGCGACGCGGTAAACCGTCGCTCCTCCCCAGTCATGGCCGCCTAGAATGATTTTGCTTAGTTTGAGTTCAGCGGCGAGCGCAGCGATGTCGTCTGCGGCGCGTTTGTATGTCATGAATTTGGGGTCGGAGGAGGTGGAAGAGTGGCCGTAACCTAGCATGTCTGGGACGACGACGCGGAGACCAAGGGAGTTGAGGAAGGGGATTTGATTGCGCCATCCGTAGGACATATCGGGGAAGCCATGGATGAGAAAGATGGTGTCTGTTGCGGAGCCATTTTGGGGCTCGGAAAGCATATAAGAGTATTTTTGGCCGTTGAGGGTTGTGGTTTTGTAGAGGGATTTGGCTTCTGAGACGGAGAGTTTGGGTGCCATGGTGGAGATATGAGGGGATATGGGATGAGTTGATGATTGTTTTCCGCTGAGATATGAATATGAATGGGAGATGAGTTGTTATAAGTATTTCCAGAGGGGATGTGAGTTAAATATATTATGGGGAGTCCCGCGACCCAAGTGGGTTTGGCCCGCTCCAAGGATATCGATCCACAATGCAGACCGGTACGTACGTTGGACCTCGGCACATTAGCAGTTGGTATCTTTGTAAGCCGATATAATTTTGATGCTTGTCATAACGTTTCTTTTCGAATAGGTGATTAGTTGTGTTCGACTTCGATTAAAATTCGAAGCTTGCGAGCGGGGTCTGGCTCTGTGAGGCTGTCTGAATGGAACTAAGCTCTTTTGACCCACTTGGCTCTGCAAAGCTATACATATTTTTGTCCTCCAAGCATTGCAGATGAATGATTACTGATGGTCGAATACCGATTTTGTACATTGAATATTGAAAATTCAAACGCTTTTCATAGCGTGCCTACATACAAGACACAAGGATATCAATTGCTCAACGCCGAAAGTCCGAGCGTGTCATCAACTCCACCAAACCAGGACGCCAAAAGACCATCCCATCGAACATAGCAAGACTCTCAGTAGATTACTGTATCCTCCTCATTCTCAACAACTACCTCACCATTTTGCTCTTCCAAAGAGCTTTTCTCAGCAGTTTCCTGTTCATGAATTACTTGTACAGGTGTATGGTCAGTAGTATCAACAGATTTAGAAACGGACGGAGACTCGATCTGAGGCTCACCCACCGTCTCTATGGATTCGGTATTAGTTTTGTCAGCTACAGAAGACTTCTTTCTTGGGTATTGGGGATATCGATTGGCAAATTCATCCTCTTCTTGCCTAACTTGGGCTTCTGCTTCGGTGATTTGTGATTTGATACGTTCTTCGTCGCTAGGCAATAGCTCCCATGGCTTATAATACTGGAGCGGTCAGTTTAAAAATTGGTAACGATCGAATGAAGCTGCTTACAATTCGTGGCTCGCTCTTTGTATATAGGGAGTGTGCCATCGCAAGAATATTGTTATGTCGTGTTCGCACCTACTTCACCATCAGTATATGTTTTCATAAAACTTTGCTTATCGCATACCGCTGATTCCTGAAACTTAATCTGCTCCGACTTCCGCGTCACGACTAGATCTTCGCGCTTTCGCGCTCTTCGTTTTTCGTCCTCGGCCTTCTGCTGTTTAGCCTTCTCCTGCTGCCTCTTCTCAATTTCTAGTCGCCTTTTTGTTTGGGTATTCGGTGCGGTCTGACTCAGTGTACTTAACAAGCCTCCGAATAATCTCTGGCCTCGCTTTCTTTCCTCTTGTACGCTCGCTTTCCGTCTGTCGGTCCTGGGTTCAACAGGCTTATCTGTTGAAGGCTTGTTTTGTGTCGCTGATTCCGGCGATGTTTCCAAGGGCGCTGCAATTTCATTTTTGGCTTCCTCGGACGATGTTCTCACACGTTTCGAGGGCTCAATGGGTTCTGATGACAATCGTCGTTTTGCGGTCGGAGATAATGCTGGTTCAGCAGGTACCGGATCTGGCAGCACAACAGCCGATGCGATAGGTCTGGTAACAAATTAGAGATTGTTTCTATAAGATGAATCTGTACTTACGCCATGGCTTCTTTCATGCGAAATATCCCCTTCCTCCTTCTTGGCGATTGTGCATTGTCGACATCGATCTTGTGCAAGGCTACGAGACGGAATACAAATTATTACGATAGACCCAATTTGGCCTTAGCGTGGTATGGGGAAGCTCTGGGCCGCTTACCAATTGGCAACCGCCACTTTATGTGGGGCAGCAGAACCTTGAAGGCGTGGTCCAAAAGCTCGACGGCTGAACCTCAAGCTCTCCATATTCTCAAACAACAACCTCAAAGCTGCCGTACCAACATAGCAGCTACTTCTTGCAAATTCATCTGATCTTGCTCTAGACCCAACTGCCCATCATGTCTCGCCATCATCCGTAAGTAAACATTTCAAAGCTTAAAAGACCAGCTTCTGTTTGCGCCTGCTACTTTGTCCATGCTAACACTTCCACAGAGATTTGGTTATGTGCCGCAAACAATCAGGTATTGCGATCGGACGTCTCTGCGACAAATGCGACGGTAAATGCCCAGTTTGCGATTCCTACGTCCGACCAACAACCCTTGTCCGAATCTGCGACGAATGCAGTTTTGGCAATTATCAAAACAAGTGTGTTGTTTGTGGTGGAGAGGTACGTTTGATACATTCTTGGAGGACGAATGATGCTGACAATGTCGATAGGGTATCTCTGATGCGTTCTACTGCTTCGAATGTACGCGTTTGGAGAAGGATAGAGATGGGTGTCCGAAGATTATCAATCTGGGTTCTTCGAGGACGGATCTGTTTTACCAGTAAGCACTCCGCGGAACGTTTTTGGTTTGAGAGACGACTGACACGCGCGATAGAAAAAAGAATTTTCGGAATCATTAGCCAGTTTTATACCCCAGCAGCTACTCTCCTACCAAATTAAAGCAATATGACGAATCCACAATCAGGCGTGCTGGGAGCAGATCTAGAACCATGAACATGGATGGATCAAAGACTTTATGGGCTCGTATGGCGTTAAGGGGATGCAGGATGGGCATAGAATCATGAATGACAGTGGTTTACGCGGTCGCTCAAGTTAGCTGTTTTGTGTCACATTCCAGACACTTAAGTGTATTGATACTGATTCTCGGTTGCAGACTCCAAAACCATCCAAAATAAAGGATCTTTCATACGCTACCACTCTCTTGACTTCTTGCGACCTGATCGTGAGTTGCATACATTCTTTCATTTCGTCGAGCCAAATTTCATCGTCTCCAACTTTGAACCAGGATATCTAGAAAATGCTGCGGCGATTTAAATCGCCAAGCTGAAAACATCGCATTGTTGCACCCCACAGATCCTGTCCACTCTGTATTTCTGGCTTTCACAGTTACGATTGGCACTCTAGCTTTTACCTTCCAACAACTTTCAGTTCTCTCCCCCTCAACATCCCACTCCCTCAACACTCCTTAACCCAAAGTCTCCCATATATCTCCTTTTGCAACGCCTTCCTACACACCACCTTCAACGGCAACGTAATCACCACCCTGTGATAAGAAACCCCGCCATCTCTGCGTCTGAATATTATGGTAGTATCCTTCATAACTCGCGTCCACTGTGGAATCGGAATCGTCTCAAACCTATAAGCTAAACCAAACCATCAGCCGCGCTGTCAATAGCAAGACAAAGGGCAAGCAACGTACGGTGAGCGTCGATAATACCTAGAAGCTCGCGATGGCCGTGGTAGGTAAACGTCTGTGTTCTGAGCGTGTACACCAGTTCTACACCTGGCATGATTTTGGTCTGGAGCTCTGTCGGCGAGGGCTTTTGAGTTGGGATTAGAACGGAGGTACGGTGCGTCTCCGAATTTGATAGGCGCTTTTGGTTTGGTCTTTGATGATCCATTTTGCGGTAATCTGCCGGACGTGTGTGGTTTGGGCAGAGTGGAAGGGTTGAAGTGAGAAGAGTGTGTAAATATCTCGCGTCTCTTAATCACCCTGATCCTTTTCCTTTAATACTTAAAACTCCTTGAATAATCTTATTCCGCTTCCTTGGAATTACCTAGACATCAACGATGTCTGCACCATTTTTCAGGGAATGAATCACAACATCCCAATGCTTAATAACAGAGGATAAACTCACAGTTATTCGACAGCTATTAATAATTTAATATGGAAGATAATCAGTGTCTTAGATTCGATGTAGGTCCTTTGATTTCTCATTCATCTTTAGGTCAAACTCACAATTCAAGGTCTCACATTTCATCATCACACTCAGCTAAAACAAACAATTTTGTGCTGCATATCTCTATTCTTGTATTCGAGAAGCTCATTACCCTAGCTCTAGCGTCCCTCCAAGGAACACACATGTATGTCGACAACGTCCATGTTTCTACCCACCCCAAACATCAAACGCGGCCAGGGTAATTTCCGCTGGACATACCCTACGGCAATATCCACAGCAATGTACTAAGTTAGGTGGACCGAATCAACGATAAAAACATTGATGGCCCGAAATTCAAGTCAAGAAGACTCTCGAGTGAGACATCTACTCTTCGTCGCTGCTCTCCTCGTCATCGCCAGCAGCGGCGGCTTTCTTGGCTGGCTTCTTCTTCTTCTTGTTCTTTGGCTTGGTCTCTTTGGCGAGAGGCTGCTCGAGGATCTTGAGGACTTCCTCGTCGGTGATTTTCTTGTCAGATTTTATCTTGTCGAAATCTGGTGTTGGTGGTGCTGCAAGCTTTTGGAGACCGTTCTTGGTGATAGCAATGGTCGTAAGTAGACGACCAACAGCTTCTCCATCCTTGTCACCAACGACCTCGTATTGTCTGAAAACATTGCCTCGGACGCACTCAACAACACCAACCTTGGCATCTCTCTCGTCCTCCAACTGCCTCAAACTGAAGGGGAAAACACCAAACTTCTTGACAACTTCATTCAAGATCTTCTTGGAACTGGGCCGTTTGAGAGCGTAAGTCAATGTGGTCCGGCGATGAAGGGTCGCCCTGTTCTCAAAGTTCTTGATCTTTCCGGACCCCAGAGACACACCCATCTCCACACCCCAGACATCTCCTACCTCTGGAGTACCTTCACCCTTGGTTCCATCCCCGGGCGCAAGAATGATCTTCTTCTTGCCTTCAATCTCGTTTCTCTCAAATTGCCAACTGGTGGTGTGCTCAACCAAGTTGCAGTCGTAACTCTTGACGACCTTCTCCAGAAGACTGGTGATCTTGCTTTGGCTAGGTGCCTTGACCTTGGCAGCCTTTGCCTTTTCTTCATCTGTCCCTGCTGTAAGAAGTCCTGGTGGAACCATCAATCTTAACAGAAGTTCATTTGCATAATGTGTCGCAAGAATGAGATCAGCGCTTCGACCTTCTGGAATTGTGCCAACGATGATGGTGTCGCAGACAATAGTTCCGAAACCATCGATTTGAGCTCCGAGCTGAATCTTAACAGCTTCTCCTTCCTTTAACTCGACTGCTGCTTCGGACTCATCGGTTTTGAGTGGGGTGTATGGGGTGACGAATGCGGACGGGGAAACGGTGGTTGGGTGGGAAATTCCTGTGAGTTGTGAGTTGAATGAATCTACTGGGGTGACTCAGAATATTCTATACCCTTGATGATTTTCTTTCCACGGTAGACCTTTGAGATCTCTTCCTCCAAGAGCTTGTCGCCCTTCTCACATATTTCAACAACCTTCGCGCCGGCTAAGCAGAGGGCAGAAACTGCCTCGAGGACTTTCTGCGAAATTTGAGCAGCACTCTTGTATTTCGTGAGCGTATCTGGGTTGTTGAGGGTATAGTCTGTTCAAAAGGTCAGTATATATGGCTCGTCTCCCGAGTCCTGTTGCCTCGACTGCTCAATACATCAGGATAGCGGGGTAGAGCAACAGCCCACTAAAGCTTCAGTTGACGAATGCAAGCAAATAATCACTTACCAACCTCCTCGGTTTCTTTTTTGTCTGCCATATTGACTGATTTAATAACTGAGTTGTGCTTTGGAAAAAGTAGAAGGTCAAACAACACTCTGTCGTAGATGGATGGCGAAGGAGTGATGGAGGGGTTTTCGCTATGAGAGAGTGTCTGAGCTTCCAGGTTTGTGCGAGGGAGGGAAGCGAGCGGGCCGGACAATCGAATCTGAACGGAAATAATCCATGTCCCTGCCTGTCGATGAAGAGGTTAAATTTGGCCTTGTTTATTCTGCAGTAAAGGTCTTTCGCACCTGCCGTAGGAATTGCTGATGAGACGATATGTCATGTGATGTACGACCCCTTTAATCTCCAATGTCACTTTCTGCCTGAGATGACCTGTATGCCTCAGCCACAACCAGAAGCGTGTCGCGAAGTGCAGCCAGCCTCGGATCGCGCCTCACCACGAATTCCAAAATATACTCGCTGCCGTCGTCTGTCGCCTCGTGAGTTCCGCGCTCTATAGGACGACTGCGAATTGATTGCGGATGAGGTCGCCATGGCTCCAGAACCCCAGGAACCGTCCGATGTCACCAGCGCGGATCCTACCACAGCGGTCTCCTCGACATTAACTCACCGTGGAAGAACGAAAGAGGACAAGGAGAAGTTCGTTCTTGAGCAGATGGTCCATCGGGACACATTGCATTTTGAAGCGATCGTATCCGACCAGAACAGTCGACAAATCACATACAACAGACGGAGGGACGAGATTGATGATTACAGGAACGTCCGCGGACAGTACAGACAATTCTTTCCACCACGGAAACTCTACGGGGAAGGATACGCAGGATATGGAAACGGCTATACGGATGGTCCGACAAAACTCATATATCCCAATGCGAAACCGCGACTGGGGCATAGGAAAACGCCAAAATTACGAATCAAGCGCAAGGAACTAGCGCAACAAGCTGACCAGGTCGAGGAATTGGTACCTGTGCGACTGGAGGTGGATTGGGACAAGGTCAAACTTCGCGATACCTTTACATGGAATTTACATGACCGCACTATCCCCCCCGACCTTTTCGCCGCAACATTGGTGGAAGACCTGGGTCTTCCTCTTCCAACGTTCAATCCAGTACTGGACCAAGTTCAGCAGCAGTTGCGCGAACAACTTGGCGACTTCTATCCTCAAGTTTACATCGAAGAGGATGCTCTCGATCCCGAGCTGCCTTACTCTGCTTACAAGAATGAGGAAATGCGAATTCTGATCAAGTTGAATATCACGATTGGGGCAGTCACTCTGGAAGATAAATTCGAGTGGGAAATCAACAACCCAATGAACTCACCCGAGGAGTTTGCGCGCAGCATGACTAGGGAGCTACACCTAGCTGGGGAGTTTACCACTGCGATAGCGCATTGTATACGGGAACAGAGTCAGTTGTTTACAAGGAGTTTATTTATTGTTGGACACCCTTTCGATGGCCGGCCATTAGAGGATGCGGATTTGATTGCCTCGTTCTTACCATCGCCATTACCATCTGTTCTTAGACCTCAGCAGCAGGCTCGAGAATATGCGCCATACTTGTATGAATTGAGCGAAGTGGATTTAGAGCGAAGCGAGGTCATCTACTCTCGAGAGCAGAGGAGGCAGAAGCGGTCTGTCAACAGAAGGGGTGGTCCAACATTACCGGATCTCAAAGACCGGCAACGGACGGTTCGGACGCTTGTTGTATCCAAAACACTTCCTGGCGCGGCCGACACTGTAGAGGAGAGCAGGTTGTTCAAGAAAGTCGCTGTTGGTCGTGGGAAGAAGGGCCTGCAAGGAGGCGATCTCACAGAGTCTTCAGACAGCGAAGACTCCTCACCAGAGTCACCAGCTATGTCCAATCTACCCCAAGGTACCGCAAGGACAAGGGGTATGAGAGGGGCGGCTACCGCTGCCCAACAAAGAATGGCGAATATCGGGAGATCCGAAACGCCTGAAGCATCATTAGCTCATCATCACGAAACTCGTACATCTGCTCGAAGGTACGGCGGACGTGATGTTCGAGAAGAGAGCGTGGATAATACGACGCTCATCGTGAAATTGAAAGTGGGACGTGAAAGGTTAAGAAAGTGGTCTCGAGAACTGAAAGCTAGAAGCCAAGCTCCTCAAACACCGTCTTTAAGTCGAGCACCTTCTGCCGCTGCTGTTACTCCTGCTCCTGGGACGATGGGCCCTCCTACAACACCTGGCTTATCAAGTCAAACACTCCATCAACCGCCACCACCAACTCCATCACCGGCTCCAGTTCCTCAAGGACAAATTGGGCGCGTCGAGGCTCCACCACCACCTCCTCCAGGCCAAGCGCCGCCACCTCCGGTAAGTTTAAGGGACAATTAATTTTAAAGCTTGAATCCTCCTACTCTTAAAATCGCTTCTGTGTACTTATTGTGTGCCTCATGTAAAGTTTCAAGGCCAAGGGCTTGCCTGAAAATACATTTTCTTTGTTTAAGATTCACTACTACGACAATGCAGCTTGACTTTTAGCTCATGCAATGAAGATACGCTAACAAAAGTCTAGCCGCCCCCTCCCGAATGGCTTGCAGCAGGGCTCGAAGCTCTCCGTCAAGCATATCCCGGTGACCGTTTTGAAAGTGTTATGAAGCATTTAGCTGTCAACAAAACGACAGATCTTCCAATGCCAGCACCTCCACCAGATCAAGCCGACACGGTCAAGTGGATGTACCTGCCCCGTATACGATGCCAAGACTGTCCCGGAAAACTATATACCCCAGGTCCGGAGGAAACTGTAAACAACTTTGAGGTTCATTTGAAAAATCGAGCACATAGAGAAAAAGTCGATGCTAGGATCGCAGGGAAAAAGTAAGTGTCTTACTTGGAAGGTGTAGCTGGAGTAAAAGGGTTAAAAGCCTGTACAATATGAACATGGGATATAAGCGACCAGGACATAATGGTGTTTGGGGAATTGGAGTACGATATGGAATCCGGCCTGTCTTGAATATACTATCCGATATTGCTAAACTTGGGAAATAGACCTTGCCGAAATATCATCGACATTGTAGTCGTGAAAAGGATATTTGGTGGAATTGTACTTTTTCAACATATTTCGCTTCAATCTTCGGGCTTTTCTGCGGTGAATTGTGTTGTCTTTTCTGAGAAGTTTCATGGTCGTGGTGGTGTCTAGTGACTATAAATGTAGCCACGCGACTACTAACATAGGAACTCACATTTACCGGTGGTCAGCTGTACACATCCCACCTCATAATAATTGTGTGCCGCTAGTCTCTAACTCGAGCAACTATAGGATATTCAAACATTCAGGTTCCTTAATTCCTTGGCTTATGTTACTATGCTTCGGGGCAATTCACGCGAGGTTCTCGTGGTTGATGAATCTATTCATCATAAGTGATCTGGAGTTGTTGCTTGGCATGCGTGCTGCGAAACCCTTTCAATGGTGAGCCACAATTTGAACTTCTATCATAACACTCTTAGTAATTTTGATTCTTGCAGGTAAATAGTGTGCAGGTTTATGTGAGCGGGTGCTACACCTGTCTTGGGCTGATTTTCCGGCGCCGATACGCTGCAAAGATGATCTCACGATGTCTTCACTTTTCTGACTTTGTGCTACATATACTAATTGTCTAGGAGCTGGTCTTCAAAGATGCCAGCACTACCCCTCAGGAACCCAATGCGGCAACTCCATTCTGTTATTTGGTTCACTAGCATTCACAGCCAACCATGCATCTATTGTTGATGTGAATGACCAGCCACACAGATTTCTTGAACAAGTGCCTCTACGATCTTGACTAGTCTCATCCTCATCCTCAACTCGGCCGGTTCGATATATTCAGTCCCGAATACCAAGCCACTTCCGTCTGGTCAGGAACCATATCGCCAAGTGGTGTAGGTAATGACTGAACTCCATGTTATAAATACCACACATCCATCTCCTCGCTTCTCATTTGCGGTTTCTTCTTACCTACACAACCACTTGCATACAATTTAGCTTTCATCTAAGTTGCAAATACAATGAAGGTTCCAAGTTTCTTCACGGCCTCTCAGGCTTTCTTCGCGGCAACGAGACAAAATCAGGGCACTCAGTTCATTCCCAGTCGAGCTCCTGCAATTCCTCTTGCTGGTAAGTCTATACCAATTGCAAGTCAATGGAGAAAGGAACTAATATCGAATAGTGAAGTCTCCTTACATGAATACTTGGTTGGAGGTAGGTAGCAATGGCAACGGAAATCTCGCAGGGAATTGGCCAAAATTTTGGGCGTGAGCAATCCCTCAACACCTCCCTCTTATCCATTCTGTATTTTTCCAAGTACTCTTCTCTTCAATTATCTAACTTCAAACAGCGGCGCGCAACCAGGCGACGTAATAGGAGACTCCGGCGCAACAACAGCATTAGCAGGTCTAATCAAAGTCGACGACCTACACTACACCTGGATGGGGGACCCCGTCATAAACGGCATCCGACCTACCCATGTGAGCCAAGAAAGCGTTGAGTTCACTTCCCAGCGCACAACGTTTATCATGAATGTTGCTGGGAAGGTGAGTATGAATGTTACATTCATCAGTCCGGTCCAGCCGAATGATCTCAAGAGACAGAGTATTGTTGGGACGTATCTGGAGGTTGGTGTGAAGAGTCTCGATGCGGCGGGGCATAAGGTTCAGCTTTATGTTGATACTTCTGCTGGTATGGATTCATCATTCTTGAGATGCGTCAGGGGGAATACTAATTTGTGATAGAATGGGTGAACCCAACACATAACTCTGATGTAGTTGAGTGGAGGTAAGTTCACTTCTTAAAGTGAGACTTGTGATACTGACTTTTACAGTTTCTCCGATCAAAATGGCATCGCAAGTCACAAATCATGGCTTAAAACCCAGAGCGAGTTTAACGCCGATTATCCAGATGATGCTGCGCATTGGGGTAATTGGTATTTGTCGACTGCTGCTATTTCTGGGATGACTTATCAAACTGGAAGTGATAACAATGTTAGACAAAGATTTTTGAGCAGTGCTACGCTTGATAATAGTCTTGATACTAATTTCAGAGCTATCAGACAAGACTGGCCTGTTTTTGCGTTTTGTAAGTGGAATTTTGTCTAATTGGCCCACAAATTAACACGTTTTAGCGAATAATCTCGGACATGTAGGAGGGTCTCCAAAAAAGACTCTGTATACAATCGTTCATGCTCAAAAGAATGCTGTCTTATTCAACGGTGCCAATGGAATCGCTCCAGTGCCATCACTCTGGACAAGCTACTTTGACTCTGATGCTGCTCTGGTATCACACCTTCCATTCCCTCTCAAACCTCTACTAATAACACCCCCAGGTCGAATTCTTCTACAAAGACCACCCCACCATCACCGGCGCAATCGACACCCAAATCGCCCTCCATTCCCACGCAGCCGGCGGTCCAGACTACACCCTCCTAACCACCCTCTCCGTCCGGCAATCCCTCGCCGCCACCGTCCTAACCAACACGCCCACCTCCCCGCTCCTCTTCCTCAAAGAAATCTCCTCAAACGGCAACACCCAAACCGTCGACGTGATCTTCCCCTCCCTCCCCCTCTTCCTCTACCTCAACCCGTCCTTCGTAAAATACCTCCTCGAGCCGCTCTACATCAACCAGGAGTCCGGGCGTTGGCCACATACCTACGCGATCCACGATATCGGGGCGAACTTTCCTAGGGCGATCGGTCATGAGGATGGGAATGCGGAGGAGATGCCCGTTGAGGAGTGCGGGAATATGATTATTGCTAGCTTGGCGTATGCGCAGAGGGCGGGTGATAAGGAGTATTTGAAGGGGCATTATAAGATTATGAGGCAGTGGGTTGAGTATTTGGTGGAGGATAGTTTGATTCCGGGTCATCAGTTGAGTACGGATGATTTCCGTGAGTGACTTTTCTTTCTTCTTCTTTTACCCTTCTATTATCTCTGGCTGGGACAGCATTCGCTCCCGATACCAGACCCAACGCATGCTAAATCTACCCAGAGGGTCCCCTCCAAAACCAAACCAACCTCGCTTTAAAAGGTATCCTAGCCATCTCGGCAATGAGCGAGATCGCCCGCCTCACAGACCACCCCGACGACGCCAAACTCTACAACGACATCGCAAAGGACTACATCGCCAAATGGGAAGGCTTTGCAGTTGTAGACGGGAAACACACAAGTCTCGCATACCAAGATAAGGCATCTCACGGTACTTCCCTCATCTCCTTCCCTGCCAAGATTTCACGCTGATATGCTATTTCAGGCCTCCTATACAACCTCTACGCCGACGCGCTCCTCTCCCTAAACCTCGTCCCGCAGCGCATCTACGATATGCAAAGTGCGTTTTACCCGACTATCGCGGGAAAATACGGGGTCCAGCTTGATACTAGGAATCAATTTACGAAATGTGAATTCCCCTGTTCCCCTCTTTCTCTTCCGAACCATCCATTATTTCTACAATTTGATCAAGGGTAATATGCTAATGTTAATAAACCATATAGCGGACTGGGAAATCTGGACCGCCTCCATAACCAGCTCTAGCACCCGCACGATGTTCATCTCGAAAATGGCTAATTTTGTCCGTGAAACAAGCACAAACAGGGGGTTTACGGATTTGTATGATACGACTAATGCGAAGTGAGTTAATCCTCCTACTAACAACCTCTACACTTGGGGCGGAGGTAAGGCAGAGGCTGATATATGTCTAGTTTCGCGAGATGGAAATTCGTCGCCCGACCTGTTGTGGGCGGGCATTTTGCGCTGTTGGCGCTTCCGAGGGGACGGTTTGCGGGGGAGTGGGGGATGGGAAATTTGTTGTGAGGATTGTGATGGATTTTATGGAATGGGATGGGAAGTGATTATTTGAATTTGGTATTGGGGAATGAATCTGAGATGTATGGTCGTTGGGTATATTGGCATTTGCTTATCGGGGACTACTTGGTTATGGAAGGCCGAGTTAGCTAGTATACCTGGGTCATGAAATGGGAGTTATATTCAAGTATACGATGAGAACTTGATTTCTAACTTTTATCTGAAGACTGACCTGTAAGCTAAGCAGACAGTCATCATGAACACATCCAAGTAAACGCCAGAACCTGACCTAACCTAAACGCCCTACACTCCATACGTGACATCCCAATTTCCCCACCATCACAACCCCAAAACCACCCTCCCCACCCCCTCTCAACACAACTCAACATCCCCCCCTCCCTCTCCCCAAAAGGCAACCCCGTCCCCCTCCCAACCTCACACACCTTCCCCGCCCTAACACCAACCTTACACGTCCCGCAACTCCCCACCTCACACCCGCTCGCAACATCAAACCCAGCATTCCGCAGCACATCCAGCAGACTCTCGCCCCCTTCCACCTTTAACACCTGTTTCGAACTCGCAATCTCCACTTCGAAAGCCTCGGCACTGCTTTCCGGCGCGCTGAAAGATTCGAAATGGAGGTTGGAGAGCGGGAAGGAGTGGGTGGTTGCGAGGGCTTTTATGGCTGTTGTGAGGCGCGTGGAGCCGCAGGTGTAGATGTGTGTTTTGGGCGTGATGGTGCGGAAGATGGATGGTGCGTCGAATGGTTTTCCGGTGGATTTATCCCAGATGGTAATGTTCTCGCCTAATGCTTTGAGGCGGTCGTTGAATGCTATGTCTTCGGTACTGCGGACGAGATAATGGAGATGATACTTCCCGCCATTTTCTTGTAGTTGTTTGGCAGCGGAGAGGAACGCTGTTATTCTTATGCCGCCCGCGATCATGATGTGATTTTCGGCATCTGGGATTAAGGGGAAGGAGGCGATGATTTCAGATGTGGAGAGTACGTCGCCGGATTTGAGCGTGTCGTGGATGTATTTCGAACCACCGCGACTTTCGTGGTTGAGTGCAACGCCGAGTTCGAAATGGTTTGAAGTTCCGCTGATGACACTGTATGCTCTGGTCATGCCGTTCGCGAGACGCAATCGCACATGACTTCCAGATTGCACTTCCTTCGGCTCATCCTCCTTCTCAACCCTCTCAAACACCATGCGGAAAACATCTCTACTCTCCCTAACCTTCTCCAAAACCACACACTCACTCCACTCCCCCTTCACACCCCCACCCAACCTCCCCTCCTCACTCTCAACCCCCTGTCTCAAGCTCTCCCTAAAAACCCCCCTAATCTCCTCCCCCAACTCCTCAATCCCCACAAGCTCCTCCATCGCCAATCTATCCCCCCTAACATCATGCAAATACGTCTGCACCCTCCCCAGGCTCCACCCCGGCAACCTCCTCTCCACCAACCTAACCTGATCCCCAACTCCAATCCACCCCTCCTTCAACACCCGATACATCCAGCCCGTCCTCTTCGTCTTCTGCGTCCTCGCCGCCATATCACCCACCTGAAACCTCAAATTCAACTTATAACACGGCATCCTCGGCATGCTGACCTGCACCCTCACAGTCTCCCCAATACTCACCACATCACCCACACAAACATTCCACTCATTCATGCGCCCATCCGTGATGATATTCTCGCCAAACGCCCCATTCTCGAACAGACGGCGCACATGCGGTAACTCGGCTTTCCAGCTCGCGTAGTGCAGCGCGGAATACTGATGCAGCGCCCGATCCGGGTGGTTGTGGTCGGCGTAGGCGTGTTCGTCGGCTGTGAGGCCGGCTTTGGAGAGGAAGATGGGGGCGGTGTGTGGGGATTTGTAGATGGCGGAGGTTTCGGGCGTGGTTTTGAAGGGGGTCTTGATGGGGCCGGTGCGGATTTGAAGGATGGTTTCCGCGTGCCAGGGCCTGTGGAGGTGGGCTTCTGGGTTGGGTAATGGCGATATGGAGCCCATGATGTATTTTTGGGGAGGGGAGTTGTTGAATTATTGTGTTCGTGGTTGTGGTTTGCGTATGAGGATTGTTGGCCGTGTGAGTCAATGTGAGATTCAAACTCCGGTTGAAGGTTGAAGTTGCAATGCAGAGAATGGGGATATTCGAGTGGGCGGATACAGCAGTACTTGAATATTTTAGATTGCTGAGTTACCGGAACAAGTATGAAAACGGTCTACCAAAAAAATTCATCTGAATGATTTTCAAAAATGAAATGGTCTTCGTTTAAATAAAAGGGATGAGAGGACGATAAGCGAGAGCACTAGTGGATGTTGGAGACATATTCGGGCAACTCCGATACTATTGAGCAGCTCAACATTCAGTCATTAGTGATATAAGCATCGATAAATTTGGAGAAGCGACGTAACAACTAGCTGCAGTATCTAATCTACATGTTTAGTAGCCAAACTTACAACGTGGATGCACTTTTATTGCAATTAGAAGCGTAGCTAGGATTGGCATCCTTAGGTGTTTAGATCGGTCCAGCCAACACTTGTCAGCAGCCCGCCTGCCGCAAGCGAGCTGCATCTTTAGGCCAGAACTTGGGATGTCAACATCAAACACGGAAATGTAGTATACGTTAGGCTGCCTACGCAGGGGAAGGGCGTCTCCAGATGTGGGTGTTAATCGTGAAGAAAGAAAGGCGCATGCATCCCAGCGCTCGCGCTCTTCCAGGTTCTGTCGGGCGCTTCCCCCCACTTTCGTTGTAATATGCAGTATCCGCCACTTCATCGTAGACACTTCTTGCACCTACTTCTCGTTGTGAAAGAAGATAGGTGCTTACAACAGTACCTAGGTATGGCCACAAGATTTACTAATCAATGTCGAGGGACGCTTGGACTTGAGACGAGAAATATGATTAGCTATGTTTTGCGCACGGAGATAACTGGTAGTACCTATAGATATACAGTGAAACAGACGCAATAAGGATACCAAGTCGGTGACTTAATAAAGGTCTTGCTCTCTGGACTACTCGTTAACCTTTTCATAGCCGGACACCACATACCATGAGATCTGCCGTAAACCATCACGCGTCTAACCAGGTTCAAGCCCATGAGGGCTCCTGTTCTCCTCACGACCAGCATACCCCAATCTCTCATGCCGTTCTTCCCATCCCCATTGCACCCCCACTACCAACAAGCAAACATGTAGAAATGTTTCAAGAATATCTAGCATAAGACGCGTCTAGATTTCGCAAAGCATGATCCATCCAGCTATGAGCAATAATCCTCCCAATTAGAGTCTGAGATTGCCAAAATATCGTCTAGATGAGGATAGTTCTGGCAAATGACATTTTCGATATGATGGAACATCAAACCCTTCCTCTACACAAGAGAAGAGCGAGTAGCAGCTCGTGTAGCTGAGGACCAGAGCGTATTAGTCCCAAATACGCCACGACAGTGCAAGCAACCTAGCCATTTGAGATCACTCCATCTTACCAGAGCCTAGAACATGGGTTCTTCGTTGGTTGATGGATGATTGGCCTATCAAGTTTCTGCCATTAGCTCAGGCATCGTAGTAGTGCAAGGTGGGTTTAACGATGACCCGCCCTGAGAAGTCGAGGTATTTGAATTGACTTGCTCATTTTGGGACATACTAGCCGTTGGGTTATCGGCACCCATGTACAAATGTGATGGCAAGTCCCAGGTTGAAATCAGAGAAACGGCGTCCGGGTCGAGATCGAACAAGGTAAAATCGGCATTTTCGAACCCGTATGGTGACAGAGCAGCGGCGTTTTGGTAAAATGATTGACTTGGCGGTGAGAACGGGCTGTCTTCAGTCGTAGGAGAGGCATCGATTGACTGATTGACGGTCTCCTCTGCCTCACTCGCATCCCGTTCCTGCACAGTGGAAAAGTCGAAATCCAGAAGGTCGTCATACTCAAATCCGAAAGATCCGGTGTCGAATATATTGACTCCATCCATCCAAGTGTTCACATCCAAATCTACAGGCCAATCCGGCTGATTTATGCTACCTTCAATGAGGACCGCCTGCTCCGAATGGATGTCCATAGAATAACCCGGGTGGTCTATGTTACCTTCAACAAGGACAGCCTGATTCGAATTGAGGCCTGTAGAACAACACGGTTGAGCTATGCTACCTTCAACAAGGACCGCCTGCTCTGTTTTCATGTCTGCGAAATGAGCCTTTGGGACTTGGTTATTAGAATCAGAGTGACTTGCCGGTGCAACGCTGGACACAGCAACAGGTCCGCACGCTGTGTCCGTCGGTGGGTGTAATTCAATCCTTGAACCATCACCCAGATTGCTCTCTACTACTGCATTATCCACGCCCAAGGATGCCGGTGATGTCTCTGCGGAACCGTTCTGCTCGTCGGTCTTGCTCATCCTCTTCCTCGCCCTGCACTTTCGCTGCGACTCTGCGAGTTGTGCCCGTCGACGCTCCAGCCGTGCTTCCGAAGACAGCTTGAGTGATGGTCGACCTCTGCTGCCCATGATGATTGCTGTGGAGGGAAGGGGGTGATTTGGTTCTCTCCAGATGTTGTTGGTAAGATTTCGGGAATGTTGGTGCCTGCTTAGAGAGCAGCGAGCAGGTCACAGCAGCAAATGTTCCGGCGAAACGGAAAAGGGTTCTTCCGTCCACGGCAATGCTCTTGTCGCTTGCACTTTCGCCCTTTGCTTACCGTCTGGCCTCTATAAATCAAGAGCGGGTTTGGATTGAGCTTTGAACTCTCTGTTAAGCCAAGAAAAGAGCACGCGCAGTGTAGAGCGACACAATCGCGCCATTGAGTATGAAATCATGGTCCATTCAACGCTTTCCAAATTCGAAATATACTATAGAGGCATGAAAAGGGAGCAACATCCTCGATTGCAGCGTGACGGCGTATTAGTTACAACAAATATGATATGCTGTAGTTAGATTGTTCGTTATTCTATCAACTCATCTAACAAGGCAACAGAGTAGTGGGAATTTTTAAGTCTAAAGCGCAAGAGTTAGGAGAGCTTAAAGTACACTGATCAAGTCTAGTGCTTAAGTGCGCGTAAACACCTTGTAGCGAGAACTCTGAATGCCGTATAGTAAGTAGCCTAAATACTCTATATAGTAGTGTTAGGCACAAACTAACATAATTACTAAATTCTAATCTAATAAAGGGGTTATACTTATTGTTTTTAAATAGTTAAGATTTCTATCGACTTAGTAACGAAAAGTAAAAACGACCTTGCGAGCTAAATCCAAAAACGAAATTTTATTACCTAAGAAAAATTAAACTAACAGTAAGTGTTAGCCTCCTACCGTCTACTTACTAAGAGGAGTCAATAAGTCCTAACTAAAAATTTAGCGGGCGAGACCCAAAAGTCTATTCAAAAACGAAGATGGGAGTACTTGTACGATCCTTACAGTTTGACGAAATTGTTAGTTTCTTAAGGGAGTAAACAGGGGCATAGTGTGTATACAGACGACGGTTACTAAAAGTACAGTATGGTATAAAAAGGGTTAAAGATCGCATAAGGGTTTTTCACAAGAGTTTTGGAAGTAATAATATTTTGAAAACGGAGATATGTCACGTATAGGAGGAGCCAATGACGCAATAAGGTCTGTAATTGTTGGTATACCGTAGTAGTAAGGAATCACTAACAGTAGTCGAATATGCTGAAGTTAGGTCCACCAAATTGCCAGATCAATGGATTTTTGATGTCTGGGTGTGCAGCAGAATACTCGCGGTATGACTTTTCAAAGAGGTCGACCAGTTGGATAGGCGTCATTCCATTCGCATCTTTTGTGGTGGTGGATGCTCCATTCTCCACTAAAAGGTTGTAGGCGTCCAGTTTGTATTCGGAAGCAGCAAAGAATGCTGGGGTCCAGCTAGCACACAGAGCTGACCTGTGGTGGGATATAGTGTCTTTTTGAAGTTTCTCATCCACGTCAGCACCGTATTGGATCAGAAGACGCATAATGTCGATCCTGCCATAATATGCAGCTGTATGTAATGCACCAGAACCTTTGATAGGAACGCCGTGCTCCAACAGCACCTCGGTCAGCCGAGTCCCTTTTCGAGATCGAGCAGCAACAGACAAAAGAGAGCAGTTAAAACTCAGGGGTTTTGGGCCCCAGTCAGCAGAAGGTGTCACATCTGCACCAAGCCTAAGCATCTCAGCGACTATTTCGGCTTGGTCCTCTCTAAGAGCTTCGTACAGCGGCCGTCTTCTATGACATAGCAGGTCCGAATTGACGATTCCTGGCCATGCAGATGCCATGGCGTCGAATACCGCGACGTGTCCATTTTTAATTGTGTACATGAGTGCATCCCTCCATAGAACAGATTCGAACTTAATACCTTGCTGCGATACGAAGTCAAGTAACGTCCGAACAACTGTATCGTGTCCATTCTTGGCTGCTATGATGATTGCCCGTACAAGATTCTGCGCTGCCATGCCTGACACCCCCCGCACATCGTTCTCGTCCTTTCTTTCGCGATCTTGGTCACAGATGAAATGCTGCTTTTCGAGCATAATCTTAGACCATTGCGGCTGCGCCAGCAGGATTTTCAATGTTGAGTTGTCGCCCGACGCGCATGCCTCGATCATGGGGCCAGCGATGTCCTTACCGACAAGCACTTCCCACAGCTGTCTTGATGTACGGTAGGAAGAGCAGATGAAGTCCGGGCCTAGATCTGCGGTGGTCGATTCTTCCGTGAGCACTATTCCAAATGGTTTTTTCTCTTGTTCTGCGTGCGATTCTGCCATGACTGCAGTGGATGAGCGCTTTGTGATAAAGAGGAAAACTGACGGGATGCTTGAGTACCTGGTGAAGGTGGTATGCAGAATTGAATTGAGTTCGGGGATTGGGTGCCCTATTTATACTTGCATCAGTGTTATGTTCAGTGAACCTGTCTTGAGTGAAGACGTTTTCACCTCTATTCATGTCGTCTGTTCATTTAGACATCTGAATTATATTCCTTTGTCAGATGGTTGGCGACTTTGTTCTCCAGCTAAGGTGTTGGCCAGTGAGGACTTGTTCAATGATAAAGAAAAACATTGTTCAGAACAGCACAATATCCCAGCAGCTGTAATAGAACAACACAGTTGTTAAGTTGAATGCGAAGACCTGACGTTTTCAAAGTGGCGAGGAAAAAATACAGACGGATTTCTTCAATACAGCACAGATGTTTGGAAAGCTGTAAACAGTTAACATGAACATTTTCTTCTTTAATGCATCACAGATATTTCTAAACTACAACTTAACAAAACAAGACTTTTGAAGAGGAAATAGCATAGACGTTTGAGAAGCTGTAAGTAAGAAACACATAGTGTCTTTTAAGTTCTTCGGGTAGCTACAAATGAATAGTATATGAATTTGTACCAGAATCCCTTGATCAAACACACAGTTCAAACAACATCAATTACCTCTCCATCTCAATCCAATCCTGCAATCAGTTTGACCTTGAAATCTTCATATACTCGAGTCCTACACAATCAACCTCCATCTACATCGAGACTTCTTCGATATCGTTGATATCATAATAGAAATCATAATAGAACTTCTTTTCTATCAAACCCCGGTTTCAGGCTCCATATCACTCTTTTCCTTCCTTCTTCTCTCGGTTTCCAGCATCAAATTTTCACTCCTATCTACTGCTCGGAAGACCGCCGGCAGAAGCCATGGACAAACAACCAGAAGCTGAGGACGTACATGGAGATGTCGATGATACACGAACAGGAAACAGAGACACGCTAGCAGAATGCGGGCCAAGGATAACTATTGCAATCGAGGAAAACGCCAGAATGAGGGCGGAACTTATTGAAGCTGAGGCAATACCTAAAATTACTATGGCAGAGTATCGAAAGTTCCTCCAGGATAACTTTCCCGACAGCACAAGGTATATACAGTACCCCGGGAATTTAATCGATCAAGTCATGATGTTCCAAGCAGAAAACCCAGGATACTACTTCTATGGTGAGTTTTCTAATAGCAAAGTTGACGCAAAATTCTTGGTGACCTTTCCAGAGAAGAAACTCGGTGATGATGCCGAGGAGTCTAGCAAAACTATATAAAAACGACAACGAGGAATATCGCAACCTTTGGTACCACGCAGTCAGACACGCTATGAGGCTACTTTTTCAACAAGAAGCACGAAGCAGCTTTCACAGCGAATGTTTCCCAAATGGGTGGCTCGAGTCGATTTTTGATTTGGTTAAAGATGCGACAATTCGTATTTGCCCAGTTCATGAAGTTACCATACTTTCGCGTATCATATAATATTTCCTTCAGAGGTTTGACTGTGAGTATGACTAGAGCTGTTAGTCGGGTTCTAAGCCAAGCTACACGGCAACCAAGCAGGCACTAACCGGGAGCTATAAGTATATATGACGAACCTCTCTTGGATCACGGTTAAACAAACGCAAACTCTTCGAAGAACATCGAAGAACTTTTGGCCTTGTTATATCTTGAATCTCAAATCTCAAATCTCACACATTCTAAGAAATCTCTTCACAAATACCAGCGACACACCACAATATTATTACACTTCCTCACCGAAAGCCACATCTGATAGGCAAACCCTCTCAAGTACTCCCTGCTTTTCCACCTGATGAAAATTCGATAATTAACAGAAGAAATCTGCTCATTTTCAGACAAATCCACTGGAAGTAAACTCATCTTTTGAACAAATACACCCGCCATATCCATAATCTCTTCATCAACTCTACACCATGATCTCACAACGCAAACTCCTTCGCAAATCCCTTCGCAAAGCCCGAAGAGCCCACGAACGAGACCAAAAAGACCTTCAAAAACTCGGCCTACGCCTCTGTACCGGCTGCGATTACTGCACCGAAACCCAAGCTCTCTCGACGCGAAAACCGAAAACAGCATCGGAGACACCTCGTCGCCACCCAAGGCCGCCCGAGCTACTACCCCGAAGCACATCCCGCCACAATCTAGAGAACAGAGTGTTCGAAGCCACAGTAACCATCAACCCCAGAGACGTTGCGTTATCCGAGGCCAAAAAAGAAACAGAATTACGAGCTGAGCCAGGTCGCCTGGTCTACTGGACCGATGCATCTTACAAACATCTCACTCATACAGGTGGAATAGGAATATGCCATTTCCCGTCCGCAAGCCCATGGATACCCAGTTTTTGGCGCGTCAATCTGACGCGTAAGTCTCACGTATTTGAAACTTATGCGATTGCGAAAGAATTGGAACTTGCTTTGCATCAGTATCAAGAGAGGGAGATCAAGGATGCACCAGCAATAGTTTATGTATACTCTGATTGCGTTACTGCGTTGGAGTATTTTGCTCAATTTCGACGATCACTAAGTGAGTTATCCCGACTGCCATATGGGAAAGAGCTGGTCGGATCAGGAATCATCGCGGCAAATCACTTGATTGCGAGCAATGTCGAGGTTGAGTTGAGATATGTTCCTGGGCACGCGGTTATTGATGGGAACATGAAGGCACACTGGGCGGCTTGGAAAGGCGCTGGATGATGTGGGGGGAAATGAAAAAACATCAGGATTGCAAATATGGGTCAAGGTTCAAGATCTCCATTGATGTAAATTGCTCTGAACTAACTGTCCAACCAAGCAACATGTGCCCAGCCATCAGCCCATCTGTAAGTGAACCCTCCAAGCCAGGTCATGTCCCGTATCGCAGTCGAGTGACCGATATGATGCCTTGTGCTAATGAAAGATAGTACTGAAACGTCCGGTGAATTCGAGGGTGTTCGCCGCAGAGATTGGATGCCTAGAACAGAAACTTGGGATCAGTCGTCGCTGAGTAGATGGCCGACAAGAGCCATCCACTCTTGACACCCTCTTGGATCTCACTGTTTTAAAAAGCTGTGTCACTAACAAGAAATACTGCCCTCACAACAGTAAGCGAAACGAAGAAGGCCGTCAGCAAATGTAAGTTGAACTTTTAAACTTACGGTAGACGTCTCCAAGAATCTTCGGACCGCAGTTGTCTAGGACTTAATTGATCAGCGAGTATAAATTTGTATGACGTTAAACGTACTCGAAAAGAGGTAATTTCAAGTCACGGCGCTCGTTTTGAGCAAAACATACTCGGGAAACTTCCCGCTAACTACGGGGTTTGAGTGAGTACGAACTGATATTTTAAAGTCAAGCTATTAACCACCTCGAACTTTGCACTCGCCACACATTTTCACTTACTCACTCCCCTCCATCCCCACCCGAATCTGTTCCCTCACCCCCTCAAAATCAGTAACATCCCAAACCTCAGCATACCTCCCCTGAACAACATGATACAGCGTAAACTGGCTCGTTTCCACCCTCCGTCCCGTCGGCGCAATTCCTTCAAAGATACCCAGGTGCGTGCCTCCAACTTTGAAATGCAAATGCAAGTACTCGCCCTCGATAGCGAAATGCCGAATCTCCCAATGCCAGTCCGGGAAAGCCGCGACGAGGGGTCTGAACTGCGCTGTGACATCGGCGGGCGCGAGCGGGACGTCGTTGATTTTTATGGGGGACGTGTAGAAGGATTCCATGGAGCTGAAGGCGTGGGCGTTGCAGAATTCGAGGTAGGATGCGTATTGGAGGCGGAGTGCGGATGGGGAGGGGAGAGGGGTTGCCATGGTGTGTTTGGAGGGTTGAGGTCGCAAAGGGGTGAGTTCTAGTGATAGGAGACTGCTTGGAAGGGATTAGGTTTTTGAATTTCTCTTGAATACTAGACGGATAGGGAGGAAATACCACGCGATGTGTCGATTTTAATGTTGCGTTAGATATGAGCCTAGAGTCTAGTAAGAAGAACAAAGGAAGCGCATCTGAACTTTTTAAACTCCGCACGTAACAGTCCTCCTATATAAGTTCAACCAATGCATATAGATGAATGAATTTTAGGTGTAAGCAACAATGTATGCAAAATGGTGAACCGTTTTCCAAAAGGGGCCTGCCAAGTGCCTATGCAGTATGCAGGTGCTTACTACACATCCGATACTCTCACCTACCTACTCTCACTTGCATACTCTCACCCATCGACCTACCTATGAAGCCTTCGACAGACACGCCCGAACAACCTCCGATCTCATTACCCCATCTCTCGAATCTACCCCAAACCCCACATTAACATCCTAAATCACAGCATAACCCCTCTCAAGCCAGTAGAAAAATCAACGTATATATATAACAGCATACATATCATAGCAAGGTATAACGTAAAATGGTATAAACCAACCCGAAACCAAACAAAATATACATTATACAATCCCCCCATTGATATCCTCATGCCATTCTCTTCCCCGCGCATTCTCCCCATCCTCTCACCCCCTTTCCTCTTCCATCCCTTCCCCCAGTCACCCTCATTTATTCCTCCCACTACTCCTCGTCCCCTTCCTCTCCACAATCGGCGCCTTGGCCTTCGACTTCACCGGCGTCACATTACCCACCTTCTTCTTCGCAGGCGTAGTAGCGGCTTTCGGCGTGGGAGCCGCTCCTTTTTTCGCCGACCCACGATTCGGTAATTTGCGACCATTGGATTTCGGAGGTGACGGTTCAGGTGTTTCTGCTTCCGGTTCGGGTTCGGGCTCGATATCGGAGGGAGGTTCATCTGCTTCCTCTTCCTCAGGCTCAGGCTCGGGTTCAGGTTCTGCTTCTTCGGCTTCTGGCTCTGGTTCCGCGTCAGGAACCTCAACGTCTTCGTCCTGATCTTCCTCGTCACCGGACCCATCCTCCTCTTCTTCCATGCGCTCATCATCGGAATTCAAGTAATCCCACTTCGCGACCCCGTTGAGCATTTCCTCATCCGCATCCTCATCATCAATATCAGCATACACCTTCTTAGCACTCGCACCACGGCCACTCTTCCTACGCTCCACATTGTCTGGCGTACTAAGTTCCGGCTTCTGACGTTTTGGCTTCGAGGGCGTTTTCCTGATTTTAACTGGTTTGTCCTTTTTAGAGATGGAGTTTCTTGGTTTGGCTTCAGATCTCTGCTTTTTTGTTGGGTTGGAATTGCCGTCTCTGTCATCCGATTTGCGCTTCTAGTTAAATATTAGTGAATGCGAGTCAAAGACCAGGCCAAGACATACCTTTGTCTTTTCAGCATCCCTTACGAGCTTGTCAAGACTACTCTCTATAGTTTCAGGGTCCGGCAAGTATGGCTTTTTGGCAATCTCTTGTGCCACTTCATGACTTGGTAGTCCAGCGTACAAACCAACCGGCAAGCCAACCTTTCCAGCCCAGGTCTGCATGACCCAACCTTTCTTTTCCTGCCATGACTTGATTAGATAGGTGGCCAGATCACTCATGATGTAAATGTTGTCCTTATCCTCATCAGAGGTGCTCAAAGCATCTCGTGCTTGCTTCACACGCTCAGCATACTTGTATACCAGTGGTAGATTCTCCTCTGATACGACACACGAAAGGTAAAACACAATATATCTGGCTTGATCTACCAACTCTGCTGGCTCAAGACCAAAATCTGGGTGATGTGCTAGAACAGATATGAGTCGCGGTAACACAGATTCCATAGGCCTTGCTGGTTGATGTTGCAAAAGCTTTGCACGAGAACGGATCCAGGTCACTATCGATGCGAGGAAAGCCGTATTTGGTTCAAAAGCGGTGAGAAACATGATCGTGTAGAATCGGACGGGTAGCTTGTTCTTCACTAGATATTTCTGAAGCTTTTCCACCATTCCTCGTCGAACATTCTCTATCGGATCCTGAACAACACATGCAAGCCGGTTAAAATCCTTTGGTGCTGTATACGCCTCAAACATTTTGTTCGTGCAGAGCTTGAGAATAGACTGAGCGGCCAAACAACGCAATCGAGCGGCGTGATGTCTCGGGGTTGGTTTGTCTTTGGAGATCTCCCCGTCTTTTTCGATCAGCTTGTTGAGCAACGCATACACTGGACCACTATACTCTTTTGCATTTTCCTTGTCGGTGACAGCTCGAAGGCGGTTCACCAGAATGCGTATCGCCCACAACTTGGCCTGACCCTCTTCATCCAAGTCGGAATCGCTTTTCCACTTGGGATCATCAGATTCAGACGGAGTCCGAACTTGCATCAGTAGCTGTTGCGTCGTTATGTCAATTATCTCATCGCCAAAGTCCTCAGCGACTGATGGTTCCAGAAAAGTCAATTGACTAATGGTTGCGAGTTTGGATAGAAAGTGATCTTGTCCGTATTCCCAATCCTTCGTTGACTTCTCCATCAAGTCTTTGGCATGCATTTCCTTTTTGTTCGATGTAGCCATCAAGATACTCACAGCATATTTCGCCGCCTTTGGTGGCATGCCGTACTGTGCGAAGCTCATTAATGTTGAGATAAATTTGCGGTCTCGAGGGATATTTTTCGAGCTATTTGGATTCTTCGCGAACAATGCTACAGCCTTCAATACCTCCACACTTCCAGCGTCGTTCTGCTTCGAAGCAGTAGGCGCTTGCTCAGCTAGTGATTTACAGAGATCTGCAACATTGTCTTCGAATATCTTTGGATGCTTGTCTGATATCTCATGCATGATCTCATGTGCAACCGCACCAAGACCATCCTCATCGCTTTTCGCATATTGCATGATGTAGGGAAGATGACTTTTGTTATAGATGAGTGATGAAGATCGATAAATGATGGGCATCAAGACCTGAAGTAGACCAGCAGGGGCCCCGGGTGCAGTTTCGATACGTTTCGAAAATTCCTTGATAGAATTGTGAACCATCTTGAAGTCATTCTCCGGAGCTACCGCAAAGCGCAAGAGTTGGTAGCTTCTTCGGTCATGCAATTTGGCGTATCTCAGGAGATCATTACTGGTCCTCAGTGGGTCTGGAAGAAGATCAGCTAGCCATTTCACAACAGTATCAAGCTTTGCCTTGATTTCTTTGGCATTGCCTTCCATGACGCCTCCATTATACTCCTCGCAACGTGTCAAGAAGGCTTTGAGGACTTTGGCAAACATTGGCTGTCGGGCTTGCATAACGAAAAATGCCTTTTTCGACTTCGGGTCAAGTGATTTGACAAGGAGAAGTATTCTTTCAAGCCGAATCTTATCAGCATTGAAGCCTGCGGTCCCATTTGTTGCAACGTGGGAGTCTCCGTTGGTTGCCTTACCCTTTGATTTTCCTGGTGGGTATTTAAGAGGCAGGAGCTGTTCAAACATGACGTGGTCGAGCAAGACATTAAGCTCGAGGTCGTTCGCGTAATAAACATCGATGATCTTCGATGGGATCGCCCCAAGCGCAGTAATGACAGATTCGTTTCCTGATGCAATCTCACCCGCGGCAACGCCCCATATTCGTCCCAGAGCTGTCATCGCTTCAATTCTCACAGGATGCTTGCGATCTCGAGCTCGATCAGCCAAGCTGCATAAAACTGAGCCAGATTTAGTCACGCTGCCGTTGGGCGCAAGTTTTGATATGATGTCGCGGAAGCTGAAGCCTCCTACAGCTTTGACCGCCGCAAGGCGCACCTTGTCATCCGCATCATTGAGTTTTTCTCCCAAGGCTCTGACCATCGAAGATTCCTCCTCTCTGCTAAGTCCTATGCCACCGGCAGATGTCACGAGTATTCGACCAACAGCTCTCGTCCAGCCAGCGCGAATAACGCTAGTCTTGTCATTTTTTCGGCCCATGAAACTGTGATATACTGTTGAGTGAGTCTGAGAAAATGATTGTGGTGATGCTGGTGTCGTAAGAATGCTATCAGAATACGGAAGAAAAGGCACGTCTTCGAGATTGATTGGTGGATATGCAGCAGGATCCATCGCGGGTGGAGGAGGAGGTCCTGCTGCGCCAATGCCACTTATTATATCTCCAATGGTATTGGTGGCTAATAGACGGAGGTGTTGGTCCTCCGCCGAAAGTTGGACCTCAAGTAATGGTATCACATTTTGGAGGGCATCTGGCGATGCGCGCCACAGCTCCTGAAGCAGAGAATGAGCTTTTTTCAACTCTTTCATATCCATTTCCGTAGGCCCAACATGCGCTTCCTCGTCTTCAGAGTCTGCATCATTAGCCTTACGATGGCCATTTGACTTGGTAGCCCCGGTAACTTCATGGATGACATCGTTAAAGTATTGGGCGATATGTCGGGACATTTTGTCGGGACACTGATTGCAAATTATCTTTGCCATGTTGTACGCTGGCGGAAGTTCCTTGAGTAGTAAAGTCGACTGATTGTCGTCTGTCTTCTTTGCCTTTTCCTCCTTGCCCCCAGGCGCAGATGCTCGTAAGAATTGAGCAACAATAATATCTATAGCCTGCGATGGCAGAGCACCCGCCTCGTCAACTATGATTACCAACATCTGGCTCATGTGAAACTCTATATCCTTTGAGACGGCTTCTCCCGTAGATGATTTGGATGATCCAGAGATTATATCGAAGAAGGATGAAAAGAGGTGTAGGATCAGCGCGTCTGCATTCGGCAGATCAGTCAACAGCACAATACTTTTGACTTCCGTTAATGACACGAGAACGTGCCTATGCTGGGTATTGTAGGCATTCGAGGGGTCAGAAAGCGCTGGTAAAATTGAAGTTATGAAGAGCGTGAAGATATCCTAGCCGTTGGTTAGAAGACTTTCCAACACCGTTAGTAGATTGCCATACCTTCAATTGAGATCCCGTAAACGGCGCATCCGGCGCACAAAGCCTTAAAAGCTCTACCAGACAACACGCTACATGCGCGCGAACACCTTTATCCTTATGTGATAGCAAATGCTGCCCCGCCAAAGCTTTCGCAACATCCACGAACGACGTCTTGTCCACCTCATCCTGATCCATATCCACCAACTCATCTTGGAGCACCGTCAATCGCCTTAACAACTCCCCAGTCGCGATCGGCTTCGTGGCCCGCCATGTCAAAGGCTCATCGAATTGTAATGACACTCCTTGCGATTCCTCCACCTCGACTTCTGCTCCGCGGGACCGCCGCGCCATTTGAGGGGAACAGCTCCAGAGGACAGTTTTGGGTGCGCAGTGAGTTTGCTGTGTGAGAACTGGTGATCCTCGGTCCGCGAAGTAGTCGGGGACACGTTATTTTGGCGTCGTGGGTGCTGCACATGTGCGTTGATGATGCGGCTTTGGTTGTTGTATTCGTATAGCAACGTCGCGTGTAACGCGTCGAAGCTGGCCAATCAAGCGTCGGATGGATCCGCATCCCCACGATCTCGCTTCAGGACAACCTCACTTCACTTTGTCCCACAGTTCTATTGCATTTGTCAATAACAGTCGGTATTACAACTCTATTGATTGTTTGGAAGGTACCCGCGTTGATACCTAGCTCTGGAGATTTTCTTCTCGAGTGATTTGTGCCCCCCGTCACCAACGTGGCACCTGAGGGATATGTGCTTTGTTTGATATTTGTTCAAGTTGTACAAACTCCTCACTGTCATGTAGCACTTAGAAGACTACCTATGTATACCATGCAGTCACAGATAAGTGAGAATATGCCATATGACATGCTTCTATGTTTCAGCTATGATGACACCCTCTGACTAAGAAGCAGAAACAAATACTGGTTGCGTGGTGCCTACATCAAAAGTTTTAAGTCTGTTGATGTATACCTACGAGAGCACGTGGATACCCAATGGCAGAGCATTAATATCAACTATGAGGTCCGTCATTGAGACTGAATTTTCGGTGAAAGTCCAACTCTATCAAAACAGCGAATCACAGATGCTATCAGTAGTCTGTGAATGGAAGCTATTCACCTCCGAATCGTTTCATTTACTCAAGATTTGAATTGAAATATCTGCTCGTTGCTGTGAGTTAGCGGTAGTTGAAACTTCCAAATTAGCAGAGTTTAAGCTGGCGATGTCGACTGTCCAGAAGATAAGGGGATAATCTTCCCATTGTTTCTCGTAGGATCCAGTTACGTCTCACGTCCCCAGACCCCCAGACCACCATCCCTATATTGATGTCTACATCGACTTTCTCTTTAACATCAAGTCGTATCGTTTGCATTCACCCATCTCTACAGCAAACGGTATGGCTAGCCGGTTGGTATTTTCATTCCATGCAGGGTCAACGTAGCAAATACATGCGAATATGCATAGGACCGATAAGCCCCGGGGCCCATGATGTTTATCTGCTGCGTGAGTCCGATTGAAAAAGTGGGGCATGCGCAACGGTGAAAAGTTGGGGCTCACCTTTCGTTGTCGCTAAAGTTGAGTACATCAATAGTAAACAAATTCCACCACACACAACTCCGCTCTTCTTACTATTGTCTCTTTTCTTTTCCATCAACCCAACTTCAACCACGCTCTTTACGTCTTTGAGGATATCGCAATTCTCATCCATCGAATACCCGCTCTCGATAACAAGAATATCATCTGCAAATCCACGTTCCCACGCATTTCGCCATATCTCGAACTTCAGGTCTCGATCTTACTACAATATTTTCGCAAAACAGCCAATCTGTAACGCAAATCATCACAGTAGCTTGCAATGTTTTTCAAAATGAAAGCTGCGTCCGTCGCGGTCACTTTGGCCATGATGATGTCTGTCACCGCATCGCCGCTCGACACAGCAGGTGACCTTGAAGCTCGTGGTACGTCCCCTTTCTAGCAGAATATTCATATACCCTCTCAAACTAACAATGGATCAGATAACGCTCAACTGAACGCTCGTGGTGTCTCTGCGACCTCCCCAGCTCCATCTTCGAGCACTTGCACAGACGAGCTTGTCAAGCCAACTGTTTCCATTTCTCCACCTATGGCGGCAGTATCTTCCAATGGAGCTGTATCCGTATCATCCGCACCTACTAGTAGCTTGGCTGGATACATTCACCATTCCGATACGGCGAAACCTTCTACAATCCTATCGTCGCCTCCTGCAGTCTCATCGTCTTCTGTGGCCCCATCCGCATCTCCTAGCACGTCGACTAGCGTTCACCAGTCCCAAACTGCGACGTCTTCTCTGGTTACATCTTCGGTATCTAGCAGCATCTCGGCTGGAAGCGTTCATCACTCTGATACCACAACTTCCTCAACGGTTTCTTTTGTATCAGTCTCGTCGTAAGTAATCTCACTCGCACATCATGGCACTACTAACAGCGCATCAGGAATAGCGGTGTTTCTGCCACTTCTCCTGCCATTGTCTCCTCGGCTTCCTCTGCCTCGATTTCTTCACCGAGTGCAACTGCTGTGTTGCCTTCGACCAGTCTTGTTCAGTCCTCCGCAACTGGGACGGTTTCTAGCTCCTCCAACGCCTCATCCAACACTGCTCCAGCTGTATCATCTGTCACCAGTAAAGCAAATGTCTTGAGTAGCGCTACGGCATCGAGCACGTCTGGCACGTCTGATACCGAGGATGTCATCATATTTTCCACGTAAGAACATATCTCCGCAATCTTTCGGCTGCTAACAGTATCCTAGTGCAACTCTCATTCCATTGCCGCCACAATCCGCTCCTTTGACACGTTCTGTTGTGACTTCAGCCAAGCCCACGTCGAGGTATGTTGGATATTGATTTCCATCGAGATTATCTTAATCCTATGAACTTATGCTGACCTGAGCCTAGCTCGTCGTCCACCTCAATCGTTGTTCCTGTTTCTGTCAGCAATTCGGAATCGACTACAGCTACGCTAGAGTATGCTTCAACAGCTTCTTCCACATCTGCCGCTGCGACGAGCTGCGTCGGTGCGTCCTGTGGTCCTGCTTCAACTCCTGTTCAGTCTTCTTCTTCAGAAGGGGTTCCTGCAGTCGTTTCAACGCCAACGTCAACGCCTTCCGCTTTAACTGCTTCAACTGCTCCAGTTGTTTCTTCTACGAGCGTTCCAGCTGTGTACAACACGCATTCCGACCTACCTTCCTCAGCTCTTGGGTCTCTCTCTTTCGAAACCAATACTTACTTTAGCACAACTGTTACTAGGACGAGAACTATCACACCTGCCTCCTCCTCGGCTCCAGCCACAGAAACAGCTGTCAATATCCCACAAACTTCTTCGTCCGTCGCTCCAGGCACAACCTCTGTTGATCAGAACTCTGGCGTTACCACAAGTCAAGCCGTACAGTCGTCTCCAGGCGCCCCAAGCTCGGCTCAGACTACTACCACAAAAGAGACTTTGACTGATACCCTCTACAAATCGAGCACGGTTACCAAAACTCTTGGACTTAATCCTGGATATGGCGAAACTGGGTCTGCTCCATCTCCTTCTGTTGCGATATCTTCTGCTCCAGCCCCTTCTCTTCCAGCATATTCAGGCGTTAAGAACATGTGCGATTGCCCAAGTCCGGTCACGGTTACCGTAGTAGTCACTACCACACCAGCTGTTGTTACTCAAGCCTCCAGTCTGATCTACACCACACCAGCGCTTGCAAGCTCTTCCCCATCTTCCGCATCAATCTCTGCCCCAGCAGCTTCCTCCACTAATGTATCAGGCAACTCTGGAGCTTCCACCTCGGCAAATACCGCAGATGATTACGATACTCCAACAGGATACGCTGCTTCGATGGACAAGAACTCTGCATCACCAAGCACAACAGTATCCGCCAAGTCTGCAGTCACTGCCCCAGCCAACCCACCATACGGATTTATCGGCGCCTCACTCTGCGGAGTTCACACTCTTCCCGTTTCTGTGGTCGAAGGCAGTACATTGATGACAACCATGACCGGCTCAGCTTGTCCACCAGAATCAACCCACTCTTCTGCAAAAGCTCCATTCCCAACAGCCATCGCGACTGCCGGAGTCTCCCAAACCTCGGGTTCTCCCACCATTTCCGGTTCTCCTTACGCCCCTCAAAACTCCACTTACCCCTCCTGGGCCGTCCCACACGTCTCAAGCTCGACCCCAAATCCCATCACCACATCCTCCGGACTGGTCAACGGCGTCAGACTCTCCTTCTTAATCGGATTCTTCGGTCTTGCAATTCTCATCCGAGACCTCTAACTCGATTCCCAGATTAAACTTAGGTTTGCAATACAATTCCAGGATACACTCCTCGAAGCTTCGAAATGCTGTCCAAAACGTCCTTGTAGATTCCCGGATGCGCTACGACGGACAGATGCATATAAGGGTGGAGGAACTTTGCAGTTTTTTTTGAAGGGGATGCATGGTTTCATGTTTGTACTATTAGGATAGATATGGGTGCTTTAGGCACGAGGTAAAAGTTGATATGGCGGTTATTGAAGAATTGAAAAGTCGTTTCCAAAACCTACATATTCCTGAAGAACTTGACACGTTTCCAGATTGGCTCATGCAGTACTACCTACGTGGAAACATGCGAATTCCCTCTCTCTGATATAGCAATCTTCATAGTTTCCGTTCCACACCGAACAATTCGCCTTCTGATCCCGAACATACTAACGCTGCAGCATTTAACCTTCCTCCCGAACTTCTCACACTCAACATCCCATAATCTCCACATCATTTCTTACATCCATCTTCCTCTCTCGTGAATATCTCACCTTTCCCATTACCCAGCATCTTTTCAAAAACATAATTCACCCGCACCCTCACATCCTTACTTAGCAACAATAAACCACCTCACTCCAAAAGTCTAGGCAAGGCATCTGTGAGGTACGAGATAGATACCCGTGTTAATTGTAGATGCAAAAGTATAAGTCGAAGAGGTAGTAAGTTATTGTTCGGTTGGCTATTTACAGGGCCACTTTGATTCAGCGGACTGTGCTTAGGGAGGATCATTATTATAAACCACCCTACAAACGTTCCGAGGAAAGCTTGACGAAGGAAAACCTCACAAAAGGTTCTTCGAAACTTGTTATACCCTCGTAATACTTCTATCCTATCTTCCTAACCCCTCCCAAAGGAAACCCCATGCATCAGACTGCCCTGCGACCGAATCTCGCCAAATCACCTAACCCCCCTCCCATCATAATCTAACAAAAGACAAACACATCATCCTCTCGCCTTCCCCATCACCCCGCAAACTTGCGCTTCAAATGCCGGCGCAGTGCAGTGCGAATCGCTCGCTAAGCGAAGACGCCTATTACCGAAGGATTGAGTTGGGATTATCACGTACGGGTTGCGCTTTGTTCAGGGAAAAGGATTCTTATGCATTTGTGTTGGGAGATTGAATGTTCGTGAATTGGAAATGAGGGGGATGGTCGAGGTGAGGAGGATAGTCATGAGAAGATCATGACTTCTCAAAACATTTGTGCACGTTATGACTGATTGAAATCCAACTTGGGAAATCACTGATTATTCTTACGGCTGTCACACAAACAGACTGTACAACCCGACAAATCCTACTTAGCCTCATCAGTTTCCGAGCGCCGGGAAGGATGTTTCGCGGAGACATAAAGCAGAGAAGTCATTCAAGATGTGTGTGAAGATATATCGTATTGACAAAGTGAAATTAAAATCCCGTATATAAATGAAAGAATATCTCTCGACAGACATCTACGCCATCCCCCCTTTTCCCCAACGATCCCACCATACCACCTTCTTTCCCAACACCATAAAGAAAAGAAGATAGACACTATGCATATATCCCTAAAAGAACACACGCCAGCCCTAAAGTAAAAGTTCGAAGAGAAAATACACAAGAAAATAAAAAGTATAACCTCGCGGAGGTAAAATGCTCATCTTTTGCTCACCCCTCAAGCACCATCCCCATAAGCGCATCCCTCTTTTCCTTCCTGAGCCCGGAATCAAACTTCTTAAACGGCGTGGTATTATACCACGCATCCCAGACCTTACACTCGTTATCGACGGCCTGCAATGCCGGCCGCGAGATCAAGCTCGGGCGCTCGATGAACTGTAATCCGAGACCTTGGGCTACGTGCCAGGCAATCTACATCCATTAGCCTAGTTCAAATCGAAATTGCAGAAAATGAGAGGGGAGAGGAAAGAGGTGAGAGGGGACATACATGACAATGCATCAACCAAACCCCCGGATTATTACTATCAAACGCGAGTATCAAACTCCCGCTCGCCGGCAACATCGCCACGTCCCTGCGCATCGGATTCACGAAATTGAGCTGCGGCACCATTGCCTCGGTGAACTGCGACCCGAACTGGCCGAGGATGTAGAAGTCGTGGCCGTGGAGATGGATCGGGTGAGGCAGACCAAAGAGGTTCTGAATGGCGAAGAAGTGCCATTTGTTGCCCTCGCCCAGGTTGATGACGTTTTTGCCGATGGTGTTGTTGGGCGTGGCGGCGAGGAGCGAGATTTGGTTGTCGAAGACGTATTTCACGGTTGGGTGGCTCCATTCGACGTCTAATTCGGACCTGCAATGGTGGTTAGCACAATGGAAAAGAGGAAGGGAATGGGGGGCCCTTACCCATTGATTCGCCAGCTGTTTACGGTTCCCGGTCGGTTTCCGCTAGGTCTGCTGCTGAGAGCTAGTGTTAATTTGTTCTCCCCGTTGTTGTTGTGGAAGACGAATTGGTTGCCCGGAACTGGTTTGGAGAGTTGAGGGACAAGTCCAGTCTCGTCGGCACAAGTAGTTGGTGCAGCGACGCGCGGTAAAGTTGTGGGTTCCGTTGCGGGATTGGTGTTGTTGTTGGCGATGTAACTGAAGATGGCTTTGATATTTCCCGCGGCAGATAGGGTGTTGGATCCGCAAAGGCCGGATGGAACTTGGGCACGAAACCAGTATTTTGTTGTTGGCTGGTTGGCTCTGATGATAACGTCGTACCGTTGGCCGATACCTATGAAGAGCCAGGTCGTGTTGTACGGTTTGATTGGGACGAAGTCTGCAGCGACAACTTCAAAATCATGACCATCCAGAGAGACTTGGTACATGTTGTCCACGGAGGTGTTGATCAATCTTAGACGATACTTTTTACCCTTGACCATATTCGTTTTGCTGTAACTCCCGACAGTTCCGACTTTCATTGTCCCGTTGATCAGAGAAGTGTCCGCGGTTGGAGGCGCACCAGCTTCCGACGCAATGCCAAGCTGATATACATTCCTCTTATACCAGTCAGTGATGGGGAAGGTTCCGAGATCTTCGTCGTAGTTCGCTGTTGCTGGGCCATAAATTATCATGGTTCCGACGATTCCATCACCGTATTGACCAGAGTAATGTGAGTGATACCAGGTGGTACCATGCTGAGTGGCAATGAAACTGTATCTCCGGCTTTTTCCTGGGGCAATTGGACACTCGGTAATGCCATTAACACTGCGGAGTACGTAAGCAAATGTATCATAATTTAGTAAAGTAGACCTACCCATCTTGCGTAGTGCTGTTGGCTTGAATGATTCCGTGCCAATGCATACTCGTACTGTTAAAGTGATTAGATCAGAGGTCTATTACATTCTACAACATCAACATACCCATTATCAGTCATGTCATTGTAGACTGTGATTGTCAACCGGTCACCCCATTCTGATGATAATTAGCTAAGCTTTCAGAACATACACAAGAACTGTACTTACGAGCTTGAATCAAAGTGCCAGGATACTGTCCATTGATGACAAGCATTTCTTTGGCGTTACCATCAGGCGATAGAGTCTTTTTGGAAATGTGCAGGTCGTAGAACTTTTCAACCCCAGTGACAGGCCATTGCGTTTCCGAGTCTGTATTGGCGTTAAAAGGTGGAAGTGCACCATTCATCCAACATTGTCGATTTGTTGCTGTATTACAATTCTGCACAACTCCTCGGCCTACTGTTGGGGGATCTTGTCTCCTGTCGACCTGTAGCAACTTGGCTTCTGGTATGGCTGATCCTCGAGCAAGCACGAATGCAAGCGAGGCAAGTAAAATGCGAGACCCGAGCATGTTGAATATGAACCGAGGACTTGAGTAGAAAGAAGGAATGAACTGAATTATGCTGAGAATTGTAGAAGCGACCGCAAGTTATATACGCGCTCAGAAGAGCTCAGAGCGTGATATGAGTTGGGAACGAGTTTGGATGACACGGGAGGATTTGAGACTATTCGGAAGCGAACATCACTTCAAGATTTTACGAGCAGACGTCTCGAGTTCGACTACCTAAAAGGGAAATCGACATATCGTGCACAAAAGATGAAAAGTGAGCCACTTCTCGAACTTCTATAAGGCTCACATCGCTTCGGGTTCCGCTCTTTTCGAATAGAGCGTGGGCCGTTGCTCAACACGATCCATTAGCCAATGAGAAATGCTAACGAAGCAAGGCCTGAGTAAGCGCCATAAGAGTTACTGCACACAAGATGAGAAGGAGCCTGGTTCAGGGATTAGATGCTGATAGCTTGCCACTATTCCAGTTACATTCAGCTAGAAAATGCTTGGGACCAGAACTATGCGAGTACTTCAGGGTCAATTAAATTTGTAGCCCGAGCTTCCAGAACGTGTTCACGGTATCACAATGCAGTAAGACCTAGTAACAATCCGACAGCATGGATTTTAGGCCACACTGCCATGAGTTCATCCGATAGTCCCGTATGCTGCTCGGTACCGACAGACTGAGATACAATGCAATATAGTGAGCAACAACAGGTACCCTGGTACATCGTTCCTTCCTCAATTTACCTAAGTGGCCAAGAACATTATAGCGGCACTCATTGAGTGTGACTTAGTATTGTAGTCAAGACGGAGACTTTGACTGCAAAGGCTTGTATTCTCGCGACGAAGAACTTGCCGAAATTCATAGGCATTTTTGTAGCCAAGGATGCTTGGTGCTTTTAAAAACGCCACAAGAGACGGGTAGATTTCGGGACCGCTCCCTTAGGTCTCAGATTAGCAAAAATAAGATCTGACCTGAGATCAGCCCACTTGGGTTCCCCGCAATTTTACGAGATATCATGAGCTTGGTGCTCGGGGATTGGACATTGTTGGCAGCAAGCTCGTAAAAATCAAAGCCCGAAGCGCTAATACATAATTTGGAGAATAAAATACGATCGTGGTGGGCTTGATACGAAATGTCGCGCCCTCAGTATTGAACCATTGCAAAGGGATATGTAGTCAGACTGCAAATAGTATCTGAATGCAGCAGACGAATGGTAGAGTACGAGAAGTAAAATACAACGCTGCGCCTCTTGCTATCTTTCATGACTCTCGCACCGAATTTCTGGAATCGGATCCTCATTCAATCTCTTGGAAAAAACGTGTTGGAGGTAGGGTCCCACTAGGCTCCCGTTTATGATGCAGATCATCATGGCAATTCCCCGCCGGTCTTTGGCCCTTTCAAGGCTACACGAGATGCAACATTGCCAAAAACGTGGGGTGCGCAAACGCAAAAGCGGTTGGAGTTTTCAAAAAGAGCAGAGTTTGAGATTAGGAAATGTGACAGTCTAGCGGTCTGAAGCGGGAGTGTCGGCTAGGTCTGGATTCGGAACTTCGAAGCGCTGGATCTCACGTAGAGGTACAAACTATCGAGTTCCTGATCGTGAGTTCCTGATTCCGAGGCTGGGGCTGAAGACCGAGCAACATGTATTACGCCGAATGTTTCCATCGTGCCGTCAGAAGGCACGACGTTGGGACAAGGTAGCGGGACGTTTGTGAGCTCTAAAGACGGAGTGTCACCTACGCAATAATCGCTTTCTGCCATGCAAGGTACTACTGCTGCCATTGATGTCAATTACTGGAGCTCGGATTGGCTACCCCTTTAGCATGGCGCTGACAGAAACCCGGTGAGAGGGTTGCCACATGGCATGCGCATAATACGGTTGTCTGACTATTTTGGGTGCCACAGTTCGTTAAGGAAGGGCTGCAGGAAGATGGCGCGTCAGCCCTTAACCTTACCGTGCGATCGAAACATCGTATTAGGATTCTCGTGAGGTTTACACTTCTTCAGCTGGTCAGCAACAGCTTCTATAGATTGTTGCGTTTTTCTTACTCCAGCGACGCCAAACATGGCACAAGTTTAAGCCTTTAGATGGACGTTATCTAAGTCGAACGCACAGCTCAAATGCATTATTTCCCGCTTGCTTAGGCGACGTAAAGGAATAAGCTGACACCTCAAGAACTTCCATCTTACCTGATGCGTATCCTCGCTTACGATGACAGCGGACGGCTCCAGCGAGTGCCATCTGTCTACCAGCGTGGGATTCGCCACGCTGAATTCGGCTTGACAAGCCGTATGGATCCTTCATGATTCCGATGGTGTTCATTGCTCTGACGCCAGGTGACTGCGCTGCTAAGCTACTGGGTGACATGTCGCTATCTGTCTGTGTATCGCGGTACCAACAGAAACCCCGGGCGACAGTCCACCAGCCGTATTTACGAATCAGCAGTATGCGGCATGGTGACTCGGTTCGCAAGGCAATCTCTCAAGATTGTTTCTGATGTTTCTGGCAGGTTGGGTTGTGATACCGCATTAACGTGCATTTGGGCTTCCTTCGACGTCGTATTATTGGAACTAGAGCACTCTTTTTGGGTCAGCCAAACTCACTTCTCGAACGGTACTGCGGTCGGGATATTCGATATTGCAATTGCAGCAAAGGTACATACCGGAGGTAGGGTCAGATAACTTGGAAAGCTCAGAAAAGGGGGAGCATGCCGAATGCACCACGCCTCTGGCTTGCCGAGTGTCAGGAGCTCGTTGACATATTCCTCATTAAACTCAAGCCATTACGGAGAGCCCGCATGGTAGCGAGTAAATGGCTTGCCATAGCAGACGCCATCACAGTCGAACAGCATCAGCAGACGTCGTTGAGAGAAGAATGTTTGAGAAGATTTGGGTGGGGTTTGCTAAGACGGAGAGGGCGGGAGCCATCATTTGCAGCCACAGCGCCGCAGCAGGCGACGGCAGTGATGGTGGGGTCGTTGATGTCCTGTGATTCCCTGACCACAATGTCCCTGCATTTGGGGAAACCTCCGACTGGCTCATGTTCCTGCTTCTGAAGATCGTGATAATGCACTTTTTATCGAACTCCAGAGCAAGATGCTCCGAAATCGCTTCGCCGTACGAAAGGCGAATAGCCCTCAAACACAGCAACATTCCAATGTCCAGTCCCACCGGATTATTCTAGGGCGCTACTTTGTTGCCTCATTCCAGCATTACGATACACGAATATGCTATTATCACTTTGCAAGCACATGTTGGCTTGGTTTGTCCTCATGCTTACTGTTTAACTCTTGACCAAAGCGTCTGAACGACGATTCAAAGAAGCAATGAGCGATAGGGATAACGAGAGATTAACTCCTATCCAGTCAGAACTTTTCGTCGATGATATGAAGCTTGATTCGTCTGAAGCCATGACATTTAATTCAGTACGAGCATCTGCTAATAGGGTCTACAATTAATCTTAGGTGTATTTACGAAATTTCCAGAAAGACAGAGAAGGACGGTAGCAATTGATACTTTTTGATGATCACTCTTTGACGATCTCAGTGAATCCCGCAGAGATGCTGGTGCAAATGGAACTTGTCGCTTTGTTCGATGCAAACAGACTAGGCCGCAATGCTTTTCGAACAAAGAGGCTCATACTCTTCTATTTCTGCTCGGTAGAGGTACGTTTCTTTTCCAGAGTCTTCCCTTCATTCTTGTGCATTATTAACGTATTCTGGCAGCCTTACAAATTTGGCAGTAGCTCGTTGGTCCATCAGAAACTGTAATACTCACATAACTGATTTCAAGCACCTATCCTTCTACAGCTACCTCAAATCATTACCGCCAGCACAATTATGGAAAGCAATCATAACCCAGTCGATGCGATTCTAGACAAAGAAAGCTTTAGGAAGACTCTTCTTCTGTACCGGAGTAGTTCTGGACGTGATCTTGAAGTCAGGTTGATTTCGAGAGATCAGAATCTCCTAAATTGGGCAGAATATGACATCAGCCCCTCAGAACTGCCATGGAAAGCGCTCGAACAAGCTATCTTTGTCAAAGATGTGTCGAGAATTGAAAAACTCTTTCAAACTTGGGCTTATGACACCTCAATACTTAGTCCAAGCCAACGAAGAGCAGAGCTTGAGCGACTTCTCTTCGCTGCTGTGAGTTCGGGTGACAGAGCCACTGTCAAACTTTTGCTTTCAAAAGGCGTGCAAAACCTATCGTCCTATGGTCTCCCCCGCGGAGAGCCACTTATCACAACTGGTGGTACCTTCGAGGAGATCTTGGACGACATTGCACAGGGAGGGTGGGAGTTTCAGGGACACAAACTTACTTGGGTAACCCGCCGTCCCACGATTCTTCAAAGCATAGCTGACTGACCTTGATTAGTCAATCCGCTTTTGACCGGCAAGAAAGGTTATTCGGCTGGCTTCTGAGGAATGGCGCCAACCCTAATCCCTCCCATGGCTACCCACCCTTGCTAAGAGGAGCTGCAAAATGCTCGAGTTCAGCGATGCAACTACTTTTTGATTCGGGAGCAGAATTCAATGATCAAGCTATCTTTTGGGCCGTTCGAAGATACAAAGGTGATCCTGAAAAAATACCAGTACTTCGGCTTTTGATCCAGCATGGTGCGGACGTCAATCTCGTTCATCCCGGTGAGAGACTCGGGCTTAGCAGCGCACTCCGATTTAGCTGGGTATATCGTTATACCCCGCTAATTTTAGCAATTCAGTTACAAGACGTAGATACTGTGGAATTTCTTATCCAGAGTGGCGCAGATGTCAATTTGAGATGGATTCTCAACGGCGAGGAAAAGTTATCACCTCTGGAGTTTATGTTGATTTCTGAAAATGAGGAGTTGAAAACAATGGGGGCTTACTTTCAGCAACTGGAGGAGTAATTGAAGAACTTGTAACCTGAAGTGCTCAACTGTCGGCGTCAAATAATTCGAAGAGTGGCGACATTCTAATATTCTAGGTCAGAAAATGTAGACTAGAATCAAAGGGAAGAGCCTATAAGTATTAAGTAGCAAATACATTGTTTGAGGTGCTATGAAAGACACTTTAGCAGATTCCGCACAAACTACATGCCAAAATAAGTTTTCCTACAGGTTGTATATACGTCGGCTTAAATGCAATCGAGTGATGATGATAGGACAGGAGACGAGTTATTAGTCATACGAAGTTGGGATACTGGATAAACACTTGGACATTATAACCACGCATCGTCACATATGTTTCTCACTGATGTAAGAGTTAATTCTTTCAATGCTATGGAGGATGTCACAAAAATAATTATTGCTCGCTTAAGAGGGGGTTGATGCTCTTTCCACCACTTGACGACAGAATTATATCTCCGCGACTGCGTCTAAAGTGTCTCATATCATCTATCATTATAAATTTCTGTTCTTTTTTTTTGTCTTGCATAAATTCTCCAGATCTTGTAACGCAAGTGTTGCAGAACATTCACGGTTGCGAAGTGTCGAAATGCCGAAACTGTGGAGAGTGCTTACGCCTTATCTTAAAGTTCTGGCATTATTAAATTCAGAAGAGTGCACGCGACCTCTGAATTATTATGATCTAGATCTCCCATTTTCTAATCTTAATGATTACCAGCGTGATTATTTGGAGAAGTCAATTTTCTGGTAGATCCTACACGTCTGAACCGACTTCCCAGTACTTCAACCACCAGGTTGTAGATCCACAATAACCAAAATAAGCGCCCAAAATTGCGGTACTGCATGCCATGAATCTCAAATGTTTATTCCTCGCTTGCAACATAATTCAGCGTCAAGAACGGATGATATAGTAAATGTCGTGTATTGGGTTCGGGTGGTCGGCCGGGTTTGCGATTGCCGAGGGCCTCAGGGGGGCGCGAGAGTCGGGCTAATGCATGTTGCTGCTTTTATTGTAATACCAGGGGGCAAACATTCGACACAGGTCCTGGACCTGCTAAAGAATGGGCTTCATGCGACTCTCACGGAACCCACAAAAGAGTTGAATGATATTTATCTTCTAAAATGTCATTTATGACAGACTACAAGTAATAAGAAGAGTGGATTGTGGAGGTCACCTTCTTACTATGTTTACTCTCTCTCGACTCTTCTCTACTACAAGCTGTATTTTTTAGCATGATAACTCTCCTAAATTGACCAAAAAAAAAAAAAAAANAAAAAAAAAATTTAACGCTTAACAGCGGAGGGGAGTATAAACTGTAGTGAGAGTGGATAGAAGAAAGGTGTGGGAAAGAGGATGTCTCGTAGTGATTCGGGAGTCTAATCTGAAAGTCATGACACTTTGAGACGTGTGATTTCAATCTCGATTACCTTTCATTTCACATACAGTACTCTCTGCTAATTAAGATAATTGTGGTGAATTTGCAAAATTTGCTTACCCGAGAATGCGAAGAATGTCATAAGTGAAGGAATAAGCTCGCTGAAAAGTTGGTGTTGCCCTACTTCCTGCAACCCACAAGACCAGTTCTTTGTCTTTTGATAGTAACTACAAGATACTAGCTCTTACAAATCAAGAACATGAGATATTTCCAATTCAGGTGGAAAGAAGGAAAGCTGAGACATATCGTTCTTGACGGGCTTGTAGAAGAAGAAGGATCCGTCTAAGTGTTTGTTTAGATAATGTAAGTTATAATTTGATAATACTATGATTACAATGTTTCAATAAAAAATCTAGTGGATGTTGTAGTAAAACCACTATAATGTTACATCAACGGATGCAGGCGTTGCACGAGTGTCAGGAGATCTACCAATTCCGCGATTTTCGAGTCACTCTTCACATCCTAATTGAATGAACCACTCTTCACTGCTACGAAGCATCTTCTAATACTACGTTTAGTTCTTCTCTTTTTCGTGGGTTTTTCTTTTCAATTTTCTTCTTACCAGAACGCGTCGGTTGGTGTACAATCTAAAATGACTATGCTATTTCAAAGCAAACGCAGATGCTTTTATAGTTATGTTTAGTGTTCTTTGCGAGTATAATTAGTTCTTGTTTCCCACTCGCCACAGCATGAATTAACTTACTAGAAGTATGGTGCTGATTCCTTCTTAAGAATCAATTCGAATTTTCTTCCAGACTAACAGTTTTCGTTTTGAGAACTTGGTCCGGGCCCACAGACAAACCGATCATATAATTTCAGACTGGCTTTTTTGTAATTACATGTAGCTTGGGCGGATGGCGACTCTGGTGGGTGAATATGGCAATGGATAACCTCATGACCAAACGGCAAGTGACGAGGGTAGAAGATTGTAGAATTAAAGCAGGAACCTAACAACCATTCACTTCACATAAACGGATATTGTGATATAATCCTGCATCTGGCCGTAAACCACTTTCTCTTCTTTTCATAACTTTTACTGTTGTTGTAGCAGACCCTTAACGATGAAATCATCGATCGTCCCAAGCACATACCAAACATACAAAGCGGGTACACAAAAGGTCTTGTACTGGTTGTACGAGAATGCTTTGACGTGTGGCTATGTTCCGAGTCCAAACAGAGACGAGTATAGTACAGAAGAAGAGGAAAAGGATCAGCCAGACCGCAGGAAAAAACACAAACCTAAGCCCAAAGCCAAGAAAGGTAAAGGGAGCAAAGCCAAGGGCAGCGGGAAGGCAAAATCCAAGAAGTCAGGAACCTCTTCCGAGTCGTCAGAAATATTTCTTCCTGTAAAAGAGTACTTGGTACTTGCCGAAGCAAGTAAGTTCATCTACAATTTATTTAGGACTTCCGTCCGAAGGCTTATTTGAACGACTGTTAGTTGCTGCCAATCATCCAAAGATTTAAGTTCCGAGCTGGGTGACAGATATGATTAAGCAAGTCATAGCCGGACGGAAAAAGAGTGCGAGATGGTTCTCTCGTCAGGCCTGTGACACCACTAGCGAAAACCTTGAAGAGAGCAATTTTGGACACAATCATTTCATTGGCATATTAGAGTCTGTACGGGAGATCTTGGTCAAATTGCAGGAGCCTGGCAGCGCCACAAGCTCGACGGCAGACATGTGTGCTGATGATGACAGCGATCCACTTGCGGGCATAACAAACATTTTCGCTATCTTAGAAATCTAGCCGGATACAGAGCACACGATGACTGAACCTGCACCATCAGCTGCTCGAGTGGTTATTATCGATACTCAAAGTGAAAATCAACAAAGTTCAGAGGAAATCTTGTGGTTGAGTAAGCATGGCCGATTTACGATCCTTATTTTTTGTGTTGTTTAAAAAATTCACAACCTACTTGGCGAACTGTTTGAAACGACCGAATCTGCTAACTGCGCTATCTGACAGTATATTGCTTCTTCGAAGACTTCAATATAGTTCGCGAGCATGTCAAGGACACATGGAAAACATATCACCAGGGTGGCTCGGTTGACCTCACAACTGCAGCATTATCAACAAACACAGCCTTCAAGATCTTAAAACGCTCCGAAGAAGAATTGATGGCAGAACTACGCGAACCCGTTCCTGGCCGGCTCTTTGAAGGGCTTATCGGATACAACGAAATTCAAGGTATCCTATACACAGCCACAGCTTTTGCAAGGGGCATGAACGAAGACAATAAAAAAAGGCCCGAAGACCACTACAACTACGCCTTGTGGGACATCGCAGATTGGACTGGATTATCAGTCTTTCGCCTTCTATCCTCTTACTTGGAACATGTCCAACCGAATCAACTTACCGTCAGCCCACCTGGAATTTATGGCAAGCTAAACCTCAAGCAAGTTGTTTTAGAACCTCATGAGAAGTTCATCCAAGATAAGATTCTTTTACATGAATTGTTTCTACCAGAGATAATGCTCATGTAAGTAAGAATTTATACATCCTTTTGTCATAAGCTCCTCCCTATTTTTGGATGATATAAGAGACCTAACCGACTCAAAACTATTTAGCCGACAGATCAAAAGAAAGGAAAGCGATTTAGGCGTAAAATTCCCAGCTGAGGATGAACTCACAGCCGGAATTTTAGAGTCGGCACGCACCAAAATCATTCCCATATGGCTCGTTTTAGCTGTACAGATTCAGTAAGTGCCATACAATTCAAATTCAGTCCTACCTTACTACATTGCATGTTCTGCTTCGTTAGTACAATTTAAAAAGAAGATAAATCAAGTTACTGTCGCCAGTATGAGGTGGACACTGCCATATTTTACCTCGACCTTATTCTGGACTAGAGAATTTTGTTGTGCTAATCTCTTATTTCCATAGTTTAGATATCCATTACATTCTACTTGAGGACACCGCACGACCCCATGCTGAACTTACCGCCGCGACAAGGCGAGCTGTCGTTACCGTTGCAGTTTATCAGAGCTTCTCCGAAGATATGCATCTTGCTAGATGGCCTAAGTCCAGAGACGACGCAATAGATTACTTCGTTAGCGGATGAAACCAATTTATTTTAACAGACATACTTGATCGCTTGCGAGAGGGAGGTTATGCAACAGTCGGTCTATCTACAGAAGGAACTTTTGTACTCCTAAAGAGACACCCAATTCTCTGTGGAATGATGTTATTTCATGTCAATATAATCATGCAACAGTTTGGACTGAAGCTTGTTAATACTTGGGGCTCCCTACCGATGACTCTCCACCTTTATAATGCCTGCCTCTCGGAAGGATTTCTGCGAAAGCCATGGTGAGTCCATATTCGAGATGAAACATCGAGCGGAAGCCAACACGTGAAGTTCTGTTTCGTAAGGCACTCTAGAATATCCATTGACTTATGCAATAGGCTCGACTTGGAATGCTTGATTAATTATAATACGGCCAAGCGTATATTTGTTGGAGATCGCCCTCGTACACGTCAAGATGTAAGTTACTTCTGAGGCGTCACTGAATCCAAAAGCAGTGAAAGCGCTTCTTTTGATAGCTCAAGTTCACGAAGCCATGCGGCCGAGAAATGCTGTTTGGAATGAAATTTTGCATAATCTAATAGCACATCTACTGACGAGTATTTAGTACCTGAAGCGCTATCTGCTCGCATTAGGAACTTCTGTCAGTAATTTTGCTCCCAACCAACGCAATCAAAGAGACAACTTTAAGCTGGCTGCGAGAAAGAGCGGCCCTCGTCAATTGCTAAAAGAGTCTCGCATGGCAAATGTATACATTAACCGATACTTTCGATATTGGGGAACACGAGGTGATAGTAATGAACACTCTAGTACCACTTTAGCCGCGATCGAAGATCTACTTGCCAAAATTGCAGCTCATCCAGATGCGAATGAGAGCAATGATAACGAAGAAAAGAGCACAATGAATCACGAACCAAAGGCAACGCGGATATCAAATCACCCAAATCGTAAAATCCCGTCCAAACCCGCAAGACGCCACAAGCTGACCGCAGTCAAGCTTTTACAAGCCCTGGAATCTGTTATGCTCGAAGAAACATTTGCGTCCAAAGTTAATTATTTCTCGCTTCACATGCGATGCTTCCGACTGTTTAGGACCATCCAGTCTGAGATGGAACCTACCCTTACCAAATATTCCATGTTCGTCGAGGAGGACTCCCAGCTGCCTATACTTGTAGGATACATTTTTCGGGTTGTTTTCAGCGGCGACAAGGAATTTGAGATGATTCCCAAGGAGTATCAAAGTTCTGAAAAAGGCAGCGAAATTTTATAGGAGGTCGGTAAAATTCTTGACAAAGTGATTGCGAAGGATGGCGAAGTGGAGACTGCTAAAATCAAGCAAGCTTCTAATGCTTTCAAGGGATTCGAGTTTATGTTTGAGGAAGAATCTGTTTTAGATTAGGTATATGCAGTGAATAGATCAAACAGAAGTTATGTATCCAATAATCAAGATTACGCGTCACAAATTGCTGCCAAATCCCACTTTTCTCCGCCTGGTATACTATAGACAGCCCTTCCAGTCAGTGGTATCGTAGCATTTTAACGTGATCTGCCTTCGAGTGATTAATAGTTAACAAAATATCGTATATTAAAATATTTCACCAATGGTTTTCAATAAGAACGTCAGTAGCCTCTATTACCAGTAAGTGGGTCATTTAAATATCCTTTTTCCATTAGACTTTAATTTAAATAGATAATCAGGAGATCCTGCCACTTATTTAGATCTCATCAAGTCAATATATTTACACAGATTAGTTACGTTAATTGTAATCCAATTTCAACCAGCACCTTAGTAACTAATATCAATACCATTTTTCTACTAGATAAAACATACTAACTCAATATTCAAACCAAAGCGTTTAAATCTGTGTAACAGATAACAAGAACACAAACACGTGACCAACCAGCACTAAAATCTCACCTCCCCTCCAACCTCCCCTCCTCTCCAATCCTTCTCCTAACCTCCCCAAACCCACACATCACCCCTAAACCCCATAAACACCCCCAAACCCAACCTCGTTCCAACCCAAAAATGGCCTCCCAACCTTCCACCCCTCTAAAACCCTCCCTCCTCTACACCATCTACTTCCTAACCTTCGAACCCCTCGCCGCCCTCGGCGGAACCTACCTCGCCCTCTTCAACCCCACCCGCTACCTGCGCGGCACTTTACCCTCAACCATCCCCACCCCTCCCATAAGCCCCCTAATCTACTCCCTGCTCGTCAACATCGGGAGTTTATACTTCCTGTTCGCCGTTGCCGAAGGCGTGGTTTTACGGCTGACGCGGAAGCGAAGTGTGTGGTTTGCGGTTTTAGGCGCGTTTTGCGTGACGGATGTTTGTCATTGTGAGTTTATATTTCTATTTTAGCGTGTAGACATTTTGGGTAATGTACAAAGGGGGGCTGATCTTGATAGTGTATGCGGTGTATATTTTGGATCCCGAGAGGTTTTTTGCGGTGGGGAAGTGGAATGGGGATGAGTGGATTAACTATGGGACGCTGAATGCTGGGTTGGCGTTGAGGATTGCTTTTATGTTGGGGTTTGGGAGGAATTGATCGGACGTGTTGTAGTAGGTTGTAGATGCGGAGGTCCTTGGTGCTTAAGCTCAGGATTTTTGCTAAACCACAATGAGCTTCAGAAGACAGGCAAGGATATTTGCTGTCCATTGTAATGTTTGGATACCACAAATTCAAGCTAGTCTAAGTAATGGCCTCGAGTGTGGAGCAGATGTTGGTTAAAACTATTAAATGGGTATATTTCTAACCCCTCTCTGGATTTTATGGGAAAGTGTATCAGTTCAAGTATAGAACGAATCTAGAATATCCAATTGAGCACCTTCTTAAACTTACCCGCCGTCGTCTTTTCCTTCTCCATCAACTTCAGATCCTCCTCGGAAACAGTATGCACATCGCTTTCCAGATCCATGTTGGCATACGACACAATCTTGGTCTTCTTGAACAACTTCCATCCAACATACATGACAAGCATGACCACCAACTGGATGTAGTAACTGACAAAATCAACAGCTGCAAACTTAGGGCTAAACGAGCTCCAGCCTTGGACGAGAATGATGAAGATGTTCAAGACCACACAAATCCAAGGTCCCCATGGATAAGTCCAATTCTTGAAAGGCAATAGATGTTCTTTGCCTTGTGCTTTCATGGCACCTCTGAAACGGAGCGAGGTGATACCGATAGAAACCCATGCGATTTGATTTGAGACTCCGACGAGGTTCTGCAGCCATGTCCATAATTGACCAGCGCCGATAAATGAAGCGCCAAAACAGAGGCCAGCAAGGAAACTGGTCGAAAGAACCGCCACCCATGGGACCTTGTTTCGATTTAATTTCGCGAAAACCTTTGGAGCATGGTCATCGACTGCGAGGGAGTAAAGTAGTCTGGTTCCAGCGAAGAGCGCGTGATTTCCAGCTGAAATGACACTGGTAACAATGACGGCGTTGATAAAACTTCCAGCTGAACGTGCTCCAACTTGTTGGAAGATGATCGTGAAAGGAGAAACAGCTGAGTCTCTTTTCGACAATCCTGGAGTGTTGTATGGCACATTAAGTCCAATAAGCAGCACCGAGCAGATATAAAATATAAGAATTCTCCAGAAGACATTCTTGACTACACGGGGGATGTTTTTGGTTGGATTAGCGGTTTCTCCAGCTGTAATCGCAATTGACTCGGTGCCGCCATCTGTATGATTGTTAGTTCTCGGTGTTGTCGACCTGGTGAGAAACTTACAAGCAAAAGCTGCGGTAACGAATACAGATGCAAAGCCTCCGATACCTCCAACAAAAGGTGCATCACCAACACGCCAGTTCTTGCCTCCAATATATCCTAGCCCTTGATTACCACCTGCATTGGAGACAATTCCCAAAATGATGAATATCTGATTTTGTCAGTCGCGTAAAAGAATCAGAGTAAAAAGCATTACGAACCGTAATTGTTATGACTTTCAAGAGGCAAAGCCAATACTCAATTTCACCGTAGGCTCTGACCGTAACGATGTTTGCCAATATCAACACCGCCCAGAATATCAAACTCAGCGCCCAACCAGGCATTGCTGTGTCCCAGTATGCAAAGACCAATTGCAAAGCCACTAAATCAGCAGCTGTACTGACGGCATCGTTGAACCAATAGTTCCAAGTTAGAGCGAAGCCGAATGCATCATCGACGAATCGGCCAGCAAACGTACAGAAGGAGCCAGCAATTGGTACAAAAGCAGCCATCTCTCCGAGGGCCATCATTGTCATGAGGACGGTGCCACCAACGATCAAATAAGCGATGAGCATTGAGCCAGGACCACCCGTTGCAAGCGATTTTCCAGTTCCTAGAAAAAGACCAGTTCCAATCGTTCCTCCTATCGCGATCATCTGAACTTGACGAGCTGACAGCTTGCGCGCAAGCCTGTCGGCAATAACAGGATGCTCTCCATGGATGGTAAATGCCGGATCTGACGAGGAGTGTCCTTCTACATCTTTTCCGTTTGGCTTGAAGCCTTCATCAGCCACATGAGTATTATTAGTATCAGAAAATCGTGACATTGTCTCCTATGTATACTGGAACGTATACTGGAATTGATGTTGTAGCTAATATGTCGTGGAAGTCGATCTCCGGCTAAAAGACTCCCAAGTGACGATCCGTCAAGGGCAAACCTTATGCCAAACTAAAGGCAACCACAATCAAGATGGAAAGCTTCGAGAATAGGAACAGAAGAAAAGAAGAAGAAATATTGCCCAGTCGCTTGACATATGGCAAGCATTTTTTCAACGGCCTTACCAAAGCTTGGACTCTTGGAGGCTATTACGAGATTTCTATTGCGTGCTTCACGAGCCCATGACAACTTCCTTCCTGAACAGGCCGAACCAAGAATTGGCGCCATGCTTTTTGGTTCATCAATTGAATGTGAATGGCCCATCGTCAGTTTGAAGCGCAACGTCGTATGAAGGTTTGAGCGGCGAAGTGTTACATTTAAGAGATCTTCATACATGGTTGATGTGGAGACCGAAGTTGCTCGGCTTCGGTGCGCTGCAAATCCACGGCGAAACCATCTTTTACACGTGATACGATTGGCTAGCCACATTACTGCTCAAACAGAATAGAATATCATAACATTACATACAAGAACAACTGTTTGACTCGTCTGGTTAAAAATGTCTACTTGGTCCAGATAGTTCTTTCTGAACTACGTCAAAACGTGGATGTTAAAAGTGGACCAGTCACGTGAGAATTACCGTGTCGACCGCTAGTTCCTGTTCCCCTTCTCATTACCTCTTATCATTAGACTAACAAACATTGAGTATTCGTTCTTTTCAGCAAATCTCTTCTCTTGTTATACATCACAACGTTCGAAATAAATCCAGTCATGGAGATCGACCAGTCAACTTCCTGCCCATTCGAGGCCTTACCAACCGAGATCCGCTGACACATCCTCAGTCTGATGCCAACTTACGAAACGCTCAAAACGCTCATTCGTGCCTCTCCGCGGTATCTCCAAATGTATATGTCCAACACAGGAAGATTCTTAACCTACGTTGTAATGAATCGAATCACACCAGCAGTACTTCCTGCGGCAATGGAGGCTCTTGCCTGGCGCAAATTACTCGAAGCACCTGCCGATGAAGACAAACAAGTCAAATTCATAGCGACTGCGAAGCCGCTTGTTTTCCACAAGTACATCGTGAAAAGTTTGAGCCCACATACTTGTAGAGAACTTCTTCTATTTCATCCTTTGGTTGAGGAGTTTATCTCAGATTTACCTCTTCTCGATTTGCATTAATCGATGAATGTATTTCCACGAAGGCGTCTGAAGTAATGCTTAATGCTGCGTCATTGTCGGGATTGGAAACCTTCAGACTTGCTAGAGCCTTTTATCGCTTCGACCTTTTCGCTCATCTTTCGTCCCACCCTAGAGATAGCAAGGTCTTAGAAACCACCATGCACCTCCATGTCTTAGCTATCCACATCGGACACACATGTCTTCTGGATTCGCTCAATGACTGGGAATTGGAGGAATTCTTGTGCGTACACAAGTACGTGACCGAAAAAGGATTTGAATTTCTTGACCGGGTAGAAGATGATGTCCTAGCAGAATGTATCAGCAACGGGCTCACCGCAGGATCCGACACTTCCCCTATCACAGACTGGGCAAACGCTCATCCCGAGTTCTCGCAAGCAGACTCACCACACATCAATTTCTTGGACAGCCTGTTAACACGAGGCTTGAAGTACGTGCGTGAAGCATTAGCCCAGGACACCCCAGAAAGCAGACGTCGTTACCACACGGAAAACCTGAAATACATTCCTTCACCAGAAGTTTACAAATTAGTCGACATCATCGAAAAACTCCCTCGATTCTCCACCTTCTCCGAAACCGAGCTCGCCGCTTATCACAAAGCCAACAAACCCGCCATCGAAGACACCCAAACATCCAACCCCGGCTTCTGGACAGCACTAAAATACTACCGCGATCACCAACCTATACCCGGGCGGCACAACTTCTACCACTTCCAAAACCTCCGACAATGGGGCTACGCAATCTGGAGTCAGGAGACGTTAGATCGCCACCGGCTCCCTGATGACGGGTCAAGTATGTTCCTGTATAATTCGGGGAAGCAGCCCATGATAGCGTATGCTTGTTATCAACATACGATCTTGAATGACGTGGGCCTTTTGAACTTCTCTGCCGGGGATGTGGTGCATTCGACGTGGAGGAGGGGTGGGAACACCGTGGAGGGGCAGTTGGAGTCTATGTGGAATAGGGAGAATGGTGAACGTATGGAAGCATCGTGAGATGCCTGAGTTTGTGGAGACATATAGCTGTGATGAAATTCGGTTTAAGTGTCATTTTTGAAATATTGGCACTAATATATTTGCCGTCTGTCAAATGTCTGCGGTCTCATTGTTTATCCGCTATTTGGATGCCAAGTCGTCACTTCACCATCGCATAGTTGGAATTTCGCAATTAATACATCAGACAAAAACGTGGCTTCGAGCAGTGCCGTACGGTAAGGTGTTTTGGAATGAGCTTGGAAATCCTCACCAAATCAGCCATGAACAGTTTTGTTCAAGTGTATTCCACTGTTGTTTTACACGAAGATCTCGTAATATTTACGGTGAGCAGGAAGTCTTCGGAAAGTTTTTATTCAGCAGTGGAATCTAGATTTATCTTGAGAATAATCATACCATGTAATGATATCTAGGAGCACGTTGCGAAGCTGGGCAATACGACATCACGGCTCTTCGCTTAAGCCATAGCATTTACTCATCACTTCATCCAAAACACTCAACAACCAAGATCAAACAATTCCTTAATTTCAACAACATCTATGCTATATACACCTCCCCCTTACCCCTTCCCCCTCCTTCCCTCTCTCTAAATCCCCGTCGTATTTCCCGGCACACAAGCAACCCCCACAGACCCCTGAATCCCATCACACACAATCACAGGCGGACTCCCCTTCGGACTCGTAAGATCGATATCATCGAGTTTGATATTCGAACACACGGCGTTGGGCGAGCACGTCAACTTTGCTACTTTGCGTCCGTTCACGCCGCTGCTGGACCCGGTGAAGTTCTGGAAGTGGATGTCTTTCATGTCGACGCGGGAGGGGTAGGCGGCGCATGTTGACTGATAAAGAGAGTTAGCGAGGGTATGGGAGGGAAGGAAATGGGGGTGAGACTTACGGCGTTGACGTTGAAGTAACAAGCGTCGAGTACGATTGGCCAGTCAACGTTATAGTTGTAGAAGTTCTTGAAAGTGACGTTTTGGATATATCCATATCCGACATTCGGGCCTGCCCATCCCTTAAGTCTCGCGCCATTCTATCACAAATCAGCCGCTACTCAAAATCTCGACAACGCGGATACATACCTGCGCATTCAACATAATTACATTCTCAATCCACGCATTATAGATATAATCCTTAACTCCCGCATACTGACCGATACTCCCCATACTCACGCCATGCGTGCCATTACAGTACAGATTCTCGACGAGGATGTTGGAGGTATTCGGTTTAGGACTGAAACAGTCGTCGCCGATGTTGACCCAGGCGTTACGTACGGTGAGACCATCGACGTTGTAGGAGTCCCAGCCGTCGGTGTTTTTGGGGAGGTTCTAAAACACAGAATTTAGTAGGAGGACTGTTGGGGGGAAGGGGAGACTGACTTTGTTGGAGGATACATTCTCAATGATCACGTTGTCGTAGACGACGTTCTTGGCTATTAAAGGTTAGCGAGGATGTGAGTGTGAGAGGGGGAGACAAACAAGTAACCACGAAATTCGTCCAACATGCTGAATTCTTGAATCTTATGCCCTCGATATACAAATTCGTTGCATTCTCAGCATAAAACAAATTCGGTCTCAGATAAGTATTATTCGGATCCTATCCCATTCATTAGCCGAGCTTCCATAAACCCACTGTTGTGTCTGAAGTATTTACTCACCAAAATCTCCAACCCAGCAAACCCATCATACCAAGCCTGTCCATTCCCATTCAACGTGCCATTCCCCCAGATCCGAATATCCTTCCCGCCCCACTTCCAATAACTAATACTCTTCTGGAACGGATGGTAATAGTAGTTACTCTGCCAGTACTTGATATCATCCGTAAACAAGATCTCACCCTCGAGATTGAGCTCCACATTGTTGAGGAACGTGAGATCGAGTTTCTTGCCGATGACAAAGGTTTGACCTTTTGGTAACACGAGGGTGCCGCCGTGGTTTGCCTGCTTGAGACCACGCAGGAGGTCGACGGAGATGTCGTCTTTGGCGTTGCGCGAGGGGCGAATGTAGATCTTGCGACGGGAGTTGTGGTGAGGGGTGTAAGGACAGTGTTTGCGGAATTCGGAGGGGTTTTTGGGACCGTTGTAGTGGTGTTGGGTGGAGGTTGTGAGGGTGGAGAAGGTGGTTAGGAGGGTGGCGAAGAGGGTGAGGGTGTTGGTTAGGAGCATCTTGACTGTGGACCTTGAGGGTGCTGAGAGAACGAAGGGTGAAGGAAAGGATGAATTGGAGGTATATAAATGTTTAGATGCAAGGCTGATGCTACCATTCCCGGAAGAAGTCCATTTTCAAATCCACCAACAATAACAAGAATCAATGAAATAGTATTGACTTGGCAAACCCATCGCCATATTTCTGTCCCCTCAACACAAGGAAAATCGTTCCCGCCATGGCAACACAGCTGCAAGTAAAGAACTCCATCGAATTGTGCAAAGTACTCGAAAAGTACCTCACGAGGCTGAGAGCCAAGCCTCTTTAAAGTAATGTACGAATCGGCAAACTCAATTGACCTTCTCCAGATCCCCAGGATACGATTGTTGATTCGTGGTTTAATGAATAAGTAAAGGGGAGTAATTTTTCCGCGAGCGAGATTGCGGGGGCGGGGTACGGGGTAAAAGTCCCGGGGGACCACTCATGGGGAAGCGACGTCGTACCAAGAATGGCGAAGAGATGCTTGTCATTTTTCAAGAGTTGCTTGTCGGTGTGCAAGACTTGCTTGTCGGTATTCAAGAGTTGCTTGGTTGGTTACAAGCATTAGAAAACATATGGATAGGTTTGCTTATTTGCGCCAATGAGGTGGGCGGAGGGAGCTTGTTTTTAGGGGTCTTGGGAAAGATGGCTTTTGAAAGTGGATTGAGGCGAAGATAATTGAGGGTCTGGGAAGTTCAATAGTAGTAATGTATCTCCGGAAGCAAGTGAAGTGGTGGGAATTGAGAGTTCCTGGGAATCAAGTCACCCGTTGCGATTCAAAGAGAGACTCACCTAATAATCAATTTGACCCAAGCATGCTGGCTGCACATTCTCATTTTGGCGACTAGCATAACGGCTTGTAAGCGATCATACGCATCAGTTACTATAGAAAGAGTGTGGTATGTGGCACAAATCAAATTGCCGCCCAGAAACACTTCCACTTCCTCGCGCTTTGCAGGGCAGCTCCCTATGCCTGGAAATTCCCGTTACCATGCCCATGGCTCTCACTTACCCACCTATCATAGTGAGCAATCTAGTTCAAATCCCCGGGACAAGCACCACACATTCTTCCATCGGTAACACCATACAAGACCTCGTAATCAGAGTAGATGGACGGAACCGTAGCATCGAGACAATGCTTCGCCTTACCAACAGCAATCGAAACCTTGAGATCCTTCATCTTCGCCTTATCGACGAGTTTACCGTGTTGCTAACTCTATCAGTAAAAATAAGTGAACAAAGGGTAACAACTCACATCCGTAACTCTCCAGTGCAAGTTATCCTTCAACCATTTCCCCACACTCGCCTGCGTAAAATCATCAAGACAAACACCGCCCTTCCCCTTCTGCTTATTCCTAATCCACTCGACCAAGTGATCAGTAAGTACAACTTGGCCGGTCGTCAAGACTCTGTTGGAGCCAGTGGCTTCCTTTTGCTTACGACAAGTTGTGCAGCCTTCGACGCCCGTGCCGCGAGACTCAACGGGGGAGGAGAAGTTGTAGATGATGCCGACTTGGCCTGGGTTGCTGGAGTTGCAGAGTTGACTGGCGGAGAGCCGTTGTTTTCCGTTTGGATCGGTGGCTTTTGGGATTGTGACTTCGCCGAGGAAGACACGGATGGTAAAGGGGTGGCCGCCGAGAGCCCATCTAGAGAACTATTAGCGATGATTATGCTTACCGGAAAGAAGAGACCCACCGATCATAGAGGATATTGCAGATATAATCCTGACTCTCCCAAGAAAAGTCCACAAACGGCGCGTGCGCACTACCGCCAGGTGCACCGCTGCTAGATTGATTCCCACCAGGCTTCGGCTTCCAGCCCATCATACCCCCCAAAAGACCACCACTAACATCACTCAAGATATTAACACCAGCCTGAACAGTGTCGCTCGCGACGGAGACTGCTTGTCCAAGAAGAGTCTCTCTCAATTTGAGAAGCGCAGGTGGGAAATTTTCATATTTCGCCGACTCCTGGGAACAGGCGCTCATGAGTTTCTTGGCTGTCTCTTCCATTCCAGGAAGAAGCGTGACAGATTTGCCAGTCGTAGAATATTTCTGCTCAAGAGTCGTTCGGATTGCGTTCTCGTACTTCGTCCTGGAAAAGCAACCGGCGTTGTCCTTGTAAGCGGGAAGCCATTTTTGAAGTTCAGGGTAAGTGTAGCCCATCTTCTTGGGGTCGCGGATGTCTGCTGGTGTCCACTGTTGAGAATTATTAAATCCAGAGACCATAAGAAATGAGGATGGGCAAATAGTAGGCGGAGGGATGACTTGTTCGCAAGAGAGACTTACTTTCACGCCAGTGGTAGTCTTATTGAATGGGGTCAATTTGGTATTGACGTCGACTTTTCCACGATTGGGATCATCCCAAGCCTCCACATATTTATTCGGATACAACTCCTGCCAGATAGCAAAAAGCCGATCGACGTTACAGTGATGGAGCCTTTACCAGTCAATAAACTTCACCTCAATCAGTAAAAGACCGTGACCTACCAAAAGATCGGATCAAAACTAGCAACCCCAACATTTCCCATGTGGCCAGTGCCACCAACGTGTCCATGGACATTATTATGAATATCCTCAACACTAGAATATTGCTGAGGATTTTGACCAACCTTGTAAACACCAGTGGCGAAAACATTCCAGGTTGGCACGTACTTCTCAATGAACAGCCGATAAATGGCTTCAGGGAGGGTGTTGGACTGGGAGGCCTTGGAGGCACGAAGCATACCAGTGATGTTTTGCCAGTTTTGTTGACCCTCTACCCATGCGGTTTGGAATTTCGGGTCGTTCGGGTCAGGTGTTTCGGGGTATCTGGACGTGGACTTGGAGAGGTTGTACTAGAAACTATCAGGAAATGTAATGGTAAGGGAATAGATGGACATACATGAAGTGTGCCCTCAGGTTCCTCAACGGCCGTCACACCATAATCACCAAAAGTAGTTTTCCCCGGGTTCATTTGCGGGACTTTGAATCTCCACATCGGATTCTCAACCTTCGCAGTCCCAATCTTGGTAAGCACCTCGACCGTATCAACGGTAAGGAGGTATGGGACATTGGGACCAAATTTAGCCTGATTTTGCGGGTCTGTCCAGTCTGGTCTCTTCACAGCGCAGTCCCAGAAGGGAAGACGCCAGGAATCAGCAGCTTTGTACAGACCTGCATGATCTTGGGTGGCAAAGGTCTTGGGAATCAACTTGACCATGATCTCGTAGATTCTCTGTTCGTACAGAGCCAGGTATGGTCTGTGCCATGGAGAGAACAGGACACTGCCGTGGACACAGTACCAATCTTTCTCTGGATCGTTTGTGTCCCATGATTGAAGTGGTTGCCCGTGGATTCCTATGTGATCATTAGTATCTGGCTTATCCGTATAGTTGTTGTACATACCAGCGATTTGGAAGTAAGAGTCCCGCTCATTCGGATTCATAGACTTGAATTCGTTCAAAGCATAGACGAACAAGGACTTTTGGTAGAGAGTATTCTTATCCTTAGCAAACCACCACTCATCAAGCTCCCTCCGAATGGGAACTTGTTCTCCTGGACCCAAGCATTTTTGAATGCCCGTAATTGCGTAGGTCGCCATGTTTACCACTGATATTTCTTGTACCGTTGAGTTGATTTGAGAGAGTTAGATTGAGAGGGTTATTGCATCATGTATGAAAAGCGGAGTACGCACCCTTATATATACGTGCATTGATCCCGCTCTTACAAGATTTGATACCTTGAGCTCTGGTGTGTCGCAAATGGCATCACAGACCTCAAGCCATACAAGGAGGTTGCAGTCTGCAGCACCATCTCGAGTACGCTTTTGGCAAGGCTGTGAACTGAATGATCAATTTGTGAGATCTGAGACGATTTCATTTTGGCGGGGTAGTAGTGCTGTGGCATGTAGCGGCGTCCCATGTCGAATCATTACAGTCCATTCCCGGGTGGCGCTCATATAGGGAATAACTCATTGGTGCTAAGACCCTAACACACAGTTCTTGTGTATTGTGGTACTTTGACTGCACGATAACCCTTCCCCCGAAATCCAGGATATAGTAAGTTTGACCAAAGCCATCTGTAACAGTGACGCAGTCTCATCACTTCGCTGCTACGGCAGAAATTCCTTGTGGACTATATCTTGGTGAAAATACGAGACGAACGCTTGAACTGAAGAAGTCAAATTTAGAGTCAGATACCTATTGAAAAGGCTAAGCGAAGGGGGCTGTAAGACTGACTTGGATTTCCCGTACGTACCCAATTCTGGGATACACTTCAATTCGACTCGGAAGATGGCCAGATCTCAGCTCCAACTCTTGCTGCCCCGCCCTTGATGTTACGTGAGATGGGTGGGGTGTGCGATGGGTGGAGGACTTCCTGCTGAAGGGACGAAAAGCCACAACAAAGTCCCCTACTATGTGTTAGATGACAACTTCGGATCAGGTTACCTATCACTTTGGACAGTGTGTGTGTACAGCCGGGCTAACAGCGCCAGGAACGGAACTAGGAAGCACCCCCCGATCCGCTGTGTTTTACAACATGGGTTCATGATGACACCAGGGAGGGGGTGAAAACAAAGTTGTGCTGTTTGCAACATGACAGCGCAGGTGATAAAAAGATCAACGATGCCAAAGCATGATTGGAACCCGAGGGGGGTCCAATGAATATATCCATCTTCGCACAATTATATGTGCAACACGTTCCGATACAGACGGCACGCCAATGGCGGCTGCTTTTTGACTCTATCTCATCTCATTTATTTTCTAAATCTCAGGTCGGCCATCAGCCTATTTCCAAAGGTTACACCTGTAGGCACAAAGTTCGCTCAATAGTAGACTCAATGATATACGCACCCCCGCATGCTCCTCCATACTCCGCTTTGAGCTTCATGAAAATGACAGTCTCGAGCCCAGTCCATACGCCATGCTTCATGCAAATCATCAGAACCCCAATGCTACACAACACAAACAACTAATATGCAACAATCACAACCAAAATTTCCTCCAGTGAACAAGATCATTTCCTACGTCAACCGATATCAGACATTGTTTTTCGATGATCGAGCAACACCTTTCTCTTTTTTAACCTTGCCCTCACCTCGTGTTGGTCGATCTTCTTCTACAACGGGGGTGGGTGCCTTTGCTTTTCGTGCCGGCTTTCTAGCACGAGGTTGCTCAGAGTGCAAGTGCCCCAATTCCTCCATAGCCGTGTTGTTGTGCCATGTCAAGCAGCGATGGATAGTATGATCGGCATGCGAGTCCTTTTTCCGAGTAGACATACGCTTATTGCCTAGATCAATAGATTTGTCCTCGGTGGGATTGAGATATTCCTTGCGTCTCTCCATATTTTGGACGATCCTATCTCGATACGCCTTCAGTTCTTTCGCAAGCTTGATCTCGTTGGTACCCCGAACATCCAGCCATCTGATGAGGCCATCGAGTTCTTCTGGATTGTCGTAGTAACCCCATTGGTGCGCGGTAAAGACGTGAGTCGGACCTTCTTCTAGTTCCTTTCGCTCCGGCACGGTCATGTTGAATTTGGAACGATACTCGTTTTGCCACTCTTCCTTCATTTCGATATAACCGATTCGCTCCATATCGTCAGGGCCTTGAACCCAAATACAACCATTGGCATATTGCGCAACGGCAGTTGAGCTGTCAGGAAGTCCGCCGTAAGGCATACCATTTCGTTCAAACCAATAGTATCGGTTCCAGAAGCGATCCTTCCCTAGAACTCTTGTACGTGGGCAATCTGCTTCTCGAAGGTCATTGTCAAGGATAGCAATCTCTTCCTCCGCGTCCTTAATGGCGTCTTGTTTCTTTTGAATGTCTTTTAATAACTTCGTGAACTGCTTCGACTGCTTTGGTGCTTTGGCCTCAGCCTCTGCCTTTTCTTTCTTCTCTTGTTCGGCATCACGCTTCCTCTTCCGCACATTAGCTCGATCAATTCCACGTCGTAACGATCGTCCCTTGTGAATGCCTTCGTCCGTGTCAATAACTTCATCATCCGCCCCAGAGTCTGGAACTTCTTCGTCGACATCGGTCATCTTGGTGTCAACATCAGCAGCTTTGGCGTCTGGAACATCGGATGGTGGCATATTGGCCGGTAATAGAACTTTCTTTTCTTCATTGAGCAATCGAAGTTCCTCCATCCTAGTCAAATTAGCATGCACTCGAGAATCATGTCAGCTGACTTACAGAGTCTTCCGTTCTCGTTGGAAGCCGATCTTCTCTTTACGGAAACCGGTCATTTGCTCGCTACACTCCTCCATATATCCTCGGATGGCTTTCGTCTCGGCTGTTAGAATACATAGGGTTTGCAGGATTGAGATGCGAAGGTTGACATCGAGCTTCGCATATTGTTGTCGAGCAGTTTCTGGTGTCGGTTCCATTGTCAGAGGCGCGAGGTGCTCTAACAATGGATCGTATTTTCCATTTGCCCGGTGGCCTTTGGAGAGTTGATAGAGAAGACCGACAACAATAATTTGCCACCCACTATTTTTGAAGTCTCTCTTCCTTAAACGGTCTATCCAGCCTATCTCTGTTTGCATATCGGCAGCGCGGTGCAGGATCTTTGGCTCCTCCTCCTCTGACTTAACATTCGCCTCTGCTTGGATCCTAGCTTGTTCTACAGCTTCGGCTTCGGCTTTTGCAAGACTGCTTCTGGTGGCACGTCCTTTTGGCTTTGGCTCTGGTTCTGGTGTTGGTTCCGGTTCCGCCGCGGGCTCTTCACCTTCTTCTTCCTCTTCTTCCACTTCCATCTCCGGTAATTGGACATTGACCTTGCCACCATCTACTTCGGAACTGACGAGAAGCTTTAGTACAGCACAGTGTATCTCTACAAAAAGCTGACAATCAACGTCCTCTGATGAAAACTGCATGGCTTCTACAAAATCATCAAATGTAAAGGAATCCAACTTGAAGATCTCGCAATAGACATTCAAGGTATCCCATGACTCTAGTAACAGGCCTACTGATTCCATCCTAATACCATTCCCATCACGAGCTTTACCGCTATCTAATGGTGTATCTTGGGAGAAGTACTTTAGAGGTGGGCGTTTCGGACCTTCAGGTCGCGGCCCGACTTGCAAGTCCTCAATAGGATATTTGATTGGTGGTGGCGGCGGAGGAGGCGGAGGTAGCGACGCAAGAGGGGCGAAAGCAAACGTTGAGTTGTGAAAGTTAGCGAAATGAGGGCCAGCTCCTGGGGGTGGGCCATTTGCTTGGAAGGTATGAGAGCCATATGGAGGTGGGGTAACGAGTTGGGGAGGGCTTGCTTGATGTGAACCAGCCATTGACATTTGCTGAGAAGGAGCTGGGTTCAGATAGGGCTGCTGTTTTTGCTTAAGTTGCGATTGTTGAGCTTTGCTCTTATGACTCTTTGGTGCTGGCTTTAACTCTGGCAAACGTGCCTGAGGTACGCCGTTACCTTGGAAACTAGAAACCATTCCCTCAAAATCTGGTCCATTTTTCTTTTGCGCCTGAAACTGTTTCCTCTCCGCGGCTTTGCTTTCGTATCGCAAATGGGGTGGCACTCGAGTGTCGATGTGATACACCGCGGCAACATCATGCTTGACCAGCCAGGGAGCGCCAGTCCATGCCTCACGGGTGACTGTCTTCTTGATGAAAGATCTCAGAACCTGCTTGGTGAAGATTTTACGGTCTCGATTAATGTGCGCATCGTCCACAACCGCCTCCTCCGTTGGTCGATTGTCCAAACTGACAAAATATCGCGAAAATGCAGGTTGTACGGTGCCATCCGGAAGAGTCTTGCTGCCGAAGCGCGTCTTATCTCTGACAATTCCCGTCAGTCTTTCCCCTGTTACTACATGGACTGTGACCGCTTCGCCGGGGTAGTAGTCTGCTCGGAACTCCTCGTAGATCAGGTCAACCAGTGTATCAATTCGAGATATCGTTTGGAATTGGACGCGCCGTAGGATCGGGCCCTTCAGAGCTTCTGGAAACGCCTCCTCCACTTCTTGCGCGCCAGCTAGCTGTTATAGAGTTAGTGGACCGGACGCGCCTCTGGCAACAACATATCTTACCTCACTTTTCAGTGCCTCGAAAAATGATAGCCCTGAATGTCCGCTAATCTGGCAGATAAAGCGTCGCTGTCTAGGGTCAGTAGCTTTCTACATAGTGGCACTATCGCAACTAAGCAGAACTGACCTGCTTGTAAAAGTCCATCCTGAGACCTGAGTTAGCCTAAGTAAATACACGCGGGCTTTTGGGCGCATACCGAGTCAGGTACTGCTCATAGTCCACAAACACCTCATTCGTCTGCTTGATAACCCATACCTAACACAAATATCAGCCAATGTCTTGCGCCGCGCCCATCGGTTGTAGGATCTCTACCTCCTGATCATCATTCTCAATCACTGGCCGAGGCACATATTGGACCGGTTTTCGCTTGAATAGAACCTGGACGTGTTAGATTACAGTCTGTTTGGGGATTTCGAGGTATGCGTACCATCTTGGCGCGTCGTGGAGGTTGCTGGGTCTATGACGAGCGTGGGAGAACCTGCACAAGGGGGGTAGTTAGACCGGATGCCCCTCTATGAATGTTTGACGGCAGCTGCAAAGTGACTCAATCGCTTGGAATGAATGTAGCACCTCGAGTTCTCCTTCTTGTAAACACAGTCCGCTGAAGACGGATCAAGGGCGGGCGCGTGGGTAGAAAGGCGGGCTCTGACTGCGAGAGAGGCGGAAGTGGAGGAAGATATAGAAACGTACTGTTATATGTTCTTGACGCGTCTATTGACCTCGCTTGTGTTGAAGGTATTGCATGAAGTCGTGGTTTTGGCGTTGAGCCGGTGGTGTTGGGTTGAAAGAAAGCCTGCACGGTTTGCTCGTTGCAAAAGTTGGGTTCGTGGAGGAGGAGGGTAAGTTTCTCTCGAAGTGGTTGGTGGCTCTGCGTAGCCCGGACGTATCCCGGCACCCTGGTCTAGACTAGGTAAGGAGCGCGGTTGGTGGCTCGAAACAGTCCCTCTCGGATAGGGACCACAAAGGCTTCCCTCTTCCGCAGCCAACATCAAGGACTTGAGGAAACTCACCAACTCTCTTGAGCTTGATTTGAAGCTTGAAGCAAGGTCTTTCGTTTGAGTACCTCATTGTATAGTTGAGACTCATCTTGCAAATGTTATTGTTGAATATAAGCATTTTCAATTGATTGCAAAAACGGTAGTCGAATTTTGCACATCAACCTCGACCCCAACTTGTGATGACAAGCGGTTTCTACATCGCTAATTTGTCTGTCTCGCGCATCTACTATTGTTAAATTGCTAATTACACGTGTGACAATGTCAAATGATGTTTGGTTGTGCTTTAAAAACTAATCTAGGCTGTATTTAAAGGTAGGGAGTAGATCCCTTGGACCTTTGCCCACTTATAAACCATGGTAAAAGCAGATAATGGGACTTTCACATAAACCATCGGAGTAATGCTATACATTAAAACAGTAACGGTAGTAGTTTACAACCAGGTTAGCAAGGCCGGCCTTTTCAAGATCTCCATGATTTGCCAGTCCGTGGCCCCGAGCATTGTTGACGTCGCTGAATCCATCCCCCTTTTCTTGTGAGCGAGCTTAACCGAGATGCACGCCTTCCATTGGCATGGCGAGGCAATAACAGATAGCAGGCAAAATAAATGAAAATAAACCAAGTCAATCATGTCGCTCACCCTCGTGGTTTTGAAGAGCACTGAAAATCACAGTAATGCCACATCATACCCCAGGGTGCTAGGTGGGAGGCGAGCCAGACAACGCTTCCAAGCGAGCGACCCACCTTTTATGCCCGCCCGCCTAGTAATGTTTTCACTCACCCCCGACCACTCACCGACCATTGGCATCCAGCCTGAAGCCAGCTTCTTACACTTGTCAGGCCTAAGTTTCTCACCCTCTTGATCTAAACACCTCGAAAAGAATGAGAAGGAAACAGCTATGAAAGAATCTCTTGAACATCAAAATATCGCTTAAGCGATTCAGGGGTTGAATCTACCAGTTTATATTTCTGACATTGTAGCTAGCTAGTAAAATATACGACCAAGAATCCTAGCCAACTCCCAACCACCCCGATTGCTGAGTATGAACTCGTAAACATCAACGGGAGGAATTCGAATCGCGGTCCCCAGATGATTCGGTGTAATAGACTGCAATATACAATCAGTGGGATGCTAACTGCGATGTAGAGCAAGCTGAATCTATCGAACAGGAATATCCGTGATCTATTGCTAGCTGGCGCCAGCCTATCAAAGGCAAGTAGAAATAGCACGAGCCAGAACACGGTATACACTGTCTTGATAGGAAACTCGGCCGACGTAAATAATAGCGGGAAGAGCGAAACATGCCCCGCCACAGCTACAGGTCGAAATGCGCCCAAATATCGTCGGTCTCTCAGGGCGATTAAACTAAACGGAATGATGACCAGCAGAATAGCTTTCTCGTGAACATGCCATCCAAACAAAAATGATGCATATCCACACAATGTCACCGCGCCGATGAAGGTATCCCATGTGGGGTCGAAAAAGAGCTTAATCAGAGGGATGATCTGGAACAACAAAGTCAAGACGAAAGTTGTTCTAGCAGTAATCTCGGGCAAGACCGCAAAAGAAGTGTCTCCCACAAGACCACGTGTGACGCTATTTACGGCGTCCTGGTTTACCGCTAAACCAAGTCTAGGGCCAACTACAACATATTAGTGCTGAAGCTTCTAGATAAGGTGTTAACAAACCATAGATTAAAACTCGATCTGTGAATGAGTAAATGGCCCATATATTTGGAGCCCAATATGCGTGGCAGAGCCCTCTAGAAAACGGAAACAATCTACTCAGCAGCTGTGGGATTTGACCCCAATATGCAAACGGCCCAAACGCCGCACCGAAAATTGCAATGATCCCTGTCCCAAGCTTGAAAACATTACCAAATCGTATATGAAAGATAGATTTTTGCCCCAGACAATATGCTCGCAGCAAAAATACGAAATATGCCGGTGCAAGGTAGAGGTAAATATGCTTCAAACAGAGAAGAATAGCGAAAACAAGGCCACTCGCTAGGGTGGTTGACTTCTTCCTCGCCAGTACCAAGGACAGTATGAGGAGACCATACATGAAACCATTGTATTGGAAATGGATGTGGTCGATAATGAGCAATCCAGGTGAAAGTAAAAGAGAAAGGGCCGCAACTTGAGCGGGGCGCTTTTGGTTTGGCGGGGCAGACTTGACGAAGCTGGAAGAGGTCAGATATAATCCGGCAAACATAAAGACAACTACGTACAGGTGAAGCGCATATACCAGCACCAGCTCGGTAATTATGACACTTGTACGTTGGAAATATATTGTCTGCCAGCTATCGTATTCGAGGTTGAACACCTTTACCATTTCTGGGTCTACCAGGTTCGCGAATTGGGAAAGAATCCATTCGAATGCGGCGAAGAAAGGAGGATAATCGAGCGTCCATTCGGACGTCTTTTCGAAGTACCATTCCTGGATTGGAAGAGTGTTGGTGATCGCAAGCCAATTCCTGTGGACCTCGAAGTCGGTGGATTTACTACTTATGGTCAGTTTTGTCCAGATGCGATTGATGAAAGTTCTTACTATGCTGGAAACAGTAGCACTTTGAACGCGGTGGCTACAACCGCACATTGTCCTATCGATGGGTAAAGTTCCGACATTTCAAACCCATCTCTAATCCTCAAGATTGCGCTGGTTGGTACTTTTGTCACTGATGTTTTCTAAAAACAGATGTTCGAGAAAACACCCGCGTCGCGCTAGGTGTCTGGGGTTACGAGCCCACCCCATTGGCCAAGAGCTGAGCTCCATTGAGCAACTCCAACCTCTCAGTCAAACATGGATGCAGCTTTCATGCCAACAGAAATCGCCGTGAAGCATTTCGTTTACCATAAATTTACCTTTGATTTTGGACCTTCCGTTACCAGCTTGGGCAGACCGATTCGTAATTTTTTAATAGGGGCTGTGGCTATTTACTGCGTTACGGATATTGTGAAGTCGGTGCTTCAATCTGTCCTCAAGAGAGGAAGGACAGGGTCGGAGGATTAATAGCACCAGAATAGCCCTTGATCCTAACGCCAGCGTGTCTCTCGCGGCATACATGTGCTCTGGCAGCTGGTGTTTTTCTTTTCGATCTCTTCATTGAATTGAAGCATTGATCTTTGCGAACATGGTTTTCTCGTTTGCACCTTTTTCAGCATTATCAGTTGTTTCGACATTACTACTTTCTTCGGCGCAAGCCACTTATCTCAGGAATGAGTTGAGTTTTGGTCAGGACGGCCAGTAAGTTACCATCCTCAGATGTTTATCCTCAAGTTTGATGCTAACTATACCAAGCATATCGCCAAATGGCCATTCAGTACCTAAATTCCATATCAGCGGAAAGCCAGATCCTCCTCAGATACTCTCGAACAAATTAGTCCTCACCCCACCTGCACCAGGAAACCAGAGAGGCGCTGTATGGGCAGAAGAGCCTTTGCTACATAGTCAATGGACGGTAGACGTGGATTTTCGAGCAACAGGTCCGGAACGAGGTGGTGGAAACTTCAACATATGGTATGCCAAAAGCGGGCAGAACGAGATTGGCTCAGCCGGCATATACACGGTGGGGAAGTTTGATGGATTGGCGCTGGTGATAGACCAATACGCAGGATCTGTAGGTTTTCTTCTGCGCCAATTGATGGAAATTGGCTAATTGACTGGTAGGGTGGATTTGTGAGAGGATTCTTGAACGACGGAAGCACAGATTACAAATCGCATCACAGCGTTGACAGTCTCGCATTTGGACACTGCGAATACTCCTACCGAAATTTAGGAAGGCCATCGCGGATTACTCTACGACACACCTCGGAGTCGTTCAAGGTTACTGTCGACGGAAGACCATGCTTTGAATCCCCCAAAGTCAAACTTCCTCTTGGAAACTTCTTTGGGCTGTCCGCCGCCTCAGCAGAGAACCCAGACTCGTTCGAAGTCTTCAAATTCGTTACAACAACCGATCAGCATTCAGCAGATTCTGCTGCGCAAAACCCAATACACGATACAGGATATGCAGCAGCCGACTCGCAACCACGAGGCAAACCCGCCCAGCAGCAAAATAGCGGCAATATCCCATCCTACTCAGAAGGCGACGACGTACCCGCCTCCAAATTCCATAGCAGCGCCGAACAATTCGCCGACCTCCACAACCGCCTCCAAAGCATGATGAAGCACATCGGCCACATCAGCCAACAACTAATCGAAGAACGCAACGAAGCACTCAAACGACAAGACCTCCTCCTCGCCAAGCTCCAAAGCATCGAAGCCTCCATCAAGATCCAAGAAGGCACACCCAACATCATGAAAGACGTCCAAAGCGACGTCCGCGCCACCAAAGCCGATCTCCACGAAGCTCTAAATATGCATGCCGCGGGTATCAAGGGCGTAGTGCAGAATACGCATCATACTGTCATTGGAGAGATGGCAAAGTCTGGGGTTGGACTGGGCTCGTTTGTGTTGGTGGTTGTGGCGGGTCAGGTTGTGGTTGTGGGCGCGTACGTGTTGTATAAAAGGAGAAAGGCGAATGGACCGAAGAAGTATTTGTAGGAGATGTACTATAGGGTTTGTGGATAGTGAGCGTAGGGCGCTTTTCGCGCGATTTTGGGTTTCAAATTGAATGCATTATGAGTTTAGTACTTAGCTTTTATCTGTTGTAATCGCAGTGATTTACTTGCTCCCGGGATAGCAGCTTGTTGATGGGCAGTCTTACAAGTTGTACTTGTTACTGACGTCTGTGAGAAACGTAACATGCTCACCCGCGGAAAGGATAAATAGAGAAACCTCTAAAATCATTACACGACTAACTAAGACTCTACCCCAGAGCCCTTTCATCCCATCCTAACCCATGCAGTCCAAAAACCACTCCCAAAACTCCATCTCATGAGAATATATACACATCTCCAAACCCAACACTTGCTATCATACAATCATCAACCTTCAACCTCTCCCTTCTCCCTACGAGTATCATCAAACCCCACCAATTAAATATAACTAACCTTCCCACCCATCCGCACCGTCCCGCCCACCTTCCCCCACGCAATCGCAATCGCCCTCTTCACACGCTCCCGAACCTCTTTCCGACTGCTCACAACCAAGATCCCAATAATAAACGCGAGCATCTGCAGTAAAAACATCGGACGGGTTTTAAAACCGCCTGCCATATTCTCGAGTAGTAACGTGCGGATATTGGATAGGATGTTAGAAACCCGTGTTACCAGGGTTGGAGGCGGGAGTTTGCGGTTTGTAGGTGATGAAGTATTCGTCGGTTTCCGTACTGAGCTTGATTTCCCATTTGATCTTGACGTGCTCGGTCGGTCTTCAACGCCGTAATCGACTTCACTTCCCTCCCTCTTCACCCGCGCTTCCTCCTCACGTTTCCGTTCCCTCGCTTCATTCTCCGCCCGTCTCCGTCTAGCGTCTTCGATATCCTTCTTCAGCTGTTCCTCCTGATACCTTTTCTCCTCTTTCTCACGCCTTACCGCTTCATGCTGTTCATCCTGCAAACTTTGCAAGGCCTGCAAGAAAGCTTCGCGCCGTTCTTCGTCGAGCACCGAGGAGATGGATATGAATTCGCGGGCGTAGTCCCATTCGTTGTTGCGCAAGAGGACGTGGAGGGTGTACAGTTCGAGGATTTTGACGCGGGCGTTGAGGTCGCGGGGCGTGTCGGTGCCAGAGGCGTGGGCGTTGCGTTTGTGTGGGCTGATGCTGCGGGTGTGGTTTTGGAGTTGTGTGGAGATGTCGAGGTTGGGGGTTGTGGAGGCTGCTAGGTAGGTTTCGAGGCGGGTTTGATTGATTTTTTGAGAGCGCGCGTGGGCGAGGAGGAGGGTTGCTCTGTTATAGTTAGTTCAGGCTTTCGGATTTGAGGGAATTGGCATACAAATTGATCACTACATCAGAATCAACATCTCCTTCGACCCCGCCGTACCCATTCTGCACCACCTCCTCCCACACCTCCCCGTCTCGCACTTTGGTGACCAGTGCTCTCCAGTCTGAACTTCCAAATGCCTGTTTCCCTTCGTCTGGATCTAGTTCCACTATAGCATTCAAGATTGTGAGGTATAAACTCCAGACTTTTATCCTCGTCGTCCGGCTAGCTTTGGACACAGGCGCTGGTCCTTTCTCTGCGTTGGTCTCCTCCGATTCGGGTGGGGTTATGACTGGGAGTATAGTTGACAGCGATTCTGGTAGTCTTCGCGTCAAGAATAGTGTGGAGGATTGGCGATATATCTTTGATATCTGGGACGACGAATGCCGTGAGGAAGCAGACGATGCCGACAGAGAAGAGATTGACGAAGAGATCAGTTGGGATGATGACAAAGTTTCTCTTGTGGGACTCAGAGTTGTCGCAACAGAAGTATTCGAAGCCATAATTGCCCGTCCTTCCAGTTGTCGCGTTGAGAAGTGAAAGTAGCAATGGCGCGAAACGCAAGCCTAGGAATGTTGTTCGCGATGCCCGTGCAATAATATTGTTGTGACCTAACCTCGGCATTTCGTTGATGGTCGATTGAAAATCTCCCCACCTTTAATTGGCTCCCAGAAATAAAGCAGAGCCCCTGCTTCTTGCATTAGGGTGGTGCATAATAAATATGCACAACACAATAGAACGACCTGGATCACTGGACGCCATGGGAATACAAACATTCTCTTTGACAGCTAAACAAGGATAACGCTCATTGAGCATAGTACTTCTGGGCACACTCGATCTCTCCTGCCTCCTCAGGGTGAAGTTCTTCCACGCCTCTCTATTTCTTTGTTATTTCAACCGGTTATTTGTTTGTTTGTAAAACGAGGACCACCGCATCATTCTTTCTTCCTTCAAATCTTTCGAGGGTTGTCGCAACAAGTTCCATTAGCCGGGTCAAGCTCTTCCTGTTGAAAAGAAACTGGTTCTGATTCATTCTCGATATTCACTAGCTATTTGAACAACTTTACGATCCTTTGCCACCATCTCCCTAGACTACTTTTTCACTCTCGCCAAATCAACTAGCCGTGCTATTGTCCGCATCATTATCTCTACGATCCTGTATGTCCATATCGAGGTTCATCTCTAAGCTACACCTTAACAGTTGGTTTGCTTTATCAAGACCTAAAAATCATCCATCACCACTTCACTTCGCCACCATGGAAGTGGATAACTCTCAATACAAGCGACAACTGTTATCGATCTTAAAGCATATTGCAAATGCCACTTTCGTAACTTTCGATCTGGAGATGAGTGGGATCTCTACCCGTCGTCAATATGGGACAGGAGATAGATCTCAAAAGGTTGATAAACCAACTTTGCAAGAAATCTACGAGGAAATGAAGGACGCCGCCTCCACATATCAGGTAGTTCAATTTGGCATCACATGTATCGAGGAAGACAGGGAGAAAGGTTTGTGCTTTTATGTTATTGAAATCCAATTATTCTAATATATCACGTTGCAGAATTCTATCTAGCTCGGCCCTACAACTTCTATCTGAGTCCACTCCAGGCTGCTGGTGTTGACATTCGACTTGAGCGCGACTTCACCTTCTCCAGTAGTGCATGCGAGTTTTTACTCAAAAATGACTTTAATTTTGGCACATTATTTAAAAGTGGTGTTCCATATCTATCAAGAACGGAAGAAGACGTGCACCGAGAAGAGTATCAAGCAAGGACCAGCCGAACTTCTACGATTCCGGATCTTATTATTCCTGCAAGCGATACAACGAATCTGACCTTCTATCGAAAGGCCAGAAGTACCATATCCGAGTGGATCAACAGCTCCAAGGTGAGCATACTTTCTCAGCAGAACATCTCAGATGTCGATACTAACATGCCGTCAGCCAGAATTTGATTTTGTGAACGTCGGAAGTGTATTGGATCCCACTAGCGGATACCAACGTAGGCTTATTTATCAACTTATTCGTAGCGAGTTTCCAGGCCTGCGCGCTTTCCCAAGAGGTGGAAAGGAGTTTATGCAGGTTGTCAAGGTGGATGTAAAAAGAGAGGCAGAGGTAAGTTTCTCATGGATCTCTCTAAGATTCCGACGCGTTTGTTTTGTGATGCTACTCATTGCTTTACTTGTGGTGTTCTATGTCTGGCGCCTGTGCTAAAAAGTGCTGTAGTTTCAGAAGAGAAAAGACGAGTCATTCGAAGCTGGCCTTGCAAAGCAAATTGGTGAGTCTCAGTCATTTTGATGGTCTCATTTACATCCTTGTCTTAAACCTTCGTTTCGCTTCCAGGCCGTTTTGACCATTTCATCACTTGCTGGAGGCGACTAGCCAGTAGGAGAAAGCATATCACTCTGTGTTTTAAGATTGGGGGCGTTCAAGTGTACCATACCTGTTAAGGATTGACACTCTTGTTTATCTCGATTGAGATTTCAACACTGTCCTTCGTTTATTGACTTGAAGTGATGTACTGAATTTGATTTTTTTTTAGGTCTGCGCTGGATTTTTGAGGCTTTATCCGGTGGCAACCTTGATGGAATCAATCCACGATGGTTTTACGTCGAAGGCAAAGATGGTGATGAAACGAAGCCGGAGAACCAACTCGACGCAATTGTCAAGGATGTTGAAAAGGTCAAGCTTGCACTGTTGAAAAAGCAACATATCATTGTTGGGCACAACCTTTTCACCGACCTCGGTTTTCTTTATAATACCTTCGTCGGCATCTTACCCGAGAAGGTATCTCACTTTCAGGAGGAAATCCACGAATTGTTCCCGAGGGTCTTTGATACCAAGTATATTGCTACTCACGGCCGGGAAGGAATGGGGTCAAGTTCTGCACTAGCACAGCTTCTAGAGCCTTTCAAATCCATCCATGAACCGCTTGTTGTACTCCATGAGAAGCACACTTCGTACGGGTCAGGAAAGGATCATGAAGCTGGGTTTGATAGTAAGTTCCGTCTTTTCACTCCAACGCATCTAATTAACAAAACCAGGTTGGATGACGGCAGAGCTTTTCGTCAAGCTAACGTCAACGCTGTTCGAGGAAAGACGATTGGGGCTGCTAGATGCAAACATTGAAAATAGCGATCTAGACTCATCCTGCGACGATGATGTGGGAGGGGTTACGCTGAACGTACCCGATACCGATGGGGGTTTCTTCTCCGATTCCGAGTCTGGCGAAGGAAATGTTCCAGCAGCTTGGCACGCGGTGCAATTGAATCGATTTTCCGTCCTCGCGGATGGGGGCGGGGAGGATAAAATAGCAGAGACGACAACTACAGTGAAGCCCTCACCATTCATGCCGCCAATAAAGAGTAGTTTCTGGGATGTTTACGTCAATAAACTGCGCGTGAATGCTGCCGAGGGAGGAATATGCCATTTGGCGACTGACGAATAGTTTGCCAGGATTGTGGCTTGGTCTTCTGCGAGAAATATCATCACCACATCACAAAGGCGAAGAAGGATAGAACTCATGAAATGGCGTATGGGCGTCACCCGGGGACTCAAGAGGGTGTTACGGGCTTCCTTGAACCAACATATTAATTTAGTAGGCAGCGACTTCAGTAAATCCGTTATGGATAATGACTTGGCTAGCCAACCTGTTAACAAGCAACTTATGTGTACTTGTCACGCAATCTATTTACTTCTTTTATTCTGGGACCGTCATGGTACAAGGCAAAAAGTTTGTTGCGGTTCGGTATTCGAATGTATCCCAGTGTCCACAGGTATCGTGAATGAGGAGTTCTCAGCACTTGCGGATTCTTAGAATCGTTCCCGACCATAATTAACACTGTAACCACCGGGGTAGCCTATTACTTCAGCTCTACTCGAATCTTATAAACATCATGAACCGTAGATTCGCCATTATTTGATACAGACTTTTCGGGGCGTGTACATCAAGTCGTGAAGTCGTGACATCGTTGTTGGATTGCCACGTGGGCCCCAGTCCCGAAAGTCGAACTTCCACTCCTCTAGGATTTAAATTGGGTACGCTGGCGAATATGCTCTCGAATATAAGAACCAACTGCAATTTCAACACTCGTGGCCTTCCGAAGGACCTTCCTTAATCCTCCTTTTCGGGAGGTCATCTCTATGAGACCATGCTTCTGCAGAATTCCTATTGCATTGGGTAGGTCGCTATGATTGGCTATTTCTTGGTTTGATCACGTGCGTCATTTTCCGGGCCTCGGGCATCTCACCGTCGTTCTGGCGCACCCGTCGTTTTGTTCGCAGCTTCATCTTTCACTCAACACCAAAGCTCCGTATGAATAATCATTCACTTTCTTTCTGCCTTTGTTGCGCAATTCTTTCCGAGTCTCGAGTGAATGTTCAGTCACACCAGTACATCATCCTATTGTCAAGTGGTTCCCCGTCAAAGATAACCAACTCAATGGATTTATTACACCACCAACTGCAGCGTCCCTCGACATGTTAATCAAGCGATAAACATGATCTTTGTAGGGAGCAGTCTTATACAAATCGAGAAATGCTTCAGGAGGAAATGCGCCATCTGATATCGTCGCTCGACTCAAATGGGGCTTGAAACGCAGCGCGTGCTATCTCTTGTTACGTTTGTCCTTCCTTCCAATCCAGAATGATGAACTTTTGCCGAGACAGCCCCCAAGCCGCATTCCTACGAAGTGCATCTCAATTTGTGCTTGATATTTATAAATGGACAAGAGTCCCTTTGTTTTGTCGATCATCTCCTTTCAATAGCTATCAATAGTCCTCGAGTGGGTTGACCCCCTTCTTATTGTCTTTGTTCCGCATTTATCACAATCAATCCACTCTTTCGTTATACCCGACCACCCCTATTGTTAATCTCCCTATTGACAATTCTACTTTTCTAATCGCATTTATATTTTATTTCAACCTCAAGCTTTCTTTTTTTTAACAGCAACACTCTTTCCAATAAACTTCAAACACTCTCTTTAAACCATTCCACAATCAAAAATGGTCGCCTCATTCAAACTTGTTTCAGTTCTGGCTCTGGCCATTTCCGCAGCTGCTGTACCGCTCGAAAAACGCTACGAGGGTCCCGGCATCATCCTTATCAACAAGGGCAGTGGACCTCAGAATCTCACTTTCTACAGAAATGCCTGGGATGGTGTAGGAACGGCAGGACCCAGATATGGCCTTGATCACGAACCAAACCCTCCAACACTTCAGCCAGGCGAGGAAAAATTTGTTCCCCTCGACATGGCATTCAAAGGTCGTGTCCAACGAGGCATTGACCAACCCGCCACTTGGGCCGAATTCCAAATCTCTGCCGATAACGCCAACCCTCCGCCTGGAAGTAAAGCAGTTCCTGACGGAAATGACAAAGCTGCCCATGGTGATATATCCGTTCAGCAGGGAAATGATGGTCCTGTAACGATAAAGAGCCGTACAACTGGAAAAGTAGGTGGTTTCACAGAAGATTACATCACTGGTGCTTGGGATTCAGCAATAGCGCGCAATGATGCCGGACTATGGGGTGTGAACAACAGCATCCGCTTGAAGGATGGAAAGACAGCGCTTTCCTCGACAATGGGAAATTGGGACATGAAGAAAAACAATGATACTGTCGACTGGTACATCAGCAAAGGTGCCGACAAGACGAAGTTCTATTTCCACAATGGCTTAAAAGGTCCAAGCGACAAGGGTGTTGATGATGTCTCGAGCGCGGACAACCAGCTTGAAGTCACTTTCTATTAAGCTGTTTGACAGGCGCTGGTGTTGATATTTGGACATCCTTTTGGTTTCAGGAAAATCGGTTAGATACCCAGGAGTTTACTGTCAGGAGTTTTTTCAGCAAGCGGTTTCTTCAATTCTAGGGAGTTTAGAGGGGGTTTCAAGGCGTCCGGATTCCTATACGTCGTTACGATCATTTGTTTTCCCCGGGGTTTTATCAAAGATGAGCTGGTCCTGGTTAGGTCTCTGATGACGACCAATTTCTTTCTCATGTTCTCTTCTACGAATATTTTTCATGTGTGTTTTACTAGATAGATAGACGATTCTTTACTTTTCAATGTACTCATTAAGACTTACCTTCTTGGAAATCTGCTTATCATATTGAGAACCATGATTAAAGTATTGCACATGTCTATTTTTAATGGCTCTCTTTACCTGGATTTCTCCATGTTTACCTGCGTTACCACAGCAGAAAATTCTCACACGTACACTGAAATCACCAAGCTCACAGAATAATTCACCGTTTCAATTGCTGACTTGGCGACAGGTACACTGCTCCTGGCTTGCGACGCTAAATGTCGTCCCTTTGCATCTCCCCAGAGTTGAAGTGGGGCGCTATGCAGCCCACATGGAATAATTTCTCCATGACTCGGAGCATTTTTACCGGTACACATGAGGGGTAGTATGGGGATCTCCATCTCAGTGGGATTTAATAGTGAGAATGGAATAATAGGTAGGGGGATATGTCATTGAGCGATCTTGAGGGCGGGGTTAAGCTTCTTGAGGTGGCTAATAGCTGGTAAGCGTCGTCGATTTGTTCATTGTATAAATGAGATATCCAGTAAAGTTTTGATTGAGGTTCTATTAACCTTTTCCCTGTCCGTTTCACTTCTTGGTCTCGACCTCTCGCGTAGTGTTGGAAGATGGTCTTCAAGATGGTCGACCTTAAGCGATTGAATTGTTTTGTCCTTCTCGCATCACTTCTCCCTCTCGCTAGCGCTCTATCAATCAACACAACTTCCCCAGCAGCAACCGTACTAAACGGTACTTACATAGGCAAAACGGTCCAAGAATGGCAACAAGACCAATTCCTCGGAATTCCCTACGCTCAACCACCAATTGGCTCACTTCGTTTCGCGTGGCCTCGATCGATCAATACTTCTTTCTCTGAGCCGCGAAATGCAACTCAATATGGCTATAGTTGTTACCAATACGGGACCACTTTCTCACTTTCTGAAGATTGTTTAACGCTTAATGTGATTCGGCCGGCTGGGACGAAGGAGAGTGATCGATTGCCCGTTCTGGTTTGGGTGTATGGTGGTGGTTTGACGGGAGGTAGTACTGCTGATCAGCAGTATAATGTGAGTGGGATTGCCAAAGTTGGACAGGATATCGGAAAACCTGTAATAGTTGGTAAGTCCAACTCCTCATCTTTTCGAGAACTACTTGACTAACCTTTAAGTCTCAATAAACTACCGTCTCGGCGTCTGGGGATTCCTCCCAACACCCCAAGTTCTAGCCGAAGGCTCTTCCAACGCCGGATTCCTCGACCAACGCCTTGCCTTCCGCTGGATAAAAGAAAACATCGCCTCCTTCGGCGGAAACCCCTCTCACATCACCATCTGGGGCGAATCAGCCGGCGCTCAATCCATCGGACTTCACCTCCACTCCTACGCCGGCCGCAACGACAACCTCTTCCATGCCGCCATCCTCGAATCCGGCGGTCCTGTTGGAGCCGCTCTTAACCCGCTCTCCTTTTACACCGCACCCGTTGAAAACCTAACACGCACCACAAACTGCTTCACCTCCACCGATCAACTCTCCTGTCTCCGGTCTCTATCCTCAGAAACCCTCTTCAAAGCCCAAGTAACCCAGATCTGGAACCCCATCGTCGACGGCGATTTCCTCACAGACTACCCCAGCAATCTCGCGGCTCAGGGGAAATTCATCAGAATTCCACTCATCAACGGCGCCAACACAGATGAAGGAACCTCTTTCGGCGTCACGGGAATGAATACGGAGAAAGATATATTCAACTCCCTCCTCACATTCCGCAAATCAGCAGCCTACGCCATCGGTCCCGCGTCCGCGCGTAAACTCCTTGAACTCTATCCTAATGAGGGCCCGCAGCCGCCTTATAACGTGCCCGAAACGACGGTGTTCCCGAAGAACGGGCTGCAATGGCGCAGGGATTGTGCGATTGCGGGGGATATTGTGATGATTGCGCAGAGGAGGAAGATGTGTGAGCAGTATACTCATGGGAGACAAAAGGTGTGGAGTTATCGCTTTGATACGCCGCTTTGGAACGCGGATGTGACTCATGGCGCGAGACATTTCGTGAATGTGGTTTTCAGTTTCCAAAACATCTCTGGAGCTTTAGGACCAATTCCGAAATTCGAATCGTATGGAAAGTTGAGTCGGGATATTGGACGTGCTTGTAAGTTACTTTTCCCCATGAATTGGTAAGGGGTTTGCTGATGGAGGATAGATATCTCGTTCGCGAATGATTATGATCCTAATACCTCGAGAGGCAATGAAAGTACGCTGCCGTTTTGGCCGAGATATGATCAAGGACCAACGAACATGGTGCTGAATAGTAATGGGAGTTTTGTGGAGAGTGATACGTGGAGGAAGGAGGGGATTGCGTATATTAATGGGATGGGGAGGGAATTGAATGCGTGAGTTGGTGGTTATGGGAGGGATAGTTGGTAACGCTTCTGAATTATTTGCTGTGGATCTGATTCTCTTCTACCATTTGGCATACATGTGCAATTCCTCTCCGTGACCTATATTTACATTCATTGCCCTACCACCAACAAGGAATTTTATACAAAGATTGTTCGTCTCCGAGAAAGGTCTTGCACGCGGCCAATATCGCAGACTCAACTCAATCCGTTCTTACTACCTCGCTTAATTAATCTCTAGGAGAACACATTGGCCAAAAGAATTCGTTCACTACGATTTGCTTATCCTGTAACGCTCCCACTGGAATATTTCGTTTACAACAGCCCAACCAACCAAACAGAGCTCTATCTTTGTAATTTTGACTTATTTTCGTTTTGTCAAAAACCCATGAATTTCATAAAATGTCAGATCAGTAAGAGTGGTCCTCGCTCTTAACTCTTTACGGTATTAGGAGATAAGGTATTCCGCTCTAGGGTCTCTCCGCATTAGTCTTGTTGGTATTGCGTAAAACATCCTTGGCCGATACTCAATTGGGTTTTTTGAAGCTTTTTATAGCGCTGTGATAGGCGTTTGGAGCTGAAGATCTACGACTGTGCCGTGCACGTTCTCTGATTCCTGGAGGGTCGTCGGCCGACGAGCCATTGATCTTTAGACTACCGATACAGGAAATAAATGGGTCTGGCAGGAAGAGGCACTGTCATTGCTCGTAATTGTGCGATCGCATGAGTGACAGCGCTTGGATGTACAGGTACTATTGGTATGGTACGAGGAGTGACTTTGTACTGGTTAATACTCCCCATCGTCGCTAAGCGAGTAAGTACAAAAGCTTCACTTATTTCTCGAAATATTGGAATAGACAAATCTCGAATATCCTCCTCTGTAACTTCCAAATGGACGCCCAACTCCAAGAATTCCAAAACCTGTTCGATAAACTCTCTGCTTCGAAAGATGAAGTCACCCGCAAGGCATTGCTGAATATATGTCGATCTCAAACCGGTCGGCTCGAAACACCATGGGAGACTGTATGGAGGATGATTATGGAGGTGGGTAGTTCCCTCATTCTCAAGAACATCGTATTAACGATACCAGCCCCATCAAAGCGCAGCCCTCCGAGCAGCTCTGGAAATGGGCTTAATCGATGCACTTGCTTCCAGCACCACCCCTCTTACAAGCACCCAACTGTCCGAAAAAACCAACTGTAACGAGAAATTGATAAGTCAGTCCTACACCCTCATATTGCAATACTCAAACCTAACACCCCCAGCGCGCATTCTCCGGCCCCTCGCAGTCCGCCACCTCGTAAAGGAAGCGAGTTTCGAAACATACACTTCTTCACCCGTCACCTCCTTCCTGTCACAACCCGGCGTCGCTGGCGGCTTTAAATTCATGTTCGACATCGCATCGAGATGCACACAGCAAATCCCATCTTTCTTAGCACAGGACAAATTCGCATCTCCCTCACCACAAGGCGTCTTCGAACACACGTTCTCAACCCCATTGCCGATGTTTCCATGGCTACAAGCGCATCCTAACCATATGAAGGATTTTGGGGACTTGATGATGGGACAGCAGATGGGGAGGGTGCCGTGGTTTGATGTTGCTGATGTAGACCAAGTACTATTTGAGTCGAAGGGTGGGGAGAAGAAAGATGAAGTGTTGCTTGTTGATGTTGGAGGTGGACGTGGGTATGATTTACAAGCTTTTAAAACGAGGTTCCCGGATGGGGATGGGAAGCTTGTTTTGCAGGATTTGCCGATGGTTGTGGAGGATATTCAGGACTTGGATGAGGCTGTCGTGAGACAGGTTCATGATTTTTTCACGCCGCAGCCTGTGAGAGGTGAGTTTTTCCAATCCCGTCTTTATGTCCTCTACTAACCTGTGTGTAATAGATGCAAAAGCCTACTATCTCCGCTACATCCTCCACGACTACTCAGACGAGAAGTGCCAGGAGATATTGAAGCATATCGTGGATGCCATGACGCCTGGGTACTCCAAGTTGCTGATCTTCGAGTGGGTTTTGCCTGACACTGAGTCTGCGTTGTTTCCAAGTTTGTTGGATATAAACATGATGGCTTTATTGGGTGGTATGGAGAGAACGCAGAGTCAATGGAAGGTGTTGTTGGAAGGGGCTGGTCTGGAAGTCAGGCGGTTTTGGGGCGAAGATAAGGAGGCTGAGAGTTTGATCGAGTGTGTTAGGAAGTAGTGGAAGTCGAGAGGACATAGATGATATAAGTATACAATCTCAAGCTTGTAAAGCTCGCACTCTCTTTGTTTCTACACCTTTCTCTGGCCAGAAACCCTTACATTAGAAACTGAAATGCGAAACAACTCAGATGACGTTGTTTTGACACACTTGACAAGCTCATAAAACTAATTAGAACTCAATACAGAGAAGATCCATTCGGTCCGTTGAATCGAAAGGACTTCGCCATTGAGAGCCGTGGATATGCATGTAGAGAAATGAGGTGGCGCGTACAGGAGAATACCTCTGTCTGAAATTACTCTTCAAGACCATTGCATTCGTTTTCATTGATGCTTTCGAGATCTGGATAAACAATTGCAAAAAGCAACTTTCAATGACAAAAGTTCGTTGGGTATGGTGCTCGAACTACTGTGCTGTGAACTTGCAAATCCAAAAGTGGACATTCCACTTCCGAACCCGGAATCGGAGCTCGGGATTCAACATGTTAGATAACGGAAAACACCCACCCACTCCTGATAGTATATCCCATTTCTAAAACCATGTGTCAAAATAACATGCTCCATTTGATATATATTCGTTTCTTCCCTCATCCTGAAGTTTCTATTCCATCTTAAAAATGAAGGCGACCGCGAAATTCCTCCTCGTTAGTGGGGTTATCAGCGGGGTAATATCGCACCAGATACCACTTCATGAGCAGGATTATACACCGGATTCGGTGGAAGAACTGGAGAGGAAATGGGGATTTGAGGTTAGTTATAGCTGTTCCTTTTGTTTGAAGGAATTTAGTTGGGTGGAGTTTTGTGCCTCACTGTTTCTCAAACGTGCTCATTCTTGCTCTTCTTCCCTTTTTAAAAGCATTCATCTATAAGAAGAGCGTGGCTCTCGAGCATTGATTGTAAAACATCTCTTGCTCAGTAGTTCAAAATGTTCCCTTTTGACACCTGTTGGCTGATTATTCTAATAGTGGGGTTTTGGAGGTGTGAATACCTTCGCCCATCTAGAGCACTTGAAATGCCTCACCAACCCGGATGCACTCTTCGATATTGGGGTTCTCGGCGTACCATTTGATACCGCAGTATCGTATCGCCCTGGTTGGCAAATCCAAACTTTCTTGACAACTGAATTCAAACTGACCTTCACTCAGGAGCGAGATTTGGACCTCGCGCGATTCGTGCAGCGTCTTCAAGACAGACGTCGTTCCGATCATTCAATCCTAGAGCTGGAATCAATCCGTATATGTCATGGGCGAAGATCCTCGATTGTGGTGACATCCCTGTCACCCCAATGGATAATGCCATGGCATTAACTCAGATGACTTCGGCATATCTCGAACTCGGCAATCGAGCACCGTTATCGTCAACTGGCGGAAAACATCCAAAGATCATATCGTTAGGAGGCGATCATTCTCTAGCTCTCGCCGCGCTAAGAGGTCTGAAGAATGTATACAAAACTCCCATCGCAGTATTACACTTCGATGCTCATTTAGATACCTGGCACCCAGAGAAATATCCGTCTCCCTGGCCGAGTGCCCAGAGTCAATTCAACCACGGAAGTATGTTCTGGATAGCAAGTAATGAGGGATTAATCATGAATGGTTCAAGTGTCCATGCTGGACTTAGAACAAGATTGAGTGGTGAGGACTGGGGTGATTATGAAGACGACACTCGTCAAGGTTTTCTCCGGATATCTTCTGATGATATCGACGATATTGGTCCAAAAGGAGTTATTGATGCAATTATGAACCGGATGGGCACCGAGATTCCCGTTTACCTCTCAGTCGATATCGATGTCATTGACCCCGGACTCGCTCCTGGTACTGGAACTCCCGAAGCCGGTGGTTGGACAACAAGAGAGTTGATTCGTATTCTCAGAGGCATTGAGGGATTGAATGTGGTTGGAGCTGATATTGTTGAAGTTGCTCCAGCATATGATGGCGTTGGTGAGCAAACAGCGCTAGCTGGAGCTCAGGTTGCGTATGAGATTTTGACGAGCATAGTCAAGAGGGGATTGGTGGATATGGGAAAAGTTGCAGAGGTGCCTGGAAGGAAGAATTTGGTGACAAAGGATGAACTTTGAGGTTCTCGACGAATGAGATATTCGGAAAGGTGCCGCCAGGAAGCGTGTGGGGCATGACAAGTCTAATAAGGGAGGGAATCGGGTATGTATGTACTCGCTTATAGTGTAAGTAGCCAATATCAAGCATCTTACACCAATATCACCTCTGGAAGAATTAAGTGATTCAGAATCCAACACCGGGATGGATAGCGTTTGTACAACATCTTCTAACGGTTTCGAATAAGGTACGAGAAGAGCTATCCAGTAATCATAGCTCGCCAAACCAACCAACGCCAGCGCACCACGAAAATGTGGCGAAGTTTCCAAAAGAAAATCGCCAGAAATACCAACAAAGCCCGCCGCACCCCACTCGAGATTCAAACCAACAAAGAGGGTCAATCGTACTAGCGCTATTCTCGAAACTAGTGAACTGGAAATATAAGTCATAGGCTTTAACATCATGCAGTGTTTTCGTCCGGGTATCAAATTCGGCCTAAGCAAACTGAAATCACATTGAAAGTAACGTTGGCGGAAATTGTGTCGGGTGCGGCTGAGGAAGTGAAGATGTGCTGCAAGGATCGCATTGCTGCTTACCGAAACACGCCCCAAACTCGCCTAATTATATGACAGGGCCTCAATTCCCGGTTGGTGTGGTTATACAGGATCTTAAGACGAAACTTGTTTGAGGCTTGGCAAGGGAGGATTGGGAAAGAAGATCAGATCAAAGATCACAAAAAATCATGGGACAGGGAAGATGGTTGAAAAGAAGAGGTATGTAAATTTTGACCCCGAATAGATTACAGGATATCCGTTTGATGCAACGTTCTAAAACTACCATGTCCAATTTTGACTCCAAACTCATTGTTCCCATTAAACATCACACACGTTTTTGAAAATACAAAGCTTAAATCATAGCAAGAGCACCGAGAACAACGGCACCAGCAGCGAAGAAACTGCCTGGAGCTCCGGTAGCAGCGGCACCTGATTGAGCGGTGGATGAGGAAGAAGCAGCAGCTCCACCCGCGGCACCGGTAGCAGTGGTACCGCCGGATACAGATGTGACGGTTGAAGAGAGTGTTGCGGTGGTCATGTAGCTGGTTGGGGTGTAGGAAGTATAGACCGATCCACCGCTGGTGTATGCGACGGCAGCAGATGTCTGGACTGCATATGTGGAGGTGATCACAGTTGGGTAGACTGTAGTGCTTCCGCCAGTTACTGAGGTAACAGCTGTTCCGTTACCTGCAGCTGGTGGTGGGAGGGCAATTGACTGAGACTTTCCGGTGGTTGGAGCAGTATCGGTGAGATTCTGGTTCTTGAGTGCGGCTGCTCCCTCTTTGTATAAAGCTAGAGTCTTAGCACCTTCTTTTGGTGCGTTGATGGCGCCGACCATGCCATTCTGGCAATGCTTGCCGGTTGTCTGCGAGCAGTAGAACCAGATTGGGTCTCTGGATGTGACGGTGATCTGAAATGTTGTTGAGGAAGTCTGTCCTACTGGAACTGGAACGAATTCGGAGAAGAAACCACCGGAGATTGGTTTACATGGTGCTGCGAAAGATGATTGTGTTACGGTGTGGTTCTAGGAAATGTTAGATTGGTTGGAGAGGAGGATTGGAGAAGTATTTACCTTTGGGTTGAACTTGAACTCAATGATATCTCCAACCTCGGCAGTGATGTCTTCTGGGCTGAAGATATTTGGCTTGTCTGGAGATACAACACCAACTTGGACCGGAATAGTGACAGCTGAGGCAGCGGCGGCGAAGGCCAAAATGGAAGCGGTAGTGTAAAGCATGTTGGCTGATATTACTATTTGATGGAGATTTGTGATAGAGATGATATACAATTGATGAGATTGCAAAAGGAGATGGTAGCGAAGGTGTCTTGAACGGTGGAGAAGATTGATGCTGATGGTGAGAATGGTTTCAAAGCAAATATTGGGACTTTCCTTTATACATACATTTCCAACGTTTACTCCAACCTGGCTGCCAGGGGCCCAACAGCCTACCTACAGGGCGTGTACGATAATAGGATGGCCTTGGCCTCGGACCACCAGCCTTTGTCGCACGGCGCTGTGCCGGAATAGACTCGTTCCATTCCAGAGCCACCACCACGATGTACAAAGGTCGCGGCCGACACATGGCGAAGGCTGACAGTAAGCAGGGTATAGGTAAGGTTGCTGGTCCCTTATTACTCGGCTAACAACATTATCGCAAGGAGGCTTTCCATCTGATTTGACAAATCATATACAGACTTGACATGAAAATATGGGGACAAGCGAACAACACAGGGCTGTTGGTGGACAAAGAATTCGAGGAAAGATACTTTCCGTTTGGTCTCACGAAACGCGGCAAGCCGGTGGCGTGAGATGGTGCATGGTTGTAAATAGCAGGACCGCAGCAGGAAATACTCCGTATGACCAACGGCAGTCGGCTACGCTGCGGTTGAAGTCAGAAATAGCTGTGTACGCGCTTAAAACGCGGATTAGCGAGCTTCCGTGATATAAGCATGGAATATAACAGCCAATGGGCTAGCGGTAAATATGCGACCATGAAACAAATTTGCGAATCGTGATTGGGTGGATGAGGAACTGGAAACAAACATTCTGACATTCAACAACCTCCCAGCCTCCTCGTTGCTGCGAAGGTACATATGTTGTATGTGAGATATGTTGGTGTGTGTAAACGAAACGAGGGATCAGGAAGAATTGTTTTGGAAAAAGTTTCGAGTCGAAGGATGGCGGTACAAGGAAGCTAACCGCATCGAGTACATGGGAAGCACCCATAAGAGGCAACAAGATGAGTAAGATGAAGATATGTGTAGCTTTCCATGGACTAATTTTGTGCCTTTCGTGAGCATGACTTGTTGTACATTGGACAATGTGCCAACATACTCTAACCAACATTGAATAGTCGAGCATCCACTAAGCCAATTCTAAATTCAATAAATGTACTGTTCCTGCGACCAAGACTATTCAAAAGCGATTTGAGCGCCCAGAGCGACAGAGCCGTAATGTTTAAAAGCTCGATAATGCAAACCCCAAAACAATCGAGTGGTTTGTAACTTAATCTACCGCATCGACGATATCAAGCTTCTCTTCGTGGCTTTTCAGGGTTTCGTCTCGTCTGATCGTTCCATGAACATGTAAGCTTAAACCCCCGAAGTTCTCATTCCCAAAGAGGTAGCATGTGGACCGAAAAACGTCAAAGCTAGTACTCCCCGACGATAAAGATGCTTGGGAGTGCCAAATAGAGCTGAAGAGTTATTCGAGACATGATTTCATGATGTCGTTCTTGGATTTCGCTGTTCGACCCTGCACCACTTTTGAGATATTCATGTATTTATCTATCGTTACTAACAAACAATAAGTCCACGAGTGGTTTTGTTTTCAATGTCATAGCTGCACGTCTATAGTTGGAGACACTCAGAGACAAATTAGCACAACCAATAATTGAAGGGAAAGTGAACATGTGTGTACCAAGTCTTCGTTGCATATCTGGAGGACATGGCATGTTTGAAGGTGTTGCTAAGAGGATGCAATTGACTGTACCCTGCATGCTTCAAGAATGGTAAATCATCTGAATCCATGCGGGGCGAAGATCCATACCAGGAAGTTTAAGCATGTTATTCCGCTGGCACGTCATTGGTTATCCAACATAGGTACCCTCGAAACATAATATTCTTAGGCCAGAAAGATCTTGCTGCAACCTGTAGCATGTAGATCATGATCGACTGGGATCGTATATCCTGATAACCAATAGCTCTCCCGGTGTCGTCTAATGTTGAGGTTGAGGTATTGCCAGCACTGCCTCTGCTCATTCTTGGGTGTTGGCAAACATGTGCGCCAAGAATCCGTACAACAAGCTTTTTCAACCAGTAACCGGATTCTCTTCTTTCTGCCAATGGATTATCTCTTGATCTGGAATATTCGAATCCTCATGCTCCATGTTGGGTTTGCACAGAGGTATTGCTTTCCGGTAATCATATAATCCTTGTGTCCTGGGAGATGCTCGCAGACAGCCATTTGTACGAGAGATGCTGTATTATACTTGCCGCCACCAGAGTTAGATATCGATTTGCTGGGTTTCAAGAATTTACTTCGAGGTACCAACCCTAACTCAAACACAGCCTTCCTCGATGCTCAGATGCAGTTGGGAGGCACATGAACAGACTTTATCACTGGGCTTTAAACCATGCGTGCCACCGAGTCAACTTGAAATCTTGGAACCCAGAAAAGAGATTATGTTCAGGCAGAAGTCGACTTTCGAAAGAATGTTAAGTTGTCATGAGGTAGTATGGCGGACAGCAAGTTTTGGTGGTTGACGTACAAGTAGCATGGTGCGGCCGAACCTAGTATGAGAGGCACAGTAAAGTCTTCATCGAGCTATCTTTGCGATATGAGTACGTTACAAGATCATTGGAATAGTCTTCAAATGAAAAAAGTTGACATCAAATGGGCTGAGACAATGAGACGAGACATCGTCAAGGCGCGACGGTCGGGTCTTGAGATCTTCAGCATGATAGCCATGGAATTTGGGATATATAATATATGAGATTATGGATAAAAGAAAAACACCTGCTAATATATGCACATCTGTCGGTCACTTCCAATAAATATACAGATGCTGGGTCGGGAGGTTTTCGAGCCGTTTCAGCCATCTAGTCATCATAGATCTTCTTCTCGAATTTAAATCCACCCTCTTCGAGTCGATCGACAAATTTTTGACCAAGGCAAGCAGGCGTGTAAACTCCGCCCTCTAATTTGTGTTCATCACGAAGAAGTGATAGGGCAGCTGAGGCTACTATCATCGCAGTGACTGCCCACATGTCAGCACAAAACATCAGATTCAACCTTGGAGATGTACTCACGGTCGTAGCCGGAACCCTTGAATAAGGCTCTTGCAAAAGCTCTAGATGCATTTGGCTCTTGAACATCTTGTTTTGCGATGCCCTTGTACTCTACAATGCCAATTTTCGATTCTTCTTTCGTAGGGCCATCTCCGGGCTGTACAACAAACTTCTTTAGGAGCAATCTTATGAATGGTATTGAGACAAATATTGAGCCTAACACTAGTCCAAAATGGCTCATCATACCGGACAGGTAGTTTTGAGTCTTCTTGTATTCGTTGAATTCGAAATTGGGGCCATAATTGTTTGGCCCTCCAAGTAGTCCCCATGATCGGTGGACTTGAGGTTTATCAGCCACGGTAAAGATGTAAGTCGTCAAAATTCCTAAGTCTCGAACATAACGACACCCAAATAATTTGGTGGACCACGGAGCTGAATCTTTGACTTGAGGTCCAGGAATAGGAGATAGCGCATAAGGTCTTGATGCTGCGTTAAGCTCTTTCATAGAATAGACGTCAAAAATTGAGAAAATGGTACTGAGTGTACCGCCAGATGGCTTGGAACTAATAAGATGTAAGAATTAGCTGGATGTATTGACAGAAGCACGTTTCTCCAAAGCTCATCAACGATCAGAAAAATGTCTTTGCATTTTTTTGAAAACATCTTGCATCACAAGCAATGGAAGGGTTGATTGATCTTACGCGAAATTTGCAGACAGAACTACTTCAGCGGTTGGAACAGAGAATTTCTCGCGGATCATGTTGACAAGAACCCAAGTCATCATATCGGCCGGTGCCGAGTCAACACCGATTTGAGGAATCATGATACTTCCACTGGCTTTGGCAGTTCGTTCATATTTTTTGATCATTTGATTATGCCATACTGCCTCGCCAGTGATATCGAGGTAATGAGTTCCATTGTCTGCGCAAGCTCGGAAAGCTGGTTCACCGTGGAGTGCGTAAGGACCGATTGTCGTGATGAGAACACTGGTTTTCTTCGCCAAAGCATCCAATTCATCAGAGTTGAGTGAACATATTTCAATAGCTGTTCTGGTCAGCATTTATGGATTACCAGATACTTGTGAGTATTCGAAGCCAATATTTTTACAAACAAAAAACCAACACAGGATTTGACGCCATTGGATAGGATAATTAGGATCAAGGAAAGCAGAGACTTACCAGGTTGACTTCCTTGGGGATTGACACCCTTGCATTCTGTCAATACGCCTTCTAATTTGCTTGCAGAGCGTCCAGCGATAGCCCAATGAAGATTCGAAGGGAAATGGGCTGTGATGTACTCTGCAGTCAATTTTCCTGTATAACCAGTTGCACCGAGGACAACAAGGTCATATTGCCGTGATGATGCCGACATACTAAAATCGTCAACGAGATGTTGGTTGCCCGGTAGTAAAATAATAGCGCCCTCAATTCAAACAGAAACTCAACAGTCACAAATTCAAACAAACATATATACAAGACGGTCTCTGTCCAGAAAGTGTCGGTGTATTCCAAGATTCCTAGATGTTTCGTATGATCCTGATCACATGATGATAGAAGGTTTGTCCTGCCTTAGGCCGTAATCGCAATCTAGGGCGCACATTCGCTAAAAATACGCCAACATCGAAAATACACTCGAAATTCAACCACGACCTCAACTCCTCTATCTCCACACACCAGTTCATCACAGCAACCTCAGCGAAGATGGCCAAACGAACCAAGAAGGTCGGTGTTACCGGAAAGTACGGTACTAGGTATGTCACGAATTCATTTACGCGCATCGAGTTTCAATTCCCATCGCCAAATTCGCATTCGAGAAGGTTCAACGTGGAACTGTAAAAGTTTTCGATGGAGAGCAGCACACGAAGAGGACCATTCGAGCCTAATGGAAGAATCGGATGGCTGACATTTTCTGTGTACGAATTATAGATACGGTGGTTCTCTCAGAAAACAAGTCAAGAAGATGGAAATCACACAGCACGCCAAATATGTCTGCACATTCTGCGGAAAGACCACCGTCAAGAGACATTCAGTCGGAATCTGGAACTGCAAGTCATGCAAAAAGACCGTCGCCGGAGGGGCCTACACAGTATCGTACGTATTTCATGGGGATAAGCCAACGGGGAATCGATATTGGCCGCCGCACAATAAGAATCGAAACTGACTGATAATTAGAACACCCGCCGCCGCCGCTATGCGATCAACGCTTCGAAGATTGAGGGAAATTGCTGAGGTTTAGATGGTTTGGGAAAATGTTTCACTTTACATTGGCTGGTGTATGGGATCGGGATCTCTCGCGGTTTACGAGTTCCCAGGACGTCGCTTTTACGATCAGAATTGAATGAAGCTACTTCAAACCAAGCGACTTCGTGCCTCCCTCATGCTACGCGGTCTACGCGATATTGCGATGCTTCGAACTTGGGATTTATGTGAAATTTTGAGAAAATGGTGATATGTGGTTGACAGCTGTGAGAAACTAATTATTCATGACAGCCGAACATACGGGACACGCGAATCAGGGCGAAAAGAGGGTTCCCTTGGTCCTTCGATATTACACAGTGTCACAGAGATGGTTCTTTCCTATCTGGCATATCACGGCGTACAGTCTCTACTGCCTATTTACCATCTACCTGGCGTTGGCCGCCCTCTCCAGCAAAGTCCCTGAACACAATCGACACGATAATGTTCTTGAAATTGAAGTATCTCTTCGAATCCCAATATCTCGCAGTGTTGATATTCAACACACAGCCGCTTGTAACGTGACGGATCGATACTTTGGCGGACTTGGATCGCTTACGATGGTGGGAAATCATCCTATCTCTCTGATAAGTGATTCAAAGCCCCCTTCCATGACTCATCTTCAGATGGCTTATTGAGTATGAATCTCCAGGTAACATATCGACGCCCAATTGGTCGTGCATCAGGCATATCATGAGTCACATGACAGTTACGTTGTCGATAATGTAGACATTCAACTCTCCATACATATCCCATCAAAGAGACTCAAAGAGCCTACTGGATTTCTAATAATATACTTCACTTCAAAACGGCACTGCAACACGAGGCACAAATACTGTGGGCTGAATAGATTAGGTTAACGCGGCCGGTCGAGGGTCTGCACCGTCATGTTTATCCTCCAGTCTTAGCTTCGTCCACATCTCCCTAAAAGGGCCGTGGAAACTTCCCCAAAACGAGCAAACACAATCACGATTTAACCCTATCGGCTGTTGCATCCGTTAGGCTTCCATTCCAAGGCAATTCCCAATCAGGACAACTCATCAAGCAAGAGGTCATATTTTTCCGTGGTCCCTTTTGGTCGTCTGTTACTGACCGCCTCGCTGAGAGAGGGGCAGTAAAAAGGCTAACGAGCCAATCAGTGCGGTTATTTCGGCCAGCAGCTCTGGGGTCGTTTTAGCGTCCGACCAGTTCCTCCCTCTTTCACTCCTCGACTCTGGACCTCGCAGACATCCATTCTCCTCCATTTTACTTCGCTGCACTTTCTGATATACTTCGATTCCTACAACAATTTTACAACCGTTCAGGTCATTTGAGCAAACCATTTTCATGACTTTCTCTGCAACACCATACAAGTCTCGCAAAAATGCACTCCAGCTTGGCTGATCAGTGCATCACTGGTGCTGGTGTGGCCGACTCGAACATGGTTCCTGACCGGCCCACGCCTGACGATATCCCAGGTGCCACCGACAACCTTGGTGCGCCAGAAGCACTCCCAACACCCACCACTCTCCCCGAAAGTCCCGCAGACTCATCAGAGAATATGGCAGATCAATGTATTGTCTGTCTTGAAGATTTAAACGCAGTTTCCGAGCCAAATGCACACGAAGTGTCGAACGGCAAGGAGGCAGCGGTTCCGATCTCGAATACCCTCTCAAAACAACCCGCTGTTTTCAGTAATCAGCTTGAAATCGCCGTCATAAAACCTTGTGGACATTGCTTGCACGATGATTGCTTGCGAGAATGGACGCAAAAGGCCAATAGTTGCCCGTTTTGTCGCCAAATCTTTAATTTAGTCGAAGTGTTAGATAGGGTTGGAGGTAAGCTCTCACTTTCGCTCTTCTACATTTGCCCAACACCTCGCGGGGGCAGGCTACGGTTGCCACCCTCTCACCTTTATTTTGGGTGTACTTCATCTGCGACTGGCTTCATACAGTGCCTGGTTGTTTAGCGAAGTCCCCCGCCATACGGCACAGAAACACTCCACTGTGCTCCAGCTAACTGTGTTTGTAGGAACCGTGTTATCCGAATATGAAGTCGAGAACAAAAAACAAGTGGCGTCTACAGATTTCGACCCAGGATGGATGGAAGAAGCCGAGGAAGAGGAAGAGGTCAGCATCTGTCCTATATGCTCAGGTTCAGACAACGAAGATGTACTATTATTGTGCGATGCTTGTAATGCGCCGTATCATACATATTGTGTTGGTCTATCATCGGTTCCCAGCGGCCAGTGGTTTTGCATGGAGTGTCAGGATGACGGTACGGAAGCAAGAGCTTTAGAAATGAGAAGCCTCATGCCACCCACACGAGGCGTTAGAACCCAAGAAGGCGCACGAAGGAATCGAAGACGTATACGAGAAGATCATTGGGTTGGCGCTTGGAGTCGCTTCAGCAACAGAGTTCAGGATGTAATGGGTATTGATCTAGACTTTGAGGATGAGGAGGACAGCAATATGGTCACATACCGGCAATTGCAACGGCGAACTTCCAGTCGAGCAAGGGAATTTGAGCAATGGCAGCAAAGAGTCAACATTGCCACTCGTCAAGGTGGTCAGGGTGCGCGCAGAGTATTTCAGGCAGTGGCACCACCTATTCGCACTCGATCCCCACCTACTCCCGTCGAAACGAGGGAAGAAACTCTAGCCTGGGGTGCCTTCGATAGATCCAGAGAGATGGATGGCGGAGCACCGAGAGCTAGTCGGAAAAGAAAATCGAGGTCTGGACGAACATCCGCGACAGCCTCTCCTATCGAAGGGTCATCCACCGCACATAGGGAGCCCGAAAGAAAATTGAAGCGTCCCCGTACTAGAAGGGTGTTGGAAGGAGAGCCCTCATCAAGTCGACAGCCATCTCGGCCTCAGACACGACCAGCAAGCAGAGTATCGCCAAATCGCCCAACCTCTCGAAATGGTGACGGGCCATCCTTCCTCACTTCTCTTTTGAGAGAGGTCGAAAGAAGCGACGACGATACATCTCGGCCTCTGTTTAGCGGTATGTCGGGATCTGATGGTCACCGAGTAACCAGCCCTTCCATCGAACACTCCTCGCCAGCAGCGTCACCTACCTCGTCAACTGCCCATACACCAAGAGCGCTGTCAACCACCCCACCTCCACAATTAGCGAAACGACATGCTTCGCCACGTCCTATGACTTCCCATGTTGACCCGGTGTATCCAAAACCAGATTATTCTCCTAATCGATCTCCAGGAGAACCAAGCAGAGAGATGCAACGACCGATTAGCCCTTCGACTGAAATCAGGCAACCACGACCTAGGAGACAAAAATCCAGGCCTCTCGCACTCGCACGATCACCCGAGACTTCACCTGCACGAAAAACCATGTCGGCCGAGGTTAAAGACGGCATCAATAGAATTGTAAAATACGCACTCACTCCACATTGGAAATCGGGGGGTCTCACCAAAGAACAGTATGTTGATATCAATCGCGATGTATCGAGGAAGTTATATGAGATAGTGGCGGATAAGGATCTTTCAGCAGAGAAGGAACATTGGGAGATGGTCGCCACCAACGAAGTTGCAAAAGCTGTTCAGGCAGTGAAACTTGACAAGGTGGCTACCAACGAAGTCGCGAACGCTGTTCAAGCAGTGAGAACTTGATTATATACTCACGAAATTCAACGAATGGGGAACTGGCGTGTTTAAGGATTCAAGGCGCATTTACGATACCCATATGTCATCAAAGGAGCATGTTTAGAACATCAAGCACTGGTGCTTCTGGTGTAGATACAGGATATCTATTTATGAGATACAGGCGTCTGGACATAGGGTCAATGGTTGCTAGCATTTTTGCTAGCTTTTTGCAAGATTTTGCACTCCATGTATTTTTGTAACATAGGAACAACATACACAATAATCTTTAAAGTAGAATTGAGCTATGAAGTTACTGAGTTTTATCATGCGCGAGATTATGGGTCAACTTCTGCTTATCGTTTTTGAATATCAGCAGCCTGGAATGAGAAAGATCAAAATCTAGGCGGGAGTTGCTGGACCTAGAACCGGGTTGTGCGAAAACGTCCCGTTCCGAGAGTCTCGCAATGGACAAGAAGAATGATAGTCGAACAGCATATTGACTGCTCCACTAGACTGGCACGAATGCGGTACTGTGTGCAAAGAAGCAAGATAAATAACTTCAACAGCAACCTGTCAACCTGCATATTTTGTTCAAATCAGCGAGAAGAAAGCTCCAATTCAGATTGTTTTCATGCGATTAGGTGATGTATTCGAGTCCCAATTGTGTCACATTTTCAAACAAAGACATTACCTGCTCACCTCACAAGTAAGGATATGTGTCCATGTAACTGACATGACCTTTTTTACACTTGGATTCTAGGAGAGGGAGACTTGCAGTAAATGGAAGGAGTCTGGTTATAATTCTTCTCTCGTTGTTAACGAAGGACGTTGTGAGATTCCACACTCGGGAAGGTCGTAATTGCGACGAGACTAACTGTGCATGTGCTAGTATTTTTCGGAGCTTGGTAGTATACCCGTACATCCGTCAGCTAAGGTGGTGTTGCTTTATGATGATGGACAGTAAGTGATTATTGTGTTGAACCGCACACCGCATGGAGACTTCTTCAATATGTAAATTCGGGACAATCCGTCAGTATACACGCACTCTCCCAAACACACGCCAAAAGTTTTTGCATCTATCCATCCGATGAATTGCTCTCCAATTCCTCCCCTGCCTGCCCTACTTCTCCCCTCCACGCAAAACCCCGGCGTCAAAAGAATGAGAATGTGAGCAGAAGCTATCTAACTGTTCCCGTATAGATTCGAGGGTACCGTTAGCGAAAAAAGCCTGTTCTAGGAGCTGCTCTCGTCACGCCGTAATGTTGATACGCTCTGGGTTGAGCAGGTCTCAGGATAAGGTGGGTGACTTGAATTATTTAGAAAAGAGAAGAGAAGGGGGGAGGGAACGGGATGAGGAGAAGGGATTTTTTTTGTGCCGGGCGGTGAGCGGGGTGTGGGAATTTTGTGGGGATGGGTTGTATGGCCTGTCGAGGATTTGGCTGGGTATGCTTTGGAAGACGATTTATTGTGTATTTCTGAAATGATATTAGTTAGATTTATTTAGAATTATCTTGTAGACTACTAGATAATTAAAAATGGTTAACACAAATTACATGAGAAAATGCTGTTGTACAAAGTCATGCACCAGACCCTTGACGATTCTACGGCGGACCGAGTAAACGCGCTAGTGATTTTATTTTGTATGAGCTCCTCGACACCATATCACCAAATCCAGAAACGAGGAGAGCCAGCGCAAACATGACGGCTTCAAGCAGAGGGAGTAAAGCTATGGCTTCTTTAATTAGTGAGTTTGTTCAATCCAATTATCACTTTTGATAGACCTCAAGAGCACAGCTAAATATCTTAGGAACATCCACACGACATCCTCGAATATGCTCCGAATGCATCACCCATCTCAATCACTCCACCCGTCGAACCTACGCCGTCGCAGCGCCCATCCTAAAACCCCTCGATGGCCCTCCAATCATCGACACCAAAATCCAAAGTCTACATCCCGTCACCGTCTCACCGCAGGCCTCACAAGAATACAAATTAAAAGCCGGAGTCCTCCTCTCAAGACCGCCCCTTTTAACACGCTCCCTCACCTCCTTCGAAAAAGCATTCTTCTTCTACCAAAAGCGCCTCAACGAGCGCCTAGCCCTCCCCTTCTCCCGATACTTCTACTTCAAAAAAGACACACCCGCAGACGCGGATTGGAAACTCAAAGCCAAAGACCGTGGCGGTGCAGCGGCGAGAGATTTGGGCGGCTACAACGCATACGGGGAGTTCGGATGGAATGATGAGTTGTTAGTCGGTGACAAGCTCTCGGAAACGAGCACGGCGATTGATTTGCTGGTGAAGGATTCGTATGTGAGAGCTGTGGAAGGAAAGGATGGTGCTGCGGTGGAGGTCAAACCCGGAGAGGAACATGAACAGGATAATATCGTGGAGAAACCGCTACCTAGGAAGACGGAGGCGGATGTGAAGAAGCAGTTTCAGAGACTGGATCGCAAGTTGGAGCGGACGTTGTATTTGTGTGTGCAGAGGAAGAATGGTGGGTGGGGGTTTCCGGCTGGGGAGTTGATTGGGAGGGAGAATTTACATCAGGTTGGTTTATTCACACGGGTTTAAGGATCAATGCTAATATGGGTTTATAGGCTGCGGAACGTATCATCGTCCAAACAGCTGGTGTTAACATGAACACCTGGGTCGTAGGTAACGCTCCAATCGGCCACTACGTCCTCAAGCCCAAGGCTGCCACCGACGACAAACCAGCTTTAGTAGGAGAAAAGACATTTTTCATGAAAGGCAGGATAATGGCTGGACAAGCCAACTTGGCAGAGAACGTGTTCGGCTTGGGCGACTTCAAATGGTTGACTAAAGAGGAGATTCAGCGGTTGGTCAGTCCGAAATACTTTAGCTATGTTAAGAACATGCTTGCGGATCGGTAGATGGGAAGGACTTTGTATGTACGAAAGTGTATCATAGATCGGGAATTGTAGCATTTAGATGTTGTATGAAAATTGGTATGTCCGATATCGGGGTTTTGTGTGGTTTAGCTCAACGTCGGAGGTTCGTGATCTGACTATAATGTTTTCGAGTTTTATGTCAAGTCGAATCGGGTTTGTGGAATTGATGCTTTCTTGAAGCTAGTGGCTTGTTAATTGGTCTCATGTAAGTTGCTTATAGCTTTATATTTGTTTTGTGGATCAAGAGTGGGATTTGTGGTTTTGAGCGATTTGGTATGGGGATTGAGTTACTTCATCGATATATATAAGTATATCATGTCCCTCCTATCCAACTTATTGATTCAGGTATTGACTTCATTCAGATAGCAAAGCCAGTGGACTTTTATCCCATTGATGGGTTTTATCTCGACTCGAGACCAAACTCTAGACCTCGAATCACCATCCATAGCTGTCACGCGTTTTCGTGCATCAAATGTACACTTAGCTCAAGATATTGGTTACTCGAAATTCACGATACCGGTCACTTAACTTACGCTACCTCACGTCGCATCGCACTAATTCAACCTCAACTCACATCTCAACTCAACACCCACCTCCTGTCACTCACCTCACGTCTCCACTCACTCACAACCACAATGCCTCCCCCACCTCAGAACATCACCATCCTAGGCGCCGGAATAACAGGTCTCCAAACAGCCCTCACTCTGGCCACCGCCCCCTCACCCCCCTCATCCATAACCCTAATCGCCCAATACCTCCCCGGCAACACCCACCCAACCTACACCTCCCCCTGGGCAGGCGGCCATTGTACGTACCTCTCCCCATTACTCTCCTGTTCGACTCCTTCTCTCGGTGGCCATGAGAGAGTTGTATCCTCAAATACAGTTGTCGCTTAGAGCCACTAAGGAAAGCGTTTACTAACCCCCCCAGGGCGTTCACACGCCTCTTCCGCCCCCAAAGACGCACTCGCCCGCGCTTGGGACGCCAGGACATACGCCGTCTGGCGGAACCTCCTCGCTTTCGGCGATGGAACGCCGGGCACGGAAAAAGAGACGGTTGAGGAGAGAGAAAAGAGGATTGGATTGGGTGTACGAACGAGTTTCAACTACTGGGGCACCCACACACCCGAAACTGTTGCTCAAGGAGAAGGCCTCTGGTGGAGAGATGTCGTCGACGGTTTCGAGGTGTTGAGTGAGGAGGAACTGGGAAAGGGGGTGGTATTTGGGGTGAAGTACGAGAGTGTCTGTATTAACGTGCCACGGTATCTGGAGTACATGTTTGAGCGTGTGAAGAGGTGCGGTGTAAGGGTTATTAACACTACTTTTGAAACGGGCGCGGGATTGCGGGGTGTGGTTGATGATGTTAAAGTTATTTTGAAAAGAGAGGGACTGGAGAGTCCGGATATCATCATCAACGCCACAGGTCTCTCCGCCCGCCTATTCGCCGACGAAGACGAACAGGCAAATCTCACACCCATCCGTGGCCAAACCGTCCTCGTAAAAGGGGAAGCGAAAGCAGCAAGAACGATCACGCATTTCGGTCTCGAAGACGAAGTCGCGTATGTGATTCCTAGGGTTGGGAGCGGGACGACGATTTTGGGGGGGTGTAAACAGAGTGGGAATTCTGATGAGATGGTTGATGGGGCGTTGAGTGAGAGGATTTTGCGGAGGATTAGAGACTGGGGGATGGCGGATGAACTTTTGAGGTGGGAGGGAGGAGGGTTTGAGGTGCTGAGTGAGCAGGTGGGGTTTAGACCGGGACGGAGGGGAGGTGTGAGGTGTGAGGTTGAGGGAGGAGGGAGGGTGGGTGGTGTGTGGGTGGTTCATTGTTATGGACATGCGGGTGCGGGATTTCAAGCTAGTGTTGGGTGTGCGGAGGGGGTGCGGGAGATTATTAGAGGCGTGGGAGGTAGGGGGAAGGGGCGGGGAAGTAAGTTGTGAGGAAGATTTGTGAGTTGGGAGGGGTTGGGTAGGGTGATGTGAGATTGTTAGGCTGGGAAAAGGGGGGGATGTGAAGATGATTGAGTAGTGAGTATGTCTATTGCGATTCTGGAAGGAGAGATTAACGTATGTTGGAGTTGGGTAAAAGTTGAAGAACAAGGGATTGGTAGAAGCCGGAGGAAATGGAAATGATTAAAGATCGTTCGTGGTTGATGTAGTAGTTTTAGATTGTGTATTCTTATTACTACTATTTAATAATCACTTTTAAACGAGTCAAAGACTTTTAAATAGTAAATTGGCGATTGATAAGCTGAATAGGGTATAGGACATAGTAAGGTGAGCCATTTAAGTTAGAGGAGGTGGAAAAACATATTAACAGAAAAGTTAGAGAATATTTCTATCAATTCTTTGGGATTATAAACAAACGGTGTTTGCTTAATGTAGTAGTTCTAGATCTATGTGTTCTTGTTATTGCTAGTTGAATTACACTCAACATACAAGATTTAGAGACCTAAAGATGACTAAAACTTTGTGGCCATTGTGATTAACCTCGTTTCATGTGTTCCTGTCCTTGGAATTCAGAGAATCTGTGTTGAATAAGTGAAAAAACTCGTATGTTCGTGAGCTGGAGATGGGTTAGACTACGTAGTTGTATTTGTTAGGAAATAGGTTAGACTTAGATTAATTATTAATAGGTTTATTAACACAAAACTTGAAGGATGTAAAGATAACTGAGAAGTGTTTATAATTGGTTTAGTAATTTGCAGTTTACGCGTATTCTTCTTCTATAATCTCTTCCAACCCCGCTCCTTACCTATCTCATCTAACACAACGCTCATTTATTTCTCCCCTTCACACCTTTCCTTCCCCCCCAAAGTTCACAGGGGGATGTAGAGGTTCGCTCTATTTCAAAGCACTTTTTCCGCTTCCAAAGTTCATCCAACGAACCTCTGCATCCCCCGTGATGTATTCTACATCCTCTACTCGACACAATTTTTATAACTCCCAACATAGTGCACCGTTGCACTATTCCTTTCCTCCATTTATCTTTCGAGAAATCTAGACTCTAGTTTCTTGAGGAACATTTACCTGCGCTTGGTATAATTATCTCTGGTAGGGTAGCTGGATTCAAGTAGGTCACTCTTACAACCAGGCTTTCGTCATATGCCATCCCTTTTCCAAGAATGCAAAGGCCAATTTGTCTTGTTAACATCAGGGGTAATACATAGAAATACCATTCCACCAACCTGCTAAGAACGAGCCCATGTTTTCCCAAAATGATGTGTGTAAAATCCCACTAAAACATGTTGCGCTTGTACGCGATGACCAAGTCAGGTTCAACGTGTGTACCTGGCATTGCACACGCGTCAGTTGAAGGGCTCTAGATGGTATCCCATTTGTTTCTGCGTAGAACCCCCCAAATACCTCCACGAATCTTCCGTTCTAGGTCTTTCCACTCTCACAACCCCCCTCAACCAGCCGACTTCCCCACCATTCCGACACGAACCTCCGAAGGCCATGCCCAAGACCCCAGAATATCATCCCCCATCCCCCATCTCCATCTCCACGCCTCCCCGTCATATTCACATCACACTCAAACCCCCTACCCGCACTTGTTTGGAGTAGACCCAGCCCATCAAAATAGGATCCAAACTCCTAGTTAAAAACTCGCAATCTGCCGAATACCATGTGTGAAATGGAACAAGCCATGTTAACATTACGCAGAGAATTCCGAAGCATCCGGGAAATAGTGGGGTATCGAGTACAGTACAACCCAAACACAAGAATGTACGACGAACGGTCGACCCCGCCATGTAACGATCCTAAAAGTCAAATTCATAAATCAAACCTGCTTCCCCTCTGTCTGAATCCCTTTTTCTCGACATTTCGTTGGGGAACTTATTAGCTTACACGTTTTCTAAATCCTTGGTTACTGTATTTAATGCTCACATCATCACTCCCTCGACTGCCGTCCGTCATCTCAGAAGAAAATCACGCCAAGGAGTCATCAAACCAATGCAACTTTTAACATCTTGAATCCCCTTTTATATTTCATCGAATTCCAATACGGCAATGGTATCTAGATCAAACATCTGCTCTGCATCCCCCGACACAGCGGGATCGCACCAAATAAAGAAACAAACAGACCATAATCTCTAAAACTTCCTCTCGCAAGATCACCAACGACCTTGATTGCAGAAACGACATCTATCCCCGTGTGTATATCCAGACCAGAATGCCCGCTTTCAAAGAGATGGGACGACCGACAAAACGCCATTTTTCGATTGAATCTATCGCGGGTGCAACTCGTGAGGTTGCGTTTTCGCTGAAAGATTCACGCAGCACAATGATATACCAGCAAATTCGTTTAAGCTTCGGTCAGGATTGGGAGCTTCCCGCTCAATTGTGTGGATTGACTTAGTCGTCTTCGAGCATCCTGATGTCTGGCAGATGCCATTGACATGGCGGTAGCGGTGGCGGTAGCAGTGGAAGCCTTGAGTCCCTCTGAAACATCGCGTTTCTCGGTCTTGTCAAGTTTAGCAAGATTTTGTGGTTGTGTCTCCCCATCACGGTTGAACAAGTTTCGGAACATGTATACACCGCTTCCCTCTTGTCCTTCGGTCTCCTCGACAAATTTGCATGTACGTTGGTTCTTGAAGAAGGCGGTCCAGAAAGGTGTCTCGAGATCTGCCTTGTAGTGGACACCCATAACCTTCTTGATATGTTTTGAGGCCTCGCCCGCATTGTAGAATGGGATGGTGGAGATTAGGTGGTGGCAGACGTGAGTACCGATGATGTCGTGGAAGAGATGGGTATCGAGGAAACCGAGATCACGATCGATGGTGGCAGTGGCTCCGCGAGCAAAGTTCCAGGTGCTGTTGTCGTAGTGAGGCATGGATCCGTCGGTGTGTTGGAGGAAGGTGATGGCGACTAAAATGTTAGTTAAACTCCTAGATTACTTGCAGATAACTTACCGATCCAGTTGTTGACCCAGAGCCATGGAACACCCCAAAGAACGAGAACGTTGAAGCTTCCAAACATTTGTCCAGCCATGTACAGAGCACCGATCATCGCGGCAACACCAAGATCAGAAAGCATAATCAATGGAAGCTCATTCTTCTTGTAGAAAACGCTGTCCTCTCCGAAATAAAAGTGGGAGATTTTAGCACCCTTGGCGCCATCATACTTTTGTCCAGTCAAGTTGAAGAGGAGGTAACCTGGCCAGCCGAACAATTGGTGGATGACATCGTGCCAGAGAGCAGCAATTGGAGAGTCTTCTGCCAATTCAGCAAATTCAACCATGTTCTCCTTGGCCTTGCTTCCGAAATGAGTCTCGAGCCAGTCTTGTCTCTTGTGTGGGACGAAAGCGGTATCTCTGTCCATATTTCCGGTAGCCTTGTGATGTTGGCTGTGGGAAAGACGCCATGAGTGGAATGGGACGAGGAGGAAGGAATGCATGATCAATCCCATGGTGTAGTTGAGCATCTTGTTCTTGGAGAAAGCACCGTGTCCACATTCGTGTGCGAGAATCCAGATACCGGTGAAAACACATCCTGCAGCGAACCCATATGCCGACCAAGCAGCAAATCGAAGGTAGGCATTTGGGAGGAGGGGGATGTAAGTGACGGCGGCGTAGACCAGAAGGCTGTAGTAGAAGAAGTCGCGGACGACATACGCCATGGATCGGAGAATGGAAGGCTTGAAACACCATGCTGGGATGGCATCGTGGATTTCCTTCATGGTGAAGGTGGGCAATTCAAAAGAATTGCCGTGGAGATCGAGATGTTTGCCATCGCCAGGAGTGGACTTGGATTGGGTCATGGTGGTGGTAGCCATGTTGAATTTGTGTGGGATTTTATAAGAAGCAATTGAGATTTTGTTGGTGTGCTCCCGTCTATTCAATGAAGAAGAGACAATAATGGGAGGGGGAGGGAAAGGATGAGGAGAGGAGAGGAGAATTGATTCGAAAAGTCGGAGGAGAAGAAGAAAAGTCCAAGTGAAGGTGGTGGTGGTGGTGGTTGGTTTTATCTGGTGTCGGTGTCAGTTTCTGGTCCCCATCGGTCCTCTACTCCCCTATCAAGGGTCCTCTTGGCATGCCCCGACTCCCCTTGACCCCTACTCCCGCACCAAAACTCTGCATTTCTCAACACTTTTCACCCCCAAACCACCCAGACCACGCCTCGATGCCCGCGCTGAGGAACGTGCACGCAGATGGAATGCGTGGATAAAGGTGATGGTTCCCTTGGCAGCTCAGCTTAGGGTCGCTTCTGAGGATTCTGCCCCTCTGATGGTCCCCCGGACATCTCCTTTGAGCTGCTTCGGTCTCCATAAATCACATGGGAAAGTCGTTCGAGACTGCATTTTGAAACGGGAGAGACTAGAGGGGATGATCTGGCGATAGTAGGATACCTAGATAGGTAGACTAATGAATCAATTGATACGTTGGATTATGTGCTCGTGAAGTCGGTCTGCAGTCAAATGAATCTGACAGCTGCAGTAATAACCAGTTTAGGTTTGATAGTGCAATTGTCTCAATTCTCCTCAGCGGTTCTCACGTCTCTCCTGCATTCACCGCTTCAATCTGCCGCACACAACTCGAACCGAAGACTCCTCGCTCCCAGCTCGCACCAGCACAGCCCACTATCCTCTCGATACCCGTAGACGATTAAAATATTTTCACATGCCAAATCCTACGCTACTGCTCTCTTACGGTCGCCCATTCTGCTCCATCACAAGAGCCTCAATATCGGCGATGCGATTGTGGATCTCCCCTTTGATTTGGCCGATCACCACGGTGACCTCTTCATGCAGGAAGGGTCCTATTTCATGTTCCTGGCTTGACTCTGTTGATATTAGTACGGTGGCGAATAAACTTGGATCGTCAATTGGTGCGTCTTGAGTTGCTTGGAGCGCTCACCGCTTGACCTCGAATTTCCGTGTCGGAGGGGAAGATGATTTTTCCATGGTGGGGCTGTGAGTATGGTCTCGGCTACCGTACTCATCGAATTTCTCGCTCGCATTCTTCGACTTCACACAACATTTCCATCCTACATCCAATTCTTGATACCATGGCAATTTGCATATATCTTTTCATCTCACTTCCATCTTCCTATCTGTTTGCTGTCATGTCTTTTTCTCTTCCTCATCCCCAAGCTCCAACCTCCAAGCTCCAACCTCCAAGCTCCAACCTCCAAGCTCCAACCTCCAAGCTCATCCCGTCCCACCAACATCTGACATACATACATGTCGAGAGCTGAATTTGGCATGTGCATGGTGCGATTCTCCCCAGCTTTGCAGTCTGCAGGTGCCAATGCCACACCGAACCAACAGTTGCTATTACATATTTCCAATTGGTCCTTCCAGCTGAGTTTCGCCTTGTCCCGGCTTTGCATCCAACTGGGGAGAATTGTTCCTTTTCATGTATTTCTAATTGGCGGAAGTGGAACGAGAATTCTGCTTGAATTGCTTTTCACGGCGGCTTGGTGGACGGCTCAGATATGCCTGCTCGAATTCAAACGATAAAATACTTCTCACCGAGGTGCTTATCGCGTCCGAGGTTTGAGGAGGTCTCTCCGAGTGGTAGTTACCCCGGATTATGACGATCATTTGATGTCAATAAGGCTCGATGCGGCGGGAGAAGACAGTTCAGACATGTGAAAAATGAGGCTACCACTCGGATATTTTTGTCTTGCATGTTTGGCTGATGAAAACCGAGGAAAACCATTGATTTCATTTACCAATCACATAAAGTCCACAATCTTTCTATCACAAAACTCTACAAACTCCCTAGCACTCATGGTATCAAGCAAGTCTACTCTAGGACTCGGATGAATGCGACCCCACGGCAAGATGTACTTTCCACCATCATGAATATTCAATTTCTTCGATAGACCAGCCCATAATGCTGTATACGCTCCCATCCGAGCATGATACAAGATTGGGGAAAACAGAATTCCAACGATAGCTGGCATATGACGGAGGAGTCCCGTTTTCATATTTCCTGGGTTGATGGTCAAGCTGAGGATGCCATCTGCGTCGGCACCAACTTGGGTCGCCAGATGGCTCGCAAGAAACCAGTTACTAAGCTTCGTTTTCAAGTAGTTGTACTGTTGGTTCTTGGAGATTGTCGTGAGCTCTTTGAGACTGATGCCTTCTTTTGATACAGACAGATCGACAATGATTGAGGATGTCCAAATCACTCGCACCGCACCTGGTGATTGTAAGACATTGCCTGTCTTTCGCATGATCGGCAGTAAAAGTTGGGTAAGCAGATGCGGTCCTAAGCAATTTGTAGCCATCTGAAGCTCGTCGCCTTGGACTGATATGGAGCCTGGAGGTGGATTGGAAACACCTGCATTGTTGAAGAGGACGTCAAGTCGAGTCTCAACCGACGTGAACCTCTCTACGGCAGGTTTGATGGTGGCCAGATTGTCCAGCGATAATTCCAGAAAAACCAGTTTGCCGGGCAAGGACTTGTTATTCATCTCAAGCCTCTTGATATATGATATTGCTTCTTGTGCCTTTTCTTTGGAGCGACCAGCAAGATAAACGGTTCCGCCAGCTTGGTATAAAATCGTGCATAGTTCCTTGCCAACTCCTGAATAACCTCCAGTCACTATGAAGACTTTTCCTGCTTGATTCGGTAGGTCTGCTTCTGTCAATGTCGGACTTGGAGGAAAGAATTGTGAGAACGTAACACCCATGGTGGAGGCTTACGAACAGTAGGAGAAGGATGATATATAAAATGGATAGTGAGCACAAGTGAAAAGGTCTTCAAATGTTTGGCTGAGCAAAGAGAATCAATTAGCTGGCAACGGCTTTATTTTCAACATCACAGACGATGTATGTCGGTGCTTATCCAGATATTACTAGCATGACGATCGCTTGTTGGTACGGTAAAACCAACAAGACATCACCCGCAACATCAACCCCACAATACTCGAGTACATCAGCGATCATCATGGGAACCCGTTTCTCCCGACTTTACATCTACAAGAGATTCGTGTTCTTTATCATTAAAACCCTATAACGAATAACACAATGGGGTCACTTTTTTCTACCCACTGTGTTTGGTTTGCACCGCATACCTTTGCCACAAGTGCATTTATTGCTGTATATTAGTCGGATCTTCCTGTATAGTTCCTACTCACTCCGCTACCAGGTGTCAACATTCGTACTCTGTAATGCCATTTATAACGTCTACTTTCACCCGCGTAGGCAATATCCGAGTATGTCATTGCCTATCTTCGAAACTTTCTTTTGATCATGTCATCACGTCCTTTGAACGAGCCGCTTCATTATATCCCGTCTTAGGAGGGCTATTATACAAAAAGACCAAACCTTTACACGACAAATATAGTAGTATAGTTGAAAATACGCTAAATACTCTATTATACACTACCTTTCGCGCTTGGAAAGGTGTAGTCGTTGTCTCTCGCCCATCGATATCTTGTTAATTTGAGTGCCACAGATGTCCATAGTTTGAAAGCGGACAGAACCGAGCTAGCAAAAGACCCTAGTTATTTTCTTAGAGTTAAGCCCGTCGATAATACTAGTATGTATTGTCATCTATCTGAATTACGGAATCTTAAGTTTTTGGAGCTACAAATCAAGCAGAACACACACATATTAGGAAGCATTTTCAACCTACATTTTCCGGCAGTATACTACTAGAGTAGGAACCTCTTCTCACTCATTATTTTGATGTGCTTATTACGTAGTTGGGACGACGTATTGATGGCCATACGAATGGTAAAGTTAATGTAATAGCTTTCTGTAATTCTACGACTTTCGATATCGTTAGGTACACCTATTGTGTCTTTTTCAGCTCTTCTATTCTATAACTATAAGGTCCCTAACGATATATCTAGCAACCTCGCTCTCGGAGAACCCTTCGGCGCATTAAAGAGTAGTGAATATCCCAAATTAATTAGATTAACTATTCTCCATTCCAATTCCTCTTCCTACACTACTATTAACCTACCTCGGAACATGTTCGAATCCACTAAACTCGTCAAAGTCCCCCGTTTCGCCCCCGAATTCCAGCTTTAAGCGCGATCTACCAAGGAGTTCAGCATACTGTATTATCCCCTCCATCGCCGCCAAACGTCGAGAACAATTGAAATCCGTCCGTCAAAAAAGTCGAAAGTCGGTTTACTCGTCAAACCCCCTAGAATCTTTAATATCATATCTATATCTAAGAACCCACTTTATGCCCAAAACACCCACCCATATCCTCTCCAACCCCACCAAAACATCCCCTTACCCGCGCCAAAACCCCTCGTAAGCATACACATCCTCCTCGTGCCGGCTCGGAAACCTCAGCCGCACAACGTACTCCCTCCGCACACGGCTCGAACGTATCTAGATTGAAATCCGCATCCTGAAGATATCACGCTCAGCGGATTACCGCTCTTGAAGCAGTGCGCGAGGAATTCGGTAGGTGTGATCCGCGCATACCTGATATTTTTCTGAGCGTTGCTGAGGGGGGCGTGGTTGTTTGATGAGTCTGTAGTGGGCGTGAGTCGGCAGGCTGCGTACGGAGGGAGGAGAATTCTGGGAGGTTAGGAGTGCGATTTGGTTAAGTAGTTAGACTATATAGTTAGGTGTAAGGAATACTCTTATGATAGAAGGGTCTTTCTATAAATCCTATCTACGGTTTTCCTCACTCGACATGTTTGATTTGATAATACACCCTAATACTAAAATATACCTAAATACTTAAATATACCTAAATACCTAGGTATACCTAACTCACACTAACTAAAGTAGCAGCTAATACTGTATTCTAGCGATAGGTAAGTGAAGAACTAGTACTACTGAGAAAGAGCATTAAGTAAATTTCGATATGGGGAAATTTGTTCCAATACGCCAGGATACGCTAGATGAGGGCCGGATCGTGGGATTTAATGATCGTGGACGTGCGGGAGGGAGCTATCTCGTTGCGGTTCCTGGAGAGGGAGACCCGGGGGTGGAGACGAGTGAATTTGGTAGAGTGGGAGTTTGTAACGGAAAGAGGATGATGGTGGGATCGATGGATATGTTGTTAAGGTAAGTAGTGGTTTAATTCACCTCACATTTCTATTCCCAGAGTAGTACACACAATTTAAATACGTTTTTACGTGCGTGGCTGCTGTAGCTTTTGGAAGAGAATTACACTTGAGTAGGTCGGTTGTTAAGGGGTTGTGAGAGGAAGAGGTATGTAATGTCGGTGATGATAGGTGAAGTTTAGGGCGTGTTTGAATACTGATAGATTGGATTTTACGTTAGATTCGGGAACGTGCAGAGTCTATCTAGTTTAATAACCTGTACCAACATAGCTTCTTCGACCCCTGAAATCCGTCCACATCACCCTCGTAATTCCGAAGAATTGTAACTACAATAAAAATATATCGAGAGTGTACAATCCCATTCCAGCTGTCTGAAAGAGAGTCATTTGACGAAACTACTATACATTTTCATTTTTCGTAGTCTGAGCTAATGTGACATAGAAGTAATTTCTCTTGACTCCAAGCCAGTAAAGTGTTGCAAGATAAGTATATTAAAATGTAAAGTAGATAATATCAATAACCTATAATTATTCTCCACTTAGACCTAATTACATTAACGTTAAGTAGGTAGCTACTAGCGAGAACTAGTTACCTAAAGAGCTAAGAGCGTCTCCTCTAACTCCTATCCCGGCGCTCATTATTTCCTCTTCCTCTACCTCCCCTACCCTGGCACTATCCGTACATCCTCGCTACCCTCGCACTACTTCCCCGTAGGAACACTCGCGACTCCACTCTACTCTACTCCAGATACCTCTAAACCATTACAAGGAAGCTGGGGTTTCCATTAACTTGTTGATTACGTTCCATTTGCTTGTAGGTACGAGGAGAAGGTGAGTAGTGGTAGATGATGGAAGACGAAAGTCCGACCTTTTTGAGACTTCTCGTGTCTAATAGTTGTTTGTAACATTTGATGTTGTAGACGCTCGAGTTGAAGGGACCGCATTATCTTAAAGTAAGATGATGCCCAATCAAACTGTTGCCCAGAGACATACAATTCTCAAACAGGATTTCGCTATAATCCTGTTTGGCTATTGAATCATCAAGTTTGCTGACAACATCCCACCCCCTCACCGCCACCACCCTGTCAGTTTCCTAGGTCTCCCCCCAAGATACCCAAAACACACGCCCGCAACCGCCACACACATCCCCGCAACAACAGCATTCAACCCGCCATACCCCATCCTCTCCTTCAGCAGCCCCGCCATCGCCGGCCCAATCGCCAACCCGGCACTAAACATCATCGAGTTCACCGCAAACATCTTCGCATACGGTCCTTCGGGCCCGAAAAGCTCCGGATTCGCAGCGTGGTACTTCCCAAACACCTCGCTAGCCTCGACGATGCTAGGCGTGCTGACAGACGAAATGCCAGGCGCGCAGACGGCCAGCAGGGCGGCGAGTTTGACGACCTCGGGAGTCCCGCCTGCGCGAACGGTGCGGAGTAGGAAGATGGGGATGGCGAGGTAGAGGAAGCCTAGCGTGCCGAAGATCTTGACGCCGTATCTGTCGACGCCTTTGCCGGCGAGAGGGCCGAAGATGAGACAGGGGAGGACGAGCGGGATGAAGATGAGGCCCGCGGAGAGGGGGGTGAAGTTGAAGAGGTCTTGCACGAGGAGGGGGATGGTGGCATCGAAGAGGGCGATGACGGTTGCTTGGGCGATGGAGACGAGTTGGGCTGTTAGGAGGCGGGGGGAGGTGAGGAGGATGTAGATGAATCCGTTTGGAGCCCAGCGGGGGAGTTTGGGTGGGAGGACGTAATTTCTCAAGTTCTCTTCTTCTTCATCTGAAGGTTTCGCGAGGAGTCGTGTGTTCTCGTCTGATTGCTCGTCGTTTGAAGCTGATTCCTCGTCCGTTCCGGAATCCTCAGCATATTCCCTTCCATATCTCTTCGCAACCTTCTTCTCAACCATAGCAAACCGCATCAAAATATCCAAACCCAACAATCCAAAGCCCATTCCAAAAACCGCATTGTTTCCAGCTTTCCCATATACAATCCCTCCCAGCACAGGCGCAAGCAGTTCCCCAACACTAACCACACTAAACATACTCCCAATCGCCGTCCCCAAATTCTCCCCGCCAACTGTATCCTTCACGAGTGCCATACCAACCGTCCACACCACAGCCGCGCTCGCACCCTGCAAAATGCGCGCCAATATCAAAACCCCAATCGTCTGTCCAAAACACAGCAATGTCGTGCTAGCTACGAGCGCCAGTAATCCACCGGTAAAAGGAATCTGTCTCGCAGGCAGGCGATCCGCGATAACCCCGGCAATTGGGGACAAGAGGACGGTAGCACCAGCATACGTGCCGAGGAGGATGGACGTGTACGATTGTATCTGATCGTGTGGGACATTGAGGCGGTCGCTGAGGATGAATGGGAGGATCGGGACGACGATGCCGTAGAGCCAGAGATCGGTGAAGAGGGCGAGTGCGACTGTGGTTAGTACGAAGCCGGTTGAGGAGCGGAATTTGAGAAAGATGGGAGGTTTAGATGTTGCCATTGCAATTGAAATTTTGGAAGGGGAAGTATCGTGGGGTAAGACGAAATGGTAATGCCAAATTGAACTGATGAGATGATGAAATACGATCTATTGATAACTGCAACTGAAAAGAGGAAGATGAGCAAATAGTGAACACAGATATAACCAACGAAATCTCGATTAAAGGCCTTCCTCATCCATGGACATTAGATATAAAAATATGCGGTCTGGATTTCAACGGGCGCCGTTGTTGGAAAAATTGAGTCAGGCCGAGGGGTCCAATGACGACAGAATCCTTAGAGCAAATTTTGGCGTGCACAAGGGGCTTGACGCTTATTCACGCTTGTCCAGATGCGGCGAAGTCGTATGTCGAAATTCAAGTTCATTGACATATGGTACACTGCAATGGACATCTCAATAGAAATATGATTCCAAATATTGTAACTCGTTTCCCGGATACTCACCGAGTACTTTCTAGAGACTACAAGTTATAATAAATGAGAGCTTATGATATAAGGAGAAAAGACTGGCATAACATCATTGTATATTTTTAAAATTTAAAGTCCGCTCTATCTGCTAAACGTAACTCTCCGTCAAAGCAAAAGATTGCTAAAGAATGGTCGTCATGTCCACACAACTTCCAAATCCCGCCGCACCAGAATGGAGGAATTTCCACCCTGTGCATCTCAACAATGTATACACGAACATATATCCTTCTCATATGGCTTTTCTTGCTATCAACGCACACAAAAAGACACCCACCCAGAACTCCATTTTCCCACGACCACATTTCATACACCAAAGCAATTGAAGTAAAGCTTTAACATGAATCCAATAAGATACGCAAAGAAAGTTTATCTCTGCTAATTGTTAGCATCCGTCACAATCGAAGAGAATTGTTCAACGCACCCTGCCCCGCCTTCCATTGACCGGCTGTTCCTGTTGCTGCATGCCATATCCAGCGCCTTGCATCCCCATACCGGCATATCCATACGCAGCACCTCCCATTTGCATATTATTGAAAAGTCCAGGTGGAGCAAATGGATTTTGGCCAAGCATTGGACTTGGAGTCATATTTGGAGGTTGAATGACACTGCCGCTCTGTCCTTGGTTCCTGAAATGATCAGGGGATGGGCTTGCGTTATTATAGAATCCAGCTTGTGGATAAAAGTTGCTCATTGGAGGATTGGTACGGGCCAAGAAGTTTTGCTGAAATTGCTGCATGCTCACAGGAGGGACAACATATCCATTTGCAGAGAACATTGGATTTTGCAGTCCATAGTTTTGTGCGAGATTAGAATCCATGCTTTCAGTGCGTTGCATACCCATTCCGGCATCATATTGAGCTGGCTGCATGCTAGGGAAGAATTGATTGGCATATTGAGGAGGGACGTGACCATTGACCTGGCTGTGATTCGATCCTGGACGTGTTCTCTCAACTGAGTGACTGGCAGATCTATGCTCGCTATGGTTGGGTCCAGTGCTACCATTTCTGGTAGACAAACCAACCTCATCCATAAGTCGTTTGTAGCCCTGTGCTGGTTGAGCCTTGAGTCTCAAGAGCACGTTTCGGACATTCTCAAATACTTGTGCTCGGATGGTATCATCGAAGAAAGGAGTGGTGAGGACCTTGAAGATAAGAGTGGCACCGCAAGCATGATCTGAGAGGATAGCCTCAAGCGTCTCGTCGTTAGGAGAGAAGAAGAGAGCTTTGTAGATAGCATCACGGGCTCCTGGTTCGGCTTTCTGGTTGATGACCTTCAGCACGGTGAGGTAAGCCACTTTATGAGTGCAAAGGTGGACCAGATGTGGCACAAGCTGTGGTGCCAGCACGGTCCTACGCTGTGGGAACGTGCATGTATCAAGAAACCATGTCAGTAACAGGGCGCCATTCTGGTTGGTGGCCAACTGGACACTGTGAAGGGCAATGGCCGCAGCGAGCAGTCGTTGTTGGTCCTTGGTCGAGTGGTGAGACTCAAGACAAGCTCTCATAGCCCGGGCACCAAATCTTCCTTCTGCAATCTTCCACATCTGGCTAAGCATAGCTTCAAATATGAAATCGTTGAAAGGAGACCCAAACTTCAAGCAGCACTGAAGCACGTAATTTCCATATTGATCAAGGAACAAAGGAACGGTGTATGGCTGGAGATTTGAGACGAGCATGCCCATTTGTCTTGGACTTCTTGAGCAATCGATTATTTTTTGTGCTGCCCAGGTACCATTCTTGTGAATACCAATCTCAGCCGAGTGTGGTGCAATCTCGGCAAGCATAGCATCTCTCATGTCATCAGAGCAGTGCTCGAATAACTTTTGCACAACAGTGTTTCCCAAGTAGTCAGGCGAAAGCTCAGCAATCTCAGGAAGCATTTCTGCAGCAATCCCTTCAATCTCAGCTTGCGACCAGCTCTGATTATCAATACGCTTGCGAATTTCTCGAAGTTTTGGCGCATCATGCACCCGATTTGGTGATGGCTCTGGAATAGGTGGAATCTCGGCCTCATATTTATCGTACATGATCGCATTATCAAGGCTCTGGGTTATCTTGATTTTGTCCTCGGGGCTTGCTCCAAATTCGCCAACAATATTGAGGATCTCAGCTTTCAGGTCTCGAAGTGCTGGCATGACCAATGGAGCAGTACCCGGGCGAGAGATCACGCCAGCGGTAGCACCTGGAGCTTCGGCACCACCATTGCTATTCTCCTTGGCAAATGGATCAGGACTTGGTGATGGGAAGGCCCCGTCATGTCCTGGGGTCCCGGATGGGGATGGCGGCTTTGCAAAGTTGATTCTGACAGGTCCAGCTCCTGGGAAGATCTCCTTTCCGTTCATTAATCCCTTGGCAGATATGGCACTTTCCAGATGCTCAAAGTTGACGAATCCACAGTTCTTGTGGGTTAGCACTCGAGCGGATATGATAGGGCCATGTGATTTAAACATTTCCATCAAGGTGGAGACGGTCGTTGAAGATGGAATGCTTCCAAGCCAAAGTGCTCTAGTTGGGCCTTCTTGACTATCATCGGGATTCAAATGTCCATCATTGCGGCTATTCGAGCGACCTAAAGTCATGGCAGCAACAGCCTCAGGCAAGCTTTCGTATTCTTGAGATTCTGAAATGTGGATATCAGAAGCATTAAGGCTACTATCAAGTCTGGATGCGGTAGGATAATAATTTCGAAGAAGTCTCGTGGCCGGAGACTCCAAAACACCAGCAGTTCTTGCTCTTGGTCTGTTGGATGAAGCCTGGTTTGCAAAAGCCTGAACGGCCAAGTTGTGCTGCTGAATCGCCGCATTTGTGGCCGCGAGCTGCATTTGCAGCTGTGCTTGCTGTGTCTCGTAAGGAGTCAAACCGCCACTGCCATAATCATCGTCGTCTTCTTCCTCGGCGTATTTCTCTTTTGCGTTAACGGAATATGATCGGAATCGGCTATTTGCTTTTGACATATCGGCAATGTTAGCAAGAAATGGGTTGACCAATTGAGCCCGGGGAGGTTGTGGGGTGTCTGCCAGTCCAAGATAATCCAAAGTTCTCATCTCGTTGTCCGCAGCTCCCTCCCTTGAAAATGATGATTGTGCGGGAGAACTTGGTCCATTGGAGCCCTGACTCTGAATGCTGGCTAGAGTGGATGTCCTCTCACGTCCTGATGCCCAGTTCGAAGAGAACACAGAGACGCCAAATGGAGACGTGGCACTAGGAGCGTATTGGCTTCGCTGGGGCATGGATCCAGCTCGCAGACGCGATAACAATGCTGCGTTACTTGCAGTGCTCGCATCTTGAATATCACCCAGATTTGGAGATGGCGATTTGAATGGACTTGGAGACGGTGTTGGGCGAGAGGTCTTTGCCATCAAAGAAGGCAACCCAGTCAATCCTGGAGCACCACCCGGGGAAAACCGGGATGGAACTGTACCTGCTCGAGCTCGTCTGGCTTGTGGAAGGCTTTCTGGTGTTGGCAGATGTGTAAAGTCTGGGAAACCGTCTGTAGGAGATTCGGGAATATTCTCGCGAAGGGGAGTCGAATTTCCGCTCGTGGGAGGTCCAGGGCCCCATACGTTGACTGGGACACCTTCTTGGGCCTGGATTTCTCGCGCTCTGTTTCATATTCTGTCAGCTAAGCCCGTCCGCCATCTGCAATTGCTGAAAGTTACCTTTTTGAATAGACTCTGCTGGAGCTGCCTAGATCATGCGAAGGAGAACCAGCCCCCGATCGCGTGTTGCCAGCCATCTTTCCTGCTGAGTTCAATCCGCCTGGCACACCGAATGGGGATCGTAGAGCGCTCGTGCTGGAGGCTTCTGTGGGAGAATTATTGGCCGTCGAGGAGTTTGATCGTGAAAGGCCAGCTGAGGGTTGTGGTAAATAGCCCAATGTGAGGTGCTCAGATCTTGCAGATGACATTATAGATTATTTGTTCCACCAAATAAACGCCCCCGTAACTCGTACAAGAGATGGTAGAAAGGGGCTGTCGGGCGAATATAGCGTTCCGTCAAATCCTTGTCCGCGACAGATTGCCAGCGTGATGGCAGTTAAGTGTGCGTGAATGCCGAGTGCTGATGCTTAAACAATAAAGGTCTGGGCCTCGGAGCTTTGGATCTCGTAAAGGAGGATATCGATGACGGCGGAAAAACAGTTTCTATCGATGAGATTCTGTTTTAATTACAAATAAAATCCTGATCCCGCAGTTGTTCGAGTATAGTCTCGTTCGATGACAGTGCGAAAGGGGAAGGCTGGTTTTTACTTTTCGAAGGAGGGTAGATAATGAGCCGAGAGGGATCGGTGGTCTGTGGCGCACACGAATCTGCAGATGTTGATACTGAGGTCTGTAGTGCGAGGATTAAGCAGTTCTCGAGAACAAGTATCTTTCCGATGTCGAGCAAAAAAAAGGGTGACGGGATGGCAGAGGACGCTGGCTGGTGATAACAGCGTTTCTCAATGTACAAGCCTCATTAAGAGAGAAGAAGTTCGGAAGGGGTGAGGATGGCGTGGTCGAGACCAATGTCGAAAAGGATTCAGACGGAAGAAAAGAGAGAGAAGGAAGGATCCGGCAATTATGCGGAGTCGATGGCGATGAGATGGGATCCCAAAGCTAAAAGGGAAGACGGCGAGCAGAAGAAAGAGAGAAGATGTGGTCAGGACTTTGGTGGTGGTGGTGGAGAGCCCAGGAGAGTTTGAGGATTTGGCAGGTCAGAAATAACTGGGGCGCACCAGGTTTTGCGAGCGAATTGCGTCGTCTACAACAACTCGCACGCTGTTTCATACCTCCAAGGTAAATTCCATTCAGGGGCTCTGCCTCCTCGCTTCTTCGACTGGAGTCCTGTGCCAACCTGGGAATGGCTCCCTCGCTCGGAGTCTTGAATGGCTCTCCTGACTGCACGCAGTGCATCGCAGACATTTTGGAGCGCCCAACCACGCGTCCGCGAGGCGAGAGCAGCGCGAAGATGCTGGTTGGGGTTGGTGATTGGTGCTTGACAGGTACTTCCTTGGTGGTTTTGTTCATTACGAAGGTTCAAGTTGCGTAGGAAATCAGTCACGTTACCGCTACCGACAGAATGGTGCAGCTTGCATTGGACAAGCTGATACTCTTCGAGACAGGACACTCAGATGAAATGACAATATTAATTCAGTTGACTTGATACAATATCATATACTCTGTTGAATGTTCTCAATAAGACCTTGTCGAGCTTCGTATAAGTCTGGTATTGCACTCCAGCTTTGAGGATATATTTCTTGGCATTTATATCTTGTCCACCACGACTCTCTATGTGAAACTATTTGGCGTCCGCCTCAAGACATGACAGGATAATCTTTCAGCACTCGAATGACGACAGTCGAACAGCATACATTGTCCTACCACCTCTACAGCCAACTTCACCTCCGACTCAGCCCTAGCATCGCCGTCCGAAGGGCCACGTCAAAATCCTAAAACTACTAGTATATTACTCGCACACGCTCCACAATCTACCTTTCGCATGATGAGCTGCTCCCTAGTTGAGTTCGTCAGACAACTTCGATGACATGAGACAGCGTTCGGCGACTATGGTTCTATGGATAGTACAACAACGTGCGGTACATGCACCAATGGTTCAATGCTTCGATGGGATCCTAGCCGAGGGAGGCTCTGGTAGAGGCGCGAAGCGTCTAGTGGTTAGTAACGCTGGAGGATCAACTATTGTTTGCGTAATGATTGTTGCTTACACGGTCTCACGTATGTCAATTGACATTGTTAGTTTGATGGTTGGCGCTTGGTTATTGGTTTGAACAAAGTCTTCTCGACAACCTGTGCAGCCAAGCAACGTGGTAAACTCAGTACAACTCGACAAAGACCTTTCCCTGCTACATATGGACGAAGCTTTCGCATCTAAACTTCTTTCTAGAAGAAGTCTCACATCTTCAAACAAAGTTTAGGTCCGACTCGGTGGAGTCGAAGGCCAGAAATAGAAGCGCAGATCTTATGCCATCCTATATTACGTCTCCACTTTGAGGACCTTCACGTCAATCCGGTTCCTACGGAAAGTATGGGGTTGAACGAAGAACAGCAGAACGCATCAACAACGACATGGAAACAGGCTCACGGTTTTAGCTGCTCGTATGGAAGCCATTTGGAACATTCTGTTGTCGAATGTTCTGAAGCAGAGACGAACCAAGTGGACTTGGAACTGCGTCCACCAAGTGAGCGTTGCGAACAAGAAGCTACGACAAACACAAAATAATAATGGCCGGTTATGTGTTCTCGTCTCATAACCAGCTTATGACTAGCTTCGGTACCTTTCAAGCTTTCAATTCATGCGATAAGTTTCACTGAAAGACAGTCCGTTTACATTTAGGAGAGTATGAAGAAAGCTTAGGTGTCCTCCTAAGTAATGTGTGTTCTAGATCTATCACGACTTCATCAATGAAATTGAGAGCAGCTCAATAGCACCAGCTAAGATTGTGATTAGCCCTGATTTGTATTAGGGGAAGATCTTGCTAAATAACTATATCGTCTGAAAGTTCTTTACAAGTTGGTGCTTCCTGAAGAAGCAACCATGCTATCGGTCGAGTTCATGTACTACCAACTAGAAGGTATATATAACAACGACTCCGTCAAATAGGAATTACATGGCGCAGCTACAGTCTTTCGGTTGATCCCGAATCTAGATATCTCATTTACTGGAAATGACTTACGAAATACACATGTTTACCAACTTCACTAAACAAATATCGATTTCGACTACCACTCAATCATCCCGCCCATAGGACCTCCACAAACTCACACTGCCCACATTTATGCAAAGCAAAATCACCAAAAACACAAGATCACGATTCGCGCTCCGTAAACAACATCACTCCCTCCAATAATGTCGTGCGAGCTGTCTTCCCCTGATTTCTTGCAGACAACGACAGTGCTGATCCCGAATCCGAAACAGGAACTCGGCCCCTGCGAAACCCCAAGTCCACCACCCACAAAGCCGGATCTCTGGGAGCGGCCTCAGGGATATGGTAACTCGGGCAAGTCGTGCCGTGGTGTGCACGCGATCGTTTTGAACAATTCACCTTACGTGGCATGTTTGGTTGAGAGCTTGGAAATACCAAGATGCGAAATAAAGTATGGTTTAGAGTGAAGGTATTTAGATACATTTTTGGATGCTGTAATAGGATCGCGCCAGCTAAATTGAGATACGTTGAGCGCCTCATTGCATCCGAGTCTGTATGCTGAAAATAGATGAACGACGAGGCTCCTTGCACATATGGCTTCGTGCGTCTAGACCGCGGAACCGGAACATTTTAATAATCACGTGGCTAAATTAGACGCGGTCGGCTCGCGAATCTCCACAGCCTTGCTAGTCAAGATTTGGCGTTGTTGACTTCAACGCCTGTCGGCAATTACAGCCTTGCAGTATCGAAATTCGGCGCAAGATGGAAAACTCTTAATCCCTGAGAATCCAGTACTTGAAAAGCACTGAGCTATGTGCAGCAATATCTAATCTAATTCACGATGCCCAGCGAAATAACAGAAGACACGACGATGCGCTCCGGGGCGGAAGAAGATGATGCACCATCAAATTCTGGTAGTGGCAGTGGAAGTGAGAGTGACGGGGAGGAGGAAAAGATAGAATGGCTGGCGACATCCAGGGCAAAACGGTCCACGGCGGGAAACAGACTTCATTCTTTAATACAACAAGAAGAACCTGATGATGAACTCGAACTTCTATTCGCAGAAGCAGACGACGACGAGGTTTTTGACGATGTTGAGATTGATTCTGATGTACAGATGGACTCATCTGATGACGATGACGATCAAGGGCCGGCAGCAGGCGCGGATGATTTGGAGGGGGAGAAGGAATTACAAAAGCAGAATAAAGCAGAACAGAAGGCGAAGCGGCGGAAATTGAATGATGGCATACCAAAATTGTACAGGAAAAAGGTCAAGATAGACCCTACAGCATCACAGGCACATACCATGGCACCAAGGCCAAAGAAAAAATCAGAACGAGCTTCATGGATACCAACACCAGAGGATGCGCCAACTCGAGCATCAGCAAGAGGGACGACGAAGCAGAGTAAACAGCAGTTACATCAACAGATGGTGGAAAGAGAGATCAAGAGACTAAAACAACTGAAGAGTATGGAGAAAGCTGCTGCGTTGAAGGAAGCTGCAAAAAAACCACCAATGACACAGGCCGATAGGTTGAAGCAAGCAGCCAAGGTGGAGAAAGCGAATGCCAAAAGTCTGAGTAAATGGGAAGAAATGGAGCAGCAGAGAGAGGAGGAGCAACGATTAAGGCTTGCGGCGTTGCAAAACAGAACACTAAAAGGGCCAGTAATTACATCTTGGAGTGGAATGGCAGAATGGGTGGGAGGGAAATTGAAAAAGGTTGGTAGGATATTTGTCACCAACGACGAGCCCAAGGCGAAGCCTACCACCAAGAAGAGAAAAGCTGCAGAGATGGAAGAGGCGGAGGCTGCAAAGTCGATCACGGTTTCAACGGAACCAAAAGCAGAATCTCAAGGACTTTCAATTACTACCCCATCAGAAACCGTCCAAGCCTCTGTTGAAAAAGACAATATTGATCCCTCCTTATTATCAATATCAAATCCTAAATCTTCATCAACCGCGTCAGCACTCCCAGATGATGCTACGCCAATACAAGAATCGCCAATTCTTGCACCACCAAGACCTCCTTCGCCAAAACAAGCGACTCCTGTTTCAGTAACTCCAGAACCACCAAGAGTATCATCAGTACTTGCTCCTCCACCAATGCATGGTCCATATCCTCCTCCGCCAATACCAGGTGGTCGCGTTTCTTCAGTCCTTGCTCCCCCACCAATGCATGGTCCAATTCCACCTTATCCTGGTTCAACTCCTTCCCATCCTGCCTTCAAACTCGCACCCCCAATCCAACCTCACTTTGATGGATCAACCCCTCTCCCCGGATTCGGATACAATTTCATGTCACCGCAACCGCAATATCCTACTCACCCCCCTCACCACCCTGCCATAATCCCTCCACCCCATTTCCAACCCCAGATCCAAGCTCCCACTCTCCCACCACCCCCTCCTCAATCCCTCACCCCTCCGCCTCCCACCACCGAAACAACAGCGATCCAATATCTCATCCTCACAAACTTCTCCCCCGAAAAGATTAAAGACAAAGAAATCCAAACCCAGATCCTCTTCCACGGTCAGAAATTCACCAAAGCACCCAACACCCTCCCTACCCCCGCCCGCTACCACCCGCTCTTCACAGACCCCCGCAAGGGCGCGAAGGCCGTCGAGGAAAAATGCGCCATCACGAGCTATGCGGCACGGTATAGGGATCCGAATACGGGACTACCGTATTGTAGTGGCCTAGCTTATAAACGGATTGAGCAGTTGACTGAGGGACGCTTTTTGTGGAGTGGGCTTCTGGGTGCGTATGTTGGGGCGAAGGGTGTTGCTGCTAGGGGGGTACCGGAGAGGTTTTTGGGCGAGGTGAAGGGCGAGGGCGGGAGTTATTGAGTATATACTTGAAGTGGGGCGGATTGTATGGTTCTGGGAGTTTGGGTGGGATTAGGACTTGGTTGTTGAAGGGGTTTGTATATATGGCGTTTGGTTAGCGAGAGCTTGTTGTGGAAAGCGAAATGGAGAGTATGTAGGTAAGGAATTCAAAATATGAATTATTCGGCGATATTTCCCATTTTGAATTCTGTAGTTTGGTTTCTTCCTGACCTTGAGAACAAAACCACCAACGCTCAGAGGACTCTTCTATGTTAAAGCAACTAACACCTAAGCCCAGATAAGACGTAACGAAGCTACACCTCTTCTGCTGTTAGCACTTAGTGATACCGTTAGGATTCAATTCGACGGACTGCATGTTGTTACTACCTGGTACTTGCACATGATTGATTTATCTGCTTTAGCCTTTACGATGACATGGACTTTTATTAATCTCTATCGCTTCACCGCGTAGATATCATATGATCCTTCAGTCTTCTGTTAGCATTTCAATTAAGTATACCAGACTCAGGAAAACCTACCAACCCACTCATTAAAGTCAATATCTTCAGACGGTTGTTCCGAAGACTCGTTCTCATCACCGCTTATAGCCTTCGCATTCGACTCTTGTGGCATGGCACAACAAGGCGGTTTTGCCGTCTTCTGCCCTCCAGCTCCCGAGTCGAGCAGAAGATCATTCTCCTTGTATATATTAAGATCACTCTTCTTATCAACTATCAAAACATCTGGCACGTAGGCTCTCATCAGTAAACATCCCACCAACACCCCAATCCCACACAAAAACTCACCACTAAACCCCGCCGCCCTCAAATACCCTTCATACTCCCCAACCTGGCTCGCGCCACTAATACAACCCACATACAAACTCATATCCCTCAACAACCGCTCCGGAATCGCCTTCCTCGCTAAGATATCACTCACAGCCAAACGCCCTCCTGGTTTGAGAAGCCGGTGGATTTCGCTGAATACAAGCGGTTTGTCGCTCTCAGGCACGAGATTGATCACGCAGTTGCTTATGACACAATCGCTTGAGTTCGAGGCGAGAGGGATGGATGTTATAACTGATTCGACGAACTTTACGTTCGTGATGGCGGATTTCGAGGCGTTTGAGCGCGCGCGGTCTAGCATGTCCTATAGTTTCATTAGGAAGTGAAGTAGACAGAAAAGACAGGGTAGCGGACGGCGCTCATATCAACTCCAATTGCCAGTCCACTCCCCCCGACTTTGCGCGCAGCGAGAAAAACGTCAAAGCCAGCGCCACAGCCGAGATCGACTACCGTTTCTCCCTATATGTGACTTAATCAGTCGAAATCGTTCTCGTCCCGGGGACATGTACTTCCTTAAGTCCAGCCAGCGCAAGCGGGTTTCCGCAGCTGACGCCGAGATTCGCACCGGACGGGATGGTGGACAGTTCGTCGAGGGAATAGCCGAATGATAAGGCGACTTTTTGGCATTCGTTTGAGTGCTTCTCGTTTGTCTCGCGGGCGAGCTTCGAGTAGTGGGTGTTTACTTGGGAGGAGATTGAGGATGTCATTGTTAGGCAAGAGATTTGGCGATGGGTCGTCAATCCTTTTACAGATTCGGTAAGGGTTGAAGTTGGTGATAGTGGGTTATTCTTAGGGAATGTTTGGTTTGGTTTTGTGAGATGCTGATGGTTTGATGACAACAAGCAAGCGATGTGACGCATGTCGATTGAGGGGTGAAGGGACCAATGAAATGTTGCGGCAATGTCACTGCTTTCGAAACGATATGGTATTGACAACCTCGCGGTCGCCAAGATGAGTTCTGACCTACAAAGGCTTCATAATATCACCACCTCTATTGAGAATTTGAGCAGAGCTCCGAACCTCGATAAGTAATAGATCGTACACAAAGTACGATGCTCACTCTCTTACTCTTTCACCGCATCTAAAGTTAAAAGAAGTTTGTTAATATACATCTATCTTAAAGATTTTTCTTTATGCCAATAAAATAAATATATACAGTGAAGCTTCTCGTCATTAATTCTGTTATCGAAAATTAGGTAGCGAGGTAGCGTGTAGCGTGTAACTTCTCGCTTTCGGTTTACTGCTTGTTTGGTCCCTATTAAAGGGGATTAAGCTAAGTATATATATATTGTCTATACAGTTATCTTTTATACCCGAAAATGAGTGCTATATTTAAGCAAGGTATAGTAGTTTCACGTCTAATATCCAAATTCATCGGTCCGATGCGGCGCCGAATAGGAAATCTACAGTCGGCTCCGGTTCCGTTAGCACACACACTACGTACAACACCACAACACCACAACACTACAATATTACAATATATCAACGCGACAACACCATGACGCTCCGATATCCGATGATGTGTGGAAAACACCACCTGAGAATGAACAATTTGTCATTTGTCGAGGCCTCTTGAATATGATACCTTGATTGGGTGTATTCCTCGATTAGGGTATTTCGCCCGGCAGGTACTTCGAATCGCACTTGTTAAGATAAGTCATTCACCACTATATCATATACTAATAACCTAAATCAGTATCAAAAAGAGTTGAAATAGGTCACTGCCAAAGTATATCCTATCAATGCAGAGCTCTGATTTTGAGCCTCGTTGAGCTCTACTTGGAATCTGCGAATTTGGAGACAAGAATAATGAACAGCTTACTCGGAGATATGTCATCCACAAGGAAATGCCTTTCGTAAGCCACATTCAGGACGCTAAATAATCAAAGTGGTGGCTGCGAGCCTTCTGTCGGTCACACCATAGAGGCCAAATTTAGAGCGAGCGTTCAGCTGCCAAGTCATGGCTTTTACAGATAACCGTATCAGTTTCTGTATATATCTTGCGCGACGGCGTCACGTCAAATGTAAGTCTTTCAATTATTTCCGATCACTCTCTACGATGGCGAAACCTCAGGTGAAGGCGACAGAATCAGCGGATGAGGACGAAGTGTTTGGGACATATTTCGGGAGACTTTTTGTCGGTACATTATCAACTACATGTATATTCATCCTCGGCCTCGTTCTTCGATATCTGTTTGGCGACCAGATTGGCAGCAAGATCCGATTGATAGTACTCTGCATCTTACATTACCTGGCAGGTCTCGTACACCTGCGTCAAAATATTGGGAGCTGGATGCAACATGACGGACCGAATGCTCCATTCCCCTCGTTAAAGGAGTTTTGTTATTTTTTACCTTCAATTCTTGTTTCCGTCGACTTTTTATACTGGATTCAAGCTTTAAAGGCAGTTCTCCCTGCTCTTACCTTAGGCTTCCTAACTTATCTAGCTTTCGGCACGATGATTTATGACTACACAGGTCTCTGCAAGTGGTCTAACGACTTGATGGAATGGCTGTTTTTCAAGAAGCTAGGTGCCAAAAACTACATCCTGGTCCAGTCGGTGTTTGCGAGCCTTGCAGCCTCGAAGTATAGTGTGTCATTCTCGATGCCAGTTTGCAAATTGCTATGCTGGACTTGGCCAAGCGCGGAAGAGCCATGCTCAAAACTTCCTTTCTTCATCGCAGTCATACCAATCGTAGTGTTATTAGTTCCGATTGTGGTCTGGGGGCAACACCTTAAAACTCCATTTCGGGGTTCTTTACGACATTGCCGCATAGAGTTCGAACCAAAAGTCAGCGCAGTTAGACTAGGCCAGTTGGATTACCAGTACGAGTCTTTAAAACCTGGTTTCATTCGCGTCCTTGATGTGCTCCCTCCGGATTCGATTCTCGGCTCCTATATCAACACAAGAATACGGCATATCCGGCTTCAGGATGCAAAATATGATGCTATCTCATATACGTGGGGAAATCCTGTGAAATCAAAGGGAATTCTTATTGATGGGAAATGGTGCTCTGTGACGGAAAATGCTTTTGAGGTTATCAGGGACCGTGTGTGTTTCTCTAATACTCGAACCATCTGGATAGATTGCATATGCATAGATCAACAGGATGATCAGGAAAAGACCCGACAAGTCGGGATGATGAGCGAAATATATCGGCGGGCTGATCGAGCAATAGTCTGGCTGGGAGATGTACCAGATGCCATGTTAGCCTTTTCGCTGATGGAAGACTTTTGTCGCAGGGTGAAGAAGCAGGAGGCGAGTGGAGGTCAAGAATATCAATTTCGGCCGAACAACGCAGCCCGAACATGGCTGTTTGGAGTATACAACAGGTTCGACCCAAGGTTTTGTGCTTTAGCCCGCTTGCTTGGCCATCCATATTTCCGTCGACTCTGGGTCATCCAGGAGATCACGTTTGCTCAGGAGGTCCACCTTCATTGTCGTGATTGTTGGATCAACTGGTCAGATTTTGAATGGGCGGTCTTACTACTCATTAATCCAAGGTATCGCGATCTTGTTGGCAGCGACAAGGTAATGTGGTCAATGCAGCGGCCAGCCGTTCTGTCTCAGATTCAGCAAATCAGTTCATACAGGCATAAACTAAAGGGTAATGACGCCTCTGATCGGCTTCCTCTAGGTGTGATTCTAGCGGAAACGTCTATTGCTGAAGCAAGTGACACCAGAGATCTTGTCTATGGGCTTCTGAGCATGTCAAAGGCTGGAGAAGACCCTAACATGGCCCCAGACTACACCATAGACACTCCGCAAGTGTTCAAAAACACTGCAAAGTATCTACTAACAAATTCGGAGCTCGAGGACATTTTGTATGGCTCCGGCGTCGGATATCCAAGACAGACATCTGGAATCCCTTCTTGGATCCCCGACTGGGCTTGCCAATCACGCGTTAACCGGCTGCGAAAGAAGGGGGTGTTCATCTACAATGCGTCAAATGGACGAACCCAAGTCATACAAGCGCCTGACTCTGAGACGATTCTTATGCGTGGCATAACTTTTGACAAAATTTCAGTTATGTCATCTCGGTCCTTCACTACGGAGAATCCCGACATTCACAGCTCGGGATGTGAAGAATTTGGAGCTGAGATGCTTTTCTTAGAGCTTGAAATCCGGGAGCTCGCGGAAAGATTGCCAGACGTTTATATCAATGGGTATCAGTCTCGACAGGAAGCTTTATGGAGAACTAGAGTAGCTGACCGGACTAGAAATCTCTGGGACATCAAGCCCGGAGTCTTAGACAAACCAACCCTGGCTGGAGATGAGAACAGGAAAGGCAATTATGATTGGCCAGCACAACTGGACAGGTTTATTGATGCTCTGAAGGCATATGAACAGGTCTTCTCGATGTTCAAAGATGCTGGCGTGACACGAAGGTCGTTTCATACTACTGGTGGGGAGTACAGCCCTGAGATGGCTCTCCTTCAATTATCACAGCTGATGAAAGCAGTACAAGCTAAACGTAAGAAAAGCTTTGTCACGCTCATGGCATATTTACGGGATTATTTCGAGGCAATGTGCCTCACGTCTGCTGGTAGGAGGTTTGCGATTACGGAGAAAGGATACATGGCACTGGTGCCTCCGCTTTCTCAAGCTGGAGACAAAGTCTGTATTCTCTTCAACATGGACGTTCCTTTTATTCTTAGACAAGTTTCAGAGTCAACTCCGATGGACTATCAGATTGTAGGTGAGAGTTACGTACATGGGATTATGGATGGAGAAGCTTGTAGAGCTGGGAGTTTAGAAGTTGACTTTCGAATTGTGTGATAGCTGGATGAGCTCATAGAAGTCCAGTGAAGCTTGAAGAGAACTGGTCTCCACTCAAAAATCTGGGATATGTTTGTGATAGACTCGTCATAGTTGAGAATATACAGGGACCGCATGATGCTTTAACATCACACAGCAGAGGTTCTGACCATCGATACAGATAACTTTCCGTTGCGACTAATCAATTCCAGCAAGAAGGAAGTAAGCTACTCAGCTACCTCCATACGTCCCTTTTTGGCTTCGATTTCGGTCGGCCGACCAATAGCTTTGCCCACTTGAGCTCTAAGAGGTAGCTCGGCTGTTAGGCATCTGATTTCAACCATTCAGACCATTTTTTTTTAGCTGTGGATCATTGAAAGTATGCAGAAGATATATGGGCAAACATAATAGAGCTTCGTTGAAACTTAAGATTGAGGCGAAAAGTACTTCGACCAGTACTGATTTCCTTGGAGAGATGTTCCACGGACTACAGCGATAAAGCCTCAGTCAGTCATTATTGAGGTGTTATAGCAGAGCTACGCCTTGGCCCCTAAGGAAGATAATGCATTTTCGGAATCTGCCACTTCAGCTTCAAGGAATCTTCTTATAAGCCCCCTGGCTGCTTTCTGAAGTGCGGCTAATCGTTCAAAATATCTGTCACATCTCCAAAGCCTGTTCCAAGCTTTGATAACATTTTAACCTATATCAAATTTCAATTGCCAATACTGATATCAGTACCATATCGTGATGTGGGGTACTTACATCAACTCTGTGTTACCTTGGCAGATGTATCTCAACATCCAGACCCTTCGATTCGAATGCATCCTCAACGTCAGCCCCCACTACAACAAGGACCACCCGCACTTACCGGATTTCTTTTCTCCAAATCTGTTAGTCAATCTATGAACTCGTCGGCCCAACCACTTCACAGGGGGGTGTAGTGAATTGAGATATACTTCGCACCGCAAACAGCGATATCCCCCCTGGTCGGTTCAAATCATACGATACCACTACTAGACTAGACGGTAACACAAATATATAAAAACCAAAGTCAAGAACGACCTGCTTAATACATTTGAACTCTCAAATCACGCCCCGGGCAAGCCTACCAAGTATCCCCATCCCAATCTCCTGCAGCCGTCCCATTCCATGAACTCTTCCCAATCTACCCAATGCAGTGGCACCTCAACACGTCACATATCAGATCCAGCAGCCATCAGTCCTCGGGCAAGAAACGAAAGTGACTTGACCGGTTACACAAGAAATGTACGTACATCCAGTTAAGGTTATCAACGGTATTCTCGGCTAACCGACATAATTCCCCCGCACCGATGGCCAAGTCTCCTACCCAACGTGGCATTGATCGAGAGCGCGCCGGTATATCCAACACCGGTAGTTTTCTTCACGTACGGGATGCCAGCCGGATATATGCTCTACGGCGGCACGGCGCGGCGCACCTCAAGCCAGAACAGAACAAAAGCAGAAATGTTGTTCATGTCACGTATATATCTATATAACTTCCACCAACACCACTCATAGATCGACCTGAAGATTCAACAAACATAACGCAACATGGCGACGCTAACGCAAACCGAACTCGACATCACCGACGTAGGACTGCTGGAGTTCCTCCCTCTCTCAAAGACGGCCTCGGCGGCGCCTAGCATCTCACATAGCCATGTGACGTTTGCTGACGACGTGAGAGGTGAGGCTGTACCGCCGACGAATGCGTTTGAGGCGCGGCCGCGATGGAACCATCCGGCGAACAAATGGAAGGTTTTCGCTGCCTTTTGGAGTTTTTTGGTTGTGGGGTTGAATGATGGGTCTTATGGGGTGTGCATGAATCTTTTCGTTAAGGTTTCTTTCATGTCAATGAACTCGCTTGGCCGAAGAATTGGACTGACTAGTAATAGGCTTTGATACCATATGTACGCTCACAACCTCAACAACAAACATCTCATACTAACTCACTTCCCAGCTTGAAACATACTACTCATTATCCTACACAGTCGTCTCCCTGATCTTCCTCTCCCCCTTCGCCGGCTACACATTGGCCGCGATAACTAACACATCCGTCCACATCCGCCTCGGGCAACGGGGCGTCGCCGTCATTGGGCCGCTATGCCATTTTCTATCATATATCGTATTATCCATCCACCCTCCCTATCCGGTGATGGTGGTGATGTTCATCTTCGTGGGATTTGGCAATGGCCTTATTGACTCGGCGTGGTGTGCGTGGTTGGGGAACATGGCCGATGCGAACCAGATCGCGGGTGTGTTACACGGATGTTATGCCATTGGAGCGACGGTTGCGCCGCTCATTGCGACATTGCTTTTTACAAAGGGCGGTCAGCAGTGGTATAGTTATTATTATCTTCTGGTAAGTGGTGTCGTTCGGCGGGTTTGAATGCATGTTGACTTTGTAGATTGGGATTGCTGGTTTGGAACTCTTGTTCTGCGCCTTCACATTCCGGAATCAAACAGGAAAAGTCTATCAACAAGAAAATCCTAGCATGCATACCCAGACTTCTGGACGGACTCGTGAAGCTCTGAAGCACAAACTCACTTGGATATTTGCACTTTTCATCTTCGGATACATGGGAGCAGAAGGTTGGTATCTTTACCCCCTACTAAGGCCTCACTGACGCTTCTCAGTCTCTCTTGGTGGTTGGGTAGTCCTCTTCATGTCCAAAATCCGAGCTGCCTCATCTTTCCAATCCGGCGCCACATCCGCTGGGTTCTGGGCTGGTATGGCGGTGGGCCGTCTAGGCCTTTCCTTCATCACCGCACGCCTTGGGGAGTTCTACTCAATCCTGGCCTACATCTTCGTTTGTCTCGCGCTCGAACTGGTATTTTGGCTCGTTCCATCCCTGATCATCTCCGCTGTTGCTGTTTCTCTTTTGGGTGTATTCATCGGTCCGCTATTTCCTACAGGCATGGTACTCTTGACAAAGATGATGCCAAAACATCTCCATGTAGGTGCTGTTGGATTTGCCGCAGCTTTTGGGGGAGGTGGTGGTGCTATATTTCCGTTCATTGTTGGTGCGATAGCACAAAGAAAGGGTGTCGAGAGTCTTCAACCCGTCATACTGGCCATTTTGATCCTTATAGCTAGTCTATGGATGTGTCTGCCGAAATCCGAGAAAAGGACGAATGGAGACGAGGTCGAGCTGGAAGCGATGCGATGAAAATGAGCTGGAAAAGAATAACCCATTGTGCCAGGCCTGTTCTTCTTGAGAAGAATTTTGATAGGGGTCGAAATAGTACATACCATTCATGCCACGGTCATCCCCTCGCGTGTTTCCAACCTATTAAATTGGTGCTCGAGATATTATCTCTACCATGTCAAAATCACATGATAAACGAAACGGAGTTCGCTCGATAATATATAGTATCATTCCATCCTATGCTAGCTACCCAGTACGCTCCTCCCAATTGCAGATGCTCAAACATCTGCTAAGCTACAAAAGATTTGCATATAACCAGATTTAACGAGATAATCAAACACAAGAAAGGTATTACAACACAATATTCATGCAAAGTATTAAGAATCCAAGCGCCAATTCAAAAATATTTTCTAGTTTCCTGCAATTTCCTCCTCCGCCCAACCGTTCAACCCGTGGTTGTGTCCTCCATCCTGAATGGCGAGGCCATAACCATTCCCGAACACATTACCGTTCGAAATGCCACCAGAGAATGAGCCTTGATATTGATGGCCTCGTCGCGGCTCGGCTTGGGCTAAACCAGCTTGTTGTTCTTGCTGCTGCGCAAAGACGGGTAAACTCACAGCACGGTTGTGCTGACTACGAGCAGGCGCGAGGAGTCCGTTAACGATTGGGGCACCGCTGGAACTATTCTGGAAAGCGTTCATGTTATTAATGCTCGCACTTTGTTGATGACCCATCTGATTGTGCTGTGGCATATCCATAGCATCCATGCTTGATGGCGAGGTGCTGCTACCATAGAGAGCGGCTTGCTGAGCAGCAAGAACTTGTTGCTGCTGTTGTTGAAGCTGGGCAACGGAGAAAGGATCAAGTTGCTGCTGTTGCTGTTGTTGAGCCTGCTGTGAGACCTGGTTCAAGTACATGGTCAACGGGTTGTTGCTGCCGGCATTGAGAATAGTGGAAGGAGTTGGTGCTGGCTGGAATGTTCCTGTGCCATTGGCTGACTGAGGGGCCGACCCCGTTGGAGACGAACCGCTATGGCTTGGTAGAAGACCACCGCTGTTTGGAGGTGGTGAATTTACACGATCATCTCGGGGAGATTGGGGCTGTCCTTGTTGAACTTGTCGGGGAGGGTTTCCGCATCTGTCCTTTCCGAAATTGACCTTGAAACGACGATAGTCCTCTTTTCCACGAATGGCCTCGATGGCTTTGATTGCGTTGGCAATGTTAGTGAAGTTGACAAATGCACAGCTCTTCTCACGTAATGTGTTGACCAATTCAATTTCACCGTACTCTGAGAAATCTTGTCTCAATCTCTCTTCGCTCCAGGATTCGTCCAAGTTGCCAACGTACACATTTCGAGAAGCTCCTCCACTAACAGCCAAGGCGATTGCAGCTGGAAGAGCACCAGAATGCTTTCCCCATCCAATTTTCAACCTTCGGTTATGAATCATTAAACCTTGCAAATTGCTTAGAGCATAGAAAGAAGCCGCGGAAGTAGGGTCAATGAATGTGACAAAGCAAATGTGCTTGTCGGGTATATATCGAATATGGTGTAAAAGGCCACCTCTGACAACATTACAAATTTCTTCAATGGTAGTTTCAGGATGAATGTTGCCCAAATAAACGGTGCGATTACCAAGGTTGTTGATTCCTCCAGCCGTCGTGGCGACAGCAGCAGCTGCTACAGATTGTTGCGCCAATGCATTTGAGATGAGGTCACGATCAGCTCCGTTGAGGACATGAGCGTATCCGGGTGCAATGCCCAAATATTGGGCGGCGTTCTGCTGTTGAGTCTTTGAAACATAGGCGCATCGATCCTTGCCGTAATAGACACGGCGAGGGGATTGCCACTTTGGCTCCTGGGGTAGCTGAGAGACAGCTTTAATGGCGTTGCCGATGGAAAGGAAATGCACAAAACCGATGGCTTTCTCACGAACAATCTTGACGGTGTCAATAGGACCAAATTTGCTCAGGTCGTCACGTAATTCGTCTTCCGTGACGTTCTCCTCCAGGTTCCCCAAGTAAACATTACGGGAAGCTCCTGATTGCTGGACTGCGAGGGCAACCGAAGTAGGAACCTGGGAAGGCTTTCCCCATCCAACTTTGATGTCTTGTCCTCGGATGGAAAGTTTTTTCAAAATAGCATCTGAATGGAAATGCGTTGCAGAGCTTCCGTCCAAGAAAGAAATAAATGCACAGTTCTTATCAGGCAGAAGACGAACAGACTCAATTTGCCCACTCCTGACATGGCCCAAAATCTCCTCCGCGGATGTCTCAGGCGGGATGTTGCCGAGATATACGGTTCTGCTGGTACCAGAAACCAGACCTGGTGACATGTGCACTGGCGAAGATGGCTGGATTTGCATCTGGCCCATCTGATTGGTCATGGCGGAAAAGGAGCCAGCAGTCGGTGATTGTGGGTTATAGAATTGAGGCGCGCCATATGTAGACGGGGAGACCAAACTCTGGTAGAGCTGAGGGGACATCTGCTGAACCGGACTGTTCATGCCGCCTTGTTGCTGCTGTTGTTGCTGCTGTTGTTGCTGCTGTTGTTGTTGCTGATTGTGTTGCTGCTGCTGGAAGTTGGCATAGTTCTGGAACTGTGGGCTAGCAAATGCCGCAGGTGTACCGGGTTGAAAAGGAGAGCCGAGCAACAGCTGAGATGGCAGCAAGGGGGTAAATTGCATATCAAACCCAGTTCCTGGTGTTGCCATGTCAGCTGCTTGTTGACCCATCGGCTGCGTGTTGATCGAAGGAATGTTCGCTCTTCGCGGATGTCTATCGCCATATCCACCCATCGAAAATTGGTTTGAAGAGTATGCCCCATGGGAAAAGCCCGTATCGCTGTTCGAAGGTTTTGAGGCATGGCCTGGGAATCGACTTGCGGTGGCCGCCCCTGGACCATTTGCGAGAGTCGCCGCGCTCTGAGTTTCCTGCATCCCGTGGAGATGCGGTGGCAGGACAAGACTGTCCCGCACAAGTGAAGATAGTACAGCCGTTTTGACGGATTAAAGGTGCCTCGAGAGGCACGAAAATTCGAGCGGAAAGCGAAACCCAATCGAGAAGATTGAGATCAGCGATCGATACTGGAATGTAATTGAACTGCGAGATTGGCCGATTGGAAGTGTATATATGTACCTCAAGGAGCCCGAGAGGTAGCAAGAATAGTATATATAAACAAGAAAAATGCCCGTGTGATATTAATTGCTTGTGTATACAAGAACGCGCTGACTCGTAAGTCGAAAGGGCTCGAATTCGAATAGTCTGCAGTCGAGACTGGAGTGTGCGAGAGGCAGGAGGAATGCAAGAATATCCCAAGATATTAATACAGGTCAAGCTCGGTTCGAAGATTGGTGGAAGTTTAAATTAATCGGAATTTCGACAGACAAAGAAGCTGAAGAAGGTTGGTCGGCGAGGACTGGTTATGCAAAAGCCGCTGGTTCGACTGCGAGTATCCGAAATGTCTTGTAGAAGGTGGGAAATAACAGATTTGAATGTATGAAAGATCAGGAATGAAGGAGGCCGCAACGGTGTCTAGCAAAGAAGAAAACTGCTGAGCGGTAAAGATTGTCTTTGTTGACTAAGGAGTGTGATTGCGGTCGAGAAAAAGACGACACACAAGAAGGAGCGGATAGAAGCAATAAAGAGGGAGCTTGGGTCGGACTCCAAAAACGAGTGCAACGCAAGAGAAGGAGAGAAGAGAAAGAGGAGGAGGATGAGGAGGAGAGGAGGAGAGCTGGTGGTCAAATGAAATTGAGAGACGAAGCAATCCAAGCCAGCGAAATGAGAGTTCCCTTTTCGGCCACGCTGCTGGGCCGTGGTGATAGGGGCTAATCTGCAAGCGGATTAGCTCTTGGCCCGAGAGACCAGGGTTTGGCAGCGACCGGATTCCCAGGGGCAGCCTCGTTCCCCACTATCGCGTCTCGCCTGCTCTTTACCTGAGGCACAAGCATCCAGGAGCCGACGAAAAGGGCAAAAAAGGGGTCGCGGGAGCTGGGGCCGATTAGTCGTCCAATAGTGTGTGGTCGTGGGAGGACACCTGTTGGTAGTATATCCTCAAATCCTTCAACCTTCAACAGAAAATGGTACATATATAGAGCGCAGCAACACAGCCTCATGACGGCGTAATCGGAGAATGGTGGAAGTCATTTTGCTGATCATGCTGATTTGGAGTCGAAAATGACCGCAAAATGACCGTCGTATGCTCCTGATTCTATTGTGACTGGTCCTATTGCTTGGTATTTACGATAGCATTACGCAGATCATAGTGGAGTGTCCGTCTATTTGGATGCTCGCCAAAGATGACAAAGAATCAACTCAGACTGCCTACGCAGAGTGATGAATAGGCTGGAGGCCCAGCTGCCTCGAGTTATCACAATAGGTATTTAATTGAACAGGTGAAATGAATTCGCCATTTCTCTTCTACAGATATAGTGTCTTAATTGACTAATACTGCATTTTTAACTTTCGGAATATCACTCAGCGTCTCTTTCAATCGCTTTCGATGGTGGCCACACATATATCTGCTGCTGAGTTGGGCAGACTTTGATGTTTCATGTTTTCAGACTAGTGGCTCACTTCACAAACGAAAAACTTTAGATGAACGTCATGACCTGCAGGAGCATCTTTCAAAAATCTATAAGCAATCATCAACTTGCCGCTATCTGATATCTATCATAAGTTAGGAAATCTGTCAAACAGGTCTAATACAGCGCTTCACAAAACCAAGCTGCAGAGCTTCTTGGTGCATCCCAAAAAAGCCAAACCAAAGCAGGATCCACCCTTTTCAAAGAAAGAACACTTCAAGGCTTGCATCTTCCCATGAATCTCGGATACAAACAGCACGTTCGAACAGAGTGTTGTTTGCAGATCCAGGCAATAAATCGTTCGAGACCTAAGCCGTAACCACCGTGGGGCGATGTACCGTATCTAGATAAATTAGCGAATATCACAAGAAATACAGATATAAACTCACTTTCTCTGCTCCGTGTACCAATAATACTCCTTAGGTGAGATACCCTCGCGAGCGTATGCTTCCATCAGTTCCTCGTAGCCTTCCATTCTCATTGAACCACCAACAATCTCACCGACACCAGGCATCAGGACATCAACACTCTCCGTTACCCGACGATCAGCGTCCTCCTTCTTCATGTAGAAAGCTTTGATCTCCACTGGGAAGTGAGTGAGGAGAATGGGCAGGTTAATGATATCCGTCATTCTTCGCTCGGCCGCCTCGGCAATATCGTCTCCAAAAACGTGTGGGTTGCCTTCTTCGTTGAGAATTGGAGGGTCTTGGGCGTTCAACCAGTCAATGGCATCAGAGTATCGCATACGCTTGAAAGGTCTTGTTGGAGCCTTGAATTCTGGGTTAAGCTCTTTGATGTAGCCAGCAATCTCCTCGTCCTCGAGAATGGTGTTGATGACTTTTCCAATAATCTCCTCCAAATGATCAAGAAGATCGTCAAAATCAATAAAGTCTAGTTCAGCTTCGACGTGTGTATACTCTGAAAGATGACGGCGAGTGAGAGATTTCTCGGCACGAAACGACTTTTCGATACAGTAAACATTGCCCAGACTTGGGATTCCGGTCTCCAGATACAGTTGTGATGACTGGGTCAAATATGACTTCTCTCCATAGTAATCGAGTTCGAAGAGAGTAGATCCACCTTCTACCTGTGTCTGAACGAAAGCTGGAGGACTAACTTTGGTAAAGTGCATTTCACGGTAGGCCTTTGCAAACGCCCACTCAACAGCAGAACGAACCTTCATAACCGACGAAGCAGTGTCACCCCGAAGGACCAAATGACGGCTGTCCAACATGGCAGATTCCCATTGATCTTGCTGAGCAGAAACACGGTTGGTGATCGCATCGGCATCAGATGGACTGTGGCCAATGACCTTGTAATAATCCACATGGAGTTCTCGGTTATCTGGTGCTTGTTGACCAGCAAGGACCTTCTTCATTTCTCCATACATCGTTAGGGAAGTACCTTGTGCAAACGTAAGCGCCTCGTAAGTCTTCGTGAGCTCTCCAGCAGTAAGAACACACTGCAAATGTCCATAACCATCTACAAGTGTAATAAATGTGGCCTGCTTTTGTTGTCGCAAACGGTGAATGCGACCAGAAACCTTGACCCGTGTTCCCTTTACATCTCCCTCGCCCAATGTAAGATCCTTTTCTCTAATGGTGATCTTGACGGCCTTTGGTAGTGATGGGTCTTCGGTCAAAGTAATCTTCTTCGCATCTTCCAAGGTCTTCAATCGTGCCTTTTCTTTCTCTTCCTCTTGAGCAGCTTGTTGTTGTTGCTTCAATGCCTTCTTTTTGTGCGCATCCAATGCTCCTTGTGCCTTCTTCACAGCAGCTTTTGCAGGATCTTTCCAGACGAGTCTCTCTGCTGGGTCTCCGTCTGCGCTGACAGCTCCTGTCGTTGAGGCACGCGACTGATATGTTTTCCCCTCTGCCCCTCCATGTTGAATATAGGCATATGCCAATGACTTGTAAGGCTTCGATTCTGTGCCAGTAGCGCTCTCCTCGTCAATTCCGACGTCTGTATCGACATAGATCGTGTCCATCTTGGTTCGATCAGCAATTTCTTGTACTGCTGCCATGTTTGTGTTTGTTGTCAATTGTCTGGTTAAATTTTGGTGGGGTATTTTGTAGACTCACCGACTTGACTCAGAATAGGCCGTGCATTTAACCGATATGGGGTGTATTTAACAAATCAATTAACACGACGCGTTACCCAGACGCGCCGCAAGGGAAAATACTCTGATAAATGCAAGTTACCTCCAAATTGTCCTGCGCCATTAAATCACTATATACAGTGGTCCGAATCTAACTACTATCATTTATCGATTTCGCCATCATAAGCTCTAAACTTAGTTCCCTTCTGATTGAAACCATGGGCTCTGCTTGATCTCTGACCTCATCATCTGCGTTTACACTGATCTTCTATTCTTCGATCGAGATATACTCCATTGTGGCTATCCGAAACTTCTTCACCTCCGTTTGGACGCGCAACTGTATTCAGCGAACCTTGTGCAATATGCCACCAAAACAGGCTACATTGGGGTATGTTAAAGATCCCCAGACCACCTTGCGGTGGGTCCATGTCTACAACAAGTAAGGAACTTTACTGATCATCTTGTTCCTTGTAGCAAGTTCTTCAAAAGCCCCAGTGGAACTGCGCCCAAGGAAGTCCCCAAGCAATCGAAGCTTGCATTTTCTACCAAGTCGAATACCAATGGCGCCGCTCCAAGTCTAAAGCCCACCCCTAAGGAAGATGTTGAGATGAAAGAGGATTCCGACTCAGATGTTAAGTCAAAGATCAGCAAAGACATATCAGCGGAAACCAAGGAGAATGTTAAATCTCGGAGAGGTATATAGCCACTGGCTAGTGCGAGCAGTATTTTGCTAATACTCAAACGCAGAAACAAAGAAGCGATCGAGATCCCCGATGGTAAAAGACGACGAGGCATCCGAATCGCGAGGTACCAAAGTGGAAGTGGTTGACCCGGACGAAGATGACGAGCCTGTATTGAAACGACCACGCAGGTCTGTCAAGGTTGAGGAGGATGAAGAAGATGAAGAGCCAGTGGTGAGCAAGTCCGCTAGGAAGTCTACGGCTAAATCAAAGGCAAGTGACACCAAGAAAATGCCTCCTCCTTCAAACAAACCCAAGAAGCAACCCGAGAAAGCCGTGAAAGTAGAGGAAGAGGAGGTCATGGAAATTGTTGCATCGAAAAGCAACTCCAAAGTACGCGAGGCGAGCGCATCAGAGTCTGCATCAGAGGCTGAAGAGACCAATGAGCAAGAGGAGGAAGATTCTGAAGACGAGAAGCCCGAGATCGCTGCCAAAGCCCGTGAAAAGGTGCAGACAACACTAATGTCAAAAGCCAAAGACCCATATCCAGACTGGAAACCCGGAGAGCCTGTGCCATACGCAGCTTTGTGTACCACGTTTTCTTTCATTGAGATGACTACAAAACGACTTATTATCCAAGCCCACTGCTCATTGTTTCTCCGCCAAGTACTTCGTCTCACTCCTGGAGACATGCTTCCGACAGTACTTCTCATGATCAATAAACTTGCGGCGGACTACGCAGGCGTAGAGTTGGGGATTGGAGAATCCTTGATTATGAAGGCAATTGGAGAAACCACGGGTCGTAGTCTTCCTGTCATTAAACAAGATCAAAAGGAAATCGGTGATCTTGGTCTTGTGGCAGTCAAGAGCAGGGCAAATCAACCAACAATGTTCAAGCCTAAAGCATTGACAGTTCAGGCAGTCCATCGTGGTCTACTTGGAATTGCCACAGTCAGTGGAAATGGTGCTCAAGCTCGGAAAGTTGATGGAATAAAAAAGCTACTTGCGGCAGCCGATGGACATGCGGCAGGAAAAGTTGATATCACAAAGGACAAAGGGGGCCCAAGTGAAGCTAAATTCATAGTCCGATTTCTTGAGGGCAAACTTCGACTTGGACTTGCTGAAAAGACGGTGCTGGTATCTTTGGGTCAAGCCATGGTATGCCATGAGATTGAAAAGAAGGGTTCAGGAAAAGTTCCAAGTACGGAACAGCTTGCCAAGGGAGAATCTATTCTGAAACAGGTTTTCAGGTGAGTCAGATCGCGCAGAATATGTTTGCAAAACTAATGCCGATTCAGTAATCTACCAAGCTACGATGTCATCATCCCAGCTATGTTGGATCATGGTATCTTTAATCTTGCAGAACACTGTAAACTGCAACCTGGAATTCCTTTGAAACCTATGTTGGCAAAACCTACTAAAGCTATTACTGAGGTACTGGACCGGTTTGAAAATCAGACGTTCACTTGCGAGTATAAATATGACGGGGAGCGAGCCCAGATACACTACGTCGCCAAAGACTCCCCAGTGCAATACAAGGGCGCCACATCCGGTGCGTCAAAAACTTCGGAAGGGATAGCCGCAATCTTCTCTCGAAATTCCGAAGATCTTTCCAAAAAGTACCCAGACATCTTAGCCAAGTTGAACACCTGGGTCAAACCAGACACCAAAAGTTTCGTGCTCGATTGCGAGACTGTGGGCTGGGATACGGTTGAAAAGAAAGTCCTGCCATTTCAGCAGCTGATGACCCGCAAGAAGAAGGATGTTAAAATTGAGGATGTCAAAGTCAAGGTGACTGTGTTTGCATTTGACCTGCTCTTCTTGAACGGAGAGGCTGTAGTCGAAAAGTCGCTCAGAGAACGACGAGAACTTCTTCACGGGGCATTCATCCCTGTCGAAGGAGAATTCGGATTTGCAACAAGTATGAACGGGCGGGAGATCGATGAGATACAGCTATTTCTTGATGAGAGTGTCAAAGCTTCATGCGAAGGTCTCATGGTCAAGATGTTGGACGGTAGTGAAAGTGGTTACGAGCCAAGTAAACGAAGTCGGAATTGGCTCAAGGTATGTTCTAATTTCCAAGACTCTGATCAAATTCTGATTCGTCCTAGATTAAAAAAGATTACCTTTCTGGCATTGGTGACTCGCTGGATCTTGTCGTGCTCGGAGCTTACTATGGCAAAGGAAAACGCACATCAGTTTACGGTGCCTTTCTTCTTGCCTGCCACAACCCTGACACCGACAGCTACGAGACCGTCTGCAACATCGGCACTGGATTTTCAGAAGCAGTGCTCGAAGAACTCCACAGTCAATTGAAGGAAATAGTCATCGATCGTCCAAAGCCCTTCTACTCTCACAGCTCAGGAAACCAACATCAACCGGATGTCTGGTTCGAGCCTAAGTATGTGTGGGAAGTCAAGACTGCGGATCTTACACTGAGTCCTCGATACAAGGCGGGTTGCAAACAAGGTGTTGATCCATCTGGAGAGAAGGGAATCAGTTTGCGATTTCCCCGGTTTATCAAAGTGCGTGATGATAAGAAACCGGATATGGCAACGAGCAGTAGACAGGTTGCGGAAATGTATCGGAAGCAGGAGAGTGTTACGAAGAATAAGGGACCGGCTGTTGATGATGACTTTGAGTATTGATACTGACGGAGATTATGCGGCGGGGTATGGCAAGTATTGTCAAATTGCGTGCTAGGAGGATCTGGGATGGCTACGGATGTATACCAATGGGAAATATGGCATTGTAAATTAATGTGCTTTGCTCAGCTAGGTGTTTGGCTAGTTATAGAGGGCTTGTAGCATTCAATCACAGAATCAACGTTCAACTTTGAGATGACCAGATTATGTGGCGGCTCAACGTTAGAGGCTCGTCCTCGAACCCTCTCGAATTCGAATCTCTGACCGTTCTTGATTGGCCTTGCGTAAAGGATTACTGACCTCGATCAGCCTGCGTATCTTGTCGATTGAATCGACACAAGGACTTAAAAGATCCCACACTAATCCCTATTCTGTGTCGAACGCGGATACAAGCTATTCCATACAATTACCTAGGTATCCTCCCTTAACATCACCAAGAACCACAACATTAGCAACCAAATATTGCTTTACTTATCGCCCGGTGCGTTCCTATTCGCAGCAACCCAAGACGACTTGAAATTGAACTCAACGACTAGGTCTCGGTGTTCAAATCGTACAAGAGCGATCCCCATATTGATAACGAAGTGTAGTCCCCGAAACATAGATCTTGCAATCAACATTAGGCAAGCATGTCCAGATACCGACCATAGATTCCCGAAAGCAGCATTTCCCACCTACTCCATCAACCCTCCTTCATCCTATCCAACCGCATCTGCAACTTCCCTCTCCACTTCCTCGCCCGTCGTATCTCCACCTCTAACCCCGCCATCTGCGCACTCGTGCTCACAATCTTCGGTATAGTCTCCTCCACCGTCTGAACCGATATTATCTGCGCTTGTTTCAGGGGCTGTGTTGCGAATGCGCCGAACCAGTGGAGGGGGTTGAGTTGTTTTGTGTTTTCCTTCTGTTTGTCATCTTCGTCTGGGTCGTTATTCTCCTTTGGGTGTGGGGATTTCTCAGACGTGTCTGCTTGTTCAAAGGTCTGCTGGCTCTTCTCGTCTTTTCTTGCAGATACGGTTGTCTTTATGGTATACTCGATCTTCGAATCTTGCGTGTCGTCCGCGAGATAACAGAGCCGTGACGCTTTCATCCGCCCATCGTAGTCGTCGCTAGACACACTCTGGCCTTCGAATCGCGCCCGGGCGATGTGCTGATTTATCTGTGGCGGTGTTAGTATTGCTATGCTCAGAGGTTTTCTAAAACTTTGCAGAATATCCCTACCTTCTGCTGCGCAGATTGCAATCGTGCTTGCTCCTCCGTGTAGACTTGGAGGAGCACTAGATATTGCTCTAACAAGGCGTCAATGGTGTTGGAGTGCGCGGATATCTTGCGTGTGAGGTCTTCGTAGGAGTCTACTACGGTGTTTTCTGCTAAGTCTGCGTTTGCCATTCTACAGAGGAGAGGGTTGTAGTATGGCGATGGAGAGGGAGTTTCAATCCTAAGGTTCTTCGAGACGTCGACGCGGACGTGGGGTCGAGGTTATGTGGTAGCTGGAAATGATGATGCGACTGCTAGTAATTGTCTTTGTAGGTGACAATAGCACACAGAATATTCGAGCTGGTTTTTTGGCTTGTCTGGTGTTGTAATGTCAGTACGGATTTTGTGCTAGGTACAGGTGCAAGCGGACGAGCTGGGACAACTTCGTGAAAGAATTACCTCGATAAACTACTACCTTTTTGCTATACGCTTAGAAAATTTCAATCACAATATCATCTATCACTCTTTTCTCGTCTCACCTAGGATACATGCACAAATCGTAGACAATTCTGCCCGTTGTGTATAAACTTGTATCGTCATCACCGCCTTCTATAATTCTCCATCTACACACAATCACAAACCCCACCGTTTCACAACCTCAATACGGACCGATAGCTCCACGCTTTGTTCCAGATTGTTATTCACGCAAAGCTCTTCACCTAAAGATTGCCAGAATATGTTGGTATAGAATCGCATCCTCAGTCTTGCTGCATTTATATTCTTCTTTTCTGCGCAGCTATTGATCTGCTTCGATCCACCCCTAGCGTTGATCCTCAACGTTGTACGTACACCCCAACCCTGCGACACATCCATCTCTGGTCTCATCAAAGCCCCGACTTCACCACCAAACCAGCCGATATTGTCTCGCCCTCCACGCTCCACCGCTTTCTCTGCCTCAGTCATTCCATCGCCGTCGCCTTACCTGGACCTGCCTTGATTCCATTGACTCCATACTCCTCGGTCGAGTCGATCGAGTCCAGTCAAGAGCGCCGCAGAAGCTCCTCTGTGCTCCTCAGACCTCTGCGTCTTCCTCGCCTGCGCATCAATATCTTCACCCTAGACCACATCATTCTTCGCTGTCTCTGCTAACGTTGCACCTTCTCGCCGTATCCTGTTGCATCTCCCGTTGCATCACGTCGTGGAATTTGCACATCGTTGTCTGCGACTGAGCTGGCCTGGCTGCCGTGCAAGCATTGATTTGGCATTTTAGCCGCATCCCGCATACCCAATTTCACGCCGATTCCGAATAGGGACGTCGGTCGTGCTAGCTACTGCGTAGTATACACCATCAAAGCGCTACCACATACCTTTATCGCGCCTCACCTGCACCCAGCGGCAGTCCAGATCCTAGATCAAAACCCTACAATACCCAGACTCGGACCCCCATATCCATCGTCGTGGTGACCCCTACCGCCTCGCCCATTTAGTACTGCTTGACGAACCCCCTCCCACGCAGCTTCGACGACCTCTCGACCTCGACCTCGACCTCGACAGAACGAAAGCGACGACGACCACCTCCACCTTTGAAAACCGCACGACGTGGGAAGAAGAGCGGGCAAGCGACTAGTGGCAGGATCTCCACATTCAATTCCACAAGGGAAGATGGTTGTCGCCACAATAAAGTAAGATTGGCCAATGGACTTGAAGGGGGAGATATCGCCAGAAGGGTGTTCTTTTCTGCGAGAGAGATATTTGGTGTAGATAAAAGACGGCTAACAGAGTTCATTCAGATGCGTTGTCGTCGGTGATGGTGCTGTAGGAAAGACTTGCCTCCTGATCAGTTACACCACAAACAAGTTCCCCTCGGAATACGTTCCTACCGTTTTTGATAATTATGCCGTCACGGTAATGTATGTCATCACTGGACTCTATTGATGGATAGTATTCGGTTGCATGGTCTAATTGTGCTTCAGGATCGGCGACGAACCATATACTCTCGGCCTTTTCGATACCGCTGGACAAGAAGATTACGATCGTCTGCGACCCCTTTCCTATCCCCAAACCGATGTCTTCCTTGTATGCTTCTCCGTCACATCACCCGCTTCCTTCGAAAACGTACGCGAGAAATGGTTTCCCGAAGTCCACCACCATTGCCCAGGAGTTCCTTGCCTTATCGTTGGCACCCAGACAGATTTACGAGATGATAATAGCGTTAGAGAAAAATTGAGCAAACAAAAGATGTCACCGGTAAAGAAGGAAGATGGAGAGCGAATGGCCAAGGAATTGGGAGCGGTCAAATATGTTGAGTGTAGTGCGTTGACTCAATATAAGTTAAAGGATGTATTCGACGAGGTAAGTAGCCCGCTCTGTGACAAGCATAGACAAAACTGATTCCTGTCTCAGGCAATCGTAGCAGCGCTTGAACCTCCGCAGGTCAAAAAGAAGCACAACAAGTGTTTGATACTTTGAGCGTCCCTGCATTTGAACAAGATTCCCCTAAATTAGATATCGTACCGTATCAACCGACTCCCTTTATGCTCATTCGTCCTCTTCGTCCCACCCCCGTCGTTCATACGCGAAGCGTGGAAAGTTGCACCTGTTAGTCCTCTCTTCCAATGGGACTGAGGACATGAAAGAAGATCTAGGGGAAACAAACTACCCATTCTGGCAAGTACCAAGGGTTTCCGGCATTTGGATTTATGGATAAACCTATGTATTGTCGGTGGATGAACCCCAAACCCCTTTGTTTTTCTGCGGCGATAGGAGGGCGATTGATAGTATAGTACCCCCCATGCGATACACATTTTTTCTAGCGAAGTTATGAAATAAGATTTTTTTTCTGGGAGTTGCTTGGTCTTCTTGGGGAGTGAGGTTGTTGTATTGAGGTAGGTTGTGCGTGTTTAGGTGAATGCGCTCCTAAAGGTTTGAGTGAGATAGTTGTTTGTGACTAAGGGATGATTCTGGGGGATGTTAGTTGCTTTTGCTGCTTATGATATTTTTAACCTTCCTTTACACTTAACGGCTTGAGTCTATCTTTGACATAGAAGATGTCATCATTCGCTGAATCTCGTTCGAACATGCAATTTTTTCACTGCCACCGCGCAAAGGGGAGACGAATGAACATGAGAACTCAATCAACAAATTCCAATATCGTCAGAACGGTCTACTTTTCCGCCACCTAGGCTTCGACTTAACAAGAATGACTTTGGAGTATAGGTTTTGACAACTGTCAATGCGACTACTTGCGAAGGATTACTCGATTTGATTCTTGAACGCATTTCATTCGTGGAAGGGTTGATTTTATGATCGGGTGGCTTGGTAAGAAGGTATTGCACAGGCATGGAAATTTTTGGTTGGAGGACGGGCAAGGGAAATGACATTGTGGAACCTGAGTGGTAGTGTTGATAGTATTTCATTTGCATACTGAAGCTCTGAGGTTTTATTTATAGTGCCTTGCAGGATGTCTGGAATGGTACTTCCCCGAGAAGAAAGGGAGGGAGGGGGGTAACGAAGTTAATTTGGTATGTTGTTGTATCCATCTTTTGGACCTCCTCGATAGTTTTCTTTCTGTATTTTTCGTGGTTGTAATTTTAGAGCCGGTAGGTCTCACTGAGGATTGTAGAGGTTGATTCGATGATGCTAAGTTCCTGGTTATTTTGCTAGACTGATCCCTCGATTCTTTGTGTTTCTATTTCGCGGGTAGAAGGTGAGTTGATGGTCTTGCTTTCTGTATCGTTCAGGGGAATAGTCTTAGACAGTGTATCAAATGAGTTGAGTTGAGTTGATTAGTGGCTACTACTCAAACTCAACTCATACTCAACTCAAGCTACTCATGATTAGTTTGAGTAGTTCGAGTAGACCTTTAATTCACTAGGGATAGATAATTGGGGCTGCTGTGGGTATGAGAGGGGGGGTTTTATGTTGTGTGATATGGTTGGAAGTGGGTATATAGTCCGACTTGCTACCTTTTTTCCTGTTGGCTGATAGAATGGTAAATTGCTCACTACCTAGAGTTTTATTGGATGTTGTATTTTAGTTTAGTAATTAAATAGTCATCTCATTATCACGACGATATTTTTTGGGTTGTTTCATGTTAGGGTAGGTAAGTAGTTTGGCGGTTCTCAGAAATCAGGGAAATCATTTAATACGTACTAACAATTTCTACTGTAAAAACTACTAGACTTGCAATCAGAGTAATCCCATCAGCTTCTCAAATAAGTTCAGATGACCTAGTCAGAATGTGTTGTAGGGTGGTGAAAATGGTAAGTTTTAACTTCAGCAGTTGGTACCTAATTCCACGGTCTTGTTTGGCAGTGACGCAACGCTTGGTTGGTTGTTAATCATAATTCACGTGGTGTTTGCTACTTGATATGTTGATGGATCAATCGTTGTATGTACTTAGTCATTGAAGATTTATCAGGTTGCATTCACGAATTTTCTGGCATTACGTTCGAAATTCAAGATCGTAGAGCAGTCGTCGTATAGTGATTTCGTTCTTTGACGATTGTTGGCACAGGTAATCTCGTAGTTGGATGGCGGGAAACTTTGTCCTCAAGACGACAATGGAATTTAGTTAAAACTCTCATCTAGAATTTCATCTAATCCAGCCATGTAAGTCTAGATACCACTCATTTTATTCCACCCCAGAAGCATCAAATCTGCGCCGGTGCACTCTCCCTCGACCCCCTCCACTTCCACCACCGTCTCCTAACACTCTGCTTCCTCACCCCATCACTCCCCGTCTCAATCCTCCCACCAATAACCCTACCTTTAACCTGCTGCTTCATCTCATCCAGCTTGTAATTCCGCATCAGCAGCGAGAGCAAGATCAACGGAACCGTGACACAAACCGCGATAATGAGCAGGATATGCATCGTCTCCTGGTACGCCTGGTTGATCGCATCGCGCGCCGGAGTACCCACGGGATAATCGAGCGCTAGATTGATGTTGTTGTAGATTGCTGTCGCGTTGACGCGATTCTCGACGGGTAGGTAGGCGTTTAGTTTTGTAGGGATGTTTCGAGACCACACGGCGCCTGAGATGGCGGATCCGACGGCCCCGCCGAGCTCGACGCAAGTTAGGAAGACGGCAGTGGCGATTGCGACGTGTTGATGGTCTGTTGAGGCTTGGACTCCGATCTGGGCTGGGACGTTTAACATTCCACCACCTATACCGACTGCGATTTGCGTGCCGACTATGGAGCCGGTTGATGCGCCGATGGAGCGGTATCGAATCATAAGACCAATACCCATGAGGTATATGAGCGAGCCGGCGACGACGAAGGGTTTGTAGTATTTGGTGTATTTGATTATGAAGGAGATGATGATTGAAGCGACGGTGCTGGTGAAGGAGAAGGTTTGGGTTATGTGACCTGCTGCGGTGACGGATTTGTTTTGGACAACGAGGAGGTAGGAGTAGAAGTATGGTTGGACTGATAGGTAGAATACCACTGCGATGTATTAGCATTACATATTCTGAGTGTAGAAGAAGAACGTACTGAAGTAGAAGAAGCCAACTCCACAACCTGCGCTGAACGTGCGAGATTTGAGGAGATATAGCGGAATGAGAGGTTTTGGAGAAAGCTTCTTTGTAGACTCCCAGATAGGAAAAGCGATGAAGCAGATGAATCCGAGAACAATCATAGCAATGATGCTCCCATTTCCCCATCCTCCTGATGCTCTGGTTGCAATAGTGAGAGGAACCAGTATTAAAGCAAATGCCGCACTGAGGAGTATGATGCCTCCTAGATCAAGCTCGAAAAACAAATCCTTGATGACTCGGAGAGGCCCAAGTCCTTTCCATGGTCCTGGAGATGTGAGACCTAATCTCTTGGCTTTTCGACCGTTGATGAACAAAGTCAATGCCAACGGTAGGAACATAGCGGGAATTATAATCGTCCACATCCCATACCCCCATCTCCAAGTCGTCGTATTCAGAATTGCATTTCCGATAATAGAACCAATCCACACCGTGATCAAGAACGGAATATCCGGTAAACTTGACCACAGAGCACGGTTCAGAAGATCACTCGTATCCGCAATGAATATTTGTTGGAGAATCTGGAGTCCGGTTGAGCCTGCCGAGTAGAAGATCTGCGCTGCTGCGAACGATTCTACGTTGTTGGAGGTGGCCATCTGGATGTAGCCTAGGATGTACAGGAAGACGCTGAAGGTAAATGCCTCTAGACGGCCGAACACATCTGCGACTTTGGCCATTGGTGGTTTGATTACAGCTAAAAAGAAATGTTAGAGTAATTGAGAGGGAATTTTTGGATAGACATACCATTTACAACACCCTGCACAACATAAACCGTGGAAATCAGAGAATGGCTTTTGAACGAACTAGTAGCAAACACGGAAAGTGATTGCACGACCTGGCCCTCGAGGGAAGTCGTAAAAGCCATTAAAAAGATACTAAAATCCAAAAATGAGTACAGTTTCCGAATACTTCTTCATTTGGAAATAAATCAGAGATCTTACCTAGCATAAGCAGCGATCAACCCCCATTTCGTCCATGTCATAGAAACCGCTTCGATATTCTTCACACCCGCTTGAGCACTAGCAGACGTGGAATGGCCACTGCTCTCGGATTCCGCATCGTGACCTTCTGAGAATTGCACGTCTTTCTGCAATCCATCTTGAGAGGAAGGCTCGAGAACGCGTGACGAATCCATCGATCTTGTATTCCCACGTGTGTGGTGGTTGACGATGTTGCGATCTAATCTGATGATCTGATAAGAATTTATCAGATTCGAAATTTTCAGGCCTAGCGATTTGAATTCACCACGGAATGATGACGGGTTTTGAGCCGGCCATTTTCGTAAGGTACGAGTTTGACGTGGTGAAGGTCCCCGAATCCGAGGGGCAAGGGTATGACGAAATGATGGGGAACGCGGCACAGCGTGTACTAGCTTGGCTTGTACAGACGATCTTGACCTAGATGAGAGAAAACAGCCCTTCGTACGAATATTACTATGGATTTAAGAATAAGGAATTTGTAAGATATAATACCGTAAAAGGGAAATCGTAGATATTCATCGAAGACATGGAAATTGAAACACGGTTCCTCGCAGATTTAAGGTTACTCGCGCTGGTACCCGATTGCAACCCTGAAATCTTGGCGAGAACCTGGATGGAACGAATACGATTATCTAATCTTATCAGATCGAAAATCGAGTTCTTAGAAGTTAATTTGTCGAAATGTTGTTAGAGGAGGATGTTTATGACATAAATTATATCTATTTCTGTGTTTATCAAACATTATAGATCCCCCGTTTACAACCGCGGGGCTGCGTGTGTCCAATAGTAGGAGCGGGACCTTTTAATATACTAATAATAATAGGATAGTTAAATACAAAGTGCTAGTAATTAGTACGACTATTGAATTGTTCAATATACAGACTTCAACTTTTTGTAGAATCAAGCCTAATAATTGGATACTCCGTTTAACTTACTCCGGTTCCTAATATAAGCTTATTATGCTGCAATTTAGAGAGTAACTAGGGGACCTCTCCATTTGAAGCCTTATGGACACTACAATAGTAAAGAAAAAGACTGACTGTATTTAACATCTTAAGCTTTTAGCTATTTTTTATCTGACATCGCCAGTGCTCGATAATACGAGCCTGGAGATTCCACCGTAGATCGCTAACACATGTCCTTCTATTTTAAGTAGAAATAGAAACGTGAAGATAGAGGGGGTATAATTTATGTAGGGTGAAAGATGCGTCTGTCGCTTCCTTATCCAATCGAAGGCTTGAATCTCTTGCGTCGGTAGGAGCGGTTAAAGTAGATTCACGCGATGCTGCACCAGTGGCTGACACAATTCTCTGCGCAGTCCAAAATCGCAACTAACAATTATTAATACAACAACTTTTTCAACATACCCTCTTCTCTTGGACTATAGCCTAAGACCCAAGAATTAGTACTGTGATCTCAGATATCTAATATTAGGTTGTGGTGGTGAGTTATTCGCTGATAAATATTTGGGGTGCGCAGAGAATTGTGTCAGACACTGGTGCTGGCTTCTGCTAACCTGACACAAACATTTTGTACGTCGCGTGTTCAAGTTCTATTTGGTATGTCAGAATTTCTTTGGTTTCCTCATGTCGCATTTGAATCCTTGACTAAGAACGGAGCAATGCTATTCATGGAAGGGTTCTGAAAAACTATCGTTGTACAAACATTGTCAGAGATTTTGAAATCTGCTGAAAAATTCCGCAAACTTGTTCACAAAGCGAAATGAGAGATACTCGAGGACATTAAAGCTATGCTCTTGAATAATGAATCGATATCTTTAAACTCTAGTATTTCTTAGGTGTTTTCCAATCTCACCTTAGTTGCGAAGTGGTTTCGTATTGGATAAATGAGGCAGCAGAGCAAGTATTGTATCGAGTTGCAGAATCTTGGTTCCGAACCCAAACAGCGGGTATCTCAGCGAGAGAACACCATTATTATTGCCGGGACGACGAGATTGGCCAAGTTGTCTAGATGCACTCTGCTCTAGTCGTTCGTTGAACAGTTCCTTACATGTGAAAAATATCAATCGGATATTACAACCAAGCCGAGCTTCTTGAGAATTCTTAAACAGCGAGAGATTCAAATGATTAAAAGAGTTTTGCAACTATTTAGGTAACCCTATCGTAGCGACTTCATCGCCATTGATGACCTGAATAGGTGTGATAGGGTATCTCGGAACATTCTACTCAAGTCTTTGGGGAACAATTTCGCGAACGACCCCAAGAGTTAGAGACATGTTGTTTTCTTGTGCTGAATAAGAGATTCCGGAGCAGCTGCCTTAATCGAAGGGATTGATTTGTCTGTTGTTTGTCAACAGGAGGATGGAGAGGAAATCATTCCATTCGTCCAAGAAACCTGAAGCTCCTGTCACCGAGAAATATCTCGCTTGGCAGAAGGAAGCGCTACACGGACGATTATGACAGTTAAAACCATCGAATGCCAGAGAGATCTTGATCTTATGCGCTTGACAACCATATTCATCTACGCCACGGACGACTAAGCGAGCATTGGGATGGTAGGTGTTATATGATATCTTTATTATACATCCAGGTCAACTCTTTCTTCACCCTCCACCCCCTATTATCCCATCTTCAGTAAAACCCTGCTCCAAACCCGCCGAATCTGTTGATATTATACCTTTCATTAAGCTATCAAAGAAGGCCATATCGACGCCCTGGAAGGCCCAGTCGTCGACACCAGCAGCGATTGCCGGTAAACAATTTTGTGATTCCAAGGTGATGTTATTGACATTGTGGTATTGTAACATAGGCTGTTCGTGACCGGTTTGAGGTTGATCACCTGAAAACGCGGATTGACCGAGCGACTGTTCAGGCGCATGAGGGCAAGACGGGAATGGTGTGGTCAGTGATGAGGACTCAGCCTGAAATGTCGGATGCGGCTCACAAGAGATCGGGCCCTGGCGTGTGATTTTGATGACGCCGAGGTACGGGATATGCAGGCGGAGCTCTTCATCCCCTTTGTCGCTCTCATCTCCATCATATGTCCGGGCAGTATAATTACTCCCCTGAGCGGCGTCTGCCTCGATTTCGAGGAGGCGACGGACCAGTTTCGCGCTCTGCTCGGTGACTACGTCTTTGTTGGTTTTGCTGATGGCATCCATCTTTTCGAGGGCTTGCTCGAGCATAGCCCGATCACTGACGCGCTGGTGGGCGAGAAAATTGACGGTTTGACGGTGATGGTAGGCATCGATGTGAGCAAGCAGGAGTGTCATTGCTGCTAAGAGAGCGAAGAAGTCCACAGGCCGCGAGCAAGATGACATGGGGTTGAAGCTGCGATGCACGATGAATCGACTAATGATCTCCCGGCTGGCATTGACGCAAGTCATCTTGGAGTACTCATGTACAGTATTATCTCCTATCCGCACGATATACGGTAGGTGGAGCTGAACCAATAGGCCATAGTAGTTGACCTGGGCTGCTAGGCGTAATGTCTCTAATAGAGTTTCTGGTGACCCTGGAGTTAGGTTGTGGTAATACACCGGATGCCAAAAGCTTGCCGGCATACTCTGCGATATACTCAGTAGCTCCGAGTCGATTAATTGAGTTGTGGTGGTGTCGGCTGGGACAAATGAACTTGCATTGCGTTCCAAGATGCGCGACGCAGCGACTGTGAGGAGTCGCTCGAATCTACCAAGCGGTGGTTCGTTTCGCAGAGCCGATGGGGCACTCATACCCACATCAGTCGAGCCTTGAGGTAGACCAAGTAGCAAGCTGAGATAACGGTCCATATACACAATGCGGAACCACATGAAGTCTGGCTTAGCATCAAACTCTGGATCGATGCGTTTCAGTGGTGGCATAGGGGTCCGGTGCAGTCCTATAAGTTGGGCAACTGTCATTGCCCTGCGATTTACAACCCAAGCTCGTCGGAGATTGCCAGAGTTAATCTCATATATACCTTCTAGCATGATACAAACCAGACTTTCGACGGTGCCGTGCATCTCTTCCTTAGTCGTTACCCATGTCGTGGCAGCTGTGACCAAGCGGCTCTTGAGCACGCTTCTTGATTCAGAAAGAGCGAGCAATTCTTCACCACCCGGACTTTGTAAAGTGATTGCAAATAAGAGCATACGCTTAGCCAAAAGAACCGGGTGGATACTTGGACTCGGAAGCTCGGGGATGGAGAGAGGAGCGGCAAGGGTTTCGAGTGTTAACTTGCTATGCGGTTGAGTGGTGAGCGTTTCGGTGTAGAGCGAGGCCCGAAAGCCCTCTCTGAGCAGAATCTTGGCATCTTCTTTGGCCGGAAAGGCAGCAAATAGATGATGAAGTGCTATTGAGTGCGGGTTTGATAAGGCGAGTGATGGAATTGAAGTTGGTTGCCGAATATTTGGGACACTGGCTGGCTGCCGTGGTTCTTTGGGTAAGAACCCATTTCGGGGTAGTGATCGAGTTGCTGGTGTTGATGCCGGGGCCGACGGATCTTCATCTGTGCGAACTTGATGACCTTGGTGTTGTTCTTGATATTGAGTGAGGTTTCTTTCAACCGGTACAGAGGGAAGTGCAACTTTGCCAGCGAAAAAGTCCTCCAACAGGACTTCAACCCTTGCCATACGTTGAACGAGGTGCCTATTGTCTCTGTCTCTTGCTTTTACTCCAGCTACGTCTTCGAGCATCGGCACCTCAACCTCTTGACTGATGCAGGGTACCCGTCGGCGCCGACAGCCGACACAGGCAGTATCTTCGGCTGACAAAAAAAGGCATCGGATTTTGCGCCGTTTGCATTCCCAGCAAGATTGCGTGCCTTTCCGGATCTTCCTCCGTTTCGCCGAGACGTCCTGCTCGTCGTCGATGCCTGAGGGAGTCATCATAGCTGGCGTGTTTGTGGGAGGTGCGTTCACCGCTGAAGGAAATACATCGCCCATGCTGCGTGGCGGAGAGAAAGCCCGCGACTTTATGAAGCATATGGGTAAGCAAGTTGAAAGGAGGAGAATGGATGCATCTGTTCCGCCGTTGCGTTGTGGCGCTTTCTATGGCTCGCTTAAGTTGTTGCCGTAATTGGATAAAAAATATGTTCCTCCGTACGGCGGAGTGACTGTGGTTGGAATCGGCCAATCACACGCTTCTCCGAGCGGCGGAGTACCTAGGTAGTTGACTGCTTTGTTTAATTTGCCCCATTAAGCCTAGACAAATACACTGTTGCTATTGTAAACAAGATCTAATGTGATCGGCTTCATCTTCTTACCCAATTCGCAATTCCCTTTACTTACGATTAGGCAAGACCTTCGGTGCTGTGTGCCTATTTTGAACGACATCACTGATGCATTTGTTTTTGTGCATTATGTCCCGAAATGTGTAGATCTTGACCTGATCAGATATGACCAGGCGAATATTTAAGTGACGGATTCCACGTTGGCGACGGATACTCGGTTGGGCTAGCTTCTCGCAAACAAAGATGCTCTCTTCATGAACTTCCGCCGAGCGGAGATTTGCTATAGTATCATGACAAACCAAACCAAGACCATTACATTATTCTCCTTGCATAGAAATGATAAGAATTTATTTCATCCATCTATCATCATACTAGATCCGTCCGTCGACGCCTTTTCTACGCCTCTTTCAAGTCTCAAGTCTGGACTCTTTACCTTTCTTACTTCGTATCACACGATTCGCACCTCTACTACGTCTCTTTCTCAAGCAGTCGCTTGATCCGTATCATCAATCGAAACGGCAACTATCTCGGAATCTAGTATACAAGCATGACGCTCGACGGCCAGGAACCGCATGGAGATACCACTCCATCACCTCTCGACAGCTCTATCAATGAAGAGAAACAGGACCACCCAGGAGTTGAGGATGCCGCCCCCACAGAAGTTTCACCTCGCAATATCCACGGCTGGAAATGGGCGGGTACCATGGGTTCTCTATTGTTCTCGGGCTTCTTGTATGCTCTCGATGCCACTGTCATTGCCGACCTCCAACCGGTCCTCGTCGAAGAATTTGGAGAGATTCAGAAGCTGCCATGGCTGAGTGTTGCTTTCTTGCTCTGCGCCACGGCTTCCAACTTATTCTGGGGCCGCGCCTATACCCATTTCAACGCGAAGTGGTTATACATTTTCACCATCATCCTCTTTGAAGTCGGCTCTGCTATCTGTGGTGCTGCGCCTAGCATGAACGTCCTGATCGTAGGACGGGCGATTGCTGGCTTTGGCGGTGCTGGCCTCTATAACGGACTTATGACGAACATTGCACTTACAACCACTATGGCCGAACGTCCAGTATACAACTCAATGACTGGGCTCTTTTGGGGTATCGGCATTGTCCTGGGTCCAGTTGTCGGCGGCGCCTTTAACGAATCTTCAGGAGGCTGGCGCTGGGCTTTCTACTTGAACCTTTTTATTGGGGCTGTCTGTGCTCCCTTTTACCTATTCGTACTTCCAAGCAATGACCTTCACGCTGGAGCCACTATCAAGCAACGGGTCGTTGAGATGGATTACTTTGGCATTGTGATACAGGCCGGAGCTCTTACATCTTTTGTTATGGCAATCAACTGGGGAGGTATCACCTACCCCTGGGGTTCGGGTCGCATCATTGCTCTGTTTGTTGTTTCCGGCGTACTTTTTGCTGTCCTGGCTGTTCAACAAGTATTCAACATCTTCACCTCGGAAGGGAGACGCCTTATCCCAGTACAATTCTTCAAGTCTCGTACAGTCCTGATTCTTTTCAGCTCAACAGCAGCAGGAGGTGCGGCCGCTTTCGTGCCAATTTACATGATACCTCTATTCTTCCAACTCACCCGTGGGGATAGTGCACTCAAAGCTGGTATTCGACTACTTCCTTTTATCGTCTTCTTGGTTGTATTTACCTTCATGAACGGCGGTTTAATGGCCAAGTTGGGCTACTATATGCCGTGGTTCTTGGTAGGCGGCATTTTCGTTGTCATCGGCTCCGCCCTGATGTTCATCGTCGACCAAGACACTTCAACCGCTAAAATTTACGGCTTCTCAATTCTTCTCGGTTCTGGAGTAGGGATGTTCTTCCAGGCACCCTTTTCTGTCACACCCGCCGTTGTGAAGCCGGAGAACATCGGATCTGCTATCGGCTTCATGACGCTGGCTCAGTTTCTTGGCATCACTATTGCTTTAGCTATCGCCAACGCCGTCCTCCTCAACAATAGCACAGACAAGATACAGCAGATCTTGCCTGACGTTCCGTTGGGTGAGATTCATGCCGCCGTCTTAGGAGTTGGCTCAGACCTTGTGAAAAGCCTCTCCCCAGATCTTAGGACCCGCGTTATTGGCGCAATTGTTGACGCTATTAGCACTACATATGCTCTTACCATCGCTGCTGGTGCTCTTGTCGCTGTCACGAGCCTCATTTTGCGACGTGAGAAATTATTTGGCGCCGCAGCTGGTGTAGTTGCCGCATAAAGAGTTGATTCACTGGGTGAACCCAGGGATCTTATGGGGGTGAGAAGGAGTGGGCAAGTATCAATGGAGCACATGTCACTTCTAGCGCTATGTAAACAGGGTAAAACGAAAAAGCAATTCTATTTTAATTTGCCTGTATGTAGAACTATTTACATTTCACTGTGTGAATAAAACTTTAGTTTAATCAGATATCTCGCTTTGTAATTTATACCCGCATTGCACCAATTGTATCCCTTGTATCACATGTGCAGTCCGCCCTGCGAATGTTTTCAAATACTCTCTTTAACTAACCGTCAATGCACCTATCATGCAATTTCTATCACACTGTTTCATTCACGAGATTCATGTGGGAAGTCGGCTATTTGATTAAACTTTGTGCATCATTTACACCTCAAATGTAAAACATGTATTACGGTGTATGCTTCTAAATAGAAACAAATACAAGAGTTTAAACGAGGGCATATTTCTATGAGCTATCTCAGAATGTCAAGTTGAGATACCCTGCATTGCAAAGTCATAATATCGCAAAGTTTATTGTACCTACGTCTCCGCCCTGAAACTATGGTTTAAGAGACTGCAGCACCCTCTAGTGTGTGCCATTAGTACCGTTTGTCCCATGGTTCAGATAAGCTTCAATCATTCCTAGCGCTCCATGATCCTCATTATGCACATTCTTAATGACAAACCTCTCATCTGCCTCCTTCAACAGCTTATCAAACTCCTTAACAGTCCGCTCCTTTGACCCATAGCACACCAACATCACCATATCCACATGTCGTCTCTCACGCTCCCAGATACGCTCGATCGTTGTTCCTGGCTCGGGCAATATCATGTCATTGATTAGAAAAGGCGTACCTGGGGCCGACCCCTCGAGAGCTGGAACCATGGATTTGAAAATCCTAACGACATCGGCATCTGCCCAATTATGAGTGCACTGCCGGATTAAGTACGCGGCGGCGCCAAGATGCTTTTGCGGCTCAAAAAAGCTGGCTTGGGTAAAAGAGATACGGTCTTTGAGGTCTGGAGTAAGGAGCTTAGGGCCGAGCGCTAGCATGGTGCCATCACCGTCTTGAACTGCAAACGAAAGATGTGGGAAGGCCTGGTCGTGTCAGAAGTTCGCATTTCATAGAGATGTCCAGTGATAGAAATATACATACTTGAGCCAATTCAACAGACACGTGCCCGCTGCCACCGCCCATATCTACAACCGTTCCTCGGAGATCTGCCCATGAGTAACCGTTTGCTGTATCGGTCGAGTTATTTGCCACTTTATCCAATCGCATTAGCTTTATACTTCCCGAGCAAGACTATCTACTCAGATACATTTATACAAATGGTAAAAAGATACAAGCACTCACTCTTCACCCATCCAGCCATAGCCTTCGCGAAGCGTCCAGCATATTGTGGGTTCTTCTCATAGTAGTCAAAGATGGGTACACCAAAGCGCTTGTAGAATGGACAGTGTAAACCATCACTGTTATAAGGATCCGCCTTGATAGCCGCACCTGACTCGGCGCACGCCTTGAGAATCTCGTCGAAACTTCACCACTGCGTTAACCACATGCCGAAAACCAGAGACAATGGGAAAGAAACTTACGAGAAATGGACCATAGACCTTATCTCCTCGTCCTTTTGTAATGCTATCGAGAAGCTATTATGAGAGAAGAATCCAGGATTGGGTTCCGTGAAAAATCGTTGTGTGATCAACATCCTCATCAAACGGCCTTCACAGATTTTAAGTTAGCACTTTGTATTCAATATATTTGAAAGGTCATCATTCTTGCGAAAATTTGTAAGACTCGCGAATTCCTTTGAATCTGCATACCTGTGCGGTCTACATCCAGACCCGCTTGCTCTGCCAGATCTTCAACAGAGATGGATCCCTTGGACGGCACGATCGTGAAAAACTCAAAGTCCAGCGCGAGCTGAAAGGTGGCGATCTCATAGCCACGGACGAGAAAATGCCGATAGAAGCTCGCCGGCCCGCTTACGAGAAGCTGCAAATCTTCGAGCTGCGCCTTGAGCCGGATTTGCAACGCTTGAAAATCGGGCGTAGTAGGTAGGGCTTGAGATGTGGCTGAGAACGTTGGGAGAGCGGTGTTGGAAGCATTGAGTTGCTCGATGAGCGATTTGGTGTTGGAGAGAATGCCCTCGGCGAGAGCCAGGATAGATGCGTTCTCCGTAGTGGAAGACATTTGATATCAATGATGGGTTGGGGATAAAGCTTCATGAATGCACAACAAGAGCAACTGTCAAGGTTTATATAGGTAAGAATTGCCGGAAACTCCAGACTAAAAGTGTTAAATCCACGGTAAGACTTCTTTGAAAGTTAAAATGCTCGAGCACCTGAGTGGGGCTACGCTGCAAGTGCTGCGCGTTTGGGTTTGCTGTAGTCATGCTTGGTAGGTTTAGACTCAAACAAACTTTGAACGTTCCGCAACAGCACATTGAAGTCGAATAATCGTGACATTAAAGTGCTATTAAAGCTGAAATATTATTTATCAGGCCTGGTATGAATCCAATGTTCTACTTAAGCGGTCGAATCTTGTCTACAGATGAACTTATAAGTCAAAAGTCCACTTGAGCTAGCCCCTGAAACTTAAGCGAGTCTTTCAAAATCTACTACAAATCATTCTAGATGTCTCCTTTGATCCCATAATATGTATCCCAAAACATCGATATTTTATTTAGACGTTCTCCTGATGGTTTTACCTTGGAGGAGTTGGAATCCCAGTTCATGATCAGACCTCCATTTGCGTCCACGGCGGGCCAGGAATCAGCATCACTGGGGCTTCCAGTTTGCAAGAATCGTACCAAAGCACCCAAAAAATCCTTCGAAAGCGCTCTATCAGAATCATTCCAGTCCCAAAGTGGCTGCCACGAATCAAGGTTGCCAAATGCATACGCTACTCCGACACCATGAAAGGCGCCGGCATGCTTCTTCTCGATGACATCCAAGTCCTGTGGAATTATCGGCGCTGCAAGAAACTTATAATACCACGCTTGTGACTTCAAGTTCTTGATTTGCAGCCGCGCAGAAGTCCATGTTGGCCAGACAAAGCATTGGTCGGCAAGAAGCTGGGATGTTGCCCTCTGAACCTCCGTATCCGTGGCCGCGGGATACAAACACAGCACCTCTTTGGCTTGTTCTTGGAAAGTGGCCTCCACATAGGTATGATACTCAGCTAACGACTTCAATGACGGCATTCCAGATGCTTCGTTACCAACGTGGCCAGCCAGCAGCGGAACGTCTGCTGTGGTGCCTGAGAGTAGAGCTGCCAGCGGTGATTCGGGAAGAACATGGTTGTCAACGATGGCGGTCGCAGTATCGAATACGCTCAAGCTGGTGGGATAAGGCCACAGATCTGCTTTCCATGGCCCATAAGCACGGGGCAAGAATGTACCTATGATCTTCTCGGCAGGCAATTCTCTGAGTTCTGCGATGGTGGGAATTCCTAGGACTTGCAGCAACTCCGCTCCCGCTTGTTCAGCTGCCGCCAGAGTCGAGAAAGTCGCTACGTGACCTGGACCAGAACCTTCTATCAGCGGTGCTACTCCCGTGCC